GGGGGGGGGGGGGGAGGGGCGATAGCGACAATGTGCAGTAGATGCTGATCTCCCGTGAGATAAGTTTCCAACGTTGTGTCTTGGACTTCCAAGGTTTCCAAGTCGAGAGTATCACGGTCTGATATCGTTAGCTGACCAGTACCTAGGTAGTACGCCCGGGATTTCATAGCATTTAGTCAACCTAAGAACGTCTACAACATGGATGCCTTTTGTCAATCGCACTTTCAGAGGCTGACATTTGACTAAACGTGTACGCTCGAGACAGAAACATATGCTATAGACTATATACACATACCCAGACACATCAAACTATTTCCTTGAAAGAAAAGGATGCTTCAAAGCTTCCAACGGTGTACATCTCTTCTCCGGATTCACATTCAAACAACGATCCAACAAATCCACAAATTGCGCCAACTCTTTCGTCTCACCCTCCGTCATCCCCTTGGAACCTCCCTTGCTACCCGTGATGCCACTCCCCATCAACCGTGATTTAAGATCTCGCGTCGGTTTCTTGAAATCAAGAATTTTTGTCACTACTCTTCCCGTGAGTTTATCCTCTTCTGTGCTGTGGAAGTTGAGCATTTCGTCGAAGTGATGGTGCGTCAAGGTACCCTTGCGTAGAAATTTTGATGGGAATTTCCCACGGCATTCCATGATTGATCGGAGCATTTGATTGTTGTTGCGGCCTGTGAATAGGATCTTGCCTGTGTATAGCTCGTACAACGTACAACCAATAGACCATATATCAATCGCGTAGTCATATGGAATACCAAGAATGATTTCAGGAGCACGATAAAATCGACTGACTAGGTACGGGGTAATCTCGTTATCAGATGCCGAGGAAGCTGATCCCAAATCGCAAATTTTCAAGACACTTCGCTGCTCGTTTACCAGAAGGTTGTCTGGTTTCAAGTCTGCGTGCAGGATGCTACACTTGCGGAGCAGGCTCAATCCAAGAAACATCTGCTGTGCATACGCCCTTATAGCTCGTAGATTCAGTCCGACATCTCGACCAAATTTCTTTAGCACCTCCCGCAGGTTCATGCTGAGGTTCTCAAACACCATGCAAAGGTGTCCCTTGTGATCAAAGAACCGTTCAAATCGTATTACATGCTTCTTGTCCTCTGGGTCTGCCTCCAGTAATTTTTCAAGAATCTGAATCTCCTTCAACCCTGCTTTTCGCATTGTATCATTATTCCGAATAATTTTGATGGCCACGTATTTGCCACTCTTGGAATCGGTGGCGCGTACCACGGAGGAGAACATGCCTTTACCTAGGTTCTGATGGATATGATAACGACCGTTGATCAACTCACCCAGTCTCACATTATAGTAGCCCTCAGGGTCATCCCAGTTGTCTAACATGGTCATATCAAGTTCTTTTGCCTTGGGGATCGCCTTGGCACTTGCATGATCGGGCTGCTCCTCGGGCTCCGGAGCGAACATATCGTCATCATCTTCAGCAAACATGTCGTATGGATCTTTGGCGGAAGCTTCTGGTTGTGCTTCGGGAATGAGTACATCTTGTTTTGTTGCTTTGGTTTCATCGTAAGCAGTTGCGGATACACCCTCCTCTCCAACATATCGCTTATCATGCCTCTGTCGCTCTTCTCGCATATCTTGGGTGGGATCGTAGTCTGCTGCAGATGGTTCGTCTCTTTCAATGCCTTCCATAGGCTGGGTACCATTAGCAAGATCTTCATCCTTGGTAACTGTAAATTCATTTTCAGGGGTTTCGGTAGAAACTTCCAAGGCAGGAGATTTGGGTGATTCTACAGAAAGATTAGCCATTGTTGGTTTGAGTTTTTTTTAAGGATAAACTTACCAGCTCTACTCATCGGAGTGACGGGCGTGAGCTCCGCATCAGCTCCTTGATGCAATGCTTGGATTCGCAACGCATCTTGGCCTCGATACTTGGCTTTAATAGCTTCGCGCCGTTTTCGTCGGGCTTCCAACCGTGCTGCTTCATCTAGAATTTCTTCGGGTGGTTCAGTGGTACTAACGTCTGCACTTGACCTGCTATCCGTTAGTCAGACTGGAAGTGGGAGATAGTAAAGGTAACTTACCCATTCAAATAACCAGTAGAAGCATCTGTGCTAGACTCAGGCACCCGACGCTCTCGTTCAGTGTGCAGTTTAGCATCTTCAGTGACGACAGCGGAAGCACCCCTTTCGCTCTCTGACTGCTCTCTAAAAGCCACCTTCAGAGATTCACCAACAACATCAGTATCATCGTACTTTTTCGGTTTTCTTACGTCTTTGAAAGGTGATCGACTCCGCGTCTTTTGTCGTTTATCACGTCGATCGTAGTCATCCATATATCGGAGTCCGCCGCTGTAGCTATCGTCTCGGTCGTAGTCATGATAAGTCCTGTGACGGCGCGAAGCATATCTGCTGCGGTCATGATCGGATCGAGACTCGTATCGGTAGGAGCCATGTCGATAATCATCCACATTGTCATAATCATCATACCGTCGACGTTTCTCGCCGCGTCGATAAGGCGAACGCGTTCGAGATCGAGATCGGCGCCGAGGCGACCTAGCAGGTGATCTGGGAGAAAACGATGGACTCAGTCTGGAACGACGGTTAACATTCGTGTCATTCATGGAAGTTTGCGACGTAGTTGCCTTCGTCTCTGATCCCGACTCGACTATCTCGCCCTCTGACGGGGTTGATAGCGACCTTGACCTGCGGGAAGCCATGTGTTTTTTTCCCTCTCAACTTTTGACAAGGATGGCTGATATTCAGAGAAAGAATTGGGACAACTCAGTTAGCGATGATTGCTCAACACTCAAAAAGAACGTAGTAGATGGTGATTGAGATGTCCAACCGGCTAATGGATTCCTGCCTTGCCCTTGACCTGGATATCTCTTATTCATAGAGAAGCCTCTCTGTAACCAACATTAAAATAAACAGTCCAGATGCTCACTGCTAGCGATGAATGTGGAATTGCCTGATGTCTAGATGTGTAGTTAGAAGCATAAACCCGTTTGCCGTCGAGATGCGACAAAAGTGGGATTTCTCTCTAACCGTATCCGGATTAGTGCAACCAGCTGTTCCGATAAACTTGATAAGCCCGCTTCTCCTGCTCAAAACTCCATTTTTTCTTTGCCCCTCAGCGAATCTCAATCCGTTCTGTACTTTTTGATTGTCCCGCAGCGCAAATCATTATAAACGTTCAAATGGGTGGTCAAGGAAGAGAAGGTACGAATTATTGCAATCGTATGCAGCCTCCGCCATACTAATTCTGCTACTTTGTTAGGCGGCAAAGCCAAACCCCTCAAGGCTGCCAAGAAGGAGAAGAAGGAACTCGATGAAGACGATCTTGCCTTTAAGGAGAGACAACGCGCCGGTAGGTTAACTGACACTGAGACTCCAGGGGTTTAATCATGAATCACTGCTGATAATTTGCGACTCAACAGAGGCCAAGGCTAAGAAGGAGCTCTTGGAAAAAGCCAAAGGCAAAGGTCCTTTGAATACCGGCTCCCAAGGCATCAAGAAATCCGGCAAGAAATAAATCGAGCATTGATTCATTATTCTTTTCCACATTTATCGTTGCCACATAGCGCCCGGCGAAGACGAGTACTCGAAACGATACCCCCCTCTGGCATGCGCCCAGCACGTTCCTCGTTATGAGATTCAGTCATATACTTCGGATTCAAGCATACAAGCAGCAAGTTTATGTACTTACGATGTTTATGCATCATGCAAAGTGTTCATATCATAGCGCTTTATTTTCAAATGGAAATTGAATACAATTTTGCATAGTGCTTGCCACTCATGCATGACGAAGAGATCAGAATCAAAAAAAAATGATAGGGTATCAAGCAAGAAATATGAGACAAACATCACGCTTAACTTGGTACATGCTATGCAAAGACATCAAAATTGTTGTTAAAGATCCGGCTTCAACGAGAACAAGAAAGAGGCCATGCCAAATGCATAATCACACAGAATGGAAAGAAGTAAAGGGAAAAGACTATACACAAAAGGAAAAAAAGAGCTCAACTGGTGATTCTCTTGACCCACAAAGGGCTCGGTTCATACACGGACATGTCGTTCAGATTTTTGTAGAGTCGTATGAGTTTTAGGCCGATTTCATGATCTTGCTTGGCGATATCGTCGAGTTCATTTTTCAGTGAGGTGACAGTCTTCTTGACCTCGTCACGGGTAGCCATGTCGTATGCGATCGAACTAGGTTGAATGACTTCAGTGAGCTCATGGAGCATAACCTTAGTGCTCTCTTTTCGCAATGAAAGCTGCCTGCGTTGGGCCTCCAAGCTATCAATGCGATGCTGGGTCTGTTCCTCGGGAGACAAGTTCTTCAAGTCTACTTCTGGGGTTATCGTGGTCTCTCCACTAGAGACAGGTTTCCGTTTCGTACTCTTGATTGATGCTGCAGAGCTTGGAATTGGTCGTCTTCTCGTCATAATTGGTGAGTATTCCCACGAAGGCATAGGTGGAATATCACCATGACTGCTCCCCGGCGGCGTAGTTGCAGCTTCAGTTGGGGCATATGTCGTAGCGCTGAATCGACTTCCCCCCTCCTGAGCGAGATTCAGGTCGTGAAACATGTCGGAAAGGTTGGACTCGTTTGGTACGTCGAGAGTAGGCGTGTTTGCCCTACTGTCAGAAAACTGGCCTGTACCACGAGATGTTGCTGGGTTGATCCCTGGAATATCAATGATCGGACTGACCTTGCGACTCTCGGCGGATTCAACTTCGTGCTTAGTTTCTTTTGGTGAATCCTTCTTTTCCGGTGACGTATTTCTCGATCGGAGTCTAAACTGACCAGGTTTGCTTCGAAGCTTTTCGTCTGGAGGAGGTCCGGCGGTAATAGTTGTAATAGTATACGTATCGGGCCTAGTCATAAGATAGCCCTGCGTTGGATCCTCCGTATCCCGTTGTACATGTATAGGGTTTTTACCGCTTTTCGCGGTACCTTTTGTGTCAATTGGTGGAACTAGAGGCAAGCGCCCGCTAGCCCCTTTCCACTGTTCACGAGATTGTTTAGGTTCGCGCGTTTTCTGATCGCGAGTCTTGGTAAACTTTTGTAGCTTCTCCTTTCCAGCACTGAATAACCGAGTTGCTTCTTTGCCGACTTGGGGGCTCGCACTTCGTAGATCTTGGGGTGTGGTGTCTCGCGATGTAGTTGACGTGTCCGGCGCACCATAAAATCTTTGAGCACCGGTGTTTATCTGATGACTAGAAGCCTGCGATTGATTTCTAACATTGACAGACGTATCGTAACCATTTTTCCGAGGGACTGGTAACTGGCTTGCCCTTTGCTTGTGAAGTTCAGGGAAGAAATGCCCGTGGTCATCGATGGGTGAAACATCCGAGTGACGATGTGCATTCGAGACATCGACTGGACTATCAGGCGGGGATATGTTAGGTTGATCTTGTTCTTCTATAAATCTTGAGTACTCAGCATAATCGCGAGTGGGTGAGCTGGGTAGCATATTTCCATCATTAAATGGCACCCCGCGATCGTCGCGCGAGTAGATAGAAGACGTCACACGATCATTGTTTGGAGAATATACAGGCTCCCTGGGCAAATGTCAGCCTTGTAATATGAAGTGAGAGAGAGTAAGTATATGTACCTTGGTAGTGCTGGCAAGTCTTTCAGGATGCCCTTGGGGGGTAGAGGGTGGCCCGATGTTGTCTGCAGCACAGACTGGCCTTTTGGACTTGAAACAGCTGGATGCCCACTTGTCTGGAGAAGTTGATCGCGGTTTTTGTTAATCCTTGACCACATTTTGTCATGTGCTAATCGAGATCTGTCGCTACCAAGAATATGCAATGAGTAGAGGTTGGTGGGTGAAAGACAGGATTGGCGAATAAGTGAATAAAACTTTTTCAGAAAAGAAAGAAGAAGAAAAATGACCAAAGAGAAATGAAGAAAAAGAATCAATGAATGAATCAGGCTATGAATGACAATACAAAGAGATTCAGCTGTCTGACAGAGAGCAGGCAGAATATGAGCAATGTATCAGTAGATTATGTACAACAGTCGGGCAGATGCAGTGACAGAGACTGAGGTCTGACTGTACAAGCCAGCATCATCACAAGAGAACAGTCAAAAAGGAAGAAAGATATGAACTCTGACAGATCAGTCAGAAGAAGATGAGAGGGGCGCAGACCTGAAAGTTCAGGCATAAAATTAAACCTCCTTAAGGCTTAGATTAATGACGTTTCATGTTCCATTAATAGCCGCTAACCAATTGGGCGGCAGATCATACAAGATTAGCAGATGCTCTATTGTTGAGTCTGTTTGGAATATATTCACATAAATATGAGCAGTATCCCCTAAGAAATAATTTCTATCATAATTATCAATAGTCACTAATATTGCCGAGGTAGAGTCCGAGGATGATAGTGTGTATAGATTCCAGAAGCGGTTAGCGTACAGTTCGGAGATGACGGAATGGCCTTAGTACCTTAACTTAGTTCTTTAACTATGAGATCTCCCCACGTCAGCTACTTCAACATCACTTTCCATCAGCATCCAAGATAAGAATCAGATAGCCGTTGCTCTGTACAGATCAGAAAGATGGACTCTGGTATTATAGCCTCTCCTTCTATGATGCCATCAAAAGAAAACCAGCTGACTTCCGTTTAGACTTCGCCGACATACCACCACCGGCAGAGGTGTAAGTACTAACTTGACATTCCCGATGTCGCCGGTCTTTTTTTTTTTTTTTTTTTTTTTTCCCTTGAGTTATCAGAAACTAAATCGACATCGTTGCTACAGGCAGACAATCGCCACGCCTATCAACCTCATTCTCTTGTCGCTCTTCGTTGTCATCGCCTACTTTCAGTTTCGCCCCAAGAAACCCGTGACACTCCCCAAGGGCCCGGCTCCCGTCGTTTTCCGCACATTCACACCGTCGACGTTGCTTCCGTTCAATGGTACGGATAGCGCACCCGTCTATCTAGCTGTTCGGGGGAGAGTGTTTGATGTCACTCCCGGAAGGAACTTTTATGGACCGGTATGATCTCCCTTCTACGGCATCATCGGACAATACGGTCGACTATCTACGCATACTAATTAGTGATATGCAGGGCGGACCTTATGAGAACTTTGCAGGCCGCGACGCTTCCCGCGGCCTCGCATGCCAGAGCTTCGATGAAGAGATGCTCACAAAGGACCTCAAGGGTCCTCTCGACGATCTCAAAGATCTCGATGCCGAGCAATTGGAGAACTTGCAGGGCTGGGAAGAACGTTTCTTGGAAAAGTACCTAATTGTTGGAAAGCTTGTTGCCGAAGGTGATCCAGAGGCGCCAAGCTCTTGAAAAGCAAAGCATGATGCGAGAAGCTTTAGGCTTTGCTGCGGTACTATAGATTGATGTGATGTGTACGACTACCTGGACAACCGACTCTGCCTCTGTTCACATTTTACGAGAGTCAATGCATCTTGATCGCGAGGGTTGTGCTTTATTATCTTCATTTGCTCTTTTTGATGTCCGTCTCTCAGATTGGAAATATGGAGACCTAGGTATGGTTGACGAGCTGCAAATTTACGGACATACTTGATGTTTATATGGTATGGTTGAAATGGTGTACCATTCAAAAATTGACAATTCCTTCTTTATCTTACAACGTTCCAACCCTACCCAGTCTCCATGTCATCTGTGATATTTACATACATCATAGAGACGCTGAGGATCATCCCTTTTCCCTCATGACCTCTCTCCCCAACTTCTTCAAAAATCAACGCAAATAATTGGATATCCAGCAAATGTCCACCGTTCAAAACTGATTGCTTCTAACATGATTCTACATATTTGTTAAGGCTCCGCGAACAATTCCTCCTTTTCCTCCTTTTCCTCCTTTTTCTTCTCAGTCTCTTGGCTCATCTCTAGTTTAGTCAGAAGCTCCTCGCACGGCACGATGTCACGAAACTGTATTGCCAGCGACCAGACGATAGATATGCTAAGATAACAGTCGGTGGGGTCAGGTCGCGAGTGCCACACGCTCATTGCATAGAGGTAGATCATGACAGCGAGATCGGTGCATGGATTACAGAGCAGGAAATACCAGTTGATCTCGCAGTTCACGTGGGGGCAATGCTGGTTCATCATGAGTCGGAGGGCATTCATATCTCTGATAAGCATGAGGTTGAGTAAAGGCCAGAAATTGTAGATCATGGTGGCGGGCTTGATGATATTATTATTGTTGTTTTGGTGCTGGTTACATTGCGCCTCCTTTCGGACGCTTTGGTTTGTGACGAATGCCTTGATTTTGGCGTTGCTGGCCACGTCGTCAGGGTCATAGTCAACTATCTCGTGGTCACAGTCTTGTTCGTCGTCGTATTCGTCGCTGTCGAGCTCAACACCATTGGTCGTCCCAAGTGCAACAGGCATTGGATGATACTCCGCCTCAATCTCAGCTTGCATTCGAGCAATGCGCTGATACCAGTTCAACAAGACCTTCTCTCTGATCAAACCATCCATCCCAACCCAATCCAGCATCGTCTCAAGTGCGGAGACTTTCTGGAAGACGCGAACCCCAAGAACATATCTCGCATTTTGGATATCGATAGGTCGTTTAACTTGGAGATAGAATTTGATGTCCGGTACACCAGGATGTACTGTGAAGTTGATTGCAGTGGTGTCGATATCAGACAACCATATGGGCTGGATATACCTATATGGTGGTTTCTCAGGGACATAGGGAGGGTCATGAAGACCATGCTCTTTGAGTGATATGACAGTTTCAACAGACATGATCTGATCTTATGTCTCACAATCAGTTACACGAGGCTTGACACTGATAATACTGTGTTTGTGGTGTTGTTTCCAAAGGTTACTAAGACGACAAGAAGAGGAGAGTTGAGATTGACGATCAGAAGGGGTCACCAGAATGTTTGTGAGGTTGTGTGTGCAGGTCAATAATCAAGAAAGAGATACAAACAAGGACTGATTCATTTTACTGTCCGGAGGTCACGCGCCTGGTGTGATTTCTATCAATAGCTGGCCTTGAGCTTCAATTACATTCACATAGACATTAATTATAGGGAGTTCCCAACCACTTCTGGCTAACACGTCGACACACAGGTATTTTTCTGTATAAGATGGCTCGTCCCCTTGGGACATGTAAGCCAAGCTTTTATCTGACATAGATTGATCAGATCTTCAGTCTTTATGGATGATTAGACAAGTTCAGAGCTATCCTTCAACTGAGCAGACCATGAAAACAAAAAATTATATCAGGGCGCAATCAGCCACTAGCCCCAATTTGGAAACCCAGCCCTAAACTTAACAGAGAAAAGAAGGGAATTCCCAGCAGAATTTGGAGGTTAATGAAACAATGGCAATAAAAATAGTAGAGATAATGTACTACAGTGTTCATTCTTGATTATAGAATATTTTGTATGTCTGAATATCTCAAAACTAGACTACCTGACTAAAGTTGAATAACACAGCTTCGAATAGAAGAGAGTAAAAAGTGTCACAACGCCGAAAAGATAAAGCACCTGGTCATAACTACTGCATTCGTGGAATTGGTCATTTCGATCATCCGTGGTCTTATGGTGATCTACCTTCGTTTCTTATCACCGCCGCTACCACCACTGATTCACCTTGCTAGATTATCATTAATCCAACAAATCCAACAAATCCTTACAACTCCTCTCGAATCTTTTGAGTAGCTTGAGCTGCCTTGGTCTTGGCAGACTCAGCAGCATCTTGCCCCTGAGCACGACCAAGTGCAGCACCAAACTTCAGCTGATCAATCAGCCAGTAAGCACCCTCTTTGAGACGAGCAAAGATTGTCTGTGATGGTGTACTGGTACCGTAGTGGAAGTATTGAGCATTGCGGCGAACGGCAGCTCGGAGTTCATTGACGTGAGAACCCTGGTAAGTTGGGATACCGTACGAGTCAAGGTATTTCTTCAAGTCAGACTCAGACCACTCGTTGAATGTATCCTTCTTGGCTGCGGCCGTAGCTTGAGCGAGGTAGGAGGTAGCAGAAGCGTAGTGACTGCCACCCACCTTGGAGGCCTTAGCATATTGCTCTTGAGCTTGCTTCACGAGTTCGTCACGAGTAACATCGGCTTTCTTAGCGGCCTTGTTGTTCACAGATGCGAGATACTTCCTGTAATTTATGGTTAGCAGTCATAATCCATATATCATGTGGTACTCACTTCAGGTTGTCAATAGTCCAGGTGTCAAATGTCCAGGCACTGTAACCAGTAGCAGCCTTGTGCTTGTGAAGTCGAACCTTGGCAAGTAGCTCATCACGCTTGGTGTGTTGAGGTACTGGAACACCACGTGCATCCAGGAAAGCCTTCAAACGAGAATCGGACCACTGTGCAACAGCAGAATCGAATGCATCTTCAGCCTTGAGCTGCGCATCATCAGTTGCTCGAGCCCATTCGTTTCCGGCCTTGGAAGTGGCAGCACCATACGCGCTAGCGGCAGAAGCAGAAACAGAAGAGGCTTGGTTGGTCAGGTATTTTCGGTTCTTACGAGCTAACGCGATAAGCTCATTACGCTTTGATCCTTGAGGTACCTTGACACCGTTCTCGTCAAGGAACTTCTTCAAACGCGAGTCAGACCAGGCATCAAATAGAGCCTCACTGAGCGTTTGTTCAGTAGCAGCTGCAGAGGACGAGAGCGAAGCAGCAGTTTGCTTAGCGGCAAGACTGGCAAGGCGAGATTGGCGTCGAACGGCTGCAATGAGACGGTCACGAGTAGTGGGTTGAGGGACAGGCCATCCGCGAGCGTCAAGCCATTCCTTCAAATCCGAATCGCTCCATTCTGAGTACAACCAGTTTCCAGGATAGGCAGCGGTCTCGCCAAGTTTCTTTGCAACGGTCTCATAGTTCTCACGAGCAGCACGGAGTAGTGTGTCACGCTTGCGTGGCTGAGGGGCTGGGATACCGTGGTGATCGAGGAAAGCTTTCAATCGAGACTCAGTCCAGCTGTAAACGCGTAAGGTAAGCCGATGTTCAAATAAGAAGGAATGCAGGGGAACTCACCTGTCAAAGATCCATTCCTTAACATCTCTCAAGTGATCTGAAGCGGATTCGGAGGCATCGGCAAGAGGCGCCTGAACCTTGTCATTCCAGTTGCTCTTGACTAATTTCTCCAAGTCTTTACGGTCGGCAGGGGTTGGGTATGGGATATCTAAGGACTTAGGTTAGCAATCCTCTAATTTAAGAGCTCCAAGCTGTTTCAACTTACCATGGTCGTCGAGCCATCGTTCAAGCTCAGTCTCATGCCAGCTGTTGTACACTGCAGCAGCATCCTGTTAGCTCTTCTGTACTCAACATGTCAACAGCGCGCAACACGTACCAGACCTACTGAACCAGTTACTAGCTCCGACAGCTTCGGAGGTCGCTAGCACGACCAAAAGGCCGGTAGCCCAACGAATTCTCATCGTTCGAGTGTGCGTTTTCTCTTGAAGGTGTTGTTGTGGCAGTCGAAAGCTCACGCGTTAGTGACGTCGATGTCGACTAAAAGCAGCTGGCGCAATTAGTATAAGAATTGCTGAATGTTATAGTTAAACATACCTGTACAAATTATGAGTTTTCAGAGAGAGATGTAGGCGAGTATCAAGGTGAAGATTAAGGGGAGAGATAATAAACGTGGGGAGAATTTAAAGAAGCCAGGGATGATGAGCAGCGAGTGACGTATTGCGGGAAGCTGAGCTGCCACACAAAGCCTGGGGGTAGCCATACCGCAACATTACCATATATTTCCCTACCAGCCCCAAATTATTGCCAGTATATTACCGTATCAATACGAACGCAATACATCTCAGATCAGATCTTGGCTGCATTTCGCCTGGTACCGCTCAAATGACGCCAGGATTGTTGATTCCAGCACAATGACGCATTATTGGTAGCTGGAGATCCGTGTATCGCATTCTTAGTGTTTCATACAGTAGTTGTTTGTTTCGATGTATATACATACTATCAGATGCTGTGTCGTGAGCTCATACTCGACCAGCATACAACCCTAACCCTACATAACTCCCCCATGTTAAGGGTTTTTCCGCTCAGAAATTCTTTTGTAGGCTGCCTTAGGAGTATCTTATCTTCCATCGATCTGTACAGAGTGACGCATAACTATTCAGAACAACAAGATTGCCTAAACAGGAACTATGTTTCCTATTTAGGACAAAGAAGTAGAGTAGTAAATGCCAGCCAATCAGAGGCGAGTCACGGGTGGAGTGATCAGGCTGCTAGTCATCTTATCTGTTTATCGACCAACCTTGGGAGCTCCGTCTTACACCTCAGCCATCTCATCTGAACTGAGCAAGTATTCGCTTCTGTGATGTTCTCTGGATGCGGGAAGCTACATCCTAAAAGAAAATATATAACATCACAAAATGGGCTCGATATCCCCACAATGCCGTGACCTTGAGCTGCCTCACTACATGAACTTCAACTTCATCTTATCACTGTAGGTAGCTCTTCCACTCGCCGAGTCCAGAATCCTCCCATCAGCCATGAATAGATATGCTAACTACTCGACCTACAACAGTCTCATCCTCGTCGGAATCCTGCTATCATATCTGCCCCAACACATTCGTATCATTCGGTTACGAAGCTCATTCGGCTTATCGCCCTACTTTGTCCTCCTTGGCACAACGTCGGGAACTGCTGCGTTCGCGAATATATTAGTTCTTCCCCGGAGCGCGCATGATGCAGCCTGTTGTCGAGAAATATCGGGCGTGTCGTGTTTTGCGGGGTTGTTGGGTATATTTCAGGTGGGAGTACAGTGTTTATCGTTCTATGTTATGTGAGTCTACTGTCTGGAGATCTGGTCGTTCCTGTGGCTTCTACTAATGAGGTTTCTGTATAGTCTTTTTCTGTTTCTGATATACTTTCCTCGTGCGACTTCCCTGGTCGACCCTACGACATCTGCCGAATCAGAGAACGAACGCAACGGCAATGGTAACGCTGATATTGAAGACACCGACGATAAACAACCGAGCTATGCCACCGCTGTCGTCGTAGCACTCATTTGTCTCGTTCACGCAGCAATTGTGCTTATTATATCACTTGTCGTTGCCCTGAAATATCCCGACCATCTACAAGCCTGGGCCAATATCCTGGGTATCATGTCCGCCGTTCTCGCATCCATCCAATACTTCCCACAAATCTGGACCACATTCCGACTACAAAAAGTCGGTAGTTTGAGTATCCCCATGATGTGCATTCAAACACCGGGTAGTCTGGTCTGGGCCGCAAGTCTGGCCCAAAGATTGGGTGCTGAAGGCTGGAGTGCGTGGGGGGTATACGTTATTACTGCCCTGTTGCAAGGGACACTTCTTGTCATGGGAGTTTACTTTGAGTACCTGGGACCAAAGAAAGATCTCATTGAACATCCCTTTATGGCTGACGAGACGCAGCCTGCAGCCGAGGAAGTGCAAGATCAGCAAGCTACAGAGCATACGCCTCTGTTATCAGAGCAGCGTTAATGCGAGGATGCTTGAATATTCATATAGCTTTATAGGGAGATACAGCCAGACAATATATCAAACATAGTTCATAGCAAACGAGATCTGTTATTCATCAAACGCAAATTTCAATATATCACTGCCCCCTCGCACCACCCTGCTCCTCCGTCAAACTCCCCTCATTCCCCTTCCAAAACCCTTTACTCACTTTCCCTTCATCCGCAATCTGATTATAAGGCCTATCATACCTCTGACTCAACTCCCGATTGTGCTGTCTCACGTCTTCTGGTACATCATCTTTAGTATTACCCTGCTCATCGACATTAGGCGATTCCCGTCCTGAGCTTAGGGTTGGTCGAGCTTTGTTGGAGGGCTGCTTCTTGTGGTATAGATCATCTTCTTGGGTTTGTTGTGACTGGGGTTTGGTGCCGGTACTGGCGGATCCTTTGCTTGTGTCTGGGGGTGGAGGGCCTGTTTCGTTATATATTATTAAGAATTGAACTGGTATGTATTGGGAGTTATATGAGTGATGATGGACGTACCGGGATGCTCTAATTCGCGACTCTTGCGAGAGGCAGGTCGTTCTCCCTGTGGGTTGTCATCCCCTCCGTAGGATTCGTGGCTGTATCTCTTGAATATAGAGGATGCTGGACTTGCAACTGGTACTCTGCTGCCCAGAAGTACTGGTTTGATGGCGGTCGTTGACCGTGACATGCAGAGAATGGAGTGCATTTTTTAGTATCCTTTCGAGGATTGCTTTCAAAGTCGCAGTCTTCCAGTGGCTAATAATGGATCAATACCATGTCGTTGATGAGAAATACAAGTAAGAGTCAATAATAATGAGTATCAAGAGTTAGTTTGTAGAGGAAGAGCAGATTTAAAGAGTCGCCATCTCGACTTGGGGCTTGGGAGATGACGTCGACGTTGGTCATATTGTGACGGTGATCGACTCATAGCGGAGCCAACTATTTTATTGCTTACAAATAATACTAGACTCGATAGTTAGAAGACGTTATGATAGAATTAAACTGATTTCAGGACAAAAAATGTACCAACGAAACCTATGGTCGACCGCATGAACTTCGATCGCGGCCAAAATACCTCGGAGAAATAAGATCAAGACCTATGTATATACCAGAAATCCTCCCCCATTGAGCCTTGACGCTCTGCCCAGAAGTCAAAAGTAGTAATTATCAACGCCGTACTCACCCAAGGAAACATAAAGGAATGAAAATAAATCAAACGCCCAGAAGATTGCTAGTAAATCCGAAAGAAGACTCAGACAAAACTCCAACCCATGTTTCTCAAAATGTACTCCGGAAAGATGACTGTGTATCATAAACAGCAATCGTATCACGTCAAGAAGATGCGGAAAAGAAAACCGGATAACGCCAGGCAATAGCTATGCAAGGTTGTTTGATGCAAAAAATTCACTTCAGGTCATCCACTCGCAGTAGCATGGAGGAGGCCTTGTCCCGTCATGCGAACCTGTCGGTGCCGTTTCGTTGACATTGAAACGTCGACCCACGATTGGAGTTAAGCTGTTATCTGAATTGAACTGCATCTGCTGGCAATATGCTTGCGGCGCACTGGGGTTGATTCGGTTTTCCTTGACCTTAAACTTCCTGGGATACACACCGGCAATACTATCTCGTTCATATAAATCTCGTTTGTGTGAGCCGGTTGTAGATGTGGTGGACGACCCCGTCGTGGGTTGCGCGGCTGCGCTCGTCATGTGAGAGCCCGTTCCGTCTTGAGTTTGATTTAGATATATGAAAATCTCAATTTGTGTCTCGTTCCACCAGCAAAACCACGGCTTCGCGTACGTTGTGTCCTGAGTCTGTCCTTGCCCATAACCGTTACTGGAAGTGTCCCTCTCACTAAGTGAGCGTTTGGCTTGCATTTCTGGGGAATCTTGGACGATAACGAGTTTATTGAAAAGTGACTGAAAGAACAGCGCCGGCCCGAGTTGAGGGTCTTCTTTATCAATCATGATGCTGAGATGTTGTTTTGGGGGACTGATGTCGTAGGGTAGCTGAGCACCATAACTGAAATGGCCATTCTTAATGTTGGGCTGCTCGATAGTAATGCTACTGGACATAACAGATCCTTGAATATCAATAGCAAGCGGGTTCATAATTTGACAGCTCCAGGATTGCATTTGGCCAGACGTGCCGACACAGAATTTGGACACATTTGTAACAACCCAAGGAACCTGATAATTGCCTGTCGGAAGAGCAGCAAACCCTGTGGGAGTAGCAGTATATGGTGACACGTCGGATGTGTAAGTGACGGTGACCACGCTCGTCGAATGTGAGGCGCGCGCAGAGGCTGCAGCCTGTGCTCGATGCGTGGCCGCCTTTTCGCCCAATACACCACCAATAGCACCGCCCAAAAGTGCACAGATTATCATGGCCATACTTACCATTACCACAAGCCAGACTGGGGCGCCGCAGCATCTCTGGCGCCCCTTTTGACTCAGTTTTTCGTCCAGTGACGCCGGCGCCACTAGAGTTGATGAACGTTCGGTTGGTGTGCTTGGGGACCGGAGTGGTTCTGAAGAATCAGCATTGACCAATGTCCCTGAAGACGCATCTGGCCTATTGTGGGGTTCGTCTTGATATCTCTCAAAACGTCCCCTCATATCACTTGCTATGCTAGCTGGACCACGGCCTGTCGTCGGCCGAATAACACCGTCGGGATAGCGGGAATACGGTGGAAGCTGTTCCAGATGGCCATCTGGGCCTATAATATCCCCGACATCATCTGCTCGTGTCGTTGTTGCTTGAGGCTGTATCCCACGGGGAGGGAAGCCTACTGGAATGGGCTGATCTCCCAAATCTTCTTCATAATCAATGTTTTGTGGATACATAGCGTAGGGATGCTGAGGTGCATTTTGGCCTCTCAGCGGACTATCGAATTGTCGAATTGTTGAAACTGTCGCAACACTTGGCGACCGACCGACCCCGACCTGTGGATACATTCCATATGGATGACTAGGACCGGTAGCGCCGCGATATGGGCTCATCGCCCTTGGTACTGGAGTATAACCCGATCTGGTTGAGGTAGTCGAAACTGTGGACTGACGATTCAATGAGGTTATCGTCTTCCGAATACTCGAGGGCCGAGGACTGTCGGCAAATGATGATGTCGGTTGGTCCGCAAAAGGATCAGGGTTAATTCCCTCATGTGACACTGAAGATGCCTGTGACTGTCCACTGGTAGTCCTGCCTAGAGTCAGCGATTCATCTCGCTGATGGTTCGAGACCAATGGTGGACGATTCGACTGCTGATTCAACAGGTTCGCCCGTGTGCTATTTTCGGCCACTGGCCTGGGTGCTTCGTAATGTCGAGGTTCAATAGTCGAGGTAGAGTCGAATGATGAAAAGGACTGGGCTCGTTGATGGTTTGAGAAGAGAGGTGCGTCAATTGAGTCGATCGAGTAGTCGTCTGAAAACACGTTGGGGTTCGACGGTTGATGAGCATGGGAGGGACGGAATAGCGAGCCATCAGCAGGTACAAGATCTGACATCTGAGGCCGACTACTGTCTACACTATCCCAAGGCGCATCATTGTGCCGAACCATGGTGATTTGCGAGCCCCAATGGGGGGCTCTCGGTCTTTTTGGGGCTTTTCCCGGGTGGCTCTCAGTGTCGCGGCAGTGCCAGCCGGCCGCGTAAACAACGGTCTGATACCAAATGAAGCAACGACACTTGTGAATATCAGAGGAATGATATCACAGAGAGGCGTTGGATTGTAGATGTCGGCGGATGATTGTCGTAGGAGGCTATAGGGTGTCGTGGTCGGTGGTATGGAGGGAGGGATTTGTTACATTGGCTGAGAGGAGCGATCAAGCATCACGTGATTCGAGGCTTAGCTACCTAACTAGGCCCGTTTGGGATGAGAGTCAATTTAGACTGTTTTCTGCTTCATCCTCGACTGCTCCTTGATAACCTCGTTGATCTCATGCTAATGATCAATTATGTAAGGTTATTGTTGGCAAAAGTGCTCATGTGGATTGAGGGGATATTCTAAGATCTTCTCTCATCTAATTCGCCGAGCACTTTCCACCTATGTCGGGATACTTGATGAGTGAAGAGAATTTTAGGGTTTATTTTTTATTCTTTCGATCGGGACATCACCAAACTCATCGAGTTCCTAGAGAAAAAAGGGCAGGACATATATTCAGTATCTGGTGTTTCGTGGATATTCTGTTCCTTGCTTCTCAGCTCTGACCCTGGAACATCTATACGGTACTAAGTTTATTGTGTTCGAGTTCTCATACAGTAGAACTTGGGCTATAACTTAGTTAACGAGCAGAAGCCCCTCCGCATCTAAGTCAATATCTAGATGTAGTTCGATCGAGGGACATTGAGCCTTCAAATACAATACCTATTTGATGAATAGTATTTGAGTACTCTTAGCAGCTATATTGAACTATTTCAAATTGACATTTGACATTGGTTTGGATATGGAGAGATCCCCCAACTAGGCACGCTCTCTTTCGCACTGTTGAAACTTAGTGGCGCATCATAGTTTCGTTAATTATAGCATTCATCCCGAGGTCTCGGTACCTGACACGCTTAGCATTTTGACATGTTCAACTCCACGCCTGACTCTCATACTCCTATGATAATTAAGGCTTCAGCATTGAGTAAGTCAATCTTAATGGAGCCATCATCCCCGGAGCCATGGACATTGGTCCAACATACGATCCCGGCATTTCAATCACGCGCTTATCGGCGCGCTGTCCGCGATCCTAACAACTCCAGACTCTATTTGCATGTGAACGAGTATCGCATCACAGACCCAGGGACAACTGAGCCAAAGGGAATAACAATAATATTTGCTCACGGCCTAGAATCCACAAAGGAGCAATACGAACCGTTTTTCAGTGACCTACTCAAGACCGTCCGTTCGGGAACTAGCATCAAGGCCATTTTCGCTGCAGATATTTACAACCATGGACAATCATTCTTGCTCAACAAAGATGAAATTGGTGACGAGGCCGAATGGCTCGATCCGGGACGTGACATTGTGCAGATGATCAATCATTTCCGCTCTCAAAAAGATGAAAGTAGAGCATATATGGCACCCCCGTTGGTTGGCATGGGACAGTCCTTTGGTGCAGTACACGTCCTGGCTCCAGCAGCTTGGCATCCACGCCTTTTCCATGCATTGGTATGTATTGAGCCCGTTGTCGAAAATGGGTCGTGGCATGATGACGGCCAGGGTACGCGAGCTTCTACCCAGTTCCGATACCGATTACATGAAATGCAAACTTCATGGCGAAACATACGTGAAGCAAGAGATTATTTCGCCAAGTCTCCTTACTATGGAGCATTTGAGCCCCGAGTCTTCGAAAAGACAATCAAATATGAGCTGTGGCGTCCGGATCCCATGAGTGAACGCGTGACGTTGGTAACGCCGATATTACAGCGTCTGGTATGGTATATGAAACCCGATCCACCGTATGAAGGAATTGCACCAACGGAGGATTATGCCACTCGGTCCGAGAAGAGTATCCTTCCCGGTGGGTTTTATAGGTCCGAATGCGACAGAATCAAAGACCTGATGCTTGGCATCCATTGCAAGACTTTTTATCTCTGGAGCAGGAACGGGGATTGGATTAGCGATGCAGGCTATCGAAAAAGATTACTTGATTGTACAGGTACAGGACGAGGTGGGGGTGGTGGAATATCCACAGGACAAGTTACACACGCCTTTGTGGAGAAGGGAAGTCATGCATTGAACTTTGAGAATCCGTATGGAACAGCTGTACAAGTGGCGAAGTATCTGGATAGTATATGGACGGACTGGCTTGATGAGGAGGTTAAGAGACTACAGGAGCCGGTGCCGAATGCGGTCGAATTGCCCAAGGAGTTAGTTGAGAGATTGGATAGATATCTTCTCGGGATTAGGAAGGATACCAAGAAGAGAAGTAACTTATAGATTCCTTGCAAAGAAGCTTGTCCAAAATGCAAATAACATTCATTCCGTGAAATGATAGCCACTGTATGGCACATTGTTTAGTATTTATACAATAATGTCCCTTGTCTAGTTAACGAATATTCTCCGAATGAGCCGGGGTTCACGAAGATGTTTTCTCAACTGAAAAGTGTCACTTGGATCTGTTTCCACGTCTCCTTCGGACGGAGAATCGAACGGCCAAGTCTTCTCATGTAATGCCTTGCGATTCTCATCCCCTTCGGCTAAACTGAGGTACTGTTGCCGATATTCTTCGCTCAGTTCTTGCGCACGCTCGAATTCCTCCGATCTGACACGACCATCACGAGGTATTTGAACATTCTCTTGTACGCTTTGAATCATATTAAAAAGCAAATCAAGCTCTTGTCGAGCGTACTTCTCTTTGGCGTGGTTTTGCAGTTCCTGAGGACTGAACTGGCCTAACTTCGGTATGGACTCTGTGGATACTTTTTTCGACTTGCGGGTAGCAATAAGAGATTCACGTAAATCGAATAAACCGCGTCTATTCCATGCCCCAAATATATTTGATATTGGGCCAATTAGAAGTTCGTACTCTTGCGGATCGCTAAATATGCGTTCATAGCGGAGAGGATCCGATTCCTTGACAAGTTCACGATACCGCTCTTTTGGCAAAGGTTGCATTCTGTCATCCGATATCGTTTGGAATTCCGAATCCAAAAAAGGGGGATATGGGCGTTTCAGTAATGGTGGGGATACCACTGTAGATTGCCATCCTGTCAAACTGGCAATCTTTTCCGTCTTTGGATCAATGAATATATTATCCAGACTGAGATTCGGGTGAGAAATTGTACATGGGTCATTTTCGAACTCCGGTTGAATCAACTGCTCTTGCAGGGCAGCGTATTTGAGGATCAATTTCACGTACTCAGAAGGATCTTGCTGAATTTTCATTGATGTAATATAGTTTTCTTTGGCCCAAGGACTGTTTAACATGTATCTTCTCTCGTTTCTTGATAGAGCTTTAGCATAGTGAAGGAGGTCGGTGACTTTGGATGCCGCCAGTTAGCCTATGAAAATCAATGTCGTCGAGGATACAGTATCACTCACAAGGACCTCGAAACTGTTTCGAAAGATCACCAGGACCCCGATAAAGCTTCCGGTCTGTCGAAGATCCGATGGCGTATTGACCATAAAACTGCTTTGAGCGCAATTTTAAAGCATCATCCCTGTTCAAAATGGCGTTCGGCGAGCTCAGTTTGGTACAGAATAACCGCTTCGTCGATAACCAGCGTTCCATATAGAGGCTGCCGTGACTCGAGAATTTCAGACGCGTTAACTCGGACTCTAGGTGAACAACTTGCTCAACAATTTTCAATTGAGCTCGGCGACTCATGTTAAACCAGTGGTTACGGAGTGGTTCTCCGGCGGCCTTTGCTTCAATAATCCAATCCGCTCCCACGGTATTGCGGCCACGGAAATCCCAGTCCCACACCGTAGGCATTGGAACATTGCAAGTACTTTTGATAAATCGTCGAGTAGCTACCTCTGATGCCACAGTGAAGTAATTGCTACCAGCATTTGGATTTGGTAATCTTGCGATTAGCTCATCTCCATCGCTCATTGTCAAGAGGAAAACTTTGTTGTGGTCTCCTTCAACAAGTTTTAGTATTTTGATACCTTTTAAACGAGGTCAGCACGCATCATCGAGATTGAGAAAGAAGCTACGTGCATTTTTGGCCATCAATACGTCCTCTCTTGGCTTTGAGAGCCCGCTCTATCAATGCCGCGAGATTAAAGGGTCGATATCGTACATCCTGCTCTTTGGCATCGTTGCGTCTGAGGTTTTGATGTTAGCTGGAATCAATATTATAGAAAATTCCTTAGCACATACAACCAGCGATGTCGTTGATATCTGAACAAGTCGTCTTCTGTGATTGGTTGCTCTGCGCTCACCATCAGCCACTGTACTTCATGTCCGGTAAAATGTCTCCCCAGAGGTAGACTAAACGAACCTGTACCATCCTCAAGAAGTCGGAAAAGAGCAGGATTGGAAGTAGTACTAAGACGGCGGCTACACATATAGAAAGGCCGCCATCGCGCTCGCACCGGAACCTGTCGCGATGTACATAACGTGGCGGCGAAATAGTTGCTCATGACCGCATTTCTGTGGTTGATTTTGAATACACCATTGATAGAATAAAGTTGCCGCAGTATGAATATGTCGATGGAATTTTTCAACGCTCAATATTGATATCAACTGTGTGTTCAAGATCAAAATTATTCTATTGATTGCCGTTTCTCTGTCCAGAAAATTGTAAGGAGAAATACCGCTAAGCTGGTTTCGGACATATATTTGCGCTAAGCGACTTTGGGCTTACAGTGTCAACAACTTAAAATCCACGACTTTTCTTCTTCGCTTCTCTATTTTCTCTAGAGTATCATGTCTACAATACAATCCATGCAACCTATGTGATAGAGAAATGAATATTGACGTAATTAACAACAACTACAGCACGAAATGCTCCATTCTCTTTCGAATCCTCTCCGCCACTTTCAGGATAAAACCTTCCCTGAACGCAGGAGCGATGATTGATATACCAAACGGCAGACCGTCAATATGTTCCGCTGGTATGGCGACGGCAGCTAGGTCAAGAATATTGACCGCACTTGCGAAGATACCCAGCTTCAAATTTGGCACTATTGGGTCTTGCTCAACTTCCGCAACGGTAGGATGATTTGGAGCGGTGGGTACAACAAGGATATCACACTTGTCGAACTCAGCTTCAATGACTTTCAATAGTCGTTGAGCTTTGTGGACATCGCGGAACACATCAGTTGCTGTCTTCGAACTTGCCGAATCCAGAACTTTCTGTGTTACCGGATGCAAAGATATCCTCTTTGCTTTGCTGCCCAGTAGTTCCTGCACCGCAGCAGTTCTTTCGGTGACAAGGGCACTTTTGTACAGCAAATCAGACGCGGCAAGATATGCTGACCAGTCAAAATTGACTTCTTCAATATTGGCCAGACCGCGAACAAGAGAAAGGACCTTGGCAAACTGTTCTTGATACGCTGGAGAAAGTGCGCTTTCCAGTATATCATTAGGAGGAAAGGAAACAGTATATAAAGACTCTCCGTGAAGCACAGATCTGCTGTTCAAAGATGCTAGTGACGGTGAGCTCCGAGCATAAGGGTCCTCTGGATCGTGTGCCTTAGCCGCAAGCCATGCAATTCTTGCATCGGAGATCGTACTGGCGAAGAAAGACACACAGTCAAGTGTCCTGCATGCGGGTAGGACACCGGCTGTGGATACTGTACCCTTGGTAGGTTTTAGCCCGACGATATTGTTGAACGAGGCTGGAATGCGGCCAGATCCTGCTGTATCTGTTCCAAGGGCGAACGAGACGTGCCCCAAGGCGACAGCAACAGCGGAACCCGAACTTGAACCACCTGAAATGTGTCTAGGACTAAATGTACAATAACACGCTCCATAGGGCGATCTGGTGCCGACAAGCCCGGTTGCGAATTGATCGAGATTTGTCTTACCAATGACTATAGCTCCGGCAGCTTCTAGTTTTGTCACAACGAAAGCTGACTTTTCCGGGACATATTCGAATCCCGGACATGCGGCAGTCGTGGGCAGTCCGGAAACGTCGATGTTATCTTTGACAGCAAATGGTACACCGAATAGAGGTAAATTACAATCACCGGATCGTTCTAGGTCTTCTGCTCTGCCCAAGAGGTTCTTGGATGATGCAAGGCTAAGCCAAACTGCCGAATGTTGCGGCTTATCTGCGCTTATCTTTTTGAGGACATGTCTAACAACTGTGACAGGAGAAAGACCGCTAGAATATGCATTTTTAAGTGCTTCTATACTCATCGAACCGTCCCAATCAAGTGCCAAATTTTTGGGATGAGGCGGGAACGATGACAAAGCTGCAAGTAAAGGCTGTGACTCGCTAACAAACCCGAATAGTCCTTCCGAAAAATGGATCATGTCTAACGACGCAGATTTGAATGTTGACACGAACCCATCTGTGCAGTCCCTAAGGATACAAGCGTCAAATCCTCGGTCATTAGCTTCCCGAACGGTAGTGGTCACGCAACATTCCACGGTGACACCAGCTACAATCAAGTGTGTGATGCCTCGATCGACCAGATGCTCGTGTAATGTCGTAGAGAAGAAACTGCCCTTCCCCGGCTTGTCAATCACGAACTCTCCGGCCACTGGCTGCAACTCGTCAATAATATCATGACCGTATTCTCCTCTGGTGAGGAGCCTTCCCATTGGGCCAAGATCTCCAATGACCATCGAGTGACGAGTATTGGGAGCGCGGGCTTGTCTCAATAACTTGGGCGTAGGCAAGTCTCTCAAATCCGGCCGGTGGCCTTCGCGCGTATGAATTACATGAATCCCACGCTCGCGGAACTTACGCAATACCTCCAACGTCGGCTTGATAGTGGCTTGCACCTTTTCCACTCCGGCATCCCCTGCTTGTATGTAACCGAAGCCATCCTTCAGCAGGAAATCGCGTTGCATGTCAATGATCACAAGCGCCGCTGCCGAAGGATCGAACTGAAAGGCGTACGGCTGTGCTTCGAACGACACTACCTCGCTGTCTTCAGCCCCGCTGGGTATTCTCTTGATTGACAGAGTAGCAGCCATATTTTGTCGTCAGTCACGAGGAAGATAGAAGTGTCATCGATAATGTCAAGGTGTAATAGGAAGAAGCGAGAACATGCAGCAGCAGACCGACTAATCTTTTAGATGTTTATTCGTCCTTCGTCGGGCTGGCCGCGGACTCCGGCCGCTTCCTTATCTGCGAGTGATAGCCTATCTTATCGCCCCTTCTATCGCCAACCCCGCAGGTCACTGTCAACTGCAGAACTTCATCCTAGAAGTCATCCCCTCTCTATCTTTATGTCCTGTCAACTGCTATCTGCTCTAGTCTATCTCGTCTAGCTCAGTGTCGTCAGGACCGGAGAGCAGAGTTCGTTCTTTGACTGACATCGGTCTTCGAAGCGATTGGGTAACCTGCTAAAAAACATCCACATTTCAGTTAAGCTACCTTCTATCAGGCTGATAATCGTTGGAGATATCGGTGTAGACCTCATACATATTCCTGTTGAGGATGAGAGCATGACAAAGCAGAAATGTGTCACCCTTCATGGGTCTTCAAGCTGCTTGACCTGCCAAGCTGCTGGTCTATCTGCATGCACTTTCTTACAACCTCCCCCGCCAAAACGACGTGCTCCTGCGGGGAGTACAAGGGAATCGACTTCTAAAAGGATCCGTGGGCGGCGTCCTTCAGAGGAGCTGTCATCGGCATCAGCCTCTGATTCCATGTTAGACCAAGACCTCGACTACCCTAAGGAATCAATACTGACAAAAACATTGGGTCTGGAAAAGAGCCGCTTCTCAGAACTCATTGGGCCCGGTGGCGAACATGACTTTCACTTATTGCACACAGCTTATGGTCATTCCAAGTTACAGGCCTCGGGAGATGGCGATTATACAACAACATCTCGTGGAATGCTCGGCCCGATGGCGATGCGAAGGGTCCATAAAGATGTCTTTTTCCAGATGATACCCGATGCAGAGGTCTCCCAGGGTCTCCGAACAGAAGATACGTGGGATGAAGTCGACGTCGAGGATGTTGAGTCTCTTGTCCGCCCACACGGTGAGACATTGATCAAGCTGTATTTTCGCATTGTACATCCGTCATTTCCCATTTTGCATAAATATGTGTTCATAGAGAAATACAACCGGACATATCGCGAGATTACTCCACATCTTCTAGCCGCTGTCTATGCGTTGGATGTTTGCTGGTGGGCTTATGATCCGGATTTGCTATTACAAGAAAAGATCAACGAGGCGGCGTTAGTAAGAATCGCTCATCAGGCCGTGCAGGATGCCATGCACCGCCCACGTCTGAACACTATACAGGCAGGCCTTCTGCTTTTACAACGCCATCGCAATCCATTGTTTATGGATAATTCGTGGATGTGGTCATTCACTTCTTCTCTATTGGGCTTGGGTCATCATCTTGGACTCCACCTCGACTGCTCAAGCTGGGATATTCCAGACTGGGAAAAAGGTCTCCGGAAACGACTAGCCTGGGCTCTTTTTATTCAGGACTCATTCTCAGCACTCGTTCTCGGTCGGCCTTGCCTCATTTCTGAAACGTCGGATTGGATCGTGAAACCGTTGCAGGGTACCGATTTTTCAGAAGGTGCTGGCGATGAGGAAGCCAGTGATCAGGTTGGAAGCGTTAGTATCGAGAATGGCAAAGCTCTATTCATTGAGCTAGTGAGTTTGAGCCGCATCACAGCACGGATGTTGCGTGAGCTCTACTCAGTCCGATCTCTTGCGGAAGTACTAAAACCTCAGGATGTGCTTGATGTCGCAAAACCACTGGGAACGGATCTTGCTCGATTGCTCAAAAGTCTTCCTGACGTGTTGAGTCTGGAGAATATAGAACCTGGAAGATTATGTGTAAACGGCTTTCTCCATCTTGCTTTGCATGCAACAACTGCAGCACTGCACAGACGCCTTCTTTGGGTTATACAGGATTCAAGGTCTGAGGTCGATCTACAGTTTGTCCAATTCATCCGAAAAATGCTTCGAACTAGAGCGCATAGTCTAGTTCAATTCATATCTTGCCTTCGCCCTGAACATATGGAAGCTTTCTGGTTCTTTGCTGCTGGTGGATGTGCGACTATACTGGGAGGGTTTCTAGGCCTCCTCCGTACTACAAGTGTTACTGCGGAAGAATCAGAGGACCTACAAAGTCTTATGAAAGAGTTTGAGTGGCAGCTTCAAATGAAAGCAAAAACGGGTGATTGGGTATCTTACACATTGACTAGACTTCGAGCACTAGGTTGGGATGAGTGGAAGAATTCCAGGCTTGTGTTTCCAGAGTCCGATCCCAACACATCTGCTGGAAACACAAACGAAGATACAGAGCAATTTAATGACATATCCATAGGAATAGATGAGAGTATCACTATTTCGCCCCTTTCAAACCAACCACTTCCTGCACCTTTCATCGACCTTGATAATATCATATTGTGGAACGCTCCTGATTCGAATCGCTCTGCTTATGAATTTATGGCCTTTAGAACGTGACCGCCGACCACAGATACTGTCTGTTTACTCACAGATTTGTTTATTGTCAAAGATACCCAAAACGTCCCTGCAACTTTTCAACAAACCATTTTTACTTCCTTTCTCTGCTTATATACACGTGCTTCGTTTTATACACGAATTGGTATTGCTAGCTGGCTTTCCATCTTCACGCGTTGCCTCTCATATTCAGCTTTATCAAGTCGGCTGATCGCAAGCCGTTTCCAAACATACAGACCTGCTGGAATGGGATCATATTTGGCGCCCTCAGTAAGGCAAGTCTCTAGAGGTTTTATCACTGTATTATAACTCGGCCCTATGAAAACGGGCATTGAGCAGCGTTCTCGGCCTGTGATATTGAGGACACGGTGGATGGTGCTTCGGAAAGTGTCGTTGGACCAACGAGCTAGCATATCACCAATATTCACGACAAAGGTACCCTGGATAGGAGGAGCCAAAATCCATTCACCTTTGGGATTGAGGACCTGCAAAGCTGGCACATCACTCCCTTGGCAAAGAATTGTGAAACATTCAATATCGGTGTGAGCACCTATACCGAAAGGCGGATCGAGGCCCTTGGGGGGCTGCGGTGGATAATGTAGGATTTTGCCCATCGAACCGGATGTCGCATCATCTCGTCAAAGTATGTCTCTGGTAACTCAAGCACCAAAGCAAACAAGCGGATCAACTTTCTTGCCAACTTTAGTACGTGACTATAGTACTGAATTATATCACAACGCATTTCCGGTTTAGCGTCGGGCCAGAGATTTTGACCACTTGTGAGGAAATTGTTGGCCTTATCAGCGTCAACTGGCATCGTCGTGGCAGTGTCCTCGTTCAAGAAATCCATATCCGGTGCATAACGCCAACTGAATGCTTCGTTCAAATCCGGCTTTTTCCTCTCGTCCGTGTAAACGTTTTGAAATCCTTCATATCCACAAAGAGCTGCCCCATTCTTGAAATGTACCTGCTGCTTGAGCTTGTCATCTAAGGCGAAAAATTCTTGCGCCGTGGAAAATACTTGATCAATGATATTCTGTGGTATGCCGTGATTGAATATGTAAAAGAAGCCAACTCGAGTGCATGCATCCCGTAGACTCTCAACCACTTGAGCCTGTGGGTGCGTGAGATCGATGATTGGAATTTCGTCAAAGCTGTCCGTTTGTTTGACTTCATCTGAGACAATATTGTAGCTTCTGCCGGCGAAACTAGTGAACGCCATCTTGACTGATGTACAATATGGACTGAGTATTCGACTGAGGACTTCCGAAGATTTTTAGTTCTTGTTCATGAATAAGTATATTGTAGAGCTAGCTATCCAGCACGTCTTTCAGATTCCGGCCGCTAAAGACGAGATCTCCTTCTCTGATTGTTGATAAACCAAAATAATGTAGCTTGATAGATCGGCTTCCATCCCGCGGGATGTGAGGATAGCCCCGCGGGACAGGTGCTTATCTCTTGTACTTTCTTGAAAGTAGACAACCACTGTCCCGAGTTCTGGTTATCTTAGGTCTTCTAGCCCCAGCCGAAGCTTCACGATAAGATTAGTCCAGACTTGTCGATAAGTTAAGATGTTGATCTACGTGCTAAATGAGTTCGACCTATGTATCTCCTCTACTCTACAGGAAGTTATATCTACTCATTCTCCTGCACATTCCAGCATGTCCTTACCCTATTTTATTCAGAGCTGGTCGTGGGAAGGACTTATTTATTTTTGGGTATCTCATTCGGTACTTATTCTTTGAGGTGATAGCCCACCATGCCTAAGAAGTCCGTTTCAGAGACTTTCCATGACGCCAAAAGCCATGCCAAAAGCCATGCCAAAAGCCATGCCAAAGCAACTTCGATTAGGGCATGGGAGCTTCCGAAGCAACCGACAACCTTCGCGCCGGAAGGTACATGGACGAATATCGACAACGATGTAACGCCGATCGAACGTCGGATCTGGGGCCATTGGGCACTCCTCGGCTACTGGATGAGTGATATATTGTCTGCGCAATCATGGGAGGGAGCATCGACAATCATATCAGGCGGCCTAACCTATAGAGAAGCTCTGATATGTCTCATCATGGGAACGTTCATTATTGCCATCCCGATCTCTCTTAACGGCTCTATTGGTACCAAATTGCGAGTGCCCTACCCAGTTGCCGCTCGTTCAAGCTTTGGCTATGCGTTCTCGAGAGTGCCGGTCGTTATCCGGATGGTAACTGCCCTATTCTGGCATGCAATTCAGACATACGCTGGGTCAACTGCAATGACTCAAGTTATCAGGGCTATCTGGCCTTCGTATCTGCAAATTCCCAACCATCTTCCACGAAGCGCAGGAATCACTAGTCAACAACTCCTTTCACATTTTATATTCTGGACCGTACAGCTTCCATTTCTATTGACACCACCGCATAAACTACGATGGTTCTTCGTGTTCAAGGGCGTCTTCGTAACCTCGGCCGCGGTGGTACCGTTATTGGTATGTGCAAGTTGGCTGGTGGCAGTGGTGACATTTGGGACCAAAGGCCGCAATACACAGGATCAACTCGCTCATGGATGATCTTATCTTACATGACTTCTTTGAGCGGAGGATGGGCTACTATGGCGACGAACATCCCCGACTATACACGATACCTGAAGAAGCCCCGTGGAATCTGGCTTCAAGCCCTACTTGTCCCCGGTATCTGTACATTCATTGGTGTACTAGGCATTATCGCAACAAGTGCTAGCAAAGCTCTGTATGGTCAATACATCTGGGATCCTTTGGAGCTTGCAAGTCACTGGAATGGCCCCGGTGGACGAGCAGCGGCATTCTTTGTCGGTCTCGCCTGGGTTGTTGCTCAAATCGGTGTCAATGTATCTGCGAATGTAATTTCATTTGCCAATGACTTGACTTCCCTATGTCCACGCTACATAAACATTCGACGTGGAGCCGTCATCGCGACCATAATTGGTGGTTGGGTCATGGTTCCATGGAAGATTGTCTATTCTGCAACAAGTCTCATGAATTTCATGGGCGCATTGTCTATTTTCCTCTCTCCTATTGCTGCCATATTGATTGCAGATTTCTGGGTCGTCAAGGGTCAAGCCATCGATGTTCCTGCTCTGTACCGTCCGAAAGCGCGCTATCGCTATGTGAAAGGTTGCAATTGGCGTGCAGCTGCAGCCTTGCTTCTTTCGCTAGGACCTAATCTGCCGGGACTCATCAATGCAGTGAATCCTAATATCAACATTGGAGGAGCTGCCAAGATATACGCTTTTAATTACTTATGGGGTTTCTCAAGTGCTTTTGTTGTCTATGTAGCATCTAGTTATGTTTTCCTGGCTACTGATACTCTTGTTCCTTTCACTATCCATGATGATGGAAACGTCATTGTTGGGCAGCATGTATCAGAGAAGGAGATTTATAGTCAAGAGGCGTTGCCAGAGAAACAAGTCTAAGGTCAAATATATCAAGCCGTTACTTAGTTCTATTGGTATATCTTGGAAATAATAATTAGTCGCATTAATAGTAAATACAAGCAAGGAATTTCATCCATGGGAATAGAAAAACATGAAACCGTGATATATTGGGGGTTAACAGTAAGCTGATTTCCGCAATCGCTCAGTAAATTAAAAGAAAATTCAGAAAATAGTGAATGGGTCGACAATATAGTCATTTTACATCAGTGCAGCAGCAAAGAGGACTGCAACACCAGCACCGGCAGACAGGCCCAAAGGAATGGAGATGCCAGGAGCAGCATTGCCACCGCCGAGTTTATTACCAGAGTCGGGAGGAGTAGTAGGGGCTGATGTGGCGGAGGTTGATGTTGTGGATGAGCTGCTGGCGGAGGAGCTGCTGCTGCTGGAAGTTTGGGTAGATGAGGATGAAGAGCCTTCGGTAGGGAGTGAACCAATTGAGCCTAGGCCGGTAGAGGTGGGTTTAGGTGAGGTCGAAGTGATACCAGTGAGGCCAGAGCCAGAGCCAGAGCCAGAGCCAGAGCCAGAGCCAGATCCGGAACCAGAACCAGAACCAGAACCACCAGAGGTGCCATCAGGGCAAGAGGTTGTTGGGTCAGAAGGATTGTAGCAAGTGACACCGTCCGAGCATTCTTGATATCCAGGTCCGAAGCAGCTCTGGCAAGTAACACCTTTACCGTAGCAGTAGTCTGATCCTCCAGCAGAGCCGCCTGAAGAGCCGCCAGAACTACCGCTGCCACTTCCGGAGCTACCACTTCCGGAGCTACCACTTCCAGAGCTGCCACCACTAGAGCCACCCGAAGACGAGCATGTGCTGGTTGGGTCGGTCTTATCGTAGCAAGTGACGCCGTCAGGGCACTCAGTCCAGTTGCTTCCGAAGCAGCTGGCGCAAGTTACGCCATAACCGCTGCAGTAGTCGGAGTTTCCGGCGGAGCCAGAGTTGCCGGAGGACTGACGAGCGAAAAGCTGAGGAGCACCGCCCTTATGGAGGACTTTCTCTCCTGAGCCGCGGGCGAGAATGTAGCGCGGGCTTTGGCCGACTTTGTACAGAGTCTTCTCTGTATCGGGGTTAGGGGCAGCAATTGCGGCAGCGGACAGTGCGATGATGAGGGAGATATCAGTAAAACGCATGATGATGGTGATATCGCGGTATGTTTTGACTGCGTTGGAAGATCACTCCGTCTGATACGTGCTCAACTGAACGAATGAAAAAACTCTTGAATGAAAGAATTGACAGCTGGTCGAACAACTGAGAGTTTCTCACGAACCAAGGGAAAGTGAGCCAGCTATATACTACGTAACTTTAGTAGTACCATCCTCTACGCTAGCCTCAACTTAAAGAGATAAAATGGGTGCAAAATTTGATGATCTTGCCTAAAGTCACAGCCACCCAAGCAAGTGCTCATGAGCGAGAGATTCTCATTGGAGAACCATCACATGGCACATCGACACCCAACAGTCTTAATCTTAAATGGCCTTAGTCACTCCTTTCGGATACGAGATACAGAGGACGAGCCATGCCGTTTTTGTTCGCTTTCTGGAGGCGGAAGACTGGACCCGGATACCTATGTTGTCTGTGCATCGTACAAGTCAGCTTTACCTCATGTCCGTTTGTGCATGAGCCGATATCCATGGATGCCTTTTTTCTTCATTTTCTTGTGTTCCTACTCTACTTCTCACCTGAGTAGGAAGGGTCAGCATTCGACCACGCAGTGTGCGCATCTGTTAAGCAAAGTGTTAGACTTTTGGCCAAGAAATCGGCATGTTGACTGCGGTCGTATTTTGAAAGTCTGATTTCTTTCGTTTTGTTTCGAGACAAAGGTTGATTTCCCTTTGATTGGGTAGATTTGCATAGCTATATACCCTAGACAGCAAACGGGTTAGAGCTGAAGGTGTTCAGGGACTTGGGTTGCCCACAGACCCCTGTCAGCGGCCTATGAGGCTCTTCGCTATCTCGCTTCGAGCCGTGGCTCTAACGGAATAGGGTATCATGCTCCTATTTAAAGTCTAGACATCGCCCGAATTGGGGGGAACCGAGTTCACTTAAGGTTTCAAGAGTCTTTTGCTCTCGTATTGTAAATTTTTATTGAGCCGCGATTGTGGAGACTTTGGTTTGAGACGTGGTCGTGTTTTTGTTGTTTAACGTGAGTCAATCCATGGACGTCCAAAGCCATAGTTTGGTAAGTTTGCAAGCATGATTCAGCCTCGTATTCATCCATGGAGGCAAGGCTGACTTGGTTGTCAAGCCCTTTTGTGCTCTGTAACTTTTCACGTCGCCGATCTTCAGCCGTGAGGCCTTTTTTTATCATCCAGTATTCCTCGGGAGACTGTCCGGCGAAAACGAACCCAGTACAATAAAATGTATCCTTTTTCGGGTAGTTAAGTGGTGATCATCTAGGGCTAAAATTTAAGCCGCATCTACGGCCGCTTGATCTCGGTCATTTTTGTGACAAACATTGGAGCCGCCAACGAGAGCCGAAGCACAGAGTACAAAATTGTTCGTGAATCAAGAGTTGTCTGCAGATGATTTCGTTAGGGAAGTAATCATTGACCTGCCTTTCGCATCAAATTTCCATACGTGAGCAACCTTGTCGAAAATCTTCCACAGAGTCCAGAGAACGACCGATCCATCGTTAGGTTTTGCTAGATTTGGTATAAAGTACTTTTCCATTCTTCAGACTTGTCACTTGTAACTCCGTACTGTAATAACTGTGCTCCTCATCGCAGATTTAGCGGCATCTTGGCGGCAGGGGCTTAGAGCCTCCAGACATTTGTCCGTGAGATTGTAGAGGCTTAGCTTAGTACAAGAGATTCAGGATCGAGAGCTAAAGTTCTAGCGTTTTGACGTGGTGCTTGGCGGTTATTTCCTTGGGCCTGGCTAACAAATTCAGCAAGAATCCTACACGTCGCCAGAAGATTTCTGCCAAAGGATATCATAAGATTTCTCTTCATGAGCATCCGCCCCTGGATTTCGGGTATGCTCCGGAGGTGCTCCCCCATAAACCAGGTAAGTCATCGCTGCGGTCCGATTTTCTTTCATGTTTGTAGACTTGGTACTCGGAAAATTTTTGAAACTTCATTATATCAGACACCTTGGGCATATTCTTCAGCATCTCTTCCAGTGAAATCATCTAAACACCCGCCTTGACCCCTCATGCGGTAGTCTCCGTGGCTCCTTACTGAAGGATTTCAGCGCGGGCACAGAGGGTTACTGTTGTTGGTTGTATAGCGTAGCTTGAAAGACAAGCATTCGGCTCCTGGCTCATACACATATCGATTATTTCTATTTTTTAAGGGCTCAGATAGTGACAGATTGCAAAAATTTAGAGCGACGGTTGCCGGACCAATCGGAATAAAAAGGTATCCCTGTATCTCTCTTGAAACAACACTGATTCTGAGTACTATTCGGAAGTGCATCCAGTACCAATTCTTGGTGTTTTTCCAAACTGCAATGTCAAAAACTCTCAAGTACTGTGTACAGTTGTGATCAACAGGTAAACGCCGATTTGATATACAGAAAACATATTGCTGCCGCACTGTATCACCACAAGCACCATCTGATATAGATATCGGACGATCCTATGGTAACTGAGTCACTGGGTTTTTCCGATTTTGCCCATCACTTGGGTACCCGCCGGGGTACTCGACTTTGTTTATTGCGGCAAAACAACGTTCAACCAGCTTAAATATTACTTGGTATAAATGTATAAAGGGCAAGACTTTGTTCGCTTGTCTTCAAATGGGCTGCATAGTTGTGTGCTAGACATTGTTCTGTCAGCCTGTCTGCTGTCCCACAATCACAATATACCTTCCCGCGTGACTAGTGATTTCCCTTTCGCTGGGATACAGCGCAGTCAATAGCCTTATTTACTCTGCTATTTTTGGCTATCTTGAGAGATAACTCAGGATCTGTGAGTCGCCTTACTTCGGAGCATCGGCATGGCCGACAATCAGACATCCAATTTTGCGATATTGACGCGAAAGAAAGAGAAGATTGAACAAAATGGAGAAAAGTATACCTGTAGAGTGTGCAACCGAGCCTTTGGTTCGCAGAAGGCTCTCAGATCTCACCGCTCCGCTACTAACCATGAAGTTCGCTGCTCGGTTTGCAACAAAGGATTTGCTATCGACAAAGATCTACGGCAACATGCCCGTATCCATCTATCTGCTGCCCCCGGCAATATTGCAAGCGCCTCGAAAGTTGAGTCGGTAGTCACGATGACAGAAGTGACGAGAAGAGTTCTCGAGCCGGAGAATTGCACCACGTCTCTTGCCCTGCAGGTGCCCCTCATTCGTCGAGGTATGTACTGTTCGAGATGACTTTATAGAGCGACTGTAAAGTTCGAGACTTACGCGGATCTATAGGTCTCGAAGAGCTCAGTCTCAATGAGGATCATTATCAACAAGAGGTCTCAGAGAAGCAAGTAATGGCCCAGAAGCAAGGGTTCTTGCACAGACTAAACACATACACCCTCTTACCCTCTGCCGAGTACGAGACTATTTATCGTGCTCTACTTGCTGCATGTCACGCAACCAACGTTCTTAATGCAGAGCAGTATATATTACAGGGTGTTACGGGACGGAAAACCAACACCAACGTTCGATACGAGGAGTTTCGTCCAACACCACAAGCAGTAGCGGGACAACGAAAGCGCAAAATAGTCGCAATTGATTGTGAAATGGTTGGACTATGGAAAGGGTCGGATTCGGTTGTGCTATTATGTTCGGTAGACGTACTGACGGGAGAGACTCTTTTGAATACCTTGGTCAACCCCGTTTCCAAGGTAAAATCCTGGAGATCCACAGTTAGCGGTGTTACACGTAAAGCCATGAATGTGGCGATCGAACGAGGCCAGGCTCTTCGTGGCTGGCCAGCTGCCCGAAAAGCACTCTGGCAATATGTTGACACTGAGACTATTCTGGTTGGACATGCTTTACAGAATGATTTGAATGTTCTGGGCATATTCCACCCAAGGATTGTCGACACAGCAATCCTAGCTGCGCAAGCAGTATTTCTGGACCATCAGGGCAAGAAGTTCCCTCAGACTTATGGTTTAAAGAAACTACTCGCTTGCTTTGTCAACATGGCGATTCAAACGGGGAAAAGGGGGCATGATTGTTTGGAAGATACTCTTGCAACAAGGGAGGTCGCAATATGGTGCATGAGAAATCCAGAAAGTTTGAAGACATGGGGCTCCCGGACCTTTGCTGAGTACGAAGCAAGAAGACTGGAAATTCAACGTGCGAGGGAGAAGGCGAAGGAAGAAGAGAAAGAGGCTAAGATAGCTTCCAGGAAAGCCGGTAAGACCGGAAGCGGTGCCAGTATCAATGCCACGAATGGTGTCAGCAAATGAAATCGGCGTGAATACAGGGCATGACTAGAGAATGAGACCCTCAGCACAACTTGGTACAGTTGAAATTATCTGATACTTTATGTTGTATACTCGAGGCTTATTTGGATATGTTTCCTTACTGAGTAGTCTTACTGATTATCTTGACTACACGTCAATCCATATCAGAAACATGAATTAAGGCCTTTGGCATCTAAACACATAATTACAAGACTTGAATCAAAACACTGCTTATGCATAAAGAGCTCTATACCTCAAAATCGGAAAGAATCATCCCGAATGCATTATAATTATGAATCAAGAGAAGTATCTGTCGAAAAAAGACGCCTGCACTAAATTCCCTTAAATATTCCTGTCGGACTAACCAAGATAGGAAAATCGCGAGCTTCATATCATACTTTTCGAAACAGGCAACAATCCATAATCCAAAATGCTGGGGGAACAGTCATGCTAACTGGCTACACAGGCTATATTGGAAGACAGTCATGAAAAGTAAGCGGATTTTGAGGACTTAGCAGTATCTCCGACGAGTAATGATATGAATTTTTCCTTCCCTTGTAGGTGTAGGGGTGACAATGAAGAGTATAAAGAGACCTGGGTTGTCTGGAGCATCCTGAGGAAGATTTGATTATTTAATTTCTCATTTCAGACAACTCAAAAACATTGGATATCAGTCCATGCCGACTGTGCCCTAAGCCAGTTCCGTGATGAAGCAACAACAACCATCTGGAGTATTTAAAACGTAATGGCCGGATAATTAATTACACCAGCAAGCCTCCAAGTCTCTCGACGCCACTAAGGTGGAATACGTTCGCCTCGGAAGTTCTGGTCTTCGAGTTTCCAGACCCATGGGTGCTATGGGTATGAGTCTTACAGGCACATCACCGTATGCAAACTGGCTCCTCAACAAGGAAGAATCACTCAAAGTGCTGCAGGCAGCATATGATAACGGCATAGATACTTGGGACACATTAAATGTGTACTACAACAGACAGAGCGAGGAAGTTCTCGGCGCTGCGATTCGGGAACTAAAATTCTGCGTGAAAAGGTTGTTATCATGACCAAGTGTGGGTTTGTGGTTGAAGAGAATGATACCAATCTTGGACACGGATTTCCTGATTTGTTGGCTAAGAATAAGGATTATGTTAATCACGGAGGTCGGTATTAGCTATTTGTCTACGGAAATCTTTTTCCGCTGTGCTGTTTGTTATTCCTTAACGACTGTCGAAAATAGGACTGAGCCGGACTGCCATTCTCAAATCAGTTGATGCCTCCCTCGCTCGTCTGGGCACTACGTACATTGATCTTCTCCGTTTCGATTACATCACCACACTAGAGGAGACAACGAGAGCCTTGCACGACGTCGTACAGGCCGGAAAAGTGCGTTACATCGGTACAAGCTCAATGTGAGCTGTTCAATTTGTCCAAATGCAATTCATTGCCGAAAAGAACGGCTGGACCAAATTCATCAGCATGCAGAATTATTACAATCTATGCTATCGAGAAGAGGAGCGAGAAATAATTCGTTTCTGTAAGAGACTGGTGTTGGTCTAGTACCTTGGTCGCCCCTATATTGTGGGAAGACTGGCTCGTTGATAAACCAGCACGATCCAAGGGGCCGGCAGCACGTATTTCTGGAAGCCGATCAAGAGATCATCTCAAGAGTGGAAATTTTGGCAACTGATAAAGGTTGGAAGATGAGCAGGTGGCTTTGGAGTGGCATAAGAACAAGGATACGGTACTCATTGTTGGTCTCAATTCGGTTGAGAGGGTTGAGGAGACGGCTGGTCTCCGGGAGAAGCAGTTGACGGATGATGAGGTGAGGTACCTTGAGGAGCCTTATGAACCGAGACTAATTGCTGGCCATGTTCGATAAGGTTGATTATTGCGTCTCATTCTCTCGTTGTTCGTAGAAGTATCAACCCTCACCAGCATCTTTTGTGCGTGCCTAGATGTGAATTGAAATAAATATATGAGTGGAATTGATTTTATACGTATAATCAGATGGCTGATATGTATTTGATGATCTTCGGATAGAGATTTCATTTTGCTTGGTTACATACCACCTGGGCATTGAACCCTTCAACCAATTCAATCCTCCGTAGAGGAATAAAAGCTCGGTACCCCTGTCACCAGAGAAACAGCTTGCAACCTGCACCTCAGCCATTCCCTTTGATCTTCTGAGACTGTTTCAATACCAACAGCAATAGTTATAGGCCATGCAAGAAGCACCACCATCATCAGCGGTGGAAATTGCGATGACATGCATTTCGAGGAATCGATGATCTTCGATCTGGGAAGGTAAAAGAAGGGAATACTGTGGCATAAATCCCTGGTCAAAGATTTCATAGTCTTTTAGCATGCCGTTGCTTGGTCTGGAGTAACAGCATCCGAGTTTTCTGGAACGCATTGGGACATTGCAGATAACAACTCTATCTGAATACTATTTATGAGGAGCGAACAATGCGGTATCTATTCCACACAACTGCATGCCCATGCTGACCAGATAGAGGCAGCTTTTATGATTAGACTGTCAAGAACCAGGGCTGGATCCGACTCGCCAAAGGTACCGTCATGTAACCATGCTGGGACATTCACCAGAAAAAAGATAGGCTCTGATCTAAGGGAAATGTCAAGTTAGTGCCAGTTCACTTGATAATAGTATACTATACACATACTATAGTCCTTCGAAGGACCATTTCCAGAAGAATATTCTGTGTTTGACCTCTCTGTTGCTGGGCTTGTAGAAGGCTTGCAGTGTCTTTGTAGTGGTATGCATGAATTCCAAAGAGCGGTGAACTTGTGCATCGAGCAGATGGGAGGATTCTTGAACTTGTTCGTGCTCTGAAATCATACATGATGTTCTATAATATGTGTCAGAATAAGTAAATCTTGAGGTATTGATTCAGCAGACACACATTATATTTGTTAAGCATCATAGTCGCAATAAGTGGTTGATCAATCATGTCATGTGACAGTACCTTGAGCTCCTTTCTCAGTTGTGAAATGCTTTGAGCGTAGAACTTTTTAGCACGTTGGAGAATTTCATGCGTTATATTTACTCGACCAAGAATAGCAAGTGCAAAGGCAGAGACAGCAAGATGAAGACTGGTTTCTGTTTCCCCTGCTTGCTGTGAGTGATAACGCGCATCAGCTCCATATTCCAGTCCAACATCAAAGAGATCATTTAGCCACGATGCCAGATTATCCTACCTAGTATTGGAAGGCATAAGCTTCTATTGAGAAATTTACCGTTTGCAAGTTCAATATTGGTGTATTATGTGTCTGTGTCACATCAGAGTCAGTTTGCCTGCCCCATCAATACGTTTACGAGGGCACCGAGGCTTTCCTTGTGCAAATGCATTCTCAATTCTGAAGAGAATATTGATTTGTGAAGAATTCTTCCCAGAAACAATCCTGATTCCCTTTGTGACACCGGTCACACCTGGGTCGCATCGCATCGCACTATGCAATGTCAGTTTGGTTTTGTAACTGGGGTGTGGTTCTTGACAATGAGCTTACCTTCACATGGCAATTTTTACAAGCGATGCAGCGTTTACTAGGAAATACCATGATGGTTATATTTTAAAGGATCGGTTGCTGGAAACCATTAAGGGAAGATCATGGATGAGATGAAAGAGTTGTAAGTTTCTCTTACCCATCGACTCCAGACTTAAAGTTCATTGACTCTCCGCTGTGCCCTGCAATTCCAAAGCCATAATAACTAAGGAAGACACCAGTTCGACAATAACATGAATTAGACAACAGGATAAAAGAAATATCACTTCATTACGCACTGCTCATAGTGCCCTTTCAAAATCGGCTTTGACAGACTTGGCGAATTCGTTTTCCATCAAAACCCGCAAGCCAACTACAGCCATCCCAGTTGCACAAACAATACTTCTTCGGTACCCCTCTGATGAGCCTGCCCCGGCAGTAAAGCCATGGGTATGATTTCCAGCTCCGTCATCTGTTGGGATTTGAAACAGGGCATGAAACCCAGGTACTTGATGCATGACGTTCCCTACAATCCAATTGAGTCCCGTGTGCATAGTCATGTAGAAAAAATGGGAATTATTTACCCATATCGGTTGAGGCACCATCTAGAGAACCCTTCATTTCACTATCACTGAGGAAGCATTGATGCCCCATTGCCTTTAGCGTCTCTGTATAAACCTCGCAGATGGGCTTGTTGTTCTTCAACTCCTGATAGCTGTTGATCCTGTGTCACATAACGATCAGTAGGCATAGTGCAAAGAATTATGCAAAATTCAAGGGAAAAAATGCAAACCATTCAAACTCCACTTTACAACCGGTCGCCGTCGCTGCACCCTCAAAGCACCTGATAACTTTATCTGTGAGTGCGTTCAATGACTTCGTATCCGGCGACCGTATATAGTAATGGAGGCTTGCGGAGCCTGGAATGACATTCGGTCTCTCGCCACCATTCACAATGACTCCATGTACTCTTTGTGAGGGCATAATCTGCTGCCGTAAAAGAGAGATGTTGACGTAAGCAGACACGACTGCATCAAGAGCATTGATGCCCTCCCATGGCGCTCCAGCTGCATGAGCGGTTGAACCAGTATAGCGTATTCTAATCTTATTGTTAGCAAGAAATGATTCGGGACCTGCGATATGGACTCCAGGCACAGATGCATCATTGTTTCCCTGGGTAACTGGGTGAACCATCAGACATGCATCGACACCCTTATATGCTCCGGCCGCGATAAGCCTTAGTTTTCCACCGCCACCTTCTTCAGCTGGAGTACCAAGTAATCGTACGGTGTAACCAGGTAGAGAAGAGGTATCAAGAGCTTCTAATGCTTCTACGGTGGCAATGTATGCTGCTATTGAGCTCGTAGCAATCAAATTGTGGCCGCACGCGTGTCCGATACCTGGCAATGCATCATATTCGGCATTGAAAACGAGGACCTGGCCACCGTCTCCCTTTTTGTATTCGATCTCGAAAGATGTGTCAAGTTGGTATGTTTTACGGCGGATCTGATAATTCAAGGATCGTGTAGTGGCTAGATTGTCAAACATCGCACAAATATTATCGTGGGCCATGTGTTCGTTATACGCGAGCTCGGGATTGGACCATATCTAGTGATTGGACAGAATATTAACCAATTTTCCTCTTACCGAGCTCTCGTTTGATTTCAAACATGTTTTTCGGCCACCAACTTTTTTGTTGATGTCTTGAAGCTCGACATCGGCATTCTGTAGTGCAATCTGCACTTGCTTGAGCACTGCCTTGTCCATTGTGTTCGCCATTGCGGGTAACAGTCCAGATAGTATACTATCTGAGAGTACGCGAAGTATCGAGCAGTATTTCCTGTGATTGTGAGAATATACTTGTAAGACGAGGTCTAAATAAACGTCAATAATGCAAGATCTTCGGGTGTCCCCGCGACCCCGCCGATCTCGATCTCCTTATCGGGCAGTTGGCCAATTGTGTCTGATAACCACCCTTTGTTCCATTGAGTTCAAATTTACGTAGCTACTTGATTGATCGATGGAGACTGGTCATAAAAGACAGATTTGGAACGGGTCGTCAATTGCAAATTATTCTCGTCGCTACTTTGATATTTAGCGGAGTGACCCTACCTTCACACCTCCCATGAAGGCCCGACAAGTTTTGATCGTTACAAGTCCAGACGTAGTTATGATCGCAGACTTGATTATTTCTATCGATTTGAGATGTTCCACCAATCTTGGTCGCTCAATTAGATGTTGTTGGTTTACCGTCATCAGATCGCAAAACCTAATGAGGACAGCTAATCCAACGAGCTGACTGAGTCAGTAATACTGAATTCCTAATATTGTGACTCGTGTTATTCCCTCCCCAGAACTAGGGGGACGGGGGATAACCAGCTAGATATATACGTGGCACGTGCGTGCCACATCAGACCAACTAATATCCGGTGCCGAAACATGTAGCGTTGATATTCACGTGGCACGTGGCGTGCCGCGTATATATCTAGCTAACTATCCGACCTCCTTGCTCTTGAGGGATCAGTCACAATATTAGGAATCAAGATAGCTTCATATTGTCAAACTCATTAGGCCGCTTCGTGCTCGCGCCTTGCTACCGTCTATGCTACGTGATACGGACCATAGCCAAACCAACACTAACTTTTGCATTGCTGTTTTAAATCGCACTTGGCCTTAACGAAGATTAAATAGTCAATGGCTCGCAAGAGCTTGTTGAATAGAGTCGGTTATGGTCCCTGGTACAGTAAGCTGCCCCAAATACTTGTCAATCTTCCAAGCATCTCGATAGAGTCAATTGACTCCCCAACCGAGAGACATTTTTGAAGAAATGTTCAACATATGAAAAGGAAAGAAATGGTTCAGACAAAATGCCTAGACATGCCGCTATGCCCGAACAGGATCGTCTTCTACCCCACGCCGATTTCGCAGCGATTGACTCACCGCCCAACCGGAAGTCTTTGCGTGACGCACCGCATCGATTACTATTTTGACTCTCAATTCGCATCTCTATACAATTTCATCTGAGCTGCGAACTTAATTATTCCTATGCTGAGACGATCTGTGAGATAAAACATGACTCTCCTACCAAATCCGACCGTCGACCTCGATTGGTCCGGTTATGTATGTTTTTCCTTCAATGCTTGCGGAGTCAGAAATTTTTAGGTAGGCTGACCTCAAATTTGACACAGGTTGGATCAATTCAAGATATCTTTGGACAGAATGGTATGTGATTATATAAACACAATAATGATAGTCTGCTTGATCATTTTTTTGCATCATGAACCCTTTCTCTGAATCATTGTCGGCTGATGTGGTGACCAACAATAGCCAAAAGCCATCCGGATCGCACATGCGTCGTCGAAACGGCTTCTTCCGAGGGCCCGGAGCGTCGATTCACTTATAAACAAATATATGAAGCGTCAAACACACTCGCTCATTATCTTCATGATGCGGGAATCACTAATGACGACGTGGTCATGATCTTCGCCCATCGCTCCGTTGATCTCGTGGTCGCTATCATGGGAACTTTGTCTTCAGCCGCCACCTTTACAGTCCTAGACCCTGCATATCCTCCAGCTAGGCAAAAGATATACCTCGAAGTTGCTCAACCTCGCGCATTGATCAATATTGGAAGGGCAACCGATGAAGCCGGTCCGCTTGCACCGGTTGTGCGGAACTATATCGACGACGAGCTGCATCTCAAGGCAGAAGTGCCGTCACTTCGCATCGGTGACGATGGAACTTTATCTGGAGGAGAAATTGATGGAAAAGATGTATTTTCCGAGGCTCGACAGAAGGCATCCGGTCCCCCTCCTACCCAAGTTGGACCTGATAGTCATCCCACATTGTCTTTTACTTCAGGGTCAGAGGGCCGACCTAAGGGCGTCTTGGGACGGCATTACAGTCTTTGCAGATATTTTGGTTGGATGGCTGAGCACTTCGGATTGAGTTCAGAAAGCAAATTTACTATGCTGAGTGGAATCGCGCACGACCCCATTCAGCGAGATGTTTTCACGCCGTTGTTTTTGGGTGCCCAGTTATTAGTCCCATCAAGATCTGATATTGCACATGAAAGACTTGCAGAATGGATGGCCAAGTACTCACCAACAGTAACTCACCTAACTCCTGCTATGGGACAAATTCTTGTTGGTGGAGCTAGTGCAACCTTCCCTAGCCTCAAGAGTGCGTTCTTTGTCGGAGATGTCTTGACCACAAGAGACTGCAAAGCTCTTCGAGCCCTTGCTGAAAATGTCAATATTATCAACATGTACGGAACGACTGAGACACAGCGTGCCGTGAGCTATTATTATATCAAAAGCAGAGCGGAGGATCCTCACGGCATGGACCACCTTAAGGATACCGTTCCGGCGGGACGAGGTATGCAAAATGTGCAATTACTTGTCGTCAACCGTGAGGACAGAAATAAGTTGTGTGGAGTGGGAGAGACCGGCGAAATTTACGTCCGTGCCGCTGGCTTGGCCGAAGGATATCGTGGCGATCAGGCTCTGAACGATCTTAAATTCATACAAAATTGGTTCGTTGATAATAACAAATGGGTTGAGGCAGATCAGAAGAACAACAAAGGTGAACCATGGAGGAGGTATTATAAGGGACCGCGAGATCGTCTATACCGAACTGGTGACCTGGGTCGTTACCTGGAATCAGGCGACGTTGAGTGTACTGGAAGAGCTGACGATCAAGTCAAAATCCGTGGCTTCCGAATTGAACTCAACGATATTGATAGTAACTTGAGTCAGAATCTCATGATTCGAGACTGCAAAACTCTTGTTAGGCGAGATCGGAATGAAGAGCCAACACTGGTCAGCTACATTGTACCAGAAATGAAATTATGGCCGCAGTGGCTAGAGTCCCATGGCCTGGAAGATGTTCCAGACGAAGGCACAGACTTCGGTGTCACCAGGGTCTACCTCAAGAAATTCAGAGCAATGCAGACAGAGGTCAGGGATCACCTCAAGGGCAGACTCCCTAGCTACGCAGTCCCAAGTCTATTCATCTTCCTAAAAGCGTTGCCATTGAACCCGAATGGTAAAGTCGATAAGCCAAACCTTCCTTTCCCTGATATCTCCGAACAAACAGAGGCCACTTCTGATGAAGATGTTAAGCGATGGGAGTCTTTGACGGAGACCGAAAGACTAGTCGCCACAAGATGGGCTACTCTTATCCGTGGTCTGAACGAAAAGAAAGTGTCTCCTGATGATGACTTCTTCACTCTCGGCGGCCACAGTCTCCTAGCACAGCAGATGCTGCTTGATATTCGCAAGCAGACTGGAGCACAAGTTTCGATTAATATTCTCTACGAGCATTCAACATTGCGAGCTTTCAGTGCACAGATTGACAAGGAACTCCAAGGCGGAAAAACTCAAGAAGAAAGTGAAGAGGATCCCGCTTACGCAAAATCTTTGGACCACCTGCTCACAGTGTTGCCGGAAAAGTTCCAAGCTGCAGACCCAGCCACGGTCCGAGCATCTGCAAGCCCAACAATCTTCATTACTGGAGCAACAGGTTTTCTAGGAGGATTCATCATCAAAGATCTTCTAGAGCGAAATAGTCGAAAGCTGCATATTATTGCACACGTCCGTGCCAAGGATGCTGAATCTGGTATGGCACGTCTCGAACGCTCGCTTAAAGGTTACGGGCTTTGGCAAGATTCGTGGAAATCACGTATTACCTGTGTTGCTGGAGATCTCTCTAAACCACAACTTGGTCTGAGCGATGATGAATGGCAAAGACTGGCCCAAGAAGTATCTGTAATCATCGCCAACGGTGCCACAGTTCATTGGGTCAAGCGTTACCAGGAGATGATGGCTGCTAACGTTCTGTCGACCATTGAAGCCATGAAAATGTGCAACATTGGCAAGCCCAAGATCTTTACATTTGTTTCTTCAACTAGTGTACTTGATACTGAGCACTATGTCTCTCTTTCTGAGAAACAGATTAGCACTGGAGAAGGCGCCATTTCCGAGGAGGATGATTTGCAGGGTAGCCGGCGCCACTTAGGTACTGGCTATGGCCAGACTAAGGTGAGATAATGGCTCCATATCTACGAGAAAACTAAAAGACACAGTACGTTGACCATGTATGAAATAGTGGGTTTCTGAGCAACTTGTCAGAGAGGCAGGTAGAAGGGGTCTTCGTGGCTCTGTCATTCGACCCGGATATATCTTGGGATGCTCCGAGACCGGGACAGTCAAGTCAGTGATCTCCTGAGATTGCGATTTTTGCTTGCTAACAATTCTTTTCTCGCCACAGTACCGATGATTTCCTCATCAGATTCTTGAAGGGATCAATTCAACTACACTCTCGTCCTCGCATCATCAACACAGTCAATTCTGTACCGGTGAACCACGTCGCGCGTGTCGTTGTAGCAGCTGCACTAAACCCTCTTGAAGGAGTCAAAGTCGTACATGTTACTGGCCATCCCCGACTCCGTATGAACGAATATCTCTCTATCCTGGAATACTACGGTTATGACGTGCGAGAAATAAGCTACGAAGACTGGAAGCATGACTTGGAGAAATATGTTTCTGCTGGCGGTCAAGAGAAGATCAAGAACAACATGCTCTCATGCCATTATTCCACTTCTGTGTCAATGACCTGCCCGGCAATACCAAGGCGCCTGAACTTGATGATCGGAACGCAGTCAAGATTCTCAAGTTAGATGCAGACCACTGGACAGGAGTTGATGAGAGTGCCGGGTACGGAATCAGTCGCGACGATGTTGGCCGTTATCTACGATATTTGGCAGAAACTGGTTTCATTAGCTGGCCCACAGGCAGAGGTCGGCCACTCCCAGAGGTCCGTCTCACAGCTGATCAGCTACAGGTTGTGGGAGCTGTTGGAGGCCGTGGTGGAGTTCCCCAATAATCTGGATGCCCTTCCAGGAATTTACGTGTTCAATGAATTGCATCTTTAGAGCAAACAAAAAGTTATGTATATTTGAACCTTAGTTTATAGAGCATAAATATGTGATAAGCTATGTATTACGAGCACATGGCTATTTCAATAACACCTCCAAGTTTCTCTGTTCTGGTAGGCGACCTGGGTGTATTTTTACGTATTCCAATGTTCTGGTGACCTTCTGGGCTTCTACAATGAAGGTAATTGAAAGAAAGTTGAATGCCTCTACTTCTGTTCTCCATTCTCAGTTTGTCTACCTACTTAAAATTCCAGATTACCACTTCAGAAGCCGTTTGCAAGGCATCTGAGCTATCCACCCCATCAATAATGCACCGAGTCTGTACCAAAAATGTATGGCCTCAAAAACCACCACTGCCAACCTTTCGCCTCACCCACAGGTCGATGTCCTTCGGGAAATAAAGTAGTTTTCGATCGTACTTCATAGCCGGGTGTATTGTTTTCTGCAGTCGTATCTTATTCTCCACCGGACCATGCAGTGCGATCAAGCCAAATTCCCATCATCGGAGTTTGAAAATCACCAGGGCGGATTGGAAATTCGGCCTCCCAACCTTGAGCAACATAGGACATGGCCGCGACATTTTCATCTATATTATGAAATATTTCAATTGCCACCTGGAGAACGCCGCACATCCAGGCACGGTTGCCTAAAGATAGTTGGCAATTAGTTAATATTAATAACATAACATGTTATGTGAATGAGTATTTGTGATGATGATTTGTTGCGTGTGTGGGAAAGTCATGCACAAACCTCGGCCATGCAACAACTGATACTTGTTGAGATTATTATCGAACAACACTTCAACAAGGTCACCGATAGTTGAATCGACCACAATACTGATTTTGAATGTCTTTGCCATTCCATGAAGTCTGCCCGTGGCGTTGATAGTTGGACCCTTAGCAAGTTCGAGGTATATGTCGTTGTAGGCACAGTCATCCCCAACGCCTGGTAGTGCTTTCAAGGAAATCTGGTATGTCTCAGTGCGATTGACACGGCAAACAATCGTCCACTGGTTGATCAATAGTCCTCCAGCAGGAGGGAATGCAGCAATGTATGCAGAGACAATCTTGTACTGAAGAACTGTGTCTGCAGGTTCGGTGGTGTTGAACAAAAGGCAACCGGGAGGGGGGCCTTCGGAATGGTTGACCTCAAGACGACGCCTTTTAGATGGATGGACAGATCTACCCTCTGGAGAATAAGTGGCAGGGGGTTCATCCATGGCTCTTGATGTGAGTGATATGATTGTTAATGGATGAGTTGATGATAACCTCAAGATTGGGTTTGATACTGATGAAGTGGCGATGGGAAAGTATGGGTGGATGAAGAAAGAAATCTTTGAGGAGAGAAGAATCTCGAAAGGAAGAGAGAAACTAAAAGTGACTAGAGCAGTGAAGGCCATCTGTCGTGGGAGAGACTAGTATTCACGGCGATGATATTCCTTCATGCTATAGGATTGGATTAATGAAGCTATCTGATCAGGTGACTGTTGCAATAAATTAGATAGAAATAAATGATATTAATATGCACTGGTCTACCATTATGTAGTAAGTAGTTATAGTAGCTAGAAAGTAAAGTTATTATTAGTATCTTGATACTATTACTATCTTCACCTAGAAAGATTGAAAATTATCACAAAGTAACAAAGATTACCTGATTTGTGTTAATATCAATAAAAATATGCTTACACTAGATTTTCCCCTTTGAAGTACTGTGACAGATGCTCAATCCTAAAATCTAAAGGGTAGCGTATCAACGACAAACTAGACATGAGGAAGAAAAAGAAAGAGAACTGGCTACGCAGCTCACCATGGCCCTTTTATGTGCATGTCCAGGGCATCGTCTGATAACACATTAGGAAACCAAGAAGACAAAGGGTACTCCAAAAGGAGCCATAAAACTAGCCACCTAGTTATCAGAATCTCGATTCTTCGAGGATATCTGCCCTCGACGCCCTATCCTTGCACCTAAGCTAAGAAGCCATGACTAACTCTACATGTTGGGGTCATCCATCTGACCACGGCAGTTATGTAAAAGCGCCAAAGAGTCACTTATTGTAACCAGTTCTTGACACCAAGGGCTTACCCCCTGGCGGCCTTTGTCCCAGTAGGGAATGGGTAGGCAGTGATTAATCACAGCCTAAGGCCATTAAACAATGACACACACACGTATGGCTAGCAAGCTGTATACGGAATGGCCGTAATATGATGTGACTCATCCAAAGCATTGTGTAGTTGCAGGATTGCCAAGTCCAACCGTCAATTCCTTCGATATACGTATTCAAGCTTCATAAATATTTTTCCAAGGACGTTGTGGTTATAGCCATCGACCGATCGACTTTGTTAGCATCAATTATGAGTAGATGACTACCCCGCCTCGTTTGCAAAAGTGCTAATATTAGTTTCCGTTTCAGAATGATCAAACTTTACGGACTCTTCAATGCAGCTAGTACTTCAGTTATCGGTGTAAATTAACCGGTGCAGTGCCTTAGACAGTGGAATTGCAGACCAAACTAAGAGGGCTTCTAATCTCCTTCAATACAATATTAGAAAGTATTAGATGCACTCTTTATCATCTAATTAGTATGTAGAGATACAAGTTTATCTAGGTGGCTTGCCTTAGATGCCGAATCCCGAACCTGTATAGCACAATTCACATTGGAGGACTGGGTAATAAGCGATGGTATTTTAGGACGTTTTAGTTCAAATCAATAAAAAGCACAATTTATCGTCAGAGACATCACAGGCGAGAGCCTCGACGGCAATATTTGATCCTGAGCCAATTGATCCTAAAGCTATGCATAGTCTCGTATACCCAGGTACCCTGCCAATCTTAAGATGCCGGTTTACCTGTGCGCATAAAAATATTCGATGGGCGGTCGCGATGTTGGAACTGCTCATCAACTTGGTACTCGAACTCGCTACCTTCTTGTTGAAATCCAAGTTTCTTATAAACGTGCCTACCCATGTTGGATGCCTCCAAAATACACTCCAATCCGCCGCGTCTTTTAGCTTCTGATACTCCCCATTCCACCAGCTTTGTGGCAATCCCAAGCCGCTGATATGCCGGGTCGACAACGCACAAATCGAGTACTATAACTGCCGGTGAAGAGCTTGACGCAATTTCCTTGACTACCTCAACTCGACGTCTGTGAAGCCCGAATTTCAGCTGCCGCACGTAATTCTGCTCCTCCAGGTTCCCGGGAAGAAGCTCGTCAAGCACGGATTGATCCATGTCTGTTGTAGGCATATCACCGTATCCTTCGACCATAGATGCTTGAACCCAAATGGCCGCCCCAGCAATATCTTCCTTACCAGGCTCGTCCTGACGTGACACAGTAGCCTTGAGGAAAATTGTATTCGGATTGCCATTACGATCTTTTGTAGTACTAGACCACCGGTTGATAAGATGATGTATACCGATTTCTCTCCCCTTGGGCGTATCCCATCCCGAATTCATCGCAGTCCATATTCCATCATTGACCTGTTGACCAAAAGCAAGTGCCGTGACGTCAAAAAATCTAGTGAAGTCTTCCGCCGCCGTGACAGGTTCTACCTTGACTGTAATAACGTTTGGCTGTGCAATTTTGGAGCTCATAATGTTGCTCATTTATCTGGGCTGAGTACGCAGAGTAACGGGGCAATTCGAAGCGAGCAGCACAGCATCGATCTGCCTTATTGGCACTTGAAGTTCAGGGTGAAATGTCTCGTACAACAGTAATGGTAAAAACACACGTCAAGCTTCAGCTTCCTGGCTATAAAATCTCAATGAAGGACATCAGTTATCCCACTTTACTGCGAACATTGGAAGAGAGTTTGCCGACGTGGTGGGGTTACTATGCAAAACCGCATATCTGTAACGTAATATCCCACACAGCATGCAATGGCCCACCAAACCAAGCATCTATTCAGCCTTTACAGGGCCGTTTTTTTACATGTGGGAATTTTCGAGAGCATATGTTGGACTACGTCTCACATTGCTTCGAGAGTCGAGACAGTATCCCAAGGCTTAGCAGCGCACAAGAAGGAATGGAGGATGTCTAGTTCTTAAAAAAGTATTTTAACAGAAAGGTAATACATTCCCAGTAATCGAAAGCTCTTGACAAAATGAGTGTTCTGTTTTATTTGAATATGCGGAGTCCACTTTGAAATACCCATTCGTTAGAACGATACCTGCTCGATGAGGGTATGAGGATGACGGAGAGCAGGCCCCAACTCGGAATTGAAATTTTTTAAAGATTACTTATTGTTTCATCCTGAGATTTGAAGATTGTGAATCTGATGGAATAGCTTATCACATGTGGTATATATTTCCCAGTAAAGATCATTGAATTGCGTAACCCTCAAATATCTATCAATGTTGGGAGCCATTAGCTCGGCATCTCCAGGCTCCAAGGTTTGAATGGAAATCAGTACCAGACATAAAAGTAATAAAATGATATCGCATCAAGGATCTTAGAGGTCAAAGATCTGACAGACATTCACATGACGAATGTTTTGTATAGTGATCGAGTCATTGGGAACCTGGCAAATATACGCTCATTTCAAGGCCATTCGTAAAGGGCAGAGTCATGTTTCGGAAACCATTCTTAGGATTTTGCAAGTACGAAAGTAGGTCTGCGTAACCCTTGGCGCTGGATATGGTGTTATCCGCGAGAACGACAGCGCCGTGTCGAAGATAAGGCTGGACTACCTTAAGTGTTGGAAGCGCGAGCGAAGACCAGACTGTGAGATAGAAATATTAGGGATTTTACGCTGTAGCCAGATCAATCGCACAAAAACTTACTATCAAGGAGAAGAAGGTCGACTCGAGGTAACCCAGCCTTGAGCGTCTCAAGTAAGTCCCCTTCTCGAAGATCAATCTGCTGTTCCACGATATCACCGCAATGAGCCCAGTATTTCCTAGCGGCCTCGGCCTTCTCCCGCTCTTTTTCCGTGGCAATGACGATACCCGGTTTTCCAGTTGCTGCTTTGGTTTGGGCAACAGCAAGAGCAAGATATATTGTACTGACTCCGAAGCTGGTCCCTGCTTCAACAACGTTGGTGGCTCCCATCGCATTAATAAGCTGGTACACGAATTGACACTTGTCCGCGTCCAGGGCTATGAATTTATCTAACATGAGTTGGTCAAATGCGTTTCTGGAACCCTCGATTCCGTGTATATTTTCTAGATCGTCGAGGACTTCTGATGAGAAGACCTTGCCTTTGTCCGCAATAGCGACTTCCTGCTCCAAAGAGACGCGATGAAGTTTAGAAAGAAGCTGTAGGATATGCTCCGGTGCCTGCACGGGTGATAGCGAAGACATTGTCGAGAACTGCATGTATCGGGTAAACAACGGGTTCTCGAGATCTTAAACAAGGAATCGATAACAGACGACGGCTAGGAAAGGCTATGATTAATATTTGCACTTTATTTCCAAACTGGTATTAAATCCATTCGAAGGACACGAATAGACAAATAATTGGTCACTTTCAACTTCGTACATGTAAGCACTACCATCTGCATGTTAATAAAAGTGTATTGGACCGAATGTATGGCCACCGGAGTTCTCCCAAAGCTCCCCGGTCCATTGAAAATAATTTATAACCTTATTCTAATTTTTGAATTAGGTAAAAGAGACATTGAACTTCCGTACCTAGAAATATTGAGAAGTGGATATTCTAGGTCACAGGACTCTTTTTACTTCGTGTCATTCATGTGACCAGAGTTCCGACACAGTCTGAGAAAAGAATAAACCAATAACAGTTTGGATCCTACATCCAAAACTGGGTTATATAATTATGTTGCACTATGAGCTTCTTCTTTGCGTCAGGCATACTGCATCTATGATGTCTCCCGGTTAATAAAAAACGTTCCGGTCAGTCTAATCCTAAGTTCCTAGTGTGTATTCCCATACTATCAATGCAACAATCGCTGCCCAGGTGTGTTATAAAGCTCTCGGAAGTACCTGGATATGTAATTAGCTTAGTACATCATTTTAGGCTCTTGTACATCCCCATTTACCGACTATCGTTTCTGAGAAACCCGGTGCTAAATACAATATCTAACCTTTACTCCTCCAAAAATGAGGCACAAGCGTGAATTCGGTGATCGTATTGCCCAGTTTGGGGTTTAAATATAGTCATCGTATTGCATAACATCTGCAAATTGTGCCGTGTTTCACGGATGGTCGAGGATATATTGGGGCCTGTGTCTTGTGGATTATGTAGTATGTCGAGTAGGACTTCTGCGGCTAATAACAACCGCCGGGTTATGAAGAACGACATTTCCCTATAAGCATTGACCTGTAAGGAAAGTTTTGGTGTTAATAATTCAGAAGGTCTGGCTGAGAAGCAAATAAGGGAACGCGTACTTGTTGAACTCCAGTAACATTGGCTTGTTGAAGCAGATCACACATTGCATTTGCTACTGAGAGACATGACATCTGGTATTGTTTAGCAATGGGACCTACAAAGGCGGCTTTTGAGACCCAATAATGACAGTTTGGACTGTTCTATACGAATGCCAATATTATGATTAGGGCGAGAACTCGTAGCTCGACATCTGGCTCATTAAGAAGCTCTACCTTGGATAGAGAGTTAAACATGATTGTCACCTCGCCTCCGATTTTCTCATGAACCAGACAGAAGTAATAATCTGATGCGATATCCGTCACGTATTTCCTCGTCATCTGACGATGGCGATCTCCTTCTACAGCAGGCTTCATGGAGAGGATAAGAAATTGAAAAGACATCAAAAGCTTGTGAAGTAGTCTTCGTGATTTCGTCAAAAATGTATATAGTGGTTCGGTTCTGGTATCAGAATTAACGTTTGAATCCGAGACTTGCAAAGCAATAGAGATCTGAGACCGATTTGTTAGCTATGAAAGAGAAATTAGGGTTCTAATTCTACAGCAACTTACGTCTTTGTCTTTAACTGGAAGACAGTGTGGAAATTTGCACCTGTACTACAATGCATCGCAAATGCAGTCCAATATACTTGGAGTATCTTCCGGAGAGATTTAGGTTCATATGGTTTCGCCGGTACTGTATCTATCGAGTTCCGATGAGTCTTGATCTGAGCTGTCATACCCTTGCACACTTATTAATTGCATAGCCTGTGCCAAGGTCATAAGCGCTTTCGGTCCGCTGATATGACTAAACTTGAATCTTGAAATCAGGAGCAAGGCCTGAACTGTTTCGATGTTCAGGAAAGAAGAATTATCTATCAAGTTTTCGGCTCTTCCTAGATGGAATCGGGCCGCCAAGTAAGAATGCATTGCCAAAGCTGACTCTCCACATGCACTCAATCCAGACATGGTCACTGCAGATTTTAGTATCATGCCTTTCAGCAGGGACGGCAGATTGGATGAAATCTTGCTAGTCAATAAGCATTATGTGTTTCTGCACTATGTCAAAATAAGGCTGGTATCTAAATAACAAAAAATCAGGTAACAAGTTTTTTCCCTCATGTGAGTGCTTGGGTTATATCGGATCACTCACTGCCTTTCAAGACTCATGGATGGCCTTATTTCCCCAGACTGTTCGTTCAATGAGGAGCCTGTCAGTTCATGTGGGACTGTCGCATTTGGTAATCACATATCAAAAATAAGTTCATCTGGGACTGCGGTACCTATAATGCGATTATTTGATATAAACTTCGTTCTGGATGAGCTTCATCTGTGCCGGAAGGATTCATAGGATCGGTGATAGGTTGTGGCTGATTGTTACGGGCTAGTCCCGTCTAATGCTCACTATAAGGGCATATTCGAGTAGAAAACATAACATGAGGAAAGGAAAGAGAAAGAAAACAACAAGTTTTCACGCGCATACAATCTTATATAGGCAAGGGGAATTGGGAGCTTCCGACGGGCTTCTCTCTAGGAATAGCCTCATGTCCGGGGTTGCTGAGATTGTCGGGGCTGCCGGGGATCGGCAGAGAGCGCTATTGTCAATATCCGGCCGGATATTGGGTGTCCGTTCGCAATCTGGGAATAGCTTCATGTTCGGGGTTGCCGAACAATGATCTAGCGAAACTCTATATGTCAATACCCGTGAGGGCTTCGCCCGAACATGGTCATGAGGTCAGCTCATAACACTGATGATCGTTTCTATCCCCGGTCCCGTACGGATAAATACCGGCCCGAAGGTCATACGATCTTTACAAAAGATAGAGATGCCATTATGATTATTAAAAATAGACCCGGAGACAACGCAATATGGCCCTTCTCCTTGATAACAAGCTGTAGATAGTGAATGTAGTCGATACAAAATTAAGATCAAGATCGGAAGTGGGTCGATCTGACAAAGAAGGTTCCGGTCTAACGTACTACACGGGTCATTGGGCCACCCCATCAATTCTTCGCTCAGCGCGCTTCTTATATTCTTTTCCACACGTGATAATGGCTCCAACTCGCTCTATAGAAAATCGGAAAAAATTAATTGAGCAAGAAGGATTGAGGGACAATGCAATCCGCGATTTAAAATCTTCAAAAATTCAAAGTGGCCGCAAAGCTGCACGCGTTTATGGCCTACCACGAACAAGTCTCCAGGGGAGGCTCAAAGGGAGGCGGCCATTGGCAGAATCAAATGCTACAAAGAGGAAATTGACTCCTATTGAAGAGGAAACACTTATTAAGAGGGTCCTTTCTCTAACAAAGTGAGGATATCCTCCCCGGACTATATTTATTGAGAACTGGGCCAATCTTCTACTTGCAAATCGAGGATCGGGCGGGCCAATTGAACGCGTCGGTATAAATTGGAAATCAACCTTTATTAATTGCCATCCTGAAGTCAAAAGTGTCTATTCTCGAGGTTTCCATTACCAGCGAGCTAAATGCGAAGATCGAAAGGTTATCCAGCCTTGCTTTGAACTTGTTCGCACCACTATTGCTGAGTATGGCATTGACTCAAGCGATATCTACAATTTTGATGAAACAGGCTTTGCAATGGGCCTTATCAAAAGCGCAAAGGTTATAATAGGTGCAGAGACAACGAATAAGGAGGCCTTTGTACTACAACCTGGAAAACGTGAATGGGTAACTGCCATTGAAGCAGTTAATTCAACTGGGTGGCATCTACCTCCTTATATCATCTTTAAAGGCAAGCATAAGCGCATGGCATGGTTTGAAGATGATCCAACTGTCCGCTTCCAATGCAGCGATAATGGATGGACAACTGATAAAATTACATTGGATTGGCTTCAGAAGCACTTTATTCCACTTACAAGGACGCGTACTGTGGGAAGATATCGGCTTCTTATATTGGATGGACATGGCAGTCATCCTACACCTGAATTCGATGCCACCTGCATTGAGAATAATATTATAAGCCTTTGCATGCCCGCTCATACATCACATCTATGCCAGCCACTTGATGTTTCTATATTTTCACCACTAAAGAAGTCATACTACAAGCATGTTGAATACCGCACTCGATTGGGATTCTCACATATCGATAAACTTGACTTCCTAGAGGCATTCCTACGCGCGCGGACAGAGGCATATAAAACAACATCAATTCAGAATGGATTTGCAGCCACAGGACTTGTCCCGTTGAACCCTGGACGAGTGCTAGAAAAGCTGAATATCCAATTGAAGACTCCAACGCCGCCTGGCAGTAGTCATGGAACTTCGCAGTCACAGTCCTCCTGCTTCCAAACACCTTCTAATCCTCATGAATTAGAGACTTGATCCATTCTTTTCCAGTCCTTCAAATCCGACTCTTGTCAAACTGAATCAAGTGTATAAAAGCTGTGAGATAGCATGGCACAATGCTACTCTTTTGGCACAGGAAAATATGGAACTACGCAATACAATTCAAAAGGAGGACCAAAAGCGCAAGCGGACTAAGAAAGTGAATACAGAGGAAGCTAGTCTTGTCAGAGGAGAGGCCCAAAGCCTTATAGATGAATCTAATGCTGCAAATCAGTTAGCAGCAAGCCTTGCCAGTGTGGAGGATGGATTACCACGCAGACGCGCACCACCCACGTGCAGTGACTGCCATAGAATTGGTCATACCCGAAAGCAATGTCCTAATCGCACTAGTTAGCTAGTTAATTAAGTTTATATGAGTTTTTTCATGAAATCTGGACTTCAAATATTGAATATTGGCGGTGGCGGCAGTGAAGAATTGATGGGGTGGCCCAATGACCCGTGTAGTACGTTACTATATCCGCATGCGCTAACTATAATAGGACTACATTGTATACTCAAGCTCCACTTTTTCCAGCCAGTATTTGAAGATGTAGATACGTACAGTAGAACCTACGAACAGGTCTTCCCGGGCCCAGGTGAATATATCAAGCAGGGAGTTCAATCTAGATATAAAGGGCACCTCCAATATATTGATTCGCTCTAGTATTAACAAATCAGATGTGCTTCAGTTCCATGTTAAAGGCATCTAAGCTAATATTGGTAGAAATATGGAGCGGCCTTCCATTCGTTATAGCCAGACTCTACTGTATGAGTGCTTTGATGGAAGTACATGCCCATAGAGTACTTCAGTGAATATATGTTTGCTTAAACCTGATATCTATCTTCTAGGGTTACCTGTCCACGGCGCCAACGCCGCCAAACGAGAAAGCCCATAATTGTCACTGCGGTCAAGGGAACCGCAAATGCAATATAAACCCACCATAACTTCGATACAACAAAGCTTGGTTCCGAAGCATTGGTGTCAAGCGCGACAAAATTTGTGCCAAAGAGACTACAAACAAATGTTGCTGGAAGATAGACCATGGTCACTCCAGCGATGATTTTCATGGAAGTGCTATCTTTTTTCGCTTCGTGTGCGACTTTGGCTGTTTCCGATGCAATTTTTAGATTGATGCCACTATCGTGGCCGGTAATAAGGTTGTAGAGAAGTGTTATGAAAAGCTGTGTCTTGCGCTGAGAGTTTATGATCTGTCGGTCTTGATCATGGGCGAGATCTTTCAGACTCAGCAGGCTGTCTCGCACATGTTCGTGCGTATTCATGTCAATATGGCGCTCGGACAGGGGAGATGATTGCTTAATCAACCTGTACAATCGTTTGTGATCGTCTAAAAGTTTCTCGATATGTGACCTGTCCCGCTCGTTCCGATGTTCCAGTGTTATCAGATTGCGGGACAATTTATGTGAAAGTTGAATATATCGGATGAACTTTTCGGAATCGGTGCCCTGAAAAATTGACCCTTGATATATCTGGGTCTCGATCCATAGTAAGCGGCGATAAAGATCGTCAATTTGTACACTTCGTGCGGCGAGACTTTGAAACAGTATCACCGCATGTAATGAGAACGGATGCATACTAGAAGCTCGTTCTGAGAATCTTCGTCCTAGAGTATAAAGTAAACCGCGATACTCTCGACTCGCATTCGGTAAGATATAGGTTGTCTGCCCTGTCGTGATATTGTGTCGGAAATAGAGAGATTCGTACTCGTGCTGTACTCGCAAGTCGGTTGGCTTAATCACATTGACTGTTAGAGTACTTTCTAGTGACGATATGTTGTTTCGGTCGTATAAAATATCCTCTCGTATATTATAACTTATATCTGGGGGCCTTCAGCATAACAGTCCCTGTTTCGAAAGATTAAGACATACCTAGACAGACATCGCCGTTGACTTTCACAATGCGGCTGTGGTAGCTGGAAACAAGGTGGGAAGTCAACAGCGCCACGTCGTCCATGTCTATATTCCAGCACTGCTCCAGCAAGTCGAGAGCTTGGCTCTTGTCCTCAAGAAATGTACCAGCATCACGGTTCATTAATCTATGATGCACATCAGAATATATTATCTGACACATCAATGTTATCGTGGTAGACGTACATCAGACGTATATGCGGGCCACCTTCAGCTGGCGTTTTCGCAGACCGCGTTTGAACATGTTCCTCAAATTCCATTGTCTCTATAACTGCCTGTTAGCAAACAAAGAGAAATAATACTACCCCTAAGTAAATATAAAATGTACCAGATTCATCAAGTACTACTAGACGAGTATCAGACTTGTCGTGGTCGTTACGAGCCTCGTATAGATTTGAAATCTCTCGTGAGCTTTTACGGCCTCGGCATAAAAATAAGGCATAATCTATGACGTTACACCTGGCATCGTGTATTTCCGCTGGTGGTTCCTGTATTCGAATACTCATCGCCTTGCGCTCCACAACTGGCTTTTCGAGCCGTTCATCTTCAGAGTTCGTACTTGTCGATGACATGAGGCAACCATAACGACCACGTAAATTGTTGAGAGAAATGCGATTGATTTTCAATCAATATAAAAGATTAAAGACGAAAACCCAAATAATTTACTGAAGTTCAATTAGCATTACGGAACCGTGGCGGATTAATAAGATGAGGAAACTAGAGTGAGGCTGAGCGCAGATTCATCATTCCCCGCATACACCGCACCTTAAGCACAGCCTCAGTAACTGCCGTGAACTAACCCAGGCAAGATCTGCAATTATTCAACTTATAATCTCATGTTAATGTGCTAGTTAGTTGTTGTTATTGGTTATCTAAGCTAACTACAGCTGCGCTGACCCCTTTACGGAAGTCACATGACTCATATCGACGCTCTTGGCATCTCACAGTCTTCTCGTTGAAAATACCTCTATTATTTTCCCTTCCATAGATTTGCCTACAGATCTCGATCTTTTCCGCTGGTGATGCAGACTCGTGGAAATCGTCCGAACTATCTCGCTCTAAACGATGGCTATCGGAGCGATGGACCTCCTGAAGACTTGACATCTAGGCTATCTAGGAGTCCAACAGCCCAAGATCCAGGAATAGGCCCATCATTTCCATCTCATACTCACAGTTCAAGAACTTCTTAAAAGGAATCTTCGTCGCTGGGTTGTTAGTAGCAAGCAGCCCTTTATAGTCATTGAATTACCAGCCTTTCAGCAAATGTTCAAGGATATACTAGAAGTTTTATTTCCATTTACCTCTTGTCACACACTTTGATAGCGTCTTTTAGAAGACTTTGACTTACAATGTGTCAAACTAAAAGAAGAGCTTGCAGCGACGTGCAAAACAATTGCTCTACCCCTTGATGTCTGGACAAGCAAGAATTATCTCCCAATCCTTGGTATTATTGGCCACTGGCTCATAGAAGAATTTAAATATCAAGAGAAAGTCCTAGAGTTCACAGAGCTCCAGGGACCACATAGTGGTGAGAACTTGGCTGCAGCTGTTGAAGCTTTACTTGTTGAACTGAATCTTGAGCATAAATTGCTTTTAATTACTAGCAACAATACTAGTAACAATGAGAGGATAATCTTACAATTATTTTAAAACTTGTAGAAGAAGTTAGGAGCTAGTCCTTTATTTTATGGTCTAGGAAGTTATGTGTGGTGTTTAGTATATATTATTAACCTTATTGTAAAAGATATCCTTTCTGCTCTTAAGTCTGGCAGTACAGAAGAAGCTACTTCTTTCTGTGATACCCTTGATAAAGGAAGACATCACTTATACTATACACTTAAGCTACTTGCAAAACTTTGTATCCTAGCTCTCTGGATCCACAGAAGTCCTCAACAGAGGCAGACATGGAACAGCAGTTGTAAGTGCATGAATCTGTCTGATAAATTCATTAAGTATAATATTAATACATGATGGAATTCTACTTTTAGAATGCTAAGCGACACTTTAAAGTTAAGCTACTAGCTTCACACACTCGCATAATATGGAACTAATACTTCAAAGTTAAGGACCTAGCTCGAGAAATTCATTCATTATGAGACAAATTTCCCTCCCTTCTCATAGAAAGATTGGACTCGACTCTCCTAAATTCACACTGTCCTCTCTAAGTTCAATGAGTTTACCTTATTTGTCTTAGAAAGAAAACCATAGATTAGTCTTACAGTTCTAATATACTATGAGCTCTATGATTTGTTGCATGATTCTGCTGAGCGCAAAGAAGATTTTGCAGATATTGGTGAGGATGTCGCAAGCGCTGTCAGAGAAAGTATCAAGAAGTATATGAAATACTATACTTTCATGGATATCTTTAACACGTATTATACTGCCCTAATCCTAGATCCTCGTGTAAAGGGGATCTCCTCCTATACAAATTGGATAACGAGGACACTGGCAGGAAGATTCTCCAAGTCCTCTGTGGCAACCTTCATAAAAAATATCCTAACACTACAAATTAGTGTACTATAGTGGAACCCGCAGATCACAGCTATAAGAAGCAGAAAGTGGGCAGCTGGATATTGCGAAGGCTACAGCCTCAGGACAAGCCTCAATCTTCTAATATTGATAGGTATTTCGACAATATCCAGGTTGATGCCATTGACATGGAAGATCTAAATTGGCTATTTAAATGGTAGAGAGTCTATAGGAAGGATTATCCTTGGATAGCTGCTACTACTAGAGATTACTTAGCAATCCCAGCCTCTGAAGTATCAGTTGAGAGGTTATTCAACTCAGGAAAAGATGTACTTGGTGTACAGAGATACTCTATGAAGGGAGAAACTATGAGGATGCTAATGCTGTTGGATAATGTATATCGTTAAGCAGTAGATAATTATTGATTAACTCAGAACAGATATAGCTTAATCTTGCGTTAATCTGTAGTAGAACTTTTAAGGGAGAGCCAAAAAAAATAATTTGCGAAATACGAATATTCGCAAAATTTCAAGGCTCTGGTCGTACTAGACAGTCACATACTCACCCGAGTTGAACGACCGAGTATCCCAATTAATAAGGGATAAAGTCCCCTTCGCAATGATAATTAGTCAATCTAGCCCTTGGCTAGTTCTAGGTAGTCTGGGCGTACATGAATTTCCAGCCTCGTACCAGATCGGATTGCGCCCTTCATTATATCTAAATTATGCATTCTTCAAAACAATGGCATCAAGCCACGCAGCTAAACGATATCCTGCTCGAGCGATAAGTTCCTCAAAGACAGGTTTGGAGTTGCTATAATAAGAACTCGATAGGTCAGTAGCTTCAAGATAATCAAGACCTGGCTTAAGAACGGTACTGCACACGTAAGAGTTGGCATCCCTGGCCCATGTCATGGCCGAATTGACAGGATCACCGACGTCAATTCCATCCAACCAGGAAGAAGAATTAGAAAAATATTGGCCTGATTTGATACGAGTAGTGAGTATTGAGGCCCAACTTTGGGCAGTGCTGAGAGAGTGGCCGCCAGCGTCTTCTTCTGGCATGTTTGTGTCCCAGATGTGATGTAGATTTGTATGTGCCCTCTTGTATGTCACATTGATTCCGTTTCCGCCCTTGTCCAAGCTCTCATCGTGTAGAGGTTGGTGAATATCACCGAGGAACTAGAATGCATCGTTAGGATGACGCAACGACGGACATACTTTATGACCAGTGACTGTTCTGCTTACATGAACGATGAATTTTAAAGCATCGACGGCCTGAGGTGTCGAATGATCTTTTTCTAGCAGTATATTTGTCTGTAACATATCGCAATTAGTATATCTCTGGCTAATTATCCGTTGTTTCGGAAAGAGGGCATACGTAATTCTCTATAGCGCTGACCAGACACCCGGAATCACCACAATCACGGTTGTAGTCTACATTGCAAGTTGTCGGAGGATCGTCGTGGGCGTCAATATAATGAAAAGGCCTTGAGAAAGATCCCTCGGAAGTGTGTTTGTAGGTGTCGGCCCAAGTGGAAACACTAGCAAGGTAAGAAGATGAGGAATCTCCGAGTAAATCTTGAAAATAAGATTCGGTAGAGGACTTGACAAAGTTTTGAGCAATGTAGGCGACAGTCTCATGTCCTAGATTGCCCCAAGCATAGGCACTATATATTTGAGTAGCAAATATCAAGGAGGCAGGAATATTGGCTGGCATCATGTTTGAAGATTCTATCGTTCTCTTTCTGGTTTTTGCTCGTCACAAAGGCCACCGAGATGGTGGGTAGATATATATGCGATCTGAGGAACATTAATTTGTAGAAAATGCACTTTAGCCAGGTTCGGCGGTTTTTACAAGTTTCGATTGGGTTACACTATCTTGTCTTTCAGGCAGAAGCTGCGTCACCCTGATCTGGATAAACGGGTTGCTTCCACGATTGACATGCCCCTAAATATGGATCGCTGTAACTATATCCAAGTCCCAGCTTGGAATCATCTTAGGTAATTCAACTGATATATCTATTTGTCTACGAAAATGAAGTTCTTTATCTACGTAGCTAGGTAGGTGCTAAGACAAATATATGCATATCATATCGAAAATATCTTATGTACATTGCGGAAGGGCATTCAATCGTCGTTACTTCCCTGAAGCCACGCCTATCCATGAATAATAATATGAGAAGTATGTCAACCCAAGTTGATGCGAGATGGGTATTCTCAGATTATGTCAATGTTCCACTGACGGTTACCTAAGTAAGGTCCGTGAAACGGTGATGTTGTACCTAGGACCAGGCAGAGCATGTGAGGTTACCCGTGTGCTCTTGAACTGAGAATGGGATATAGGAAACTGGCCACCTGTATAAATAAATCAATACCTAATAGATGTGGTTCAAGCATGCATAGAATTGTTTTGGTGGTTGACGATTTGCTAAAAAAAAAATTACCGTAAAAGGAAAGAAAAATTAGGGCTAAACTTCTACCTAAAAAGCCAGGCATCAATGACAAGTCTAGTGATACATTACGTCATACACACTCCCTCGTTTGACTGGCTGCTCGACTCCTTCACGCTCACTCAATCATACAATCGCGTTTTACACAACTTATAATGCTGTATGTGTTATTGATATTTGATAATAATTATAATGTCTCTTTAAGAGCGAAAGAGGTCGTGGTGATAGACTTCGCGATGTATATAGACTGCGGGGTAGAAGCATCATCGAAGCTTTTCCCCTGCTTGGCTACGTCATCTGTCTGATAACAACGAATCTCACCAAATCAGCTGTTTGATGATATATCTCACTGGTCAATTGGCTAACTACGTCATCACTCCTCTCAGCTATAAAGACTCCTGGAAGAACTCCTCCTCGTCTCGATCAATTCATTCTCAACAATTAAAACCTATAGCCTCATACGTCCTCTCTTTCTTCAACCTCCTAAGAGCTAAAGAGTATTCACGAGAACTTCATCAAGCACTATGGATTCCCAGAGCGCCAACATCGATGCTGTCAATACCAGCATCAACACCAACACGGACGACAGCGGCAGTAATGACATCGCCAACAACCGCATCAATACCAGTTCCGACTATAGCAACACCGACTATAATAACGGTAGCAACGTCAACAGCAATAAGACAGACACCTTCAACCATGAGCGAGACAACAAGCGAGACAACCTCCGATCAGGAACTGGCCATTCTACCGAGACACCGACCACCGACAATGACTTTGTTGAACGTGACTCTGCTCCACGCGAGTCTCTGAACCGTGATGTTGAAAACCGGGATGTTGATCGCAATGCCGTGAATCGTGACTCCAACATCGCCGACCGCAAAGAGAGCATGCCAAAGACTGGCGTTGCTGGAGTGATTGCATCCAACTTTGGAGCCGACAAGACCACTACATCCACCTTTGAGAAATCGCAGGGTGAGAAATTCGGTGCAAATTTCGACGAGACTGGCGAAAAGCTCAGAGAGAAACTCGGCAACCTAGACTCCCAGGCTTCTGGCTCTGCTACTGGCGGTGGGGAATACACCATGGGCGGACAGCAAGGCAACAAGGCTGGCATAGATACAAACGTGCCACATGGTTCTCACAACGGTACTCATAAGGAGGGCTTTGGCCATAAGATGATGGGCAAGGCTGAAGGTATGTTGCTCTTTCTTAATCAGTATTGGTAGATTTCGTGGACTGACGACTTATCATAGGAATGATGCACCTGCACCATCACGACAAGACCGAGAGCCGTACTGAGGCTTAATGAGAAGTAGATAAATGGGGCTGTCAACCGGCTTGACACACTACAGTTATAATGTACATTTACTCTTCCCTTCATGAATGATGTTATTGGCTAATGAAAGACGAATTATTTCTTACATTTGAACATGTGTAGCTTCGTAACGTATTCATCATAATAGGCCTAAGCCGAATCCAAAGTGGAATAACAGAATACAAGTAAAAAGAACAGAAAAGACAAAGATCCATATCATAACACATCAATCATCAAATCATAGCAAGTCTTCAAATCATTCACTGATTCACCCACCTTGCCCTACACATTGGACAAGTAGGTGGATTGCTGTTTCTCGAACACGATTCAATCCAGGAATCCATACATCTCATGTGGAAATTATACCCACATTGTCGTTTACACCACACCAATTCTTCATCTTCTTCAGAGGATTCACCGTCATGTTCCGAATCATACTCATCATCTTTCTCTGATTGTTGTCTTTCTAATTTAGCTTCTTCGTCTTCGTCGTCGGAGCCTTCATCCTGTAATGGCAAGAAGCAAATATGACAATCTCCTTCAACACGCTTCCGAGTAACCTCGCTTCTAGATGAAGTTGGTCGTCTGGCTAGCTCTTGTGATGTCGAAGCACTGGTCGCCCCTCTGGATCTATGCTGATGAGTAGATTCAGCAGTTGTATTCCTAGAAGCTCTATTGTTCAACGGTTGTGACTCTGTGCCTTCCCATGAAAACGATTGGGTACGAGATTGATATGTCAATGTTGTTGACTCAGTATTCTGGACTTGACTTGGAAAGCCAACAGTAACATAATGGCTTTGACGCATTCTTGAGCGCCCTTCTGAAGCTATTTGTGGATATATGTCAACTCTTGCCCTTACGTAGTGGTTGTCGTCTAGACTTCCTGTCAGTGCCGATGATAGAGCAGAAATATTTTCTATTGCGTGACCGGTGGAAGTTGGTGACCCGACAGAAACCGAGACAACCAACGGTGTGTGACTTCCTCGTTGACCCATTGCTGGTGCAGTCGTAGCGATGGTATCTGTTGATGTAGAAAGCTGTTCAGGGGGGGCAAATCGTGGAGGCGCTGATGTGCCTCTTGTTGATCTTATTCTATCAGACCATTCAATATCATCCGTCTCTTCCACTGGTGTTTGTGGAGCTTCTTCCGAGTGAGACGCTCGGTTGGGGGTGTGAACCAGTCGCAAATCACGATAATCTTGAGTATCCTCAGTTTCGTTAGGAGAAGGAGAAGGCCGAAGAAGTGCAAATCTCCTTCGATTGAATTGCGCAACCTTGACAGACCACTCTCCTACCAATCGCGGTGCGTCTTTCTGATGGTGGCGATTGCACAAAAGCAAAGGAGCCAATTTTCTCAACAGATCATCAATGTTCTCCTCTCCAGCTTGCAACAAATGTGTGCCTTCGTTCAGGAGTCTACTAGCTTGAGCCCGTCCAGAAAGGTCACTGGCTTGTTGCCCGCACAGATGATCGGCTTTTGTCACAGCAAAACCGACACATTTGGTGTTGACATTAGGCTGCACGCCGAGGATATCAGGGAGATAACAGGGAATTCGGCCCATGGTTCCATTAGAACTAAGCATCCTTGAGTTATTTCGCAAATGAACGTAATAGAAAGAAATAACTTTAAAATGAGAGTAACACGTCGACGTCGAAGGCCTCTTTTATATCATAATGACCAGCTCGAGCAACAGCCTCTACCATAATTTCAGCTCTCCCATGGATACTCCCAAACAGGCATAATCGGTGACGTCTTAGAGTAAGTTATTTTTGTCTTGCCAGTTGAGTGTGGCTTATCGCATAAGTGGTGCCTAGGGCTTCCATAAAGCATAATGTAACCTTGGAACAAGTCACATCAGCCACACTTACTAGTACCTGGAAGGCAGCAGGAGCAATTTTCAGCTACTTAACGGAGATAGGGTCAAACATTATAGTCTCATTCCATCCAGAATAGCTCCACTGGCCAGACGAGTCGCGTCAGTGGGATTTGCGACTATGCTAATTCACACAAGAATAAGTGCTGGCAACACTATGCCGCGGCCACAGCCGCGCCAGTAAATTTAAAAATCGGAATGAAGCACAATGATTGTCAAAAGTTCTTAATTTTAGAGAGCAGTATAGGAATTACATTGTGAAATTTAGCTAGTTAAAAAACTCAAAGAGGGTTCTGTAAATTTTTCTCCCGATTCATCCTTTCGTGGGTGTTGTTTAGGAGCCATGATTATAATACTGTATATGGCACATGCAGTTTTCTATTTCTGTTATTCACGTGCAGTTAACAGGACTATAAATATATCCACTAGATAATGAATCGGGACTGATAGCTTTACTGGGTTGAGTTTTGCCAAGTATGGAAAGTACAGTTTGCTGCCAGATTAAAAATGTGGCTGTACTCAGAGAAATGATAACTAGTATAGTGCTTCATTGCAATGCATGTAAGTTATGATGACTTTTAATGAGATAGCACGTTTGCATCTATTTATGGTGTATTCGAGAAGGGTCGTAATTGCGCTAACCTCAACAATGCCAAAGATAACGACCAATTCATGCCGCAACAGGCGCTTGAAATATTCTCAGACATTATTACCTAATTCCGCTTCGTTGTAACATACATGCTTTCATGTATAAAACAGGTTTTAGTGTGGTGCCTGGTTGTTGTCTAGATAATGAACCGAACCGTTCCATGTACTACTGGTATAGCCGCCAATCAAGCCCATGTCATTACTCTAGGTTGAAGTACTTCGCCTACAGGACTATGCTTCCATATATCGACTCAGCCCAGGTATCTTGTCCTAAGTCTATAAGATCTGCAATTTCAAAATTTATAGAGCTTCCAACTTTTAGACACCACAACCAACCCTCCTGCTCAAATGAGTCGTACCTCGGATCGCAATCCCAGTTACGGCTGATGCAAATGACCGCAATGAAGTCAAGTGGTTTGATGATGCTATTCAGGTACATTTACATGCGTATGAGCCGAGAGAGCCTGATCGACTAGTATTTGTCAACGGAGAAGAAAATATGATTGTAACGAGTTCATGCCCACGGCATCTTCAGTCAGCTGACCGGGAAAAACGCAAAGAATTGTACCATATTATATATGAAATCGATATTGAATCTTCATGGTTTTCTTGTTTCGGTTGGCTAATACATCATGATGGCTAAGAAACTTGCCCGGGAATAGATGAGGGGAATTCAATCTAGAAAACACGGTCTTTTACATAGAACATATGAGATGACCCTAAAGGACATAGATGTACCGAGCTTTCCAAGGTTGGGAGTATTACTGAACTTGTTGCATGTCATAGGACAATGCCCTCAGTAATGTGTGTGTGACATTATATAACCGCTGTAGGCTGTGGTCAATCACTGCGTATCCATTCACTAGTGGGACAAAGGCAGCCTGGGGGTAAGCCCTGGGTGCCAAAAACTAGTTACAAGAAGTGACTTTTTGGCGCTTTTATATAACTTCTGTGGTCAGATGGATGGGCTCTACATGCATGTAGAGGCTGGATGTTGCTGCCAGCTGCAGTGTTCCGCCAACTCCCCATAACCGAATTTAACCTATTCAACACTGATAGAGCTTAGGATGAACAAAAAAAGATAAAAGGAACATAATAAAAGTTAGTCGTGGTTACTTAGCTTAGGTGCTAAGAAGAGGGCATAAGGATAGATATCCTCGAAGAATCAAGATTCTGAGAACCAGGTAGCTAGTTTCATGGCGCCTTTTGGAGTACCTAGAAGAAAGGGGATAATTTTAGATGGGGTTCCAGGAGGTCTAGGGGGTAGGCAATCTTTCTCTTTTCAATCCGGCAGAACAAGAAGTATATTAGTGACTTCTTCATACAATATTGGCAGAAGAGGTTTGCATCTTGATGGTTAAACTATTTATGGTAGTCAACGAAGTCACTATGCTTAGGGCGCGCAGCTAGGATTCGCTCCAATATAGGGTGCGGAAGTTTGAGCTCTTCTAGGCGGGTTGGGGACGTGGTAATCTTAAGATCTTGATAGGCCTGTAGCGTAACTTTCTTTCAGTAAGTCTGGACTCAGGTAATTGCTAATGATTTGGTATGCCACTTAAGAGCTAACGTATTTAACGGGTAAGTGACGCACCAAAACCACACCTAGTCTATTGAACCCATAGAAATTATATGTAAACCACAAAAAATATATTAAAAAACTATGAAGCTAGATTTTTACACTGGATAGGCTTATGACCTAGTTGCCAGCAATAACTACACCTAGTTGGCGCGTGTTGAGCGCGCTGCAAAGCTCCATCCTCATTGGCTGCAGGAGGGGGGCCTGACAGCTTCTTCAGCCTCTTGTGCCAGCTCTCGGCCCTCGGAAACAGTCAAAATACCCTCAGCTTGTAGGGGCCTTGTACGGCGAGTTCGACGTTTTTGCAGTTGGTCAACCGCATCACGTAGATCATGCTAAAAGGGCGGCATTGTACATAGTTGTAAGTGACCCTTTGATCAACTGATTAAGAGCTTGACTACTGGGCGAATTTCTATCCAAATCCCCACTATTAAGCATATTTTTGATAGACCTGGCTTGCCTTTCTAGCATACGAGGATTATAAGACTTTTTTGGGCTCCAAAAGTGTCGCTACTTGACGAACTGGGCCGGGTTTGGGGGGGAGCAGCCTCCCTGACTTCAAGTTGCAATCTTGATATAACTTTTTCCGGATCGAATGGCACAATTCCAGCATACGAAAAGCCTCCCTTAATATTTTGTACGATGTAAGTTTGTAGGCGTACAGGATAGATCATTTCAAGAAATCTAGCTTGACAATATGATGAAGCCCGGACTGAATACAGCTCTCAACGGCGGCCCCATATAATCGCTTCAAAACTGAAAAAACAACCAAATCTAGGGGCGGAAGTAGATGAGATGAGTGCGGAGGCATGCAATAATATTCCTATTTTTGCATGCTTGGTCGAATTCCGGTGTCAAACGGCTACTGTGACCATCAAGTATTAAAAGTCGATACACCCCAACTGTGTGAGGCTTCGTAAAGGGGTCAAATATCTTTTTTAACCATTGCAAACCAAGTTCATCTGACGTCCAGCAATTAGGCGAGTGTGTAATTGACCAATCTGAAGGCAGATTTGGAGACGTATACCATTCAGCTTGGTTATGGCCAGATTTGAAGATAATCAATGGAGGCACGACAGAGCCTGTGCTTCCAACACACTCCACGACAGTAATCCATTCGCGATTTCCAGGCTGTATAAGACTTGGGTTTTCTCTGCGATCAGAGCTACATATGACTTTTGCTGTAGTGGATATCCCCATTGCAAACCCAGTCTCATCAAAGTGATAAATATCCTCATCGGCAATCCCGTATTGCAACTTCAGCCGCGTAATCTTGTCAAAGAAGCCGCCAATCAGAGCAGGGTCCTCACATCTTGCTCGGTTATAGGATAATCAACGTGCAAATACGGCTTTGAGATCTGGTTATCGACGGAGAAACGTTTGAACCCAGTTAACACCTACTTTCTTAGGAGCTGCGTTCAGATCCCTTTCAGCGAGTAAGATATCTGCCAGGCTTCCAAGCATGCAGGCCTAGGGGGTAGGCCACGTGTTTCTAGAGAGAATACCCAGCTCCGGAGAGATTCCTCTCCTGTACGGGCCATTTTATGACGTTCAATGCCCGCTAGGTGGTGAGGGGTAGCCCCCTTGAGGCGCCTTCGTAAAGTTGCTTCGGATACATCAAAAAGACGCGCAGCTCGACGAACTTTGTCGATTTTTTTGTATTAATCGTGTCAATAGCTAATTAAAGTCTCCCTTCATAGCCAGTATCAATTTTTGCACGTGCTTTTCCCATTTCTGGATGCGTAGGTGTTGGTGGAAAAGTGGTGGTTGGATATCGCGCGGCAATTCTATTTTGGTGCGTCACTTACCCGTTAAATACGTTATATATAACCATAAGTAAGGGGAGCACAGGGTTTAATACATATCTTCTTTAACGGCCTAGTCTGCTTCTTCATTGCTAGAATATTTGTATATCCAGGGACCCAGTAGATCCAGATTGGGCCATACTTAATAAATGGGTGTAGTTAGGGGGAAGTCCAGGTGGCTATGAGTATGCGGAAGTCCCCAAAAGACCTCCTGTGATGAGCTGGTCATTAAGGACAAGAGCTGGATTGTTACTTCCAGGTTATCTAGGCATATCCATATGTTAGATCCTGAATAGGATCCTATGTGCTATATAGCAGCTTTTAGTCCTAGGAGGGCTACTATCGTTTCTGCGTCAAAGACCTCCTTATTGGGACCTAGGGGGAATGAGCCGCGTAAGACCTGATTGCCTCCTATAAATCTAATAAACCCTCTTCCTATTTGTCCGTTTTCTTTGTTTAGTTCTATTAGTATAGATCACGATATCTTTTTTCAGAATAGATTATAGCTAGGCCACCTTGAGGATGTTGGTTTGGAGTTCGTCTTCACCTGGAGCGGTGTTTCCAGCCTTTAGAATAGCCTTTTCCACTTGTTCTATAGAGATCTCAGGAAACAGGAGAGCAGCGCTAGGGGCAGCTGGGCAGTCTAGTGGAATATCCCCTGCCTCGGCTGTGTTCTGAAGAACGTTGCAAACTAGTAGATCTCGCTTCTCCTGAGTAGAGACTGCAGGGGGCTCGTTCGGTCGTAGAGGGTCCTTGAGAGGAGGGCTGCGGTACAATCCTACCGATTTATGCCATTTGCTGATGTCGAAGACCTCCTTCGTTTGTGCGGCAGTTATTAGCTTGTCACGCCAGTATTGTCTTTGTGCTTTTGTGGTTGTCCTACAGAACTCATCTTTAGAGAGTAAGCTAGGCCAGTAGTTCTGTAATACCCCCTTATATTCTAGGTTCTACCATGGTTGTCCTCGTCCGTGGGGAAGGGACCTCTTGGCAGAGCCTTTGTACGCACTGTGTATTGCTAAGACTATCCCTTGAGCTAGTGGCTCTAGATTGTCTTTGAGTCCGGCGGTTTGGTCTGTGTGAGGTTGGTAGAAAGGAGAGATAGAAAAAGAGGTTTGTCAAGTGCCTTAAATCTTATTTTTTTAGCGGATGATACGGGTCTTTGATCTTATGGAATGATGGTGAGCAGTGGTGTATGATCTGAGGTTGAATCTAAATGGGGAGCGGTATTAGTGTGTAGTCCTCTCTGTGCTAAAGAGCTAGTAAAAGGTGAGCTCTAGAACATTGCCTCTCATATGAGTTGCGTATTCTATTTCTAAGGTAAGTAAAAGGCCTTGATAGTCTAGCCATTCAATGAAGGGTTCTGCCAATATAGGAGGTGTATAGGTTAATAAAGACTGCCAACTGGTATGTAGAAGATTGAAGTCCCCAGCGAGGAGGGTAGACTTGGAAGAATAGGGTTTCTGGTAGGGTCATTAGGGCCTTCGTGGTTACGAGCATGGGTGACAGTACCAAAGAGACGAAGCCAGGTTGGGAGAGAGATCTTTGAGTCTTCAGAGAAGTTAATAAACTAGCTTGGAGATGGTAAGTTGGTATTATGATAGTAGCACTAGCAGCCGTCTCGCTGACAGGTACTAGTCTATATCCTGTTTTGCTCAGTAACTCCAGTAGACAACATGGCAGGATCGACTGGAATGGTAGAATATTGGCCATTGATAATGTGGCCGATCTTCCTTTGCAGGTTTGTGACTCTATATGAGATCCATTGAGAGCTCCGCTTAATTTGGCAGTTTGTGTGTTTCTATTTAACGGCCGTGGTTCGTGACTCGCACGCTTCCCACCGTTCCCTATTGGGACAAAGGCCACCGAGGGGTAAACCTCGGGCTTCAAGATCTATCAGATCTATGTACAGGTATCAGGAAAGCCAATATTGAATCAGGTACATAATAGATATATTTGCTTTCAATCATGCTGTGTTTCATCCTGAAACAAGTCAATAATGGTACCTAGGTATCCTTGCTTTACAACGGTAGGAATTTTCTTCCTTATCTTGACCTTGGTCGAGGCTGCTCATTCAGACTCTAATGAAGGAGGTCGCTACATATAAGGGTTGGGACTTTAGTAGATCAGCTATTATCACTTTTTTCCCACGGCTGTGAGAAGAATGTCCTTGGTAGCATCATCCGAAAGTGACGTGACACCCTTGTTCAAGCGCCAGGCAACGTGAAGATCTGGGCGAACGAGCACAACATCACGTTCCCAAAGATCCCGAGCATGCTGCTCATTTGGTAGATGAACAGTGGCAATGGGGATGCCCAGATGAGAGGCAGCGTCCTTGAACCTCGAAGCAAAATTTCCTCCCGTAGTAAAATCAACTAGACTATAGTCAAACCCCAAGAGGTCATGAATACTGGTATCGCCATCGCGGAGGAACACATGTGGTGCGCGAGCTCCGGGAGATGTGGACGGAATGTAGTTTCTTTCATTCCATTCAGGAGTCTCCTGGTCATCTGTACCCTGAAGTACAATAGGAGAGGGGAAGTTTCGATATCCCATTTCCACTCCCAAGTATTTATTTTCTCCATCGTTAGTTAGCACATGAGACCTGATGCGATCACGTAGACTTTCCCCTTTCTCGTCTGTTGATATGACAGTACCTTGGCCCTCACCGTGGACCCATTCAACATACGTTCTATGAACCATTCCATGAACGCCTGACATATGGACATTGCGATCCGCTACGGGATGGCGTTCAATCTCATATGAGTTTAATAACTCCTCTCCGCCATGACCATTGAGAACTGCAGCAAGTTTCCAGCCAATATCGAACGCATCACCTAGACCGGTGTTCATTCCGTATCCGCCGAGGGGTATATTCTGGTGGGCTGATACATTCATGTCAGATACGATGGTGTATCTAAACCTAGCATAATTTGGAAAACTCACCTGCATCTCCAGCTAGGAATACCCGTCCTCGATTAGATCTATAGTGCTCGGCAACGCATATATGTCCTGTCCAAGCGCTCGTCACGAGAATCTCATCGATGTCGATTTTATATCTTCCGCTGGACCCACCAAGCACCTTGAACACGACTTCGTAAGGATCGAGCAATTCAGTGTTGGTGTCAGGGGGTATTGGCATGTGCACTGTCCAGATGTCCTTCTCGTTCTGGCTGATAATTACACCCCCATTGCAGAAGAAGATGTGCCAAAACTGGCCCTGCTTATGTAGCCTTTCGAGATCTCGAGACCTAAAATGGACTAGGAAGTTTGTCATAGGTCTGGAGAGGGAGCGTGTTAGTAGTGAACATTGACTGGAACAATAATCATTCATGCATACATTGGACCTCCGGTAAGTGGTATCTCCAGGCTACGTCTTACTCGACTGCTAGCTCCATCGCAGCCGAGTACATATTTCGTACTGACCACATACTGCTCGTCCGTTACGCTGTCGCATAACGTAGACTCGACTGCGTCGTCTAGTTCACGGAGAAATTCGAATTTCACGCCGAAGAAGCAGGCGACAAGAGGCTCTGCCTCAACTATTGGCTTCATCCAAGCTTCGAAGATCGATTGAGAGCATCGCTGGTACGGCTGCCGAGGCATAGTCCCGTCATTCGTCTTCTTGATTCGTTCTCTGTACTCGTCGGGCGATTCGAGGTCCTTATACCAGATTATTAGTATCTCTGTTTCCAGACTAGAATACTATATCCTTACCCATTTAGCAACCAATTGTCCTCCATCCGAAAGTCCGGTGCTAAAAAGGCAATCTAGCGAATAGTCTCCTGGTACGCCTATAGGATGGGTCAACGGTTTGTTCTTTTGTGACATAAATTGCCAGCTCCTATTACCTTGTTTCCGAAGGTCATCAGCAAGCCCCAGCCTATCTAGCAATTCCATAGACCGAACATTGGTGATGTCCATTTTGGGCCATTTTGTTGTCTCGAGATTGCGCTCGACAAGGATTGTCCGGATACCACGCTTCGCAAGCTGGAAGGCAGTGACCAGTCCTACTGGGCCGGCCCCTACAACTAGTACTGAAGCATTGGAAGGGAACTTATGCCCATTTGTTGGGGAGTTTTCCGTTTCCTGTGTAGGCTCAATTGATACTTTTAGCATATTCTACCAAGAGCATTTCACTGAAATGCAAATTGAGATAGGGATATAATTTGTGGACTTACCATTTTGAAATACGATCAAGGGACTTGGGCAAATAAGATAAAGGACGTTGGCTTGAATAACTTGGGACAACCATGAGTGTACCTATGCTTTGATATATATAGGTACAACTCGGTAAATCTGCATGCCGGAACATTGGAAAGCCTGATACGTGATTGGTATAGTGTAACCGTATTTCAAATTGCCAAATCCAATGTAATGTCGTGCATGTATCTGAGGAATGCAAAAATGAAAATATCCTCCAATCCCTCATAAAATACCGGTCACTTTCCTAAATAGGAAGGAGTCCGATTTTTCCCAAAAAGGAAACATGCAGACAATTCAGGGATCAGGGAATCGACATTGAAAGATTGAATCGAATAACACAGCATCCTCGAGAATATCGAGAAGATTACCAGGACATCCATACAAGTGAATTATGTGGTATCACGGTAATTCCCCCGGGGAATTCCTATCTCGTAAATAGACTTCGTGGGGATTGTCGTAAGCATTTTACAGCCATATATAGATCCAATTTTGTCGATTCATCCCTCTGACAGGTACTATAAAATAGAAAAATTTGCCACCGTAACAGCTTTCTGCAGTTATAATCAACATAATAAAATTACGAGATATCTCAATATCTCAATATGGTTCTTTTATCATTCCAGACACTTGCGTTATTCAGCGCATTTCTCGCAGTCGTCGGTCTGGGCTATGTCTTTCTTTTCTTTGGAAGAAGGGGCCAGAACTATCCAGATGGTGAGTTCGAAGCCTTTGTTGCATATATCAGATTTACTTCACCGCTCCTGACTCTGATTAACTGTAGGACCCCCAACACTTCCAGTGATTGGAAACATACATCAAATTCCACGGAAGGGCAGCCATTTTGTGTATGAAATATGCCACGAAGAGGATCCTCATTGTTGAATAGAGCTGGTCACTGATACTTCTCAGGTTCACCGAAATGGGCAAAAAGTACGGCGGCATGTTCTCACTGAAAATCGGAACCGGCACTGTCATTATCCTAAATGACCGGCGAATTATAAAGGAACTTCTCGACAAGAAAAGTTCAACAACAAGTAATCGACCAGCCTCCTACGTGGCACATACTATCACTGGTGGGGATCATCTTCTTGTGATGGACTCTACCCCTACCTGGAGATTATTTCGAAAGTTACTCCATCAGCATTTTATGGAATCCGTGTGTGACAAGGAACATATCAATCTCCAGAATGCAGAAGCCGCACAGATGCTACGTGACTTCGTTCTCTATCCAAAGGAGCACATGCTTCACCCCAAACGGTTTAGTAACAGCGTGATTATGAGCATACGTATGTACATTGCTGTACTTTGGAAATGTGACTAGATGCTGATGATCATCAATTAACTAGTTTTTGGAATACGAACCCCTTCAAACGACACACCTCATATGACAAAATTGTACGCTTTAATGGATAACTGGTCAGAAGTAATGGAGATTGGGGCAACACCGCCTGTGGACATGTTTCCATTCTTGAAGCTCATTCCTGAGCGCTTTCTCGGAAACTGGAAATCTCGGGTTACGAAGGTCCAGGATCAGATGAATTCCCTATATAGGGAGACATTGGAGCATGTCATGGACCGCCGGAAATCAGTTGGCAGTCGTGGCTCTTTCATGGATAGAGTCTTGGACAAAAATGACAAATTGGGTCTGACACCGCATCAACTGTATTTCCTGGGAGGTGTTGCAATGGAAGGAGGATCCGATACTTCGTCGGGGATCATTATCATCTGCATTCAGGCTCTGACAAAATATCCAGAAGTACTGAAAAAGGCCCAACAGGAAATTGATTCTGTCGTTGATGAAAGTCGAACTCCGGTGTGGTCAGACTTTGCGAAGCTACCATATATCACCGCTGTCGTCAAAGAAGCTGTGCGATGGCGATCTGTTGGTGGACTCGGGTTTCCTCACACACTTACTCAAGGTATGTACACCTCTTTACTTTTTTTGTCTACAAAAGAAAAGTAAATAGGTTATCTAACACATGGAAGATGAGTGGATCGACGGCAAGTTGTTACCAAAGGGAGCCAATGTTTATATCAACATTTGGGCTCTCCACCATGACGAAGGAAAGTTCCCAAATCATGATGTCTTTGATCCCGACCATTACCAGGGGTATACTCGGTTGGCGCCAGAGTACGCAGTTTCAGGTGACTATGACAACCGGGATCATTATGGATATGGAACTGGACGTCGCCTGTGCCCCGGTGCTCACCTCGCCGAACGTAATCTATTTCTTGGAATCGCCAAGCTCATCTGGGCTTTCAATTTCGAGAAAGAAGTAGACGATAACGGGAACCCGATAGAGGTTGACACAGACCCCGTATCAGGATATAGTGAAGGATTTCTGATCGGCGCGAAGCCATTCCCTTGCAAGATTACGCCACGTTCCAACAAGAGGAGAGAAACAATCATGGAAGAATTCCGGAGAGCTGAGAGGGATGTATTCTCAAAGTACAGCGGTTTACCATAGTGAAGATTATCCTGATAGTCATTCCGAGGAACATCTGAAATGTACGGAGTATGGATTTGCCTTTCAAGCTAATAAAGTGGGTTAATCACCAGTTAAAATACACAGTCTTTACCAATAGTACCGTATTTTAATGTGGGCAAAAAACAAGTGTGGCAAACCCCGCAATTTGTCTTTACATAATCTGGGGACTTCCCCAGTTTCTTCCCCAGTCACTTGAACCTAAACCGAACTCCTCTTTTCTTTCTGTATACCCTATCTAGAATTTACTACTAGGATTAACGGTCTTTTTGAAGAGGAAAATATAGGACGAATTGAAAACTCCCAGATTTTGGGATACAATGGATGGCCTTGAATTCGGCATTTTGTCAGGCCCGGGTTACACCTCATACGGGAGAGCACTTTCTGGTCAATCGGTGGGACGTGCTTGCGCCGAATGCAAAAGAAAGAAAATAAAATGCGACCTGAAACGCCCCGGATGCTCTCTGTGTGTAAGGAGGGGGTCGAGGTGCGTCTATCCAACGCGTCGATTGTCCCGGAGACGCATTGAGAGTACCGATCAAGACATTTCATGTGAAGAGCCGAAGGATGTGGTGGCCAAATTTCATAAGAGGATTAAATCATCACCACCGACCATGGATGAGCTAAATGCTCAAATGAAGCAACCCGAGATCAACACGGCTAGCCCCTTTGATGATCTGCTCAGCCCAATGTTTCCAATGACATTAAGAGACGACCACGCTGATGTCCTATCTATAGCCACATTGGATGAATCATGGGATTTGAATACTTTAGGAAAGTGCACCTGGTTGGAGTCTTTCTTTCCGTCCGGCAACTGTCTAGATGAAGGACTAAAAGGTATGGGAGAGAGCCATGGTCTGATTCAGTTGGCCGATCAAGATTTTATGGCCAACCCATCTTCCTTTGAATCCATGCCAATGGAAGGATATAGTCTTACTATTCCCCCTGGAGTTGCCGATGAGTTGATCGATCTATATTTCGAAAAGGTTCAGGCGTCCTTGCCTCTATTTCGACGATCGAGTTTTCCTTTGAACTGCATCAATAGCTCCAGCGATTGGAATCACAGATATTGCAATCTATCACCTACAGCTCAGTTACTCCTTAATGGGATCTTTGGTCTATCAGCCAGGTTCAGCACTTCTCTGTTTCATTCAATGGACCCGGTAAACAGAGGAAATCAATTCACTGAACGCGCATCGGCTCTGTGGGATGAAATTTACAAAGATCACAAATCGGACATCCGTTCTCTACAATGTCTACAAGGACTTATTCTAGTTACATTCAATGCCTTGCAATCTGGTCCTTCGGAACATGCATGGAGTCTGTGTGGACATTGTGTACGCCTCGCATATGACCTGGACCTTCACACCATTGATGCAAATTATGATCACAGGGAAGAGAGTCTTGATGAGTGGGTCGCACTAGAAGAGAAACGCCGCGCTTGGTGGACAATCTGGGAGATGGACACCTTCTCATCCGCTATGTCACGAAGACCTTTCGCAATAGACTGCCGCTTTACTCAAGTTCTACTTCCTGTTTCTGATATAGCATGGTACAACAAAACACGAGTTCCTTCGGGATTTCTAAATCTGCATCTAGATATGCCTTGGAAATGTCTTTGTGACTCCCCAAATCAAGAGCCGAGGGCCTGGTTCTTGATATCCCTGGCTGCTTTCAGACACTCTTTCGAAGTGATGCTGTTACCAGAGGCACATCCACAGTTACTGCATGACGCTGAAGCGATGATAGCATGCTTCGCTCTAGCATTACCCCAAAACTTTCAAACGGACTCGGGATCCATGGTTTTTAACAAAACTAATTTTGCGAGGAACAACTGGATTGTCTGCACATTAATAATTCTTCAGTGGTATTGTAACCCCCATGTTCCTCTTTGGCGAGCAAGAGCTGACATATCCTGCTGTTAGTGCTCGATCTTTAATCGAGGTTAAAATGCATCAACTTGGCATGAATAACAGCAAATCGTACGAGACAAGTTTCTCAGCGCGCCCATCAGATATAATGTCTCGCAATTTGCACCAAACATGTACTTCAAGTCTCAGCGAGCTCATTAGTGCCGCGCAATCAATGTCACCACAGTATATACCTGTCTGTTCTCCCTTTATTCTCTGTGCCCTACTCGGGCCCGGAACGGCCCATGTTCCAGACGATCGACTCTCTCAAGCAGATCGATCAAACCAATTGTGTGCTGAGACTATCAGACTTATTCTGCGCAACTACGGAAGATATTGGGTTATAGGGAAGGTCCTTATGGGTACGCCACACCTACTGGTTGATTGGTTTCAGGGCTGACACTTGCTTTAGAAGTGCTTGAATTGCATGGAAAGTCGGGTCGATCCTCTGCCACAACAAGCAAACACTCATATGGAGAATTTAGGCCACAGTGGCGCGGATTGGTTGACAGTGCCTATTGATTTGGAATGTAAAGGGACATGACAGCCCACTCAAGTCATCGCATGAAGCAGATTGTGATGACGTGATCCGTATCTGTCTTATGTTGAGACATTACCAGCTCAGGACACCCTTCAGGAGATGGAAATGAAATGCCAACACTTGCGTTGGAAAATTTGATCCCGATATGTATCAAAGCCAACATTATTATTACTGCATACTATCTAATGAGAATACCTATCAATCGTTGGTATAGCTTTCTCGAATTGTACTTCTTCGTATATTGGTTATATTGACAAGATCACTATTCAAATCTAGTTTCCATCTGTGATGCTTACAGTTGGCCGCAAATTATAGAGATAGATGCCCGCAGGCGTATTAAACACCTAAATCTACCGAGAGACCAGCTTGAATTCGGTGTAATTCATCATCCCTACATTCATAGCATGAAGAATTAAATACAGACCACTCGAAAGGTTTGCATGCATACCTAGATATGTTTCTCAACCCCGGTCTACTCCTCTATCGAATCTAGCGGAGCATCGGCAACTGGTAATATGCGACATTAACGACGATAGTTCAGTTCACTGCTCCAGTAGACCTTGACTCAAAGTAGCCCCTGACTAAATTGGCTATTGCTTTTCACACTTTTATTACCCGGAAAAAGTACAGTTCAACGTAGCTAGGTACCTGGCACTGAATATTACAGGGGCTTTTATTTCACACACCTGCTCGATATTTAGCCGGTCTCTTCCCCATGGGGAAGAGTTGCGGGTCACGGACAGGGAGGAAGCACCATGACGCTTTCTATTAAGAGCATATGGTTAAGACAAACAATCGTACTTCTATTAAGCATTTATGTGGCTGCATAAGAGGCGTGGATTGCTTGGCTCTCGAGGGGTGTAGTTACGTAGGTGGTAGAAGCCTTGAAACATGACAAGGAAATAATTCTTCCGCCTCTTAAAAGTGCGTCTCTTCTCTTCATTAATATAAATAGCCGGTTCAATGGTTCTTCAGAGGGAATTAAGATTCTCAAATTCCTCGTCTTCAGTTAAAATCTTTTTACCACTTTGACAAACCCGTGTCTATTCAACCATGCGTACATCTACATCCCTTATACCACTGGTAATTAGTCTATCTCTAGACAGTGCCTTAGGTCAAGTAAAGATCAACACCGCTACAAAATACCAAATCATCGACGGTTTCGGTTTCTCCGAAGCTTTTGGTTTTGGGGTAGGCGTGCAAGATGCACCAACCACTCAACAGAATGAGGCTCTCACGTACCTGTTCGATAAGACCAAAGGTGCCGGCTTTACTATTCTGAGGAACCGGGTTGCGGCCGATCCTGGGAATACCATTGAGCCTAATAGTCCCGGTTCAGCTTCTGGGGCGCCGACTTATAGGTGGAATGGTGACGACCAGAGTCAGGTTTGTAGAAGCATTGTTTAGTAGCAATGAAGGAGTACTGATGTGAAAATGAAGGTTTTTTGGTCGAAAAAGGCACGTCAGATGGGGGTGGAGTACATCTACGCCGATGCATGGAGTGCTCCGGGATTCATGAAAACGAACAATAATTACGTGGGTGCTTGAAACAATCAGAGAGTGAAAGAAGTTTCTCGGTTTGCTGACTCCATCTACCAGGAGAACGGCGGTTATCTTTGCGGCGTGACCGGTGAGACTTGCTCTTCCGGTGATTGGAGACAAGCATACGCCAACTACTTAGTTAAATACCTTCAAGACTATGAAAGTGAAGGTATAACAGTTGACTTTATCGGATTCTTGAACGAGCCTGAGTTTGCGTTAGTTCTCACTTGCCCCCAAAAAGACTTAAATAATCTAACATGACAGATCTGCAGAGCGTCTTACGATGCAATGCTGTCAGATGGAACAAAGGCAGCATCCTTCATACCAATTCTCCATTCCACGATACAGAAAGCAGGACTTAGTACCGGCATAATTTGCTGTGATGCCGAGGGCTGGAATGATCAGGTCACCTACACGGCGCAGCTCATTGAGGCTGGAGCAGAGGAATACCTTTCCCGCATCTCATCCCATTGGTACACCTCCAAAGGAACCTCTCCCATTAACACGACATTGAGGGTATGGGAAACCGAGTATGCGGATTTGGATGATGGTTTCAGCACTACCTGGCATGCGTCCGGTGCGTTCAACGAGGGTTTGACGTGGGCTGGTTATATCTACCAGGGTCTGGTAGACTGTAACCTTAGTGCTTTTCTCTATTGGATCGGTAAGTGGCAGCGTTTTTCTTTTCGGAAACATAATTTTCAAGCCCTGACAAAAATAATGTAGGAGCCCAATCAAATAGCAACGCTGCTGGCCTCGTCACCCTCCAAGGCTCTGGCTCTTCCACGACCGTGACTCCTTCCGCAGCACTTTGGGCATTTGCAATGTTCTCTCGCTACATCCGTCCCAACGCTGTGCGCGTAGGAACTTCAGGAGCACCCAGTAACACTAAAGCCGCAGCGTTTGTCAATACCGACGGAACCACCGCTGTGGTCATGCTCAATCAAGGATCAACGGCCCAGAGTGTAACTCTCGGGGGTGTAACAATTGCTTCTGCCGTAGCGTATGTAATGGACAGCTCCGTCTCGTCACCTACAACTCTGTCGACGTCTATCAGTAACGGTAGTGTCGAAGCGACACTTCCAGGCTACTCGCTTGTCACTTTCGTGATGACCAGTTGACAAGGCTGAGGAATGTGGGATATCGAATGTCTACATGTCTTACTAGGCATCATGCTGACCCTAGAACAGAACAACTAGTTTATCTAGCTATTCTAACATGCGTAAAGAATAATTATACTCTATAACAATTGACATTTGTAGCGACGGCCCGTTTTCGGGCTTGGTTGTTGTGGAAGCCAGCGTCGATTCTATAATATTTCCAAGTGGCACTATCGATAGTGTTCCCCTCTACTAATTTGTTAGGCCTTGAATGCTTTGGAAATCTTTATCGAATGCAAAATACGTGGTGGAGCCATAAGGGGCCACGCAACTGCGATCTGTGTGACAAGTCACACCGCCAGCTCACACTACACTCGCCACCCCAAGTGGGTTACATAGATAAAGCTCAGGATGAGTAAGATTGGAATGTCCTAACTTAGTTATTATTATTATATCATGCAGCTCTAATCACATGATTGCCTAAAACTGTAATAGTACTAGTGCCTGGTAGCCTGATCACGCCTGAAACTTGAAACTCGCTCAGCTCAAGTCCACAGTGTATTAAACTGACTATACTACTCGCAATAGCCATTCAAACTGATATTGTGTACTTTGGGACCACTTATCCTAAATGTTGAACCAGGGTTCTCGCCCAACATGGCAGCGGAACGTCGTCCCGATCGAACAAGAGGAAAGATTTACTGGCACCCGGAGCAGCTCAGAGAGGACGACATATTCAAGGCGGCTCTCCGGGTCATATGTCTTCGATTCGCCATCCAGCTATTCGAGGCGACTTTCTTATTCGCGCCCGTTCGAAATCCAGGGCAGCTCAGAGAGACCGATATCACAGCTTTCTGAGTCATGGTCTCAGTCCTTCTCTTATGCCCCCAGTGATGATCCAGCAGATAGCTACCTAGGGGGGATCTCTTACTCTAGGCCCCAATCCGAGATCTTCACGAGCAACTCGGCAATACCTCCACGCGAACTCTCAAGGCCAGGAATTGATTTATCTCAACTGTAAGTTTCCATTTGTTGACCTCCTAGTTAGTAAATGAGGATCAGACTGACAACTCTTCAAGGAATGACATTAAAGTCATAGTTGTCATGGGCGTTACAGGGTCTGGAAAAAGCACCTTTATCTCTCTCCTCGCTGATCAACCTGTTGAAGTAGGACACAGCTTGCATTCGAGTGCGTATTCAAGACGTGGCACATGCACAGAATTGACACATGAACAGGTACGGTGGACATTAGAATCTACAGCTTCGACGACGAGCGCGAGGGGACTATAGTTCTCATAGACACACCGGGGTTTGATGACACGACGCGGTCAAATACCGAAGTCCTCAAAGAAATTGCATTCTTCCTCGCGGCTCTGTATAAACAAAACCTCTGCTTTTGCGGGATCATCTATTTGCACCGAATAACTGATCCGAGAATGCAGGGATCCACGATGAAGAACTTGCGGATGCTCCAGCTAATGTGTGGCAAGGAGAATTTTAAACATGTGGCTCTAGCCACAACTATGTGGGAAAATATGAAATCGTCCGAAAAAGGAGAACGAATCGGCCATCAGCGACTGATGGAGATGCGGCGGCCCGATTTTTTTGGGCAGATTCTTGGTGAAGGGAGAGACATCATACAGCACGACGGGTCCCCGGAGTCTGCTCGCAAAATCGTCCGTCTGCTAACCGAACAGAACAAAAAGGTTGTGCTTGACATCCAGTATGAATTGATCGATGAGGGGATGTCTCTGGACGAGACTAGTGCCGGGCAATACCTTCGCGAAGATTTTCTCGAAGCTCAAAAAAGGTTTGACGCAGAGATTGCGGAGTTGCAAGGAATTATGGAAGATGCAATGAATGAGAAAGATGAAGAGACCATGCAAGCAATCAGAGCCGAAAGGAAGGCTGCTGAAACAAGAATCATGCGGCATGCTCAAGACTGGGAGGGTCTCAACATTACGATGCAGCAATTGACTCATGAAAAACATCTCCAGTATCGCGATCTCGCCATGAATTTTCGTGAGCGAGAGCAAGCACGATCTACTAAAATGCAGGCCGCCGAGAGGCGGATTCGCGAATTGGAGATTATGCTCAACGAAATGGAACGAGAGAGAAAAACTGAAAGCACCCGGATCTCTCGAGAGTCTCCGCCACGCAAATTGAATCGCTCGAGAGAGCAGACACGTGATCGTCAGCGCGAACGACTTGAATTGCACAGAGATCTATCACAGCCCACGATAGAGCGTCGAATAAGACCAAGAGGGAAAAGGAGAGAAAGCCCTATACTTATGTTATTAAAGGGAATGTTCGGAGGGCTGTTCGGATATCCGGAAGACGAAGGGAGTCCTTGGGTGATAAGACGCCAAACAAGCTGAAGTTCTACTAGGGGGAATTTGGTGTAATAACTGCACGAGCTATCTATTAAGTTCGTTTATTATATCATCTAACGCGCCGTTGATGTCTCTTCAATGGGTATTTCTAGACTCGCGATAAGTGCCTTGCTAGGTTGAAGTGTTGGTAGGATAACGGCCGCATGCTTGATATGCAACGTCTTCTGGGAGTGATTACAATACAGTTCAATGATCCAAACATTTACTTTGTTCTCACTGAAAGAACTTCACATGACTATACAGCTGTTACTCGGTGGTGATTTGAAAGTCTTTAGTGACGGATGGGATGAGTCTCTACATCGCGGACCACATGCTCCACAGCAGAAATATTTATCAGAATCACAGAAGCAACAATCTAATACGTACTTAGCATAAAATGTTCTACACTATATCAAAATTTTACTCACGATAGTAATACTTTCGGCGAGTCAGCTTGCCACGACATTTCACACATGTCCTTTTTGGTGTATACCCGATGCAGACGTATTGGCGCTGGTAGTATCGGTTCAGTCTTTTCGCCCGACGTTTTCTCCTCTTCAATTCTCCCCTTTCCCGCTTCTCTAGCTCTTTAATCTCACGCCTACGTTGTCTTTCTTGCCTCTCCTTGTCCGCCTCCAATTTCATTCTTTTGCGTTCGTAATCGCCTTGGGCGTCTTCCTCTTCCTGGGTGAGCCGGTGACGCTCTATCTGCCTTTGTGCCTCCAGGTTCCGTTCCATCTCCGCCTGCAGCTTTCTCACTTCATGCTGTTGTCGACTTTTTTGTCTTTCTATATCTTTCTCCAATCGCTTTTTCTCTAGCCGGAGGTTCTCCTTTAGTTCCCGCTCGAGGTCATCTACCTCTTTCACTAGCTCTCTCAAAGCAGCTGTGTCCTCGGTAAGCTTCCCTAGATTCACAATCTCATTTTGATCTTCAAGAACAACCTTCGCCTTTTCCGAGAACTTTTCAAGAAAGCGCAACCCAGACTTTCTATTGTTTTGCAGCCGAACAATCTGAGCTCCATGCTCGAGCATAGAACCCCACAAATCTCGTAACTCTTTCTCTCGTCGGAATGCGAGAGCGACGTCTTTATCAGGGACTTGTTCCCAAAATACGGTTGCGAGTTTCACATTCTGGAGGGCATCTTTACCGACCAACTTGCGAAACATCTGTGTGTTTCTGAGAGCACTTCCTCCCATTCTTATATCGGAGATTCGATAGAGGTAGATGATTCCGTTAAGTCGCCGACCCGAAACCATTGACTTTTCCAACCATATCAAAATCAGCTCCGTCACCTCTATGTCCGATCGGTAGGAGCCATCAAACCCGGGAGTGTCAATCAAGATGTAATTGATTCCTTTATGAGAGAAGTGGTATTCGCAGACCTCCTTGGTCTCTTTAATATTATTAGTCTAGTTACGCTGTAGTGAATAATTTGGAATCCCAACTTACCGGACAAGAGAGTATCTCCAACCCCTACATCTTTACTTCCAGTGACGAGCTGAATAAATGTACTTTTTCCTGAACCCGTTGCGCCCATAACTGCAATTATCACGACGCTATTATCTTTATCCATCGTTACAAGTAGCGAAACTTCAGTGATTATAATGTGTTAACCATCATTGGGCCAGGCTGACCAGTTGACAAGCAGAAGGCTGCGGCCGGAGCTGAGAATCGGAATAATATACCATTGCGCCAAAAACGGAACCCCGTTACAGGGTTGGCAATTTGACTGGTTTATGAAGGTATTCCGGCTGACAGAAACTAGCTCACTCTCGGTAATGGAAATATACTAACAACATGCTAGCAAAAGTGCAGCGATAGAATGATTCACGGGTGATATATTTATGCTCAAGGTCTTTTATACTGGGTTTATCTATCTCCTGGGTGCCCAGAACATTGGCTTGTTGATTATTAACCTACTTAATACTTGCCTTCAGGTGGTGTTTTCATACAGGGTACAACAACAAAGGAAGTAGATATTACAACCTAATAGCAGTCGTAAAACATGAAAGAACAGAGCTCATATTGACGTCGGACGAATGATCTACATAACAACGCATGGGGTGTGCAGCCTCCTCAGTTGCTCCCTATATCTCTCGGCTTTTGCCTTTTCCAAATCTTTCATCAGTCTTTCTTTAATAAGTTCTGCTTCAAGGTCATTCCTAGATTTGAGACCATCAAGTTCCGCCTCCTTCTTTAATATCGTTTCTCTATGCTCGAGTTCCAATTCATAGGCTTTTTGACGCTCTAACTGTAACTCTTCATCCCTTTGTTTCTTAAGTTGCTCCCACGTAACTCTCATTCGTTCCCTATCATCTCGTTCTTCCTTCATTTTCTTCTCCACGTCTGCCTTCACTCTCAAGAGTTCCTCCCGGTAATGAGCATCATTCAGTTTCTGGGCCTCCTCGAATTCAGCTCGGAGGTCGCGCAGTTCCTGCTTGTGTTGTGACCGGAGTCGGTCGATCTCGGCATTGACTTCGCGTCCTGCTGCGGTTTCATCCAATGTTGCACCGCGAGCCATTTCTTCCTGAATTTGCAGGGTCACGCCACCAGGTGCATCACGGCTGCGCTTCGAAAGAATAAAACGGATGATCGCCAAGGCAGAGACGAGACCGTTATCTTGTCGGAAGACTTTACTGCCCTTTCTTATCATCCCTGCCCAGAACTCTTCATTTTGTTTCAGCTCGATCTCCCGCTTGATAGCTGTGTTTACTGGCACGAGACCCCACATGGTTGTTCCAAGGACAACACACGACAACCGATCTTCCCCGCAAAGCTGTTTGAACATTCGAAGATTCCTCAGAGCTGCTCCGCCCAGTCGATTGTCATTGATGCGGTGCAAATAAATGATCCCGGCGAGCTTAATGTTGGCTTCGTAGGATCGATTCAACCAAGCGGCCACCTCGCGGAGGACGGCGGTTTCGGTGCGATGGGTATCATCAAAGCCAGGCGTATCGATGAGGATCACCCGTTGATCATCGATGTCAGCTTCGTGGGCTTCGACGCTCCTGGTGACTAGAAAGTATGTTACTTTGCCGCCTGAATAACACTGTTAGATCTGCTTACAAGATTCAAGTCCCTCGCCAGCTCTGGCTGTTGGACAAAAGTAAGAGATAAATGTGCTCTTTCCCGCTCCTGTGACGCCCATGACAGCAATCACAATATCATTTGCCCTTGATCCTCATACCAATACATTAGCAAGTGTGAATCTCCGCTTGAGTCATTCTGTCATTCAAACATACGTGATTGTTACCGGAGCGGGATCATCAGCCATTGTGATGTCCTCGTAACGCGGCGGAATTGAACTGTAGCGGTCCTTGGTTTGGGAATGGTACATTGACCCTGCCATGAGGAATAAAATCAAAAATTGACTTGCTCTTAAGTGTGAAAAACCTCGAGCTTACTGATTGTGGGAAATAATTGTGTCTGTGAGCTGTGAGAGCGAGCAGAGCCGCAGACAGGCTTTCGGGCCCCACGAGGTTCTCAAGCCGGAGGCATCAGGCTGGCACTTTTCATGCTGCTTGGATCGCAAAGAGGTTGCTAGAATTATGCAGAATGAGGCAGGATCCAATCAGAGAATCCTTTTTAATTTATCACTTGACATGAACCAGGATCTCACTGACCACTCGAACGAAAGAAGGCTGCAGTACGCGTTGCCCTTCCCTGCAATGGCCACCAGGTTTCTCAGGAATCAGTCCATCCCTCAGTCGAGTCGCTATTGAGCGCATCTTCGGATTTAGGATTACGCCCACGAATCCGAGTAATTTTGTGGCATTCGTGGTCTCAGTGTGATATATTATCAGCCTGTCATGATGAACCCTCAAGACTTTGCCAATGTGACGTTGTGCAAGGGCTGAACTGGGCACAACATAGGATAAACTGCTTATGGATTGCCCACAGAACTAGTGTAGTAGTGTAGCCAATTTATGAGACCCAGCTCCAACTGACTCCCATACACGATGCTTCATTTTGCTATTCTGCCTCCCACATGTAGCTTGTAGGCTATGACATGCTCCCCTTCCAAGCCCCTTTCGTGTGTTAAAGCCCGTAGTTTACATTACTGCCTGGACTTCTCCTGCCGGCAAGGCTGCCCTGGCCGACGGTGATGTGTTGACCTGCTAGTGAGGCTGAGGTGCGGGGTTTGCCTATAAGAGCACTGTAGTGTACGGAAGTGGGCACAAAAGTTTTCATAACTGCCAAATCTACTAATACTGTCACGATAGTGGGTGGACAGGGCGTTACCGAGGGTCTGTGACAGCTTATAGGTACTAATAATTGGGTCTACATTGATGAATCAAGATGTAACAGATGGATAGGCTTTAAGGCAGTGGAAATATTTACCTAATATCTCTCATCTCCAAGAAGCTCAAGGAATGTGTATTAACTCCCGTAGAATCTAGCATACAGATTAAGAATAAATCAATATATATATAACCCAAAATCATCATTTTCCCATCCCTACACCTTCGCGACATTCATTACAGCAAGTACAGAACGGATTCCTTCAAGAGCCGAACCAACCCTTTTCAAGAAATGATTCGGGGTTAGGAAAGCCAACAAGATCACAAGCAGGGCAACTGAATTAAAGATAGCTACAAACACACTAGAGGAGTTGAAAGCACCTGGAACAAGGCGAATTTCCTTAGATATAATGATATCGCGTCCCTGTTGTGTACAAATAGCCCTAATCGATAAGATAAGATAAGATAATCCTATCACGTGCATTTTCCTCAGGGAGGCGCGGAAGTCGAGGAAGGAAGAAAGGAGTTGGACAACTTTTCCATCTCATCAACCTCAACGACAATAATGAAAACGACTGGTTCGCTTACATTCGCTTAGAAATGATTGCGCTTTTTGCTCCTCACAAATAATTTCGTTCTTTGTATTTCTTTATAGCCTTTCCCCATGCATAGACACAATTTATCGGCGACGTCGATCCGCAAGAAAGTTTCTTTCGACCTTGCAGACTTGACAGACGATTCAGACCCAGAGGATTATCGAGACGACTACAAATCAGACTGGTCGCCCCGATCAGCCGTTACCGGCATAACGCCGCGCAGACTTCGCAAATACGTTATAGCTTCTCTTGTCTTCTTCGTTGTCCTTTATATCACCTTCAATCGATCACATCCGCCTCGGGGTCTATCTCCCTACCTCAATTATGACGCTATCGACTGGTCGCGATATGCTTATACGCAATATGTCACCGACGAGACATATTTGTGTAATTCGGTGATGGTGTTTGAAGCTTTGGATCGTTTAGGGAGTCGAGCGGACAGAATTCTGTTTTATCCGAAGAGTTGGGATTTGTTTGTGTCCTCGGAGAAGGATCGATTGAGCCAACTTTTGAATCTGGCGCGGGATAAGTACAAGGTTCAGCTTGAGCCGGTGACGATGGATAGTCTTCATGAACATAAGTCGGGTATGTCTGTCAATTTTGCCATTTCTCATTGTCGTCGCAGCTGACACGCTCCTTTTTTTTCCTCTAGAGGACCTCGCTACATGGGATGAAAGCATCAACAAATTATGGGCTTTCCGAGAGACGACCTACCATCGCATCCTACAGATCGATTCGGACACCCTCATCCTTCAGAACCTCGATGAACTCTTTTTCCTTCCATCTGCTACAGTCGCCATGCCGCGGGCATATTGGAGTTCTCCCGGGACCATGAAACTTACCTCTCTTTTGGTTTTGCTTGAACCCTCATACAAGGAATACAAGGCGTTGATGGAAAAGGTGCAAGGGGTAGAGGCGGGTCAACTTGGAACGAACCGGGATGAGTCGCACGAATTATATGACATGGAATTACTTAATGAACGATATGGCGGATCGGCACTCGTCCTGCCGCATCGGCAGTATGGCCTGGTGACGGGGGAATTCCGTACTAAAGATCATCGGAACTTCCTGGGCAACGATTACGAGACTTGGAATCCTGATAAGGTTCTCAGTGAGGCTAAGCTCGTCCATTTTTCAGACTGGCCGTTACCCAAACCCTGGATTATGTGGCCTCACGGACAGCTAGCAAAAATGCAACCCGTCTGTGACCACAACCCCGGCACACCCCAGGAGAGTGGTTGCCGCGACCGCGAAGTATGGAAACAACTCTACGAGGACTTTCGGCTGAAACGAAAGGATGTGTGCAAGCTTCTCAGCTATCCTGCTCCGGACTGGCCACCAAGGCCGAAGGATACCTCGAACCTGCCGAACCAGCCACCGCCTAAACAACCTTCTCCACAGGCGCCTTCGGTCGCTTACGATGTGGATGTGAATGCAAATATCGATGCCAAGACAGAGGTCGATGGGTGAATATTTTAGCTGTGCATTGCTGGCGTTTGGGTTATTCTGGCGACTGCTACCAGAGGCTGTGTAGACATATATGTATACATATTTAGAATTAAAATACTGTATAATATATACTATGTATGTTCTATTGCTCACATTCCTTGAGATGGTGAAAGTTCCTGTCCTGACCCAGCGGCTTATCGCAGTCCAGGATCATGACGTCACCGTCCGATAACATCGATTTTCTCCCACAACAACAATCTTATTGACAAAAGACAGTACATATATATATATATATATATATCTTCATTAGAATTGATTTAGGCTGAAAAACATTCTATGCAACCACCATGTGCCTTTAATCCGACTGTATTTTTCCTCTCGAAGAATATCCTGTCAACCATGACGATCGTCCTATGATCGATCGAGCGATTCACTATCCCATGGACACCCATCAATCGATACAGTGGATACTTGGATACTTACCACGCTGTTGACACTTTCAACCGATGTTTAGTGATCGGATTGATCCACGTTCCAAATATCATCTCTCATATGATTAGCTGAAGTGCGCGGCCCATGTCGTCCCATAGGTATACGGATTAGAGTCTCCAGCCGCCAAAAGGGACGGGTAAAACGTCATGGCGCGGATTTTATTGTATGGGACTGGTTGACTTAGCTAGCTGACAGGGTTGATATTATATTTGGCTGCTCGACATCGTTATTAGTATTTGCTCCTATTTATTACTATTGTGGCTTGGTCTGACATTCGATGAGTGACGTCAAGGAAGACGTGCGGGGAGATATTTATTATCTGCGTCACTTATACTTCCCTCTTCTTCATATACAACACCACAGATAGACACGCCCACGCCTCTATACTACATTCAGGTATGTAGACCGTCAACTGATTTAGGCTGACGATACTCACATCTTCTGGAAATAGCCTGATTATACATAAAAATCATCTCGAAGCCACCGCCAACATGCCGTCTATGCACGAACGTATCCAAGAAGACCTCAAGCTCAAAGAGCGCCAGCTCTGGACAGCCCTAACATCAGCCGATCCCGCCCACGCCGTCAACAAACTCTGCTCTCCGAACGCGAACCTGATCTTCCCCAACAAAGACATCATTGCCCTTAACCCGGATCAGCCAGAGCAGAACGAAAAGACACTCCAGGAAGCTTTGGCGCCGCCTTTCCATCGCTTCGATGATTTTTCGCTGATGAACGTTCGGCCCATGGTTATTGATTTGATGGCGGGTACTATTACGTATCGAATCAGTGCTTATCGGGGGAAGAAGGAGTATAATGCTACTGGAAGTACTACGTGGGCTCAGGGTAGTGATGGTGAATGGAGGATTGTAGCACATCAGGAGACTTTGCTATAATTTTGTTTTTTACTTCTCTTCGCTTCTTCTATTATTACTTTATATTTCTATGACTTGATGATTCTGACTGCTTGAATTCTCGATTCCTGGTTTTACTTGCCCTATCCACCAGAACGGGTATGAAATATCGGTCGAGGTGGGAAGATGGAGGACTTTAGTAATGAGCGTGGAGCTGTGTTCTTTTTGTTACTGAGCTATTTCTTGTGCCTTTATTCTCTTGTTAAGAGTTCAACCATGGCAGAATTCCTGAGACTATTCTATTTCACAAAACGTAAGGTTAGTATAATGGTCGATTAAGTAATGATTCAACCACGGACAACTATATGTCTAATCATGTACTAAATCACACGATTTAAAAGACGGGGAAGATATGTTCCAACAAAACTAGCCTCCTGATTAGAATAACCACGCAGAGAAACACTAAGGACGCAATTCAATTCGTGCTGCCTCGGCCCCATTCTTCCTCTGCCCAATAGACCTTAGCCCTAAACTATGTGCTGACGACAACGCCCTCAGATTCTCTACTTGTGGTTTGAAAAACAACAGACTAGATACAAGATCTCGATAAGCACACATCTCCACAAGCTTGAATCGCTGAATTTTCCCACTAGGGGTGCGTGGAATCTCATCTACAAAGACCACTCCGCCAGTCAATGACTTGTAGCTCACGAGTTGATGGCGCGCGAATCGGTACACTTCGTCACCTGTAAGTCTGGCGGCTGCTATGGTCTTGCGCCGGACAACGAAGGCGCGCACAAGTTCATCTTCATGTTGGTCGGGGGTGTCTTGCTTTTTGATGCCGACTGCTGCTGCGTCGGCAATACAGGGGTGTTTGAGTAATACGCCCTCGATCTCGGCTGGTGCGACTTGCCATCTGGTCATGGTCATTGATTAGCAGGGAGATTTATCAGGACAAGAGTACTATAAATGACCTACCCCCTGACTTTGATAAGTTCCTTCGCTCGTCCAACAACGTAGTACTTTCCATCGCGAACGGTGACTACATCTCCTGTTCGAAACCAACCATTCTCGTCTTTGGCATTGGGTATACCTTTGTACTCCATCAAGAGTCCAGGGCCACGAACGTATAGTTCGCCAGAGGTATCCTCAGCCGTAACCTCCTGATCATCAATATCAAGTAATTTGACCTCATAATTCGGGAGCAGGCGACCTATACTCGCGGTTGCATCGCGACATCCATATCTCACCTGGAATGCAACTCCAGCCTCAGTCATGCCCCATAGCTGGCATACTTGGGCCTCCGGGTGCAGCTTTACCTCTAGACGTTGTGCCGAAACCGAGTCGAGAGACGCCCCTGCTGATCCAATATATCTCAACGACCTGAAAAACTCGGACAGCTCAAGATCAGGGCACTTATTCAATGCATGCACCATAGCAGGTACCATAAAAGTCTCCGTAATTCGGTAGAGATAAATCGTCTTCACGAACTGCGCAATGTCGAATCGTGGAAGTATGTAGCACGTCTCTCCATACCGAATGGGCCAGATATGCGTGAACAAGGCACCAAAGAGGTGGAACATGGGGATGCAGATTAGCCGAGTAATATCGTATGGTGTGTCATAATACAGACTCTGATGATGCATGACGATAGAATGATGGGAAAGTAATGCACCCTTTGGCAGACCTCCAGTTCCGCTGGTGGTGTACATAGCTGCTGGAGTGTTCATGCAACGGTTTATATTGTCGAATCTGATCCAGTCTCCCTCGCCATGTCTAAGAAGAGCTGAGAAATTCAGAACTTCTTTATTTCTGATATCTTGAGGATACTCATCTTTCCTCGCAGCTTCACCATTTGGGCCTGATGGTGGTGGTGACAGCATCTCCGTAAGATAGGAAATGGCGTACTGATCCAGGACACAGATGCGGTCCTGTGGTATACCTTTTGCTTTGGTAACTTCCTGCAAAAGACCCAGCCCAGTAGGTGCTGTGATAATCAGCTTGGGAGTTGATAATTCCAAGAAATGCTCCAACTCCGCATATTGACTTGCTGGGTTAATGCCCATGTATATCCCCCCAGCACCAATGATGCTGTAAAATATTGAAGAGTACAAGACCTGTTCTCATCGACATCAGCATGACAATTTCAAAATGTCAAGACACGGAAAAGGTTATACATTATTTGGCAATGTTACAAGAACACACTCCCCTGCCTCTAGATTGGCCCTCTTCTTAAGGCCAGCAATAACAGTTCGGACGAAAAGCCGCACTTGATGTGCATTCAGCGACAAACTCGGATTCTCAGCATCGACATACAAAGGTCGATACTCATCGTAGGCAACGGGCTTCTCGTCAAAAGCAAAGGACAGCAAGTCCTTGTAGACTGGGCGCATGAAATGCGCATTGTGCTCCATGGAGGAAGTTTGGCCACCCATGGCCATGTACAAACAAGATTCTGATAATGCTTTGATTTGAATCAGCATGTAAGTGGAATGAAACTCCAATCATATACAGATGAGAAGATATACCGCTGGGTCCGAGAGTTCATGTATTTATTTCAAAATCAGGAACTCACGGTCTAGGTCTCTAAAACTTGGGAAAACAAAGCACTATGCATCAGGTTAGATAGAGAACATTTGAAAACTCGAACTCCTTGAAAGGAGATAGGTCTTCACTCAGCCTGGGCTATGTGCACTACTATTAGTTTACAGACTAATCAATTTACGTCAACACCTATGCGCCCATGTGGGTTGATCTACTTCAGTAGCTCGAAATGTAAGGCTATATATTGAATTACGCTTTGTTACAGTCGAAGCTGGACTAAAAGTTCTGGAGAATGTTGATCTCGGGGATTGCCATATTTGAAGCAAGCAGAAACGTTATCTACTACTTCGGGGCCTATAAATGAGGTCATATGTTATAACTTTGAAGTTACTACATAACTTCTTTTGTCAGGCTCCGAATCTTTGAAATCTGAGTTGTCCCTGTTCTTCCAGCATGTCTCGAGGTTCATTTCCCACGACTAGTTCGGAAACCCTAGGTAAAGGAGCACTACAAACTTCCTCTCGGACACAAACCAAAGAATTGAAGACGACTAGCGGACATTACAGCAGTACTGGTGAGGACGTCGAAGCACAGGCGAGCAAACGCCAATCCAGGCCAAGAGCGTACTGGAGTTTCATTCGGTATACAGTACTCAATGTCTACCGCCGCCTGTTCACTATCATCTTCCTCGCCAATCTCGCCGTGTTTATCACAATCATGATTACTGACCAATCCTCCCTCTTGGTTTTTGTCAATGCAATCGCGGCCAACTTGACCGTTTGTGGTCTAATGCGGCAACCATTGATAGTGAATACGATATTCCTGGTGATCTGCTCCATCCCCCGATCAGCTCCGCTACGACTACGACGAATTGCATCAAAGGCCTTCCATTTGGGTGGTGTACACAGTGGATGTGGAATTGCATCATTCGTATGGTACATCGGACTAGTGGCCTTGATCTCCAAGTATTACTGGTGTCATCCGTATGACTGTGACAGCGCTGATGGGGAGGCACACCAAGTGCCCACCATCTCCACAGCTGTGGTTGTTTTAGCCTATATCATTCTGATATTAGTGTTGTTTATTATCAGCGCGGCTTATCCAGATTTTCGATTCAAGCATCATAATTGCTTTGAGCTAACGCATCGCTTCTCCGCTTGGATAGTGCTTGCCCTGTTTCTGGCTCTCCTGCTGATTTTCTCGGATAATGCTCGGAAGGTACAAAATTTGAGTCTAGGGCAATACCTCATCCGGTTGCCCGCATTCTGGCTACTCATGATAGTGATTGCAGCTATTCTTCATCCTTACCTACTGCTGCGAAAGATCAAAGTCCAGTCGGAACCACTTTCTCGACATGCGATCAGACTTCACATGAATCATACTCGAACTAGTTTCGGTCTAGGAATCCAACTCGCTAGGAACCCCCTGCGGGACTGGCATTCATTTGCAACTTTTCCGGATACTGCGGTTGAGACAACTTTAAGTTCAGGATCGAAGTCCCCTACTTCGTTTTCCTGTCTGGTATCGAAAGCAGGTGACTGGACAGGCGAAACCATTGAGCATCCGCCTCAATACCTGTGGAAGCGGGGGGTTCTAGTCCACGGCTTTGCATACGTAATGCGTCTCTATGAAAGGATCATTGTGGTTACGACAGGATCCGGTATCGGGCCATGTCTTTCATTCCTCGGTGATGGTAATAGGCCCGCGATGCGAGTAGTGTGGCAAACACGCTCGCCACTCAAGACATATGGACAGGGGATTATCGATCTAGTCAAGCAAATGGATCCTAACCCACTGGTCATGGATACTGATATGACCGGTCGTGTCGATATGGTGCCCATAATTGAGAGTATGGCGATGGAGTTCAGGGCCGAGGCGGTCTGCGTGATTAGCAACCCTAAACTGACCAAAAAGTTGGTGTATGACTTGGAGACGAGAGGTTTAGTGGCTATGGGGCCGATCTTTGATTCGTGAATGGATTGTTTTAGGATTTTATTTATGACATCCCATGAAAAGTGTTACTGTGCCCGGTTTTTATGGCAGGTGTTGTTTGAGATTGCTGAGAATTCGACATCCCGTTCGACTACCGAATTAGGAAACGAGAAAGGCCAACAATACGAGCCGTAGCCCGTGTTGAATAGGAACCCACTTGACAGACGCGAATATTGAGACAAGTGTACAGCAGCTGCATTCCAAATCTAACTAGATTTCTGTTCGTTGACAGGAAGTTGCTCTTGTGGCGTAGCTATCTTGTCTAGCGATCCTAGTCAAGTTCTAACTGTGTTGCCGGGGCAGGATTCGCTTTCTAGGTAGACTTTTCTCAATATTCTTTATTGCTTCATTGGAGTCACATAGCCAATCTAATAGAATTGATCGTACTGCGTACGTAGTCCATGTTTGATTCATACGATGTTCGACAACCTCAAGGTAGTGGGCCGATATGGCTGGCCACTAGAATTATTAGAATATGAGATGTGAGATCTGCGAACTCTATATCTAGATTGCCTGTTAGCACAAATGTACTAGACTCATAATACAATTGAATATAGACAAGGGAGAGGAGTCACCCGAACTATAATCGGTCTTTGATTATTGTCAATATACATAGTAGACCAAGTGGATATAGTGGATTCCATAACAGGGAACTCCTATGACTAGCTCAAACCCCATCTCTTAATATTTCAGCAACCACGCGGTATACACGACTTGTCTTTTGAAAGATGATCTTCAACATGCAGTCTAGCACGCTGCTGGTGCATGCATGGACTGCAAAAATGACAATTGGGGTGACCGTGACAGATGCTGATGGGCCAATCTAGGAGGGAGCTAATGAATTAGGCTTTATACTAACGATTTGAGGCTTGGCCACCACAATCCCTTCAATTAGTTATCTATGGCTGCCCCAGCAAGATTCGAAAATCTTAATCACTAGTCGATCCCGGCAGATTGGCGGCTGTCATTGGCAAGATTCGCTTTCTGGACTTCGCATCCACTTTCTCGGCAAGACCTGATGTTTCTTATAATCGACTAGTTTAGCATGGAGTGCCCCAGAGACCCAATGGTAGTGAGGGACAGGTATCTCGGCAAGACGGGACGGTGAACAAAGAGGCGCATGACAAAGTAGATCTTGCGTTGGGCACCATTTTCATGAATCGTATCAGAATAGGTCAAGACTGCTGCTCAATCATTGAGAAGTAAATCGATTATTCAGGTCTTCCCACAGGATTCTCTTGAAACTTATGTTTGTCCATCTCCTAACGAGAATCCCGGTCTAATTCGGTTCCCAGCATGGGGGATCTATGGAGGGATTCACATTTCTCAGCTGTCATTACTCAAGGGTACAATCAGAACTAGAAGCGATAAAGTGATTTTGTAACAGTGTCAACACCATTATGCTTTGTTCCTCCTCATCTACCACTGTCCTACAATCATGATATGTGCAGATTCGACTGGTAATGCCATAAGGAGTCTCTAGTTAGACTTTAATCCGCTTCGAGATTAGCTACATGAAAAAGAAAACGAATGACCAAGAAAAATGGTAGCAATCGATAGCGTCAAAATGATCCAGTCTAGACCGGAAAAGCATGCTCATAACTAATCATGCCACTCGTATCCCTCCCCTTTACATATTCTTCAGGTGCCAAATTGATTGAGCGGTATTGATTATCCATCTTACCAATATTGGCCATACAGCCCGTGTGGCTTGACGAAAGACAACTACACACAGAAAAGAAATATCCTCTGCATTTTTCGCATATGCATATGCATTGCATATACGATTAGAAAGTATCCCAGGTTCTCAACCGGTTCTTTAAAAAAAAGGGCTAAGTCCCCCAATTATAATATGCTCGGTCACTACCTAGACATGACAGAGACCCATTCCTTTTGAATATATTTGCGTCGTAATTTCGTCGAACTCCTATCACTCACAGGCGACATAAGAAATAACATGTCACGCAGACCACCAGTCAACAATGAAATGTCTATGTACTACATAGGTAGCGGATTTCGGAGAAATCGAGCGAAGCCTCACCGCCACGTTACAACTTCATGTCGTCAAGTATTGCACAACTATGATTTGTCGCGGATTCGTTGCGATCTTGGTCGAGGCATTGACGTTCATGATCTAAGGACTGGATATCTGTTAAGTATATGCCTTGGCGTTGAAAAACCACCTCCACCGACTCGTCAAGCAATAGTCAGCAGATAGACAAGTGTCCCAATGCAGCATCATGCATATAAGTGATATTCCTAACAACAGTCATGCGCAATGGTGGAGAGATCCCGGTATGCGCTAACTCAATCTTCTGCTCTTTGCATGCTACCTCGGTGCTATGACTAACGGCTATGTTAGCACCCTTATCTCGAGTCTCATCACAAATCCTAGATGGTTCGAGGATACCAGCAAACGTCAACTTGCTAGGCCTGGTAGTAGCAGCTCAACCTCTTGGCTGTATTGCAGGCTTCTTCCCAGCATCATGGCTCTCTGATAAATTTGGTCGTCGAGTTGCAATTAAATTTGGCAATATTGGATTTATTGGTGGATTTACGAGCAGATCTTCTGAAAGACGTGTACTCAGTCTGCATCTTATCTCTGGCTTTGCATCTATCTTCAATACTATCTCGTCAGCGGCTTTGGTCCTTGAGCTTTCCCATCCTCGCCAGAGAGCTGTGGTTGGCGCACTCTTCAATATTTTCTCCTTTATAGGATCCGCGAGTGGGCTTGGACATCATGCGGTACTTTAGGCTTCCCAAATTCTTGATCATGCCTGCTGTCTGTAGCCATTCCACTGGTGTCGACAGTCGTGCAGCTTGCGTTGGTCACTTTCTGCCCTGAATCTCCTCGTTGGCTTGTAGCACATCTCAAGGAAGGACAAGCCAAAGCGATTTTGGCCAAGTTCCATGCTAATGGTCGTGATGGTGATCCAATAGTCCTGTCTGAACTATCAAGAATCTGCGACCCGGCTGAAATAGACAGTCATAGGCAGAATGTTGGTTGGTTGGCGCTCCGCACCACACGCGGAAACTGGAAACGACTCTTGATCTCAATCGTAATAGGTGTAGCAACCCACTTGGGTAGGCAATGGCATCATCACATTCTACGTGGCACCGGTGCTACGGACTGTTGGTATTACCAGTTCATCCAAACAGCAAGGTATCAACGGCGGTCTTCAGATTTGTAATTGGTTTATTGCTTGTGGAGTGGCACTGCTTGCAGAAAGAGTTGGCCGACGGCGCTTATTCCTGACCTCTGCTGGTGTAATGCTGGCTTTCATGAATATGGTTGCTATCTGCTAGCATTGTAGCTACCAGTCAATCCATGGCAGCTGGATATGCTGTGATCATTTTCCTTTTTTTGTTTCTTGGGGGATACGCCATTGATTTGACGCCAATTCCCATTCTCTATGTCATTGAAATTTGGCCTAGCCCACTCCGCGTCCAAGGCACTAGTATCTTCTGGCTTTCTCAAGCCGTCGCCACGTGTTTCAATCAATACGTGAATCCCATTGCTCTGCAGCGGATCCTTTGGAGATATTACTTTGTTTACATGGATGTCTTGGTCATTGTCATCGTATTCATGTGCTTTCAAGTGCCAGAAACGAAGGGCATGTCTCTGGAGGAGGTGAGCAATATGTTTGACAGGCCACACGGCGACACTATGACACTGGTGTGGATACTGCTCATGATAATGATGCATAAAGCTACTCGATAATGGTCAAAGTTTTGACTGATAAATGTTGCAAGACCCAGGAGAATGCAAAGACAAGGCTATTCTCTATCTTCAGGTACGGAATTGGACTGATGAGGATTGCATTATCGCACTGCTGTTATTGATCATGCAGCCCGATCTACATGCAGAAAAGATATTCATTTGCATTTTTTTTGGCAGCTGCATACGCATATAGTCGGAAAGCATGCCAGCCCGGTTGGTCAAAGGACAAGTCAGCAGCTATGCCACCATTTGTCTAGTTGTTTCTATTTTCTCACGTTGTCATTTGTAGATTTGAGTATTGACCTGGCAATAGGACCCATTGGCACCGAAAATGGGTATAGTCAACAGCAACATAAAAGGAACTGCCCACTAACACGTCATAACAGATACTTTTTCGGCAATAGGTATGGATATTTTGAGTGGACCCAATGTGATAACAAAACCAGGACCATCTTGCCGAAATTTGGTTTTGGGGATGTTTGATCTCCCAAAATCCGAATGGATTTCGATTCCAACAGATCGGCTCAGATCGCATCCGATCGAGATTGTTCCCGCTCCCAATTTTTGGGACGGATGGAGACCCTATATTAACCTTGTTATTATAGTTATCGATAAACTAGCATGAGACTATTTTGTAGATCCAAGTATCAGCCAGTACGTAACTCACGGAGTTGGGAAAGCAACAAGAAGGGCTGAACTGAAGCAATCAGGCTGTCAGGTTTATTCTGACTTCGTCAACAAATGTGTCACTCAGCGATGGACAAGTTGGACAGCTTATAGCCAGGTTACATCTATAAAATTCAATTTTAGTCTCATCCATAGATTTCTCCGATTGCGCATTATCTTATCGGTAGACACATTCTTCCGTGTAAAGTTCCGGAGGCCCTTGCTCCATCTTGAAAGTTTCTCATATAGGACATAATTCAACGTTGCCGACACTGCGAGGTTACATTAATCATGTCAGAATACCACCTTTTGGATTGATCATACACTGTGCGAGAGTATTCGGTCCTACCTCAACACGAAGCATCGGGAGATCTAGACTCGACTCCTGTGACATTACTAGTACGGACATGGATAGTTGCATATCTGTGGTACATTTGATTCAGCCCAGATTTGACTGTAAGAGCACGGAGCTGAAACAGTGACAAGGACTTGCTGTGCTACTGCAGGAGCCAATCCGTGCACTATGTTTCGCAAATATTGTGCGATAATTCCACATGGACAGCTTCGTACATGTTACAACAATCAAATCTTGGGTAATCGGCTCATCCAGGCTTATTGCTATACTTGATCTTTCAGCAGTCCGCCATGGCATAACCGTATGGTTATCTGAACATACTATAAGATCCCCTATTCTGAAAAATAAGACGTGTGCGGGACGGATATAGCCATACCAAGGATTATTCTGGTATCATAGAGACTGTCCGTTAGGGAACTGGAAATGATGTTTGAGTTACAGGTAAAGATGTCTTTCAAGGAGTAACAGCAGTATAAGCCAATTCAGCTCATCAAGATATTCCTTGGAAACCATAATATGCCCGTAAGCATCATTTCAAGGATATCAAACTTAGTTCTGGCCACCAGTTGACCACCTAGGCACAGACCACACGATATATTTGTATACCTAGGTACCAAATGAAGAAACAGATCGTACATAGCTACGTCAATGCAATTTTTCTTCACTTCGATACCTAGCATTTCCTCAACTGCTGATTATAGCTGATTAGGTATACCGGAACTACGTAGATGCTGGGGGAATAAACGGTACCGTTCAATGTTCCATATTCATATATCATTTCCTACTAAGTAAATTATTATTAGACATTCGTTTCATGCTAAGGAAACTGGCGTAACATAATGGAAGGTTCGTGCTCGAGAACGGTACCCCTACTCGACCGTGACAAATGGCGTTCATTATCCTCCAGCGTTGAAGGGGGGGAAGCTTCGACATGCACTGAATATGATGGCGTCTTTGTACTGTGACGAACCCAGGGTTGTGTCTGGGAGTTCACGGAACGGCGCTGTGAGTTTCGAAGGGCAACCACAGCCTGGAAATGATGAGATTCCCAAGCCCTATCGATTTCGGCATACATCTCATCAACCTGCTCCAGGGATAGACCCTTGGTCTCGTAGACCAGACACCAGACAATAACGCAAGCAAGGACACAGAAGCTGGCCCAAATAAAGAACAACCTGGCTTGTAGATGTAGGTTTCCGGTTCCCGTTTCAATCAAAAAAGGGACGGAATAGGCTAGAGCGAAATTAACGAGCCAGTTGGATGCCGTTGAGATAGACATGGATTTGGCTCGAACTTTTAGTGAAAAGATTTCACCGGGAACTACCCAAACTACTGGGCCCCATGAACATGCGTAGAAAAAGACGAAAAGGCAGATCAAGACTGTCGAAGCCGTGTTGGTCGCGTCACTTTGAGCGAGACCTGTGCCTAAGCCAGCGACAAGGAACTGAGAGACGGCCATCCCAACTCCGCCAAAGAGCAGCAGTGGTCGACGTCCCCATCTTTCAATCATCAACAAGCCAGGGATGGTTGATATCACATTGACACTATTAGTAATCATGGTGATGGTAAAAGGATCGCCCATGCCGCTATCCAAGAAATATGATGTTCCGTAATAGAATATGAAGTTGATACCAGTAAGTTGTTGAGATACTTGCAGTAGGCATCCCGTCAAGAGTCGTTTCCCAAGACTCCCCTTGAAACAGTCCAGGTACGAACTTCCACCGAGATTAAGCTCATGCTCGTGATGTTCGGCAATCTCAGCAATTTCAGCTAGATATCGACTGTCCAGGGGAAGTCGTCGTAAACGAGCCAGAGACCGAGCAGCGTCTTCGTGTCGGTCACGTTTGATGAGATATCGCGGTGTTTCTGGAAGGGCAGTCATGCCAAGAATAAGAATAACTGCCCAGATCAACTGAACCATCAGGGGAATTCGATATGCACCGGCATTAGTCCGGTCTTTAGTGGCATTATCGACGATGGCGGCTAGGAATAGGCCAAACGTGATTGCGAATTGGAAGGCTGAACAGATGGCTCCTCTGATCCATTTCGGCGCACTGTCCATGTGGTGGTCAGCTTGGTATATAACAAAGCTTCTCATCCCCCTCTGAGGCGAGGGGCATATTTATCCATAACTGTGGAATGGGTGCACTTACGTCTCGGCTTGATACAAAGGTATAAGAGTCGATAGCATACCAACACCCAGCCCAGCGACGCACCTTCCCGCAGCAAAGACAGGAATGGAGACTGAAGCAACCTGCAAAGAAGCGCCAACGATAAAAATGAGGCAGGAAACCATCAAGCCGTATCGACGGCCAATTTTATCTGCCACTGGAGCAGCCAACAGGGCGCCAAAGAATGTACCAGCCGATAATATAGAAACAATCAGAGCTTTTTGTCTAGCAGTGAGATCGGGCTGATTAGGTTGTCCCTCGACTTCATCGGCATATCCTGTTGAAAATTGATTTCTAAATTGTTCCATGGCAAGGATGCCATTGATGTTGCCTGTGTCATACCTAAGAAAAGAGTCAATATCCAATTGGTCCACAGTCATTCCTACTGCACGGACATATATTGCTAGAGAGTGATAAAACATACCCAAAAAGTACGCCTCCCAACGCAACAAAAAGTCCCACCAGGATTGCAGGCACAGCAGAGCCGGGAACTCCCGTTGGCATGGGGAGAGAAATCCTCTCCAGAATAGAGGAGACCTTCATCATTCCTTACATGATCCCACGATCGACTACCGTTGAACCCTTAAAATTGTGGAGAGAACGACGTGAGGGCCAACAGGTCGTATATAATGGTAGTCCGGGGAAGCAAAATATTCCAGAGCTAGTTACCTGACCGGATTCAAGGGTCTTGAATGGGGCAAAATGCGGCGAGTTTATAGTCCACAGCACGTAATACAACGTCCTTTTTTTTATTTTTTAGACTTTCAATTACCGATGGGCCAGAAGCCCGTGGAATGATGGGGTACCTGGTAAAGTCTCACGTCTATTTTAGAATTTTGTCAATGAGCATAGCCCTACTGGTGCCTCAGATTAATATACTGCGTGGAATATTCCTACCAAGCCAGCCACCCCCGGTTAAAGGGATTTGGGGACTGAGGTTGCAAGGCCTATTACTTAGTCACACCAAATTGCAACGATTACTGGGCAAGTGAGAAATGGTGGGACCGGCTCACGTTCCCCATTTGGGCAAGATAGTCTGAGCCATGCTTGGAGAACAGAAGCGATCACGAGCTAGAAATGGCCAGTCCACTTTCTCATCGGCTTTCCCAAGCGTAGACTCAACGCTCGTGAGAGTATATCCACTATACCACCTATCAGCGAGTGAGGTGGTTGCTGACTCCGCACATTCTGGGGTTCCCATCTCTCGATAACCGTAGACGATTCATGAAGTCCGGGGAAACCAAGTGCTCTCTCCAGGTCTAGCATGACAGCCATGACTTAGCTTTCCGAAAATCCGCCGACAAGTTAGATTATGGATTCGAGATCTCATATGGTAGGCTCAGGGCGGTAGCCACATGTTAGGGAATAGATTAATTATGGTGATGTCTTGCTATTCGCACAGCATCAAAATTCTCTCATGCGGAAGTGGGTAAACTCCGGAAAAGACACTGAATCACAGAGGGAGAAACGAGGTGTCTGAGCGTCGTAATGCAGAGTACACGTTGAGCCGGGTTGTTGATTGGCTTCTAAATCCGTGACGGCTAAACCGGCTGAAAGCCAACCATGTGAAAAAGCCCTGGTTATGGAGACTAGCGCCAAGTTCATGTGAAAAAATACGAGATGTGGAATTTCCTTCTCCATCTATTAATATAGGGCAGTCGATTTGATTAGCTGATAACCCTGGCGGAAGGCGCCCAGACACTAAGAGCAACAAGTTGTTCTATGGACTGGGGAAGATGGGGAAATAACGAGAAAATGGTATGCAGAGAAAGGCGTGATTATTGCGCATGCACAAGAAACAACAATAAATGTGCTAATTAATTTAATATATAATGGAAAATGCGGGGAAATGCTTTCTGAAGCAATACCTAAAGCAAGGAATTGAATCACGAAGCCTCGGGGCTTACTTTGTAGGAGGTGCTAGGTTTAGGGTTAAATTATGGGGTACAAATGCATAGATGATTCTAAGCTAGGCGTATGCACTGGCCTTACTAAAAAACGTCCACCAGCTAGCAATAATAACTATCAGGATCAGTAGTGTACTGTCATGACTCATTAGAGCATGAAATTCCTCTGATCATCCGATGCTTACTGGCACCGAGCGAACAAAAGCTTTGCACGCGAGCAGCAGACTGGCGCGTACCTAGCTCCCCCTGAACCATAACATAACACGAAGTCTATCATGTTAAGATTGGACGCCACCAAACGGCGAAGTTGGTTTGATCTATGCTCATATAGATCAAAGCGTACGGAGTCTCGGACTAGGGGTAAGGATACACTACAGGTGATGTAATTTGGAGAAAAGAACCTTTGCCTGGAATAACACATGTGCAACAGCACTTTCTCTATGCAACTCAGTCGGGTTCGACGGGAGAAACTTACGCTTTTCCTTAAGCACTCTAGAATTCTTTTTCGCGAAACCCTTCTTGCCAAGGCGCTGTCCTACTCCTGGAGCTTGGAACCATTCGAAATTACCTAAGGGGGAAAATTGGGCGCGGAAAGTATAACCGCAAGTTGATGGATTCTGGAAGCTTCATGATCCACGGGGTACTTATGCCTGAACAAAACATTAAAGTCGACGGTTGGCGATTAACAAGCATGTGGACGATATTCTCTGAATACGTGAATGTGAGTCAAAAGTAGGCGAGGAAAAGCTCCATGACACGTCCAGGATCCCATGCCAAACGCCGAGCACATACTGCCAACTGGCCTGAGTGTTGATGCTATTGAAAGCCTTTGCCACTGCCCAGCCAGTCCGTGTCACTAGGTTGGGACTCGTGAAGCCAGCTGCCTAGGTAGCGATCAGGATCAGTTCACTGAGTCGTTAATTAGCGTAGTTCACTCGACTACGTACCAGCATTCGTTAACTATGACAATTTCTATGTTCCGGGCAATGACTACTGAATCAAAATATTCATGAATGATTGCCTACTGGCTCGTACTTCGAGTACGAGTGGTTAAAAGAATCCGGAAACTGCACAGGCGATTTCAAGGTTATGCCCAGCAAGCTTCAAAGTCGGTAACAGCAATAACCAGTGTTGTCTTGTGGAAACCAAAAGACAGCTCGCTTAATAACCTAATCATCGCATCCATGAGGATTTGCAGAACGACCAGTGATATGAAGAACACATTCTCGTGAATCGTGCCCATGTGTCTTCGTCGATAGTTGATCTTCATAGTGATGTACACCAAATAGGTGTGCCTGGGAAACATTCTGATAACTAGAATGATAAGGCCCATCAGGTCCTTCTTTAGTTTTATTAGCGACGTTGCGTACTTAACCCTTCGAAAATTTTCTCACTACATTTAGACTTGATTCATCAATGAAGTAGTCCGGAGTGCGGCTGTCGATCGAACATCCGATACTAGTATGGTATGAAATATAACATCCTAAACAAGCGTCAAAAGAACATGCCTAAGTAGTTGGATTTGCTCTTGTTATCTGCATCCCTTTTCAACTGAGGCAATTGTTTGACAGGTGGGTATATTGGTGAGATCTTCTGGGGTGTGGCAGTGCTAGGATGTGGCGGATTCAGCGCAGACTCTGTGACTACTGTGCAGTCTAGATAGAATCAAACTTCAACATGTAGGATTTACCTAGGTAGGTATGCAATATAAGAGAAAAGGGAACAAATAGTCTACCTAGATAATATCGAGTAAGATATACTATCCATAATGCCCTGCCGACTCTCTGCATCAATATTTTATACCTGACGAGTGAGGGCTGCAGATACCTACCTAGGTAGGTATATTCAGAATAGTCAGTAAGTGAACAACATTGAACGACGTCCACTATAGAATTAGTAGTAGTAGTAAGAATTACGCCCATAGGATATTAAATAAAAGTCAGTGGGATAATTTGGTTATGTTATGTTGCTTAGGTTGCTTATTGTCGGATTGCTGGGTCCACTTAAGGCCAATCCTGAAATAGTAGTTTACAAGAACGGGAAAGGAAGAAGGGACTAGCAAGATTGTATGTGTTCTCTTCCGTCTCCCTCTACATCAGGTTTCAAAGTTGGGTTTTTATAGACATCTTTGGCGGGATAATTTGTGAGCGGGTAAACGTTGAGGGCTATATTGAGTCCTGATAAGATGGCTTCTTATTTGTTGAAATGTAGGTAGCTGAGGTGACTGGTTAACCTGATCGAGTAGCCTATCTTCTGCCTCGCCCGATATCCAGGTTATCTGACCCAATCCAGTGAGCGTGAGGCTGACTGCGAGTGCCCTCACAGACTGTTTCTATGTACCTTTGACTGCTATACCTGACTAGATACTGAGAAGCCCTAGCAAGGTCACATTATCGTCACAAATGAGGGCCATGTCTTCATGGAGGCACTATTTGCCCGGCTTGCTTACTCGTATATTTCCCATCACTCCAAAAGAACTTCAGCGCCTACAATTGATAAGTATTCGTAGTTGTGGATCTAATAGAATTCGCGTTTCATGCATCAATACAAACACAATCGCTCGATGAAAGGTTTGCTGTCTTCATAAGCCTACAGCGCACACTTGGGAATTGGGCATGTTTCTAGCTTAGAGAATAACAGCTAAAGCACCAATACTTGCTGCCAGAACTCCCATAGTAGCCATCATTCCTCCACCAACGGGTACAACTGGCGCCTTATTCAAAGTCGCACCTCCCGTAGCCGATGCCGATGTTGCTGTCGCTCCCGCCAAGTCAGTAGTTCGTGTAATGGTTGTTGACCCTCGCGAACCACTACCAGTGCTAGTGCCGGTTAATGTGGCCTGGGATCCCGAGGATGAAGTGGTCGTTGGTGTTGAGTCGCTACCACCATCGCCATATTCGCTGGCATAGGAGCTCGCTAAGCTCCGGGCACTGCTAGCCTCGATATTTCCGTAACTATCGTAAGATGAGGCAAGGGATAGCGCTGATGAGACCGCAGATTGTGCGTCTGGTGGAATCGTGGTGTATTCGGATTCGTAGGAGCTAGCGAGACTCATGGCTGACGAGACAATGCCTGTAATAGGCGGAGGGAGATCGTTAACGCCTGGAGAAGCGAGAACTGCACTGGGTCCGAGTGCTATCAGGACAGCAAGAAATATTGAGTGAAGCATGGTGAGCGATAATGAAGGAATGATTGATGATTTGCGTTCTTATGTATAGCCGACCACAACTTATTCGTGATTTTATCAGGAATCTCTGTTCTACTGATTTCCCAGGTATCTTAGGTGGTTCACATGAGTCAAAGAAACACCGCGTCTGGGAAGAGCAGAATTGGTTTTCCAGGATGCCTCTCCTTATTATGTCTTTTGACAATCGACTCTAGTGCTATTATGCCTGGAAGTGACACAACAGGAAAGCAAGGAGCACGCTCGGTACGGCAAGCTATATGTCAATATCGGACTTCGGCAGTGGCGATGCAGATCTTCAGACAGGTCAGCTCCGGCAAGCTACAATTTTTCGCGGCAGGCATAGAATGTGTGTTTTTATACACGTATTTACTTATGGTCTTATGCGTATTCCTAGATAGAGTGGAGATCATAAGTCTCGATTCCCGATACGGTAATCTCCCAGCTTTTTACCTATTTGAGAAGGTCAGGTAGGCATTGATGCGAAGTTAAGAAATCTTGATAGAGTGCGATCCTAATCGAGAACTTACTTTCTTCAACTAGTCAGGGGTTGCTATACAGGACTGACGCATGATGGACTGATAAAGAGTAGGAAACGGTGCCGAATATGCAAGGGATGTCAATAATGCATAGTCGATAATGCATATTCGGACATCTGCTATCGGCCCGCAGATGACCTCGCAAGCGCTTTTGCTGTCTAATAGCCCCTAATACTTCTATAATGTTAGTCATCAGAAGTGCGCATCGTAATAAAATCAATAGCACAGATTCCCGCCTCATCCCTAGTAGAAATTTCAAGCATTTTGAGAAATACCAGTTTGATCAACCACACTTAGGCTGTGATAAAGCTAAGAGGGCCATAATGACTAAAATTGATAACTTGAATCAATAAATTATAACTTTTTTCAATCGTAGTAAAATCAAATCGATCATAAGTACTACGGTGCAATGTTGGTTAGGGCTCGGTGGACCACATGACTTTTTTGGAAGCCTGAGGCGAAAATTTATTTTCATCAGTCAGCTACGATATCGGATTCTTACATACTTCATTTCAAGATATGATCTGAATATTCATTTTTTTCCAGACCGATGTCTTTACGGTTATGAGGTGAGATTCATCGAGACCACTTTCAATAGAACAATCTCGATTTAAGAGGGTCAGATACCGAGGCTTTTTTAGTGGTTCTTACAAACCATCAGCTTTGAATTGTGGATCAATATTGGTCATATAGTTTTCAGTTTGACAAATAAGGAGGTATGCCAAATCCCGCCATACTTGCAAGGATCAAGAACATGTATCGCCATATCGAAGACTGCTCGTCTGCGTTTTGGAGCAACCGTGACATCTGCGAAATATCCATGGATGACGATTTGAACCAGACGCCGAAGAATTTTCGACTGGTAGTGCAAAATATTAGACCATATATAAATTCCATTGCGTGCCTGGCGTGTACATCGATGTGCCTGCCGCCCAACGCACGTGCGGATCCATCACGTTCTGACATCTTTACATAAGTTACCAAAAAGAGTAATTTCAAATGGGTAGAGCTGTTTCTTCAGAGAGCTTGAAATAGCTTGGCCGATGAACGAAATGTTTTTGATATTATAGCGACCAAACTGAGAAAAGCAGATACAAATCCATCGGACACCAATTCCGGCATTGCTGCCACACTTCACGATAGCAGAATAGTTCCGAATATCCTTGCTGTCTTGACGCTTTATATAGGCAATCTTGCCTAAAATATGTTTATTTTACGAAGCTCAAAAAAGTGTTGCCGAGGATAAAAATGATTCCGAACCCTTTGCCTGGATATTTTTGAAGGTTCCCGTCCTCAGGTACTGAGTGGGCACACTTAAAGCACGTCATAACTATAATCCTGCACGACAATCACTGAATCCAATTCCATGCGTAGGGTCCGTAAGCTAGGACCCTTTAAATCGGCATTTCATGATGTTGCCATCGTTTCTAGCCGAAGGCAGCAAGACTCGCGCCATGATCATCCACAATGCGGACCCTGACATGACATTCGCGATGCTTCTCAAGACGGTTATATAAACTCTAGTCGCTGACCATAGATTCTGGTTATTTTCGGTATCATAATAGCAAATCGACACCGTATGACCCTTTCCAGTGCAGGACATATCCTGCTTGTCTTGATCATGGCTTCAATAATAAACAACACGACATCATCATCACGATTTGCAGATGTCGAGACCACCGTCATCACAAAGCGGCCTTACGAATCTGCTGAGGAAGAAGGTGAAGAAGAGCTGGTCAAGGACATCAGTGGAGATGTGATTGACCATGGACTTCGACGGGGGCTAAAAGGCCGGCATTTTGTGCTCATTGCTCTGGGGTCGATCATTGGGCCTGGTAAGTTGTTTGTATATCTAACCTAGGAGGTCTTGCTGGAACGGAGCTGAATCTGCTTTATTCAACAGGAACATTCTACGGGTTAGGATACGCTCTGTATCTCTCTGGTCCTCTAGGATTGTTAATCGGCTTCGGACTCATTGGTGAGACTTGCGAAATAGCTTCTTGAAAGTAGATTTATGCTGACTGTACCGCAGCAATTGCTGTCTGGATACTGATGCAGTGCGTCGGAGAAGTCACGGCAATGTTTCCGGTTCACGGTGGTTTCATTGAGCATGCAAATCGTTTCGTAGATCCTGCACTGAGCTTCGCACTTTCGTGGCTTTACTACATCATGTGGAGTATTTATCTGCCGGCTGGTAAGAACTGGTGCTTCTTGAAGATGACAACGGAAATAACTACTTATGACATGTTACTGACACGGAGTATTCGTTCCAGACTGGAACGCAGCAGTACTCATCCTGGAATTCTGGGTCCCAGATAGCAAAATGCCATCGTGGGCATGGTACCTAATCTTCTGGGCTTTCTTTAGCGTCATAACGACACTCGGAGTACGCGTTTACGGTGAATTGGAATATATTTTCGGCATGTTCAAATTCTGTTCACTGATCGTCCTATTCTTCATATCTATTCTCGCCAATGTTGGAGCCTTTGGAGGCGGTTATGTGGGATTTAGATACTGGACACCTCCAGATGGTCCCATCATTAACGGCATCAACGGATTCGGTCAAGTCTTTATACTTGCTGCAACTTACTACGTTGGGACTGAGGTCATATCACTCGCGGCTGGGGAATCAAAGAATCCTCAGCGTGATGTGCCTGCTGTAAGTTTGCATGCGCTGCACATGAAAACAAGTCATCTCTGACCAATCTTGCCACGATCAAGAGTATGAGCTCTATTACGTACAGAATCCTTGTCGTTTACATGGGTATGGCCTTTTTCCAAGGTCTCATCTGCCCATCGTCAGCAGACGGCCTGATACACGCCGACTCCGCTGTGGCAAGTTCACCATTCACTATAGGATTTGAACTCGCCGGCTGGAAAACCGCCGGCCATTTTGTCAATGCGATTATTATAATTGCTTTCCTTTCAGCTGGCAACGGCGTGGTCTACGTCCAGTCACGAACTCTCTTTACCATGGCCTTGACGGGAAAGGCTCCAGCAATTTTTAAGACAACTAGCAAAAGAGGAGGTGAGTATATTGTCTCAGGATTCCAACTCAATGACGACAGGAATAAGCTAGGATAAATTACATGCTAACATTGATAATCAAACAGTGCCTTATGTCGCCATCTTATTCTCTAATCTATGGGGCTTCCTTGCCCTAATGAACCTCTCCGTCGACGCCGGAACTGTCTTCACCTATTTCAACTCTGTCAGCGGCACAGCGGCTTACTTCACTTGGATAATCATTATGCTCACCTTCTTACGTGTGCGCAGTGGCTTGAATGCTCAGGGAATCGACCCAAATACACTACCCTATCGTGCAAAGGGTAGTATCTGGATATACCGACTTACGTTGGCTTTCTTCGTGTTTCTACTTCTCATCCAAGGATTCACATCTTTCACAGATGGGTTCCATTATAAGATCTTTGTCTCTTCATATATCACAATACCGACCTTCATTATTTTGTTCTTCGGATACAAGTTTTATCATGGGACACGATGGTAAGGCATTCGATCACTCAGCATATAAAACTGGCATGAGACCGCCATATAATTATTAAAACACTGACTCATTCTCTGCTACTATCTTAGGCTCCGAGCACACGAAATCCCCTTAGCAGACCGCAACGTTTACGACGCAGCCCTAGATCTGGGAAAGCCGAAAGGATGGAAGAAGATTGGCGATTTGCTTAAAAATTAACCCCTCGAAAAGATTTCTGGGGCGTGCAAGAGCTGCCCAAGAACGGTTTCCAGCGGTATTTCACCTGTATCAAGGAACGATTTCATTGGCGTGCTTTTTGTTGTGATCGTTGCATGGAAGCGAGCCCGGGGGGTTTCTTTTCAACTAAACTTCTGTTACTTTCGGGTCTATCAACCTCAATGGCCTGGACAAAATATTATGGTTATGGAGGATCTCCTCATTAGTTGGCAAAACCCAAATAGAAGAGAGCCAGGTAAGGCTTCAAAAGCTTAATCCCATCAGGCCATTGCCGAAGCAGCTGAAATGCTTCAGTCTTCAGTGTTCACGGAGTCCGGATACTTCTCTGCCGTACTGTATATCTTAAACTGAACCGTACCCAACTATTTAGTATGGTCCAAGTGGTCCGAAGGGGTCAATCAGGCAGTCGAATTTGATAATTCATTTCCGGATATTGTTGGATCCGGCCACAGTTTCCCGTTAACTGAATCCCGGCGTCTAATTGGCCAATGAAGACAAAATCAGCCTAACGAATCAGCTAGGGATAAGCTTAGGTCGATCAATTGTACTAGTACATCGCGGACTACGCATCCGAGGGAATATGCAATGCTGATGCAAAGTGAACATCTTCAACATTCGGGGCGACTACGCGGGGATTTGCCTGAGGCCGTCACTCGGTAGTAGTGGCGCTCATTGCTGAAAATATGCGAAAAGAAAGCTTCATACAAGATCAACTAACAGAAAACTAGAAGAAAGTATACTGTTCCAGAAACGTATGGGGTTCTTCTCGGGAATCGGGTACCAACATTCAGATCCCGGTTCTAGATGTATGTCCCGCTCATGATCTCAAACCGCAAACGTCACCACTTCGGCTGCGAGGCTTGCCGGCTAACCACTTGCGCATGATGTAGGCTTTCCGGTAAAAATTCGAACAATTCCGTCCGGGGTATGTACTAGGAACGCATTTACTAAATTTGGAGAGGATATGCTTTGGGCTCGAGTCTTGTAGATTTGTTTCTCTTTGCTTGTCCCATCTGTACGACGTATAGCTCTAAAGAAAGGACGCTGGATATGACAACACGCCTCCTCGGCTGTCGGATCTCCTAAGTGCCGTTGTCATTCATTTTCATGGAAGTTATTAATTTTTCGAAGCTTATTTTCTTCATGGAGCTATCGTATGATTACATATATTGATTACCTCCCCTTGCAGATCGGAAAGATCCTTTGACCATAGATACTGTGCTTACTTGCCCTGGTTTGCAAGATGACTTCTCCTCAGCATGGACGGAATGAAGCATTAAATACCACTTCGGAAGGCTATTATAACCAAACTGAAAAATCCAAAGAGGAAGACGAAATCAGGCGGACGGAGGGCTTAAATCCTAGCGACGATGAACCGCCCACCGTATTCGAACCGGTCCGGCCTGGTGACCGCGAAGAACTTACCAGGATCGCGTCGTTTTTATCTTCGCGGCGCCCTAGTACCTTAGGTCGCCGTGACAGTGCTGCTATTACGCGCATGGACACAATCGACGAGATGGCTCTCGAAGATCCGCGAATTGATCCGGGTAATCCCAAATTTGATGCCTACCTATGGTCTCGGAAGAGGTTGCGCATATTACAACAAGAAGGGATGGAATTTCCTAGGGCAGGTGTCACATTCAAGAACTTGAATGTGTCTGGTTCTGGTGAAGCATTGCAGTTGCAGGAGACAGTGGGCTCGTATCTGACTGCGCCGTTGCGACCTGGGAAATTCTTTAGTTTTGCGAAGAAAACGGAACACAAGACAATCCTCCGCAATTTCGATGGGGTCATCAAAGGTGGTGAGCTTTTGATGGTGCTAGGACGACCGGGCAGTGGTTGCTCCACCTTTCTGAAGACCATTTCTGGAGAACTACATGGTCTAAACCTCGACAAGGACTCGACCATCCACTACAATGGCATCGGGATGAAAAAAATGCACTCAGAGTATAAAGGAGAAGTCTTGTATAACCAGGAGGTCGACAAACATTTCCCTCATCTTACTGTTGGCCAAACGCTAGAATTTGCCGCAACAGCTCGCGCCCCATCCAAACGAGTGCTCGGACAGACTCGTGCAGATTATGTGAGAGATGTCACTCAAGTCGTTATGGCAGTCTTTGGTCTTTCGCACACGTACAACACAATTGTCGGAAACGACTACGTACGCGGAGTGTCTGGTGGTGAGAGGAAGCGTGTTAGTATCGCCGAAATGGCTCTTGCCAGAGCACCAATCGCTGCCTGGGACAATAGTACTCGTGGATTAGATGCCGCCAGTGCGTTGGAATTTGTGAAGGCATTGCGCATGGCGTCCAATCTCGCCGGAAGCTGTCATAGCGTTGCCATCTATCAAGCTTCCCAAGCGATATATGACGTATTCGATAAGGTCACTGTACTATACGAAGGGCGTCAAATATACTTTGGTCCCTGCAATCGCGCCGAGCAATACTTCTCAAAAATGGGATGGGCTAAACCATCGCGTCAAACAACTGGTGATTTCTTGACGTCCGTCACCAATCCACAGGAACGTCGGGCGCGAGATGGGATGGAGAAGCAAGTTCCTCGCACGCCGGATGAATTCGAAGCATATTGGAAGAAAAGTCCCGAGTACGCTGCTGTATTGCAAGAAATCAAGGACCATGAGGCACAATTTCCGGTCGGTCATGTTGCAGAAAAGGATCTGGCTGAGAAGAAGCATGGTCAACAAGCGAAGCATGTCCGGCCTAAAAGCCCGTACCTCATGTCTATTTGGATGCAGATCCGGCTCTGTACTAAGAGAGCTTACCAAAGGTACCGCCACAATTTCCGTCTAGTTGAAGGAGAACAAATAGGCTAATAAACACAGGATATGGAACGACAAAGCTACGACTTTGACCACGGTTCTCGGACGAATCTTTATGGCTTTAATTGTCGGTTCGATTTTTTACGGGTGAGTGGTGATAAAATCTGGCTTTCGCAAATCACTAATGATCATCCCAGAACTCCAGCGGCCACAGCCGGCTTTCAAAGTAAAGGCGCGGTCCTGTTTTTCGCGGTCCTGTAAGTGGCACCGAAATGCTCTGCGACACGGGTATGGGGATACTAATGCATGTGAATAGGTTGAACGCGCTTATCAGCATCACGGAGATCAACTCACTATACGATCAACGTCCCATTATTGAGAAACAGGCGTCATACGCATTTGTACATCCGTTTGCCGAAGCTATGGGCGATATCATGGCCGATCTGCCCATCAAATTCGCCAGTGCGGCCGCATTCAACATCGTTCTGTATTTCCTCGCAGGTCTAGTAAGTTCAGCAATCCCCAAATGGCGTGACAGAAATGCTGACTTGTGTAGCGCTATGAACCATCTCAATTCTTCATCTTTTTCCTCTTCACTTTCATCGCAACGCTAGCCATGTCCGCCATTTTCAGAACACTAGCTGCCGCAACAAAAAGTCTAGCACAAGCGATGGCGTTGGCCGGTGTCATGGTCCTCGCTATCGTCATCTACACTGGATTCGTGATTCCGGGTCCCCAGATGCATCCATGGTTCTCGTGGATTCGTTGGATCAACCCGGTGTTTTATACTTTCGAAGCCCTTGTCGCCAACGAATTCCATGGACGCGAATTTATTTGTTCGAATTTCGTTCCGGCATACCCTAACTTGGCGGGTGATACATTTGTCTGTTCTGCCACTGGCTCGGTAACTGGTCGACGCACGGTATCCGGTGATCAATATATTCAATATCAATACAACTATTCATATTCGCACGAGTGGAGGAACTTTGGCATTTTGATCGCTTTCTGGATCTTTTTCATGTTCACCTATCTGACATGCACGGAACTCAACTCGGCCACTTCATCGACTGCCGAGTTTTTGGTCTTCCGCCGCGGGCGTGTACCAGCATATATGACCAAGTCAGACAACGACGTCAAAAACGGAACCATCGAGGTGCCTACAGGTGATTCCGAGAGTGCAAAGGAAGAAGTAGTAAACATGCTTCCTGAACAACGAGACATCTTCACATGGCGGAATGTCTGCTACGATATTCCCGTCAAAGGAGGCCAGCGTCGACTGTTGGACAATGTATCCGGCTGGGTCAAACCAGGAACGCTCACGGCGCTCATGGGGGTTTCGGGCGCTGGAAAGACGACACTTCTCGACGTCCTCGCACAGCGCGTCTCCATCGGCGTGGTGACAGGAGACATGTTCGTCAACGGCAAGCCTTTGGATGCTAGTTTCCAGCGTAAAACTGGGTACGTCCAACAGCAAGATCTTCATCTCCAGACCAGTACCGTAAGGGAGGCCCTACGCTTCAGCGCAGCATTGCGACAGTCGAAAAGTACCCCCCTCTCCGAAAAATACGAATACGTCGAGGACGTGATCAAAATGCTTAATATGGAAGACTTTGCAGAGGCAGTCGTCGGAACACCAGGTGAAGGACTCAATGTCGAGCAGCGTAAACTTCTCACCATCGGCGTTGAGCTAGCTGCGAAACCGGCATTGTTACTATTTCTGGATGAGCCTACCAGTGGACTAGACTCTCAAAGCTCATGGTCCATCTGTGCGTTTTTGCGTAAACTGGCGGATCATGGCCAAGCAGTGCTTTCGACTATCCATCAGCCGAGTGCGATTTTGTTTCAGCAGTTTGATAGGTTGTTGTTTTTGGCCAAGGGTGGTAAGACTGTTTACTTTGGCGATATCGGTAAGGACTCAAGGACATTGCTTGACTATTTTGAGGCAAACGGAGCGCGAAAGTGTGATGCTGCCGAGAATGTAAGTCTGCACCTACATATTTGAATAACTTCCATAAAGAGAACAAGGGCTAATATCAGCCTCGGTACAGCCTGCCGAGTATATGCTTGAAATCATCGGCGCAGGTGCAAGCGGTAAAGCGACTCAGGATTGGCCCACTGTCTGGAAAGAATCGCAAGAAGCGAAGAACATCCAGACAGAGCTCGATGAGATCCATGCGCACCATGCCGCAACTACTCCTAACGGTACTGAGACTCTAACAACCAAGTCCGATCAGAGCGAATTTGCAATGCCCTTTATCGACCAAGTCTGGCACGTTGTCATTCGTGTCTTCCAGCAATATTGGCGTGATCCTCAGTATATTTTCGCAAAGCTTGTGCTTGGTCTTGCATCGTCTCTGTTCATTGGATTCTCGTTCTTTTTGCCGAACAATAGTATCCAGGGATTCCAGGATGTTCTCTTCAGCACATTCATGCTGACGTCCATTTTTTCCACGCTCGTGCAACAGTAAGTTTCCTACCTATACTCGTCCCTTATATATCCTCAAGTCTAACGCATGAACTCGCCAGAATCATGCCCCGATTCGTCAACCAACGCTCCCTCTATGAAGTCCGCGAACGCCCCTCAAAAGCGTATTCCTGGGCCGCCTTCCTCATCGCCAACATTGTTGTCGAAATTCCATATCAGATTATGTTAGGTATCTTAGTCTGGGCCTGCTACTACTTCCCAATCTTCGGCGCAAACCAATCCGCACTACAACAAGGGTTGATGTTACTATTCGTCGTTCAGTTCTTCATTTTCGCATCTACTTTTGCGGATCTCGTTATTGCGGCAATGCCGAATGCACAGATGGCGGGTACTATTGCGACGCTTGCTTTCTCGCTAACGTTGACTTTTAATGGTATCATGCAGCCTCCCAACGCGTTGCCTGGGTTTTGGATTTTCATGTATCGCGTTTCGCCCTTGACGTATCTGATTGCGGGAATGACTGGTAATGGTCTTGATGGTCGGGTAGTGAGGTGTTCAGACCATGAGTTGAGTGTGTTTAACCCTCCTTCTGGTACGACGTGTGGTGCATACCTGCAACGATATCTTGAACTTGCTCCAGGCAAGCTCTACAATCCTGATGCCATGAGTGATTGCCACTACTGCTCATTGCAAAGCGCAAATCAGGTCCTCGCCAGCAGCAACATTTGTAAGTATTTCGGCCTTCTGCGTGCCGTGCAGATGCTAACATTCGACTGCAGACCCAGGTGAACGGTGGCGCAACTGGGGTATCGGATGGGCATACATTGGCTTCAATATTTTCGGCGCCGTTGCTCTTTATTATGCCTTCCGTGTCAAGCATTACAATCCAACCTCGATCGTGAGAGGGATACATGATGCAGGAAGATTCGTTGGACGTATGTTCAGTAGAAAATCGGAGACTCCCACAGGCCGCAAAGCTCAGGATGGGCGTGTTTTTTAATATTTTCGCTCTTTCTTTCTCATTTATTTTGTTGACTAGTATTCGTTTTAATCGGGTTTTGGATATATATTGAGTATATAGGTTTAATACAATTTCATTGGTCTCACAGAATGATTGTCGTTAAGATGATATCTTTAAATAGGAGCAAACTGTCAGTCAGGTTGTGTAGATACCTAAGGGGTCGTTTCTCACCGCCTTTACTCTGGCGATTCTCCGAACATTCTGCCGCTCACTCGACGCATTCAACATCACGACGGCTCGCATTATCACTGTTTCTTTCAGTTGAATTTGTTTTGGCAAATTACCTGCTGTACGAGGCCATTGTATCAGAATGCCACCCAAGGTCACTAAGGGCGAATACATTGAGACCGTTCGTGTCCCCTACATTTTACCTTTCGTATAGCATCCGGCTAATAAAACAAACAGGATACCGGCAACAAAATCTCGCGCCGCTCCCTCATTCACGGCACACAACACATCATCCTCGGGGGGAAAACTGTCATTCAAGCCGAAGCCGTTATCCGTGGAGACCTATATCGTCTACAATCCTCATCATCCTCCAGCAGTCATGCACATCACAACGACGGCGAGAATCCATCCTCATCTGCAACAAATATTCCCCCCTCAGTCGCAATCACCGTAGGCCGATATACATACATCTCTCGCGCAGCCATTCTGCGCCCTCCATCCCGTCTACACCGCGGTATTCATTCATACTATCCACTCAAAATAGGCGATCATGTCTTCGTCGGTGAGAGATCGGTAGTTGAAGCCGCACAGATCGGAAATCATGTTCACATTGGCAATGATGTTGTTGTGGGCAATATGGCTATTTTGAAGGATTTTGCGTATGTGTTGGATGGTGCTGTTGTGCCGCCTAATATGGTTGTGCCGAGTTTTTGTGTGGTGGGTGGTAGGCCAGCGAGGATTGTGGGTGAGGTTGGGGAAGGCTATGGGGTTGAGGGAGCGGAGGGCGGGTTGGCGAGGGAGAGGTATAGGGTTGTTGGGAGGTGATTCTCGATTTTTTTTTTTTTCTTTTTTGTCACGTTTCTTGAGGCTTTTGTTTAAGCATGATACCCATTTGTTTTGTATATATCCGTGTCCGGACGATTAGAGATTCAAAGTCGGTCATTTATACATTAATGTACTAAAGAGCAGCTATATGCATCCAAGCACCGATACTAATTACACTGCGAGTCTGGTGTGAATCATCCCATATTCTCAACCCTGACGGCTCGTTTCAACCGATTCTCATCCTCTTCATACGGTATTCCCGCCTCTTCCCGGGCCATATCATTGATCCATCTCTCATTAGGCTTGACAGTCTTTCCCGCGGTCAACTGCGAAGCAAGATAAAACCAGCACAACGCATTCCCGACAGTCGTGACTTCATCGCTCACCGTTTTTAAAGCAGCCTGGCTCATCCGATCGTACAGTTCTTGATCAGTCCAAAGATCGAATAGATACTTTGCGACTGCTTCTCTATCGCCAACCTCGACCAGAAATCCGTTCTTCTGGTCTTCGACTTGCAATGGAATTCCGCCGGCCCTGCTTGCAATGATGGGTTTGCCCTTGTGGATTGCCTCAGAGACCTTGACCTCAAACCCTTCACGGGTTGAAAGCTGTAGGGCGATTTTGGCCTTGGACATGAGGGTATTGAGAATCTGATCCGATGGTCCTAGACGCATGACGCAGATCAAGTCCTTCAAGTGCGGAAGGCGGGTTTCAATATGAGCCATTGTAGCATCATATACAACATTTCCATCTGGATCATCGACTGATCCATGACCACAGATCAGAAGTTTGGGAGGTTTCTCGGCTATCCCGTTTTGTTTGAGCAGTTCATGGAATCTAGCGTATGATTCAAGGACATCCGGTATTCCTTTTGATGGATCAAAACGAGCGACTTGGATGATATATTCATCTTGCGCGAGTCAGTCTTCCAGCACGGTCTTAGTCAAGAGTGCATGTCTTACCATCAGGGTAATTGATGGGGGTCATGCGGGTATTGTAACAAAACGTATTGAAGATACGCCCGTATGAGGCTATATCCCAGTCACGCATGGTTTTGTTGAGCCCATCAAGCCTGAGCATGATTTTGTTAGAGTCGTCTAACCCATCAGAGTAAGTTGACTTACCAGTCTGTGGTTGCCGGCATATATCCAACTTTCTCCTTGGGGACGGTTCCAGGAACAAAGACTTCCACCGGATGGCTAATGAAAACATCTGCGAGCTTGATACGATCCCACATCCACGACCAAGCTTCATGTTGTGGGGTACCAGGAGTTCCCACGAGGTCGCTTCGGATCTGGATGTGACTGCGGAAAATAACTGGCCTGTGTGGAGCTGCCTTTTTGGCTATGGGAATGAGGCTAGGCATCTGTGGATCGTCAATGACTACCAGATCCGCTCCTCCTTCCGACGGTGCCAGAAGTGGTCCATTGGAAGACAGCCAGTATCTGTGCGAATTGTCTTGCAGCCAATCTTCGATGGTTGCTTGGAAATTGGGAGTGAATCGCTCCTCGGGGGCTGATACGCCTTGCAGGATATTGTGGTTCGTCTTTGTGATGCGGAAGACTCCAGGGCGCGGTTTCGGGACATACCTTCTGCTTTTAGCATGATATCACGCGGCGTCCCATTGGAGAGAAGACTCACCACCTAAGGTCAATACCGATTGTCCGAGCAAATCGCACCAATGCATGTCGCATCAGAGCAACGCCACCACCTTGGGGAGTTGCGCTGAAAAATGCAATCTTGATATTGCGCTTCGTCAGTTGTTCCGCATAATGCTTCACGGCTTTCCATGTAGTGGCCCCAACTGTAGGTACGTAGTCATCTGGAGCAACAATACGTATACGAGCTCCGCAGTCGACTTCGACGATTCCATGATAACCAACGTCTAGGATGGGGTTATTGCTCGGTCCGAAAAATCTTGAATTGCATTAGTGTCCGTGATTAACGAACAGGGGTTTAGTTTACTCAGTCCTACCGAACACATTTCCTTGCCATTGACTCGGCGAGTTCGTCAATGCATCGAGCGTTCCATTGTATCGGGTCTGATGGCGAAGAAACAAACAGTGGAACTCCCTCTCGAAAATATATAGGCACTATATCCAGTTCATGCCACAGACGCGAGCATAATCTGGGGTATCGAATAGTGACATCTTCAGGCATGCCCAGGCCCATAAACCGCTCGAGGTGTTCTTCGCTGTATTCTCGCAGGCGAGCAATTATAAAATCACCCACATCGTTCTCCGTGAGTTTTTTCTTGGGCTTGGAATCAAAATGATGCTCGTAGAAGTCAAGGAGATATGTCGAATCGCGGATAGCTATGGCCAAGACTGCTGCCACTGAGTTGTCGTATTGCAGTGATATTCCAGCGTAGAGTGTCTAAAGGAGTCAGCTTAACTTTACGTCCCAAGATTGTTCCCCGGACTAGAAACACATACGTTCAATGGAGGACCGGCCCAATCGCACTTTTCAGTATGAGCGCGATTGAGGTCCCTCTGGAATATCGAACCACGTCGCTGGAACTGGTGTATTGCTTTTGACGAAGGCATTTTGGAGTATGAAGATGGACGAGAGAGCTGCCAGGCTGTCGAAATAGACTTTTGAGGCCCTGGCTACGTAACCATGGTGTTGGATTCCTTATGTACCTGGGATGACCGGGAAATGACGTAGTGCCTATTGACTGCGTTCGCATGTGATCAAGACAGATCCAAATCTCCAGATTACGAAGATACAGATGGAGAACGAAAAGGATACGTACTGAGGAGTCAGGCCATTGTGGCTTGCACCTTCTGCGGTGTGGGCTGTTGCCGCTGCGTGTGTGGCCAGATGCATCGTATGAGGGGCTTGTTCAAGGCTTCAAGCCTTGTAGGAGCTGCAGCCATCTGGGCCATGCCGATAGTGAATCCTAACAGGCCGCGTACATATATCCCCGTACAATGAATCATTCCGCTGAGATCATCGGGACAGCAAGATCAAGGATCAACAATAAAGAACGATCAAGATGGAGCGTTCGATATCAGCTTGGAGATATGGATTGAACTGGCCAATCAGCGCACACCCAATTGACCGACGCACGTGCCACGCGCCAAGCGTCCGTCTCGGCAAGGTGAAACATTAGTCCGAGAGGCTAGCCCCTGTCAGCCTCAGGCCATCCGTTTCTGCCCCTTTTACAGCGTGTTTGCTTGTTTTGCTCGGTCGTGTGCGCGCTATCTCCAACCGCAGTCCCCTCTTCTGCTTGACAGTGGACAATTGGCCATTCCCAAGCAGACTGTCGCCTGTATATGTAAGTGCATGTCACTTGCATTCCCTCATTCCCCCCCTCCCCGCCAATTGCTGAACTCTTTTTGCTACACAGACCGTGTCCGAGACCTGCTACACAACTTCACCGACTTGAGAGACGTTACGTTACAATCAATCAGTCGTCATGGGTGGTTCAGTGTCCAAATTGATGGGGAAGATCTTCGGATCAAAGGAGATGCGCATTCTCATGCTCGGTCTTGATGCCGCCGGAAAGACCAGTGAGTGATTGATGCCGATGGACGAGAGATGTTGGTGGTGATGCGACTAGATGCTGATACGGTCCTCAGCTATTTTGTACAAGTTGAAACTTAACCAGGATGTGACCACGATTCCGACCGTCGGTTTCAACGTCGAGAGCGTGACCTACAAGAACGTCAAATTCAATGTTTGGGATGTTGGCGGTCAGGATAAGATTCGTCCATTGTGGAGGCATTACTATTCGGGTATGTTGATATGATGAGGAAGGCAAAAATTATACTTACAATTCAGCAGGTACCCAAGGTCTTATCTTCGTGGTTGACTCGAGCGATACTGCCCGTCTGAATGAAGCCCGATCCGAATTGCACAAGATCATTAATGACCGTGAAATGAAAGATGCGCTGCTCTTAGTCTTTGCCAACAAGCAGGATACCCCAGGCCGTAAGTTCACCTTAACAATTTGCCGTGATTAATTACTATTGCTAATCTATTTGCGTATAGATCTTAGCCCCGAGGAAATCACCAATGCTCTCCAACTCAACAAACTCAAGGACCGACTGTGGTATGTCGTACCCAGTGTCGCCACTGAAGGTACCGGTATCTTTGAAGGACTGGTCAGTATCTCTTGCGCTCTTTGTTGGAATTCATATTCACTTCCTGCAGGCTTGGCTCTCGAATAACGTCAAGACCCCAGCTCCTGCTAAATAAACATCGAAAACTCGTTAACCCTTCCGCCACGCCGAATTGTACAACACTCGAATAGTCGTTGCTTTGCCTGATTAATATATTAATGACCACGCAGCATTCGAAAATTGGTTCTTTGTTTTGTCTTGTCTTGTTGAATTGTTTCGCATATTGCCGTTTGGGCCTCTATGATATCCCTGTTGTATTTCCCATAATTTCTTTATTGGCTTGTTCTTCTTTGTTCTTCTCGATATTGTTCTCTCCTTTATTTAGTTTTTTTACACGTCCAGTTTGTCTCACAATTACTACTCACATGCCGGGGAGGTTATTTTGCGACGATCCATTATGTATAGAAAGAAGAGCACTTTTGATGTAAACTCTGTCTTCTCCTTACAGCCGGCCGGGCTATCAAGATCATTCGTCGGGAAAGCATAAAGGTTCGTCCCGATAGTCCGTTAGGAATTATACGTCACGATGTCCATAAACGTCGTCGGAAATAAGCTCCTGAGTCCATATGCTACGGAACTTTGTTCCTGTTTACCCCAAACGTGTATTCCTCCCCCGTCGTTTTGCATATATCGTATCGGAGGTTGATTTATCTGAGGCGGTGTGGTCATATGATGCAATTCAGACTTCAGCGATGGCAATTCTCTTTTTATTGGTGAGCTGAAGAGAGAAAAAAGCGAGAGCTCTCACTCGTTATCTATATCTCTTTCAATCGTCAAGGCACTCAATTCCGAAGTGGTGATTTCAATATCTCTCGTCTTTTCGCCATCGCCATGGTCCAGAGCATTATAAATACAACCCTTTTGGACGAGGAATTTCATTCCACACCTGAGTGATTATCAGCCATTGAAGAATCTATACTGCTCAAAAGATTCTACCAAATCTCTATCCAAGACAAAATACTCGGAAAGACTTTACGGTTACGGGAGTCAATTCAGTTTACCTAAAACAAACATGCCTCAATACCGAGTCAACGATTCAGTGCGCTACAAGCCTGTTGGTGGTATGTCTTTCAGTTCACACATGAAGAAAAGACTTCTGACTTTGGTACAGGTCCTCAAAGCCAGACATCCGAAACCGTCGGCGTAATCAAAGAAGTTCTTACCTCCCCCGGTAACCTAACCGGTCGTCAAGTCCAGGCTTCTGCTGAAGATCCTCGCTATGAGGTAACACCTCTCCTCTCAAATGGGGTAGTATCATGCTAACGTAAACAACAGATCGAAAATAGCCATACCCAGAAACGCACCGCAATCAAGGAATCGAATATCATTGGACATTGTTAATTTCTCGTGGCCGTTTCCGCCGCGTATGGTGCTGTGGAGGGATTGGATGGCACCGGCTAGAGGGGATCAGGGGATGTACGATATGTCTGACGTGAATGTGGAAGGGATGGAAATTGAGATGGAGGTTCGATTGTGTGTTGATGGATGTGGTAGTTTAGAGTAGTAGTGGTGGTAGTGGTAGGAGCTAATAAAATCAAGCCGGTGAATTCATACTATTTTGCTCATTAAGTTTGTAACTAATGAACCGACTATTCTAAACATTTTGTTGATATAACTTAACATGTTGAACTCCCTTTTCCATGTATCATAATAAACTCGTTACATCATCTTGTTGAAAGTTGACATCGTACATCATTCAACCGGAGCAGATCAAGGCTCATTAGGCCAAATCTCATCCGCAATCTCCCTAACTAGCTTCAACTTTTTAAACATGCCTTCACGACTAATAGCGTTTCCGCCGTGGTGACTTGCGAATCCGCATTGAGGACTAACACCGCATTGTTTAAGAGCCTCTTCCACCGAGATGTTGTTTCCCTCGGCAATGAATTTGGCTGCGTCAACAATCCTTTTTTTCATCTCCTCCTTGTCTTCCATGGTATCAAACTTGGAGGTGACGACACCGAGGATCACGTTCTTGGTAACTGGTAGCTCCTTGAGAGGCTCGAATCCACCGGCCCGAGGGGTATCGTATTCAAGGTAGTAAGTATCGACGTTCAATTCCTTGAACAGCTTCACGGCAATACGGTCGTAGCCACCTTCGGAAAAGTGGCGAGAGTTGTGGAAGTTGCCGCGACACAAATGGACACCAACGTGCAGATCTGCAGGGCGTTTGGCGATGCAGTCGTTGTAGAGTTTGATGTATTTGTCGAGGAGGTCTTCGGTGGTGCCTTTGTTGAGGGGGTCGGAGTTCCAGCCTTCGATCATTTTTTCGGAGCAGAAGTCTGCCATCAATCAGCATCCATCTTAATCTCGTGTGGGAGAATAGAAAGAGAATTAAAGAGAGAAAGGGGGACTTACAGGCAAGGTTAGGATCATCATATTGCACATTCCTACAGCCTGCATCATACAAAATCTGCAACTCCTCCTGATACGCCTTTGCAATATCCGCAAAATACTCCTCGTCCGAAGAATACGCTTCCTTGGAATAAGCATATCCCTCCTTGTATCTCATATGATACCAGTTGGGAGCCGCAAGCGTAATCTTGATATTTTTCACTTCTTCCGGTTTCACCAATCCAGCGAGGAATTTGAAATCGTCGACGTAGCTGCTGCCCTTGTGTTTGATTTTACCGGTACAGACCACAGTCTCGCCCGGTTCGACTTTTTCTTCTACAAAGGCTGCAATGTCCGGCATGTACAGGCGGAACATTCCCGCGTCGGGTCTCATGATTTGAGTGAAACCTTCGAGGTTGGGGAAGAAGGAGCCCCAGAACACTTTTCTCTCATTAGTATTTACAGCCTCAGAGAATGGAAAGGAGGGGCAGACGTACTGTGCCGACGATACTCGCCATCGGTAATAGCGTGGTAACCGAGTTCCAGCTGTTTGGCAACTATATCCTTGATATCCTGATCCTCAATGGGGATAAGTTCTTTGGGAGTGACTTTGCCCTCGGTTAGGAGATCACGCTTCTTGACCAAAGTCTCTGTACGGAGCAGAGAACCGAGGTGTTCTGCGCGAAAGGGTGGGTTTTGATGGCGGGTCATTTTGTTTCTTCTGATGTCAGTCGGCTTTGAATATCTCCAAGCACAGAAAGTGTAGTATCTTACATTGGTTGATATTGACAAGAATTAACAGTATTCAACTACAAAGAAGAAGAAAAAAAGAGAAAGGAAATAAAATCAAAAGAGAACTGAGGGGATATCCATAGCCCCATTCAGACCCTTGTCTGGTCCCTCCCGATGCGGGGAACTGTGCCCTCAAAGTTACATACATATAGAGACTCAAAACTACGTATGCCTGAGATTGTCGATCCATGACGAACCGAACAATAGATATAGCTGCGTTGTACAGTCAATACAGTCAACTGCTGATATGTAATTTATAAAACAGTGGGTAGTCTGACTAATAGTCTGTTTTTCGGTGCTGCGTTATCCCCCCTTGTGGTTTTCCAGGACCATCGCTGACCATTTTAGGTTTTCTTGGAGGGAGATACGAGGTGACATACTTTGGTCAACATGTGATTGGATATGTGCCTCGCTGATGAGGTTTCTACGGCAAATTAGGCCATGAATACCCCTCTGAAGCTCCAAGACGCCATACTGGCGATAGTGCTCAGTTACGACAGGGATTTGTCTTTATCCTAATGAATACAGGATCGACTGAGTGATATGTAAGCAAGCCAATAAGTTATATGACTCGTGCCATCATTATAAGTATTCTACGATTCTATGTGCCACTAAAAAAAAACCTGAATATAAAGGAGGCCTCCCTCCATTTATACAATTCTTCTCCCCGAGCTCTCCACATCATCGATGTGGAGAAGATACAGCTACATAACCTCGGAATGTCGCAACGCAACACCATATTTCCTCATTCGATATGAACTATGCGAAGCTTATTGCACAAAATTCAAAGATCTGATTGTCCTCTGATTTGGTTCAGATCATATCTGGATCACAAAAAGTACGTCAACCTGCCCATCGCAGAAGACTTAGGGTTAAAGGACCCCACATATACAATCGTGGGGCCTTTTTCTCTTATAAATACCCCCTTATCAGAAATCAGAATGAGTACACGGTCGATATACCTAGGTAGGACATGAAAGTACCATTATTGCTGATTGCCTGTGTAGATCTGGCCTCTCATTTAAGATTCTGCGGAATATTCTTCGGGCTCTTCATATTGTTCCTCTGCCTAAGAAGAAAATGCCACGATGTTTCATTATACGATAAACAGGCAGATGAACTATATCATAACAGAAAGAGAAATAATAAACATCGGATAAATTGCCCAGGCGTCCTCCACCGCTCTCGCATTTGGGAATCTATAGATAGAATGAAAAATAGTTTAAATTTAAGCTTATTTTGACCACATTCCTATGATCCTATCTGGTATCTCTCCGTAGGTACCCTCGTAGGCTGTAGCACCTCCCAGGTACGTGACTAACGATTATTGAGAGTAGAACAATTTCATCTACCAGAGATAATGTAATACAGTAACTTGTCCTATACTCTATAAAACAATTCGCTCCAATTATAAGATCAAGTACAGATCCCATACGCAGTAAGCTCGGATAGGAAAGAAAAGGCTATTTAGGGCAAGTCCCGTCAAGCCCTAACACTTGTAACCTAAGGCAGCCAGCCTTGTACCAGTGTTAAATTCGGAATAATAAATACGAGTTGGGCTAGTTATATGCTTTAGGTTCAGCTACGGCTGAATGCATAAGGAGGGGAAGGAGGGATCCTTTAGCCGGGCTTTTTTTTCAGTTTCTACAATAACATCTTCAGCGTTGCTCCTTCTGTAGGACTGCCAAGTGGATTGTGATCTCCTGCTTTGCGACTATGGCGACGACTCGCACGTCAAATGAGTCGTCGACCAACGACCTATCGTCCCTCTGGCATGCTGCTTGTAACAACTACGCGAAGGAAACTGGAATCACCATCAACGATGAGGAATTCCCCAGGGTATCTGGGCCCGAACAGCTATCACACCAGCTCGATGCGGAGGAGGCTCATTTTCAAAACTTCCGAACGAAAAAAAGTCCACTTCTTCATACCATGCAAACTATCCTGGTGCCATTTGAAAATTGGGGAGATCTGATCGGGGATGCAGTCGCTGCTGCATTTCCACCAGCGTCCTCTATTATGGGTGCCATGCTGTTGTTGATCCGTAGTGCGCGAAAAGTCAGCGAATCCTTTGACATGATTACCGACCTCTTTCAGAAATTGAGCAATTTTGCCCTTCGTCTGGATATTTACAAGGGCGTTCCGCTCAGCAAAGGAATCCAAATAATCATCGTTAAGATCTTGGTCAATTTTCGCGTCTGTGCAGCGTCACAAAAATTGCTAAAAGCAGGCTCATTTAGAGCGCGGCTTTCGAAATGGGCTAAAAACATCTTTGTTGAAGATATTTCTGTCAGTTCCCTCCTGGCTGAACTTCAGGGATTGACGAGCCAGGAAGATAAGATGATCTCTGCCCAGAATCTCAATCTCACTCATCAGGCACTGAAGAACACCGCGGATTTACTCGAAAGGGACAACGTTAAGAGTGACCGAGACAGGCTTAACAAAGTGAGGGATAAGCTAAAACCAGTTTCAGCATCTAGCCAGGTTCACTCCGCGATCAGTAGCAGTCGGATTCCGGGCTCAGGGAAGTGGATTAATGATAGAATCAAGTCTTGGTGGCAGAGTTCTCAACCCATACTCTGGCTCCATGGTGGGCCTGCGGTAGGAAAGTCCTACTTGGCAGCCAAGATTATTGACGACCTCACGAACGCAGAGATATCGTCTATGCCTGTGGTTGCTTCGTTTTTCTGCAAGAACAACGATATTGATTTGCGCTCCATGAACAAAGCTCTACGGACTCTCGCTTGGCAGGTAGCTGCACAGCTACCGAGGTTCGCCGATCATGCTGAAGACTTTTGCCTAAAGGCCGATTTAGCTGATACATACTCGGTATGGTGGAAGCTATTGCTGAAATTCTTCACCGGGGGTGCCTCGGACGTCTCGGTGTGGTTTGTCATTAACGGCATCGATGAGGTAGATCCAGAAGAACAAAATCTGCTCTTTGATCTCCTTGAGAAAACCTATTCGCTAGAGGAGCAGTCCCAGGTATCATTTTCTTTGCGATTTGTACTTCTGAGCCGGGATTCAGTACGAAGCAGTCTTGAAGAGCACCTACTTGGGTGGGTACCAGACATTGAGATAACTAATAGTCAGAACAAAGAAGATCTCCATAGATATATCTACCAAAAATTACAAAGGGCAAGTCTATTTAAAGGCTCTTCCAAGCTGTTAGATGAGATCGTTGATGACATACGCGAGTCTGCAGAAGGTCTATGGGAATGGGCAAATCTTGTCATTAAATCTGTCTTGCATTGTAGCACCAAAGGACAGATTCGGCGAGTTGTCAAGACCATGCCACGGGGAATCAGTGCAATGCTCAGTCAGGAACTCCAGCGTTTAGCTCGTCAGCTCTCAGCGGACATGCTACCAGACGAACTGAATTGTGTCGAGGAATCAGGGCAAATCCAACAGCTTAACCTGATACTCTCCTTTGTCACTATTGCTCAAAAGCCTCTAACAATTAAGCAGCTTGAACTCCTGTTGAGATCATGCTTGAGGACGAAGTCCTGAATGTGGAAGATAACCTTCGCATTGAATATTCATCTCTTTTTGTTGTACGAGACGCAGGAGAAGCAGAAGGATATTTCAAGGATGATTTTATTGTAACGCTCCGCCACAGCTCTTTCTATGAGTTCTTCAAAACATCCGGACAAAGAGAAAATGGGCCCATCCATGTCGACCCCGAGCGCGCGGAGGCAAGCCTCGTGTTTGTCCTTCTGCATGCTCTCCATGGGACTGATACATCCAAGCCCGAGACCTACAAGTCTCTAGGTCTGATTGAGACATACGCAGACAGCTTCCTACCACTACATCTAACGTCCGCCAACCCAGAGAACGCAGGTAATCTACAGGACGAAATCTCGGCTCTGATTTTAGATGTCTTTGCCAAAGATATAGAGCGTGGCCATCCTTTTGTTTCCGCATACTACGTGTACGGTGATTCTTACAGTTTAATCGCATGGTCCTGGGTAACCGATTTTGGGTATTACTGGTTTGATGCAGGAGGTTATAATATTGCCAACGAGAGGGCGCAGCAGGTGCTAAAGTGGCTTCTCCCAGCTGCGAGGGAGATATTCGAAGAGTGTGCCCGGTATTCGGTCTCAGCAAGCGATATGTGCCCGTTTACCATCCTCTTCTCGCCTCTGGCAGTTTCCCTTTCGCGTCACTGGCTTGCCCCGGATGTTATTGAAGCGCGCGATGGATGCGCCCATTCAATTCCCATCGTGTTAAATATATTTGGTGAAATGGCAGGTAATCTGGATCCCTCACGCCATTACGGACAAGCTGCAAGTCCTGAGTCCACTGCACCAGACGTTGTCAAAAGGACAACACGGGTCGAGGACTATGTATCGTCTTCTCGCATTTTGCTTGTCGCCAAGTTGCAACAACATGAGATGACGACCAGTTGGCACACCCGAGTCGGACAGGCGCTTCTCTCCCATTCGTATTTCCGGGAAAGCCTCGAGCACTTCGAAAAGTCACTTAGCACAGATGAGAAAAGTCGGACCTTGAGCTCAGAGTCTTTGTCTGTCATTCATAGAAATATGGCCAGTGCGTGCTTTGCAATCGGTATGTATAAAGAGGCAGTAGAGCACAATAAACTTGCAGACACACTGGGTGGCACGAGCACGGCGGTTGATTTCATTCTAAGTGGTGGTCATATACGTCACTTGTTAAACGCAGCCCAACTGGAGTACATCGCAAATATGCCAAATCAAGCTGTTGCAAAAGCAAATGAAGCCTGGCAAGCATACTTAGAAAGAGAGGATGATCGAGACTGGTACTTGTGGATCAACTTCTTGTTTATCTTTCTGGGGCTGGAGCAACCACATCTTCTCCGCCCAGTCTTTGAGCTTGCCTTGTCCCATTTCCAAGAGCTTTCTCGTCAGAATATCGAAGTAGATGGACTAGCCGAACACATAATCGACCCAGGAGCTCGACGATTACGCACAACGTACAAGGCGATTCGTTTTGGGTTGACGCCAGACGATGAAAAGTGTCTTCAACTGATGGCCTGGGCAGTGAAAAGGATCACAAGTTGTGATGATATCCTGCCAAAGTTGAAATTCTTAATAGGAACAGCATTGTTTGAGAAAGGACAGTTTGCCACAGGAATTTTGAACTGGTATGAAGCAGTCACAGATTCTAATCCCAATCCTGTCTCCTGGCAAACTGAACCGGCCCAAGAAAGGTCCCTGAGCTACATGGCTGCTGTTTGTCTCTACCATCCCGAGATTTCGTTTTGTAGTGGTAATCCTCTAACCTTAGATTCGGATGCTGAATTTGGCGATATCTGCCTTATTATTTCATCTTGGTTGCGGGATAGCGGGGACCATACAAATGCTCGAAAGGCGCTCTGCGGTCGTGTGAAGAAGTGTATCAGTTTGCTGTCAGATGATGACCCCTCTAATGACTGTGACGCCTGAATCGAACTTTTTAAGACGTTTCTGGCTGCTACAGAAAGTGACGAAGACCTGAACGGCTCCTTATATATGGTCAAGACCTGGCGCAGGCTTTCTGATCATGACACTCCCAAATCTGATGAAGAAAAAGAAGCCGCCGAAGTATTCAAGGAGGTCCATATTGAAGATGACAAGGCTTCCACGAATGAAAGCGTCAAGGAGAATGCAAAGGCCGTAGAGCCAACGGACGTGCCTGATATGATCTGGAACATTTACAATTCTGTCACTGCGTGCGCGAATTGCGATCTTCTAGTCACTTCGGCGTCGCACTGGTATTTCTGTCGATCCTGCCCTCACATGGTCTTGTATCCAGCCTGCTACCGTAATATCCAGAGCAGCAATGTAAATTCTTTCCTTTCCCAGCATGCTCCGCGGACTTGTAATTCTCAGCATGAGTTTTACTATACTGGCAAACGGCTTCGATTTTCTGAATGTGCGGAAGAGGGCATGATTCGCCTCACGAGCATCGACTCTGACGAGGTGAAGATATTGTGGGTTGAGGAATGGAAGGATAGGTTGGCAGAGAAATGGGGAACGAAGGAGTTTGAGTTTGAAGGTGGATTGTCGTCTTGGTGTATGCAGGTGTTGCCAGAGGTGCAGAGGGAGAGATGGGCTACATTTTTCAAGGTATAAATGGCGTTGATCGAAGAAATCGTTCTTTTTGATTCTGCACCATAACTGAATTCATTCTCAGAGTCGAGTAGTGCCAGAATCTACCTAGGGATATCGCAGCTTCAATTCCATCTCGCCTCATTATCATTCCGTATCAAATAAGGCGGACAGCAGTTTAAATTGTCCATGTCGGGTTTCTTGCATATGGTCTATAGCCAACTAGACTATTCTCACAGCTCCCGATGGCAAACGAGATATACAATCATACGTGACCGCCGGACCGAACGACTTGTGATCAATACATGTAAGCTTGTGCCCATGTCTCCTGAGATTGCCGGTAGAGTTGTAGCTCTGGTGTAACTGACTCCAATCTATGGTGTTCGATTGGCCTTGCAACCTCATCTACCTCATGACTCGGTTGTATAACTAAACGTCCTTCATCGTGTACCCATGTGAGCAGCTATGCATTTGATGCTATGACTAGCATCTTGCAGGTTGTTAGGGTTCTCCGGCAACTCCGAGACCAAAGCAACTGTCTTATTTGTCTCTATTAATGAAGGTAGCTAGAAACAGCTTTCTATATCATCAGCACTAATATACTAAACTCATCGACAATTTACTCAACAGGTTGCGACACTGCTTGCCTCGGCTTGTACTGACAATCGATGGATTGCCATTTCGAATAAAGAAAGAAGGAATATACTCAAAATGTGGCCATTTAGTAAAGGCAAATACTCCTCGATTATACTTTATTTCTATGACGCATGGTTAATGAACATTGGCAATCCTTGCGTCTGGAGGTGCTCCACTGGCAATGTTCTGATACCTCTCTACCAGCTCAATAGTGGCCTTAATCAGTGTAACATAGATCGCGGTAAGTTTGATTGCTCTGCTGTCGTAGCTTCTGAGATGATTATTTGCTCTTAAAAAGTAAAATCCAACTTCTGATAGATTCCCCCCAGATACTGGTTACTACCCTGTTCATAACTCCTATCTGCAGAGAAGCAGAATGACGCTTCTTGATCTTGAGAAATCTCCCTTGATAATTACAAAAAAGCTTTTTCAGCAATCACACAAACATTTAAATATGCAAACCCAGCAACATGACATAATGCCTCCTGAACCGACCGATTACTCTACTATCTCCTTCATCTGAAGCTCCTTGTGTAAAGGAATATGACTCAATCTCTTTGACCTATCTTTTGCATACAATGCCCAGTACACCTTTGCAAAAGTCGCAAATCTTTTCGAAACTCAAGATGGCCCTCAAAGCTTCAGGCGTGGTTTTTAGCACGACTATTCTAGGGCTTGATCCATGGCATAGTTTTGCGGCGCGAATCCTCTTATGGATAATTAATTGGGAGCGACGGCTTGTAAACTATACAGATGAAGCGGATATCTTTGTGGATGCCCTAGAAAAACATCTCGCAGTGGTTAACGCTGAGGTCATTGGTTCTGTTCTAATCTCCGAGGCTAAAAGTCCCAGAATATAATACGGAATAGCCATGTATGAAGCTACAAAAGGTCATACAAAACACCTAGCATCCGCAGATAACCAGTTGGGCCTCTGGGCTTCGAGTTATTTTGCAAAAAATGGATTTATACTAAGTTATCATACATCTAATCCGTTTCATGCCTGCAGCCCTGACATATCAGTGATACCGATCATAATTTTGGAATATAACGTTCAATGCATCAACTATATCTGGATTACTCGACTGGACTCTGATCAAGAAAGCTTGTTAGACTGCATGTTTCTAGGACCTCTCTATACAGGATTCTATATCACTATTTTGAATCCTTCCATAAAGCTCGTGTAATACGAATGCTAAATGCCATTAGTTGGACAAAAGAAACAGGAAAACAGGATATCAAACATATGCGGCAATACTTATACCATCTGCCAAAACGACCTGGCGTGGAAGGAGGTTTCATCATTTCGTAGGTCCCTCCTATCCACTTACGACTCTTCTTCATGCTAATTGGAGTGTTTCGTGATATGATGGGGGTGCCGGGGGGAGGAATGGAATGATATCTCCGCTTGCAAGTAAGATGCGACAATACCTTCAGAAAGAAAAATCCTGCAACATGAGTGAGAGCCCCTCAGCGTATGACTGTGCGATGGTGAGAGTATGTGTCCCTTGGTGCTTGAAGTATCCATTCGAGCAGAGAATACCCTCTATACGATCAACAGCAACAAAGATAGTGATTGTTGATATCGGTGGAAACCAGGGAGTAAATCTTGACCGGCTGCCTAGTAGCTTTTCACATCTGGACTGTGACCTTGTTCTACAAGATTTACCGAAGACACTGATAGAAATCCGAACCCATCTTGATCCAAGGATCAGGTCAATGGCCTATGACTTTTCACAGCACAGTGCGTACAGGGTGAGTCAATCAAATTCAGACATGAGTGGTTTTACGACAAATAGGGCTCACATAATTCTCAAAATCAGGAGCTGATATTTACTATCTAAAGTCCGCACTGCATGACTGGGATGATAGCGCTTCAAAGGAGATTCTATCAAACACCTTCTCATCAATAAAATCATATTATCTGATACAAACGAATCCCTATCCCGAGCAGAAATGGATATGTTGATGCTATTCCTGTGTGATTGCATGGAGCATAGCAAATTGCAGCGGGAAGAGTCGTTGGCAAAAGTGAACTCGCCTCTACGAATCATCGATACTTGGTCTGTCCCTGGGGATCAGCAGAGCGTTATTGAGGCTTGTCTCGCAGAGTAGTTTACTCTCTTTTTTTCTCTCTGTTGTTAATTCAATTTAACGTCTTTATTCTAGAGTGGCCTTGAAGGAATTCTCATATAATGCTCGAGGTTCCATATATCATAATAGCAAGAAATCAAAACTGAATCTCCAATCTAATCGTGAAGGGTGCACTAGAATCTCTCTCCAGACGAACTTTGCCAGCTCGTCCCTTGCAGCCCTCATCCTCTTCAGCACTTCATCCTTTGGTAGATCCAAGAGATTGCCAAAATCCTGCTGAACCATTTCTAGCTTACCTAGTTTGACATACCACGCTTCTGACTTCCTCTCAGAAGCTCCCAGCTCTAGACAAGCCTCGACCCAGAGCTTCATAACATGTTTACTCTGCGGCAAGAACGGCACAACCACATTCCAAACATGCGGCATAGATTCGCACTCCACAAAAGTAACCTCAACACCACAGAATCCTTGATATTCCTAACCAGGAATTTGATTCTATCCGAATACGTCTCTTCTCCACACGCAATCCACATTGGGGGCATTCCTGTTCAGTGTTCAGTCCGTCCATGTCGGCGGATCGACAAATGGATGACATATCGCCGAATTATTCGCAGTGCAAGTCCCCTCTGGGAGGGATGGAGGGCCATATGGAGTCTGCGGGAAAGTTTGGCTGGAGCCAGGGCGCACTTTCGGATAACCAGTCAGTTGTCTCGAATTCCTTGACCGATGGTAGCGACAATGCGAGATCGGCTCCGGGGCAGATGAATGCGCATCCAGCTGGCATGTCTAGAGAGATCTTTCGACTAAAGAAATGCATCATATCGGCTCCAGTTACAAGGAACGTCAAAGTCAGGATGACAGTTCAATTGAACCTAACCAGGAGAATTATAACATATATCAAAACTTATATACATGGACACATCAAGACGCCTTTCCAAAAACCGTTAATTGCTATTCCCCAAATCAAAGCTTAGCAGCATTTCCAGGTGAGGAAATCTCATTATAGAGCAAGGAAGTCAAGAAATCCGCATAATCTTCACCCGTAACCTGAGAAGCGAAATATCTAGCTGCAAGCTGGTATTTATTTCCCTTGGGTGCCTTTGAGGCGAGTGATTCGGCTTGTTCTTGGAGGAGGCGGAGGGCGTATGCCTTGTCGATACGTTTGCCTTCTGCGGTGGTGACGTTGTGGCGGACCCATTGCCAGAGTTGGCTGCGGGAGACTTCTGCGGTGGCGGCGTCTTCCTGTTTTTGAGTCAGCCTCTTTTCTCTTTTTTTTTTTTCCTTTAGTCAAAAACCGTTAGTAGAGGGGACGAACCATAAGATAGTTGATAGGAATACAGCCGACACCTCGGAGCCATCCTTCCATATAACCCAGACCAATGTTGAGGTTCTTTCTGATTCCATCCTCGGTAATAGAGCCAGGCACGTTGGTGTTCAAGAGGTCATTTGCGGTGACATGGACATCTTCCCGGCGGTTGAACAGCTGGTTGGGAGTAGGCATATACTTGTTAAAGACCTCGGAAGCAATGCTGGCCAACGCAGGGTGAGCAACCCATGTTCCGTCGTGACCAGCACGGACTTCACGAAGCTTATCTTTACGGACATTCTCCATAGCGACATCATTTGCTTGTGGATCATCCTTGATAGGAATCTGTGCAGCCATACCACCCATGGCATGAACGCCACGGCGATGGCAAGTCTTGATAAGAAGACGGACATATGCATCCATAAACGGCACAGTCATGGTAACGGCAGAACGATCGGGGAGGACAAAGTTGGGATTCTGACGGAACTTCTTGATGAAGGAGAAAATATAATCCCATCGACCACAGTTGAGACCGGAACTGTGGTCTCGAAGCTCGTAGATAATCTCATCCATCTCAAACGCAGCGGTGATAGTCTCAATCAAGACTGTGGCACGGATCGTCCCGCGTGGTAGACCGATATAGTCCTGTGCCAAGTTGAAGACGTCATTCCACAGACGAGCCTCCAAGTGAGACTCCATCTTGGGAAGATAAAAGTATGGGCCGGTGCCTCGGCTAATGAGTTCGCGGGCGTTGTGGAAGAAGTAGAGACCAAAGTCGAACAGAGAACCCGAAATGGGCTCGCCATCGACGGTGAAGTGTTTCTCTTCCAAATGCCAGCCACGAGCACGAGCAATCAGTGTGGGCAGTGTTCGGTCTGTGCGGAGTTTGTACTCTTTGTTTCCTTGCTTGAAGTCGACTTGACGACGGATAGCATCGTAGAGGTTCACCTGGCCGTTGATCATATTCTCCCACGTGGGAGCCGAGGAGTCTACTCGCATTAATTTTGGAATTGTCATGGGGAGTTTAGGAAGACGTACCCTCAAAATCAGCCATATAGGTCCAGACATCCGAATTCAATGCATTCACCACCATCTTCCGGTCTGTCGGCCCCGTAATCTCAACACGACGATCCACCAAGCCGGGGGCCGGGGGAGCTCCCTTCCAAGCATCATTTTCACGAATATGTTTAGTCTCCGGCAAGAAATCCAAAAGGAGACCGCGGTCAATCTCTGCCTGGCGGACAATTCGTCGTTCGAGCAGAGCCTTGCGGGTGCTGTTGAAGGTGCGATGCAAGAGAGCCAAGAAAGCGACGGCGTCCTTGGTGAGGATCTTGCGGTGTTCGTTGTTGACGGATCCGAGGATGGAGACCCCCTGGAGCTGGGTTTCGACGGTAGTCATTTTTGATGGTTCCCCTTTGATGATATGTTGATGGTAAAGTGTTTACAGTGAATGCAAGTTGGACAAAAGGAATGATATATATCTTCAGAGAAAGAGAATGTCTCGGACGATAGGATGGATGGATCATCGATAATATCGACGTCAGGATCTTGGGGCAATGGCCATAGCCGCGGCCCGGACAGAAGGTGCTACATTCTGGTCTGCACCAATCAATTGCCCCGGTTATCGGCCAGAGGAATCATTCTGCACAATTATCTCAGACTGATCTGTCTAATTGGTTTGATATTCTTTATCATTTGCTAGTGAAGTGCTAACAAATGGTCGTTATCTCGGCCGATATTATTTTTATATGCTCGTTGAAGAAATTCCCCGCGTTAGTTATCTTTTATCTTATCGATAAACTAACTACACTAGCGCCGCGCTCTCTTTTTCACAGGCCCTCACGAGGTTCATCTCTCTACTACGTATTAAACTGGGACCATTTCCATCCTCATTGCTCTTCCTGGATGAGAATATACCAGTATTTATCGCATGTTGTCTCTCTATCAGAGCATGGCAACCCCGCATAGCCCGCTGCCCGAGCCTAAAGCTTTAACCGCGGTAAAAAACTTCCATCGGGGAACTCTGACATCATCCACTTCTCGCCCTCCCGCCGCGGAAAAGTCATGTGATTTATTCACGCATTTCCGGGCTGCTCCGAGTTAGTATAAATGCCAGCAGGGTAGTTCGGCGGTATCCGGTTGTAGCTTTTATATAGAATGATTGTTTACTCGATTGCATGTGAAATGGATTCTCTCTTGTATCGCCTTCACATGGCAATGACTCAAATTCTGGGCTCGTCTAGAGCAAAGTCTAGAGCTGCGCGGAACGCTCCCGCACATGCCGAAGCTTGACAGATAGAATAGATACGATATAGTGGAATTGGTGCTCCAATCTGCTCGCTCGATAGTAATACGATGAATATACAGAGTACGCTAAACGAAATCCAGTCAACACCTACACTGTCTCTATATACCGTCTCACTTCCCTATTCAAGTCGTTAGTAACATTCCACAATAAGAGACGATGGAGACCTACCAATCCGTAACCGCCTCCTCCCAAAGCACAATCTCATGCTCCCTCGTACCGCTAAAATGATCCACAAACTCATCGCCAAACACCTCACGCGCAATACTGCCCGGTCTGCGGAAAATCTCATTCGCTTCCTTGAGTGACTTGGCCAATCGAGCGCCCTTATCACTCGTGCTGCCCGTATCTTCACCTTTACCCAACGGAGAGAGTGGGATTTCGAGTTTCTTCTCTACTCCTCGCCATCCAGTCGCCAGGATTGCTGCGAGGACATAGTGCGGATTAGCGTCTGCGCCGGGAACACGGACTTCGAATCGTGTTGCTTTCGCGCTGGCTGTGGGTGGCGATATCAATCGGATCGATGCTGCGCGGTGTTCGAGACCCCAGGATACGGTGACGGGAGCCCAGAAGTTTTCGACTAATCGCTTGTAGGAGTTAATGGTAGGTGCCAGTATAGGCATGATATCTGGTAGACCTTCAAGAAGACCAGCCAGGAAATGTCTCCCCATGTCTGATAAATGGGCGACTTCGGGATACGGCGGTGACGGGTCGACTGTATCACGCGCAAACAAATTCTTGCCCTCTTTGGAAACAATAGAGACATGCATATGACCGCTGTTACCCGGTAATCCTTCCCGGGGTTTCGCCATAAACGCTGGTGTTATCCCATGTTTACTTCCGAGGGACTTTACCACATATCTAGACAACGTTAGCCCAAATACATTTCACCTTATGCGGCAACCATACTTGAACAGCCCAGCTCGATCAGCCATCTCCTTAATTTCGCCAAACTGCAAAGCCTTGAAACGTAAAACCAGTCAGGAACAGGGTACCTCCACATTCAATCCAAGTAAAGTACCCACAGCCTCAAATACGCCCGGTCCGCTCTCTGTATGCCATCCTTCAAGATCGCAACGAAATTGCTCACATGCATCGAAGATGCCGTAATAATAATCTTGATTGTGCACGGGTCTGGTAATACTGTATCCAAACATACCTTCCGTGAGCGGAGGTAGTGATTCAACGGGATTGTTCTTCAGGAAGGCCGCGGTTGCCGAAGAGTTTCGCTCACTGCTCGATGTATCGTGTGGAACTCGGAATTGGTAAAATTCATACTCGGCTGATCAATCAGTATGTCCCCATATTGTGCACATATCATAAGAAAGAGATGCAATACCTCCTGCCATAGCCTTATAATCCAGCGAGGCCAACTTATTCACCGACGCCTGAAGCAAATTCCTCGGACAAGCACTAATCGGCCTCTTCGTCTCGGGATCAAAAAAGCTCACAAGGAAAAAAGGAACATTATCCTCCCACGGAATACGTCTAAACGACTTCAAATCAGGAATCGCCAATAGATCACGATATCCATTCTCCTTATTGCTGATGCTCAGTTCCTTGAAATAAGTGCGGTCGTGCATATCCCAACCAAAGATGACGGAACAGAATCCGAATCCAGCTTCTGCGATTGAGAGGAATTTCTTCTTAGAGACTAATTTCCCGCGCAGGATGCCGTCTGCGTCGACGCCGGCAAGTTTGACCTTTGTATCGTATTGGAGGAGGGTAGCTACGTTCTCTGCTGTTACGTCGGTCTCGGCTGGTGTGGACATTGTCTCGTGCGTGCTCTGGCGAGGCAAATGATCGAAGAATGGTCGGAACGTGATGTCGAGGAGAAAGAGTACAGAGCAGTTAGGAAGGTCAGCTCACCAAACCGTTCAAAAACAAAAAGAAAAGAGCGATGTGATGGTGGCTGCTGTTTATCAGTCAAGCTAATCAGTTTGTCCAGTTACGTCGGTGGAAGCTTGCAAGGATTCATCCCAGCTTATCGGGACCCTCGCTAGTCCCGATACGGCAGGAATACCCTGCTGGCGGCCTAAATTGTGAGGTGTCTAGTTTTATAGATTGGCCAATCAGCTCTTACACACGTATTTACTCTATTTTCTTGTAATGACTCATTTTGTAAGCACCTGGTAAGAACGATATGTATTCGGACAGGCCAGTCCGGCTGAGCAATTTGTACCTAGACGATGTTAGAGAAGAAAAGGACACTATGACCAGAGCGGGCATTACAGTCCGATAAGTTAGATAGCCCGATTAGATAAGAGAATCCGAAGTCTCCACTGTACACTCCTTACAGACCACAACCCATGCCCCGCCATCACACAATTCTATGACTACCAGCAATTAGTATAAGAGAATGGGCTTGTGGCATTGATTCAAGACCTACCTCTGACTGTCCCGCGTTACGAACTCTAGCATTGTCGACTCAAACGTACATATCACTCAACTACACGAACCACCATGGCAACAGCTCCCAGAGGGCGTCTCCAGGGCAAAAATGCCATCATCACTGGTGCTGCTGGGTAATCAAACCTCATTCTATTATTGTAGTATCTATATTCTAACGAGAACAGTGGCATTGGGCTCGAAACATCCATCCTCTTCGCCCGCGAAGGCGCTTCCGTCCTAATGGCCGACATCTCCGAACCCGCCCTAGCCACAGCCCTCGCAAAAGTGAAATCTCTCGCCCCATCTTCCGCGCGCGTCGAAACAATCAAATGCGACGTCTCCAAGGAATCCGATGTTCAGGCCATGGTTGAGTCGCAGGACAGCTGGGGTGGGACGGATATCATCTTCAACAATGCGGGGATCATGCACGCCGACGACGCGGATGCCGTTGATACTTCGGACAAGATCTGGGATTTGACGCACAATATCAATGTTAAGGGGGTGTGGTATGGCTGTAAACACACCGTGTTGAGTTTAAGGCGTCATAAGAAGACCAAGGGGAGTATCATTAATACTGCGAGCGTGGTGGCGCTCGTGGGTAGTGCGACACCGCAACTTGCTTATACGGCTAGTAAGGGAGCTGTGTTGGCTTTGACGAGGGAATTGGCGATTGTGCATGCTAGAGAGGGATTTAGATTCAATGCTCTTTGCCCTGCGCCTTTGAAGTATGTCCTTCTTTTATCACGACGTACACGGGTGAAGACAGTCTAACGAGTGCAGTACTCCTCTTCTCCAAGATTGGCTCGGTGATGACCAGGCAAAACGCCATCGTCGCGAAGTCCATTTCCCCACAGGACGTTTCGGAGAAGCTATTGAGCAGGCCAATGCGGTTGTATTCCTTGCCAGCGACGAGGCAAGCTTTGTCAATGGTACCGATTTTGTGGTTGATGGAGGAATGACCAAGGTAGGTCTTGCTTTTGTCAAAATTGGCTGTTATGTTTAACTAACACTATCAACAGGCATACGTCACCCCTGAAGGTCCCCCAACTGCTGCTCCACAGAACCTCGGAAAATAAGTGTCATTAGAGCTTTCCAATTCCATCATTATATTCATATATATTCATAAGTCTATGTAACTTGCTCAACAGATTGCAATCCAACAGTAGGAGAAAATAGATATAACCGAAACATTATTGAGACTGCGGAATTCCCAACTTTGCCAGAAACTTGGAATCTCCCAGACTCCTCCACTTTTCTCTGTCGCGCTCATCCCTGATCGCTGGCATCCCCAGCATCCCCACCGTACTGGTACCAAACGGCCCGTCTGACGGTCCTGCCGTCGTTCGGGGTATCAAAGCAATCCAGTCTCTAGTCATAGTCACATTATAGTCGCTATCCGCATTGTGCCCAGCCTCGACGTGCGCTTTTCGCGTAAGCTCAAGTAGGCGGAAATACATATCAACAACCGTTCGTACGTGTGTCTGCGGCGGTATACGCAAGACGTAATGTTTGAAAGGTACATGGGGTATTCTGTCCGATACCTCGGCGGAAGACGTAGCTTTTGCAGGCCACAGATTCTCTGCTTTCCCGTGGAATGGAGCTAACGGCGGCACAGGGAAAAGCTGCAGATGCTTATGACCCTGCGACGAGCCACCATTGACGCCTCGGTTATATATAACCAACGGCTCGAATGTATGATAGGAATGCAATATTGCCCACGCTGCTGTAACATCAGATGCATCTAGATCATCAGATTGCAGAGCAAACTCTTTTGTCGGCAGCACAAGCATCGGCCGGTACAAGCAGAATTTGTTCAGCATGAGTCGGTGTTTTGAACCGACATTTTCGTAAACAACTTCATCCGGTTTGGGATTGACAAAAGGGCCCTTAACAGCTGGTTTTGGCGAGGGTGATAATGCCGGTGTTGATATTGATGATGCCGACGCCACTACTGGGGTTGATGCCCGAGTGCTTTCTGGCGTAGGTGTATTGCTGCGGCCTGGATCATCTGGGGCAAGGATAGGCTTTCCTTTGAGAATGGGCACAATGCGATATTCAATCTATGCATGTTAGTTCAATATCGAACAACACGTAACATGTGAAGTGGGTATGCAGTTCGAGATATCAATTCGACAAATTGCTTATGATAATCAAGAGTGCATATCAGAGAAATTGCGGTGAGAACAAAAAGGAGACGATGGAAAAAGCAAAGGAGAGAGCATATGCGGAATCCCACACACAACAACTTACCACAAAACCATCGTCTACACAGACTTCACCAGGTTCTGTCTGGTGGTCATAGAAAATTCGGCCTTTGCGAACCATTTCATCGAATTGTATGTTTGTTCTTTCTTCGAGATCGGATGGAAGCTTGGTGTCCTCGATATCAGGTGATGCAGCGTGAGGTTGTGCTGCCATGGCGAATAGGTATATATATATATATATACAGAGATGCAGAATGTACTTTGCAAAGAGCAAGAAATGAAATAGAAGAGAGAAGATGGAAAATGTCTACGGAGTGATGCTATCGAGGAAGAAGCTAAACTTTTGAGTTTGGATTTTGGGAAGGAGCTTCAGGTGGGTCTGTGGATCGCTCCTTCCTGATCTGTCACTTGCTTCTTCTTCTTCTTCTTCTTCTTCTTCTTCTTCTTCTTCCATTCTCCAGACTTCATTTTCATTATTCTACCGAAATTATTAAATTGTCCCCAGCTTATATACACAAAACTCCATTCTATCCATTAACGAAAATTCCCAGTCCAAAATGCCACTACCATGCTGTTGGCTAGTCCCGCTGATTCCCGAAGTTATGCGACTATGATCAGAGATCGGACTGTCTAATCAAGATTCAGTGGCCATCGTGTCCGAATATACTCGCCATATCGGTAAATGAACAAGACGACAGGCGTGAAGCCTATCATGATAAATCCCAAAAGTGAATTGCCCCATCCATATCCCAACGATTTGTACATGCTCTGTCCGGCAAGAGGGAGAAGTCCACCGCCAATGGATCGAAGAACGGTGTTTGCTGCTAGTGCTGATGCGGCATAGATGGTGTATGCATCGACGAGGTATCCCATCATCGGCATGAAGAAAAACATATTGCCGGCGCCAACAAGTGAAGATCCGAGAATGGGAACGATCCAGTGAGTTTGAGCTTTTGCGCTCCATCCGTACCAGAACATGCCTGCAGCAATGGCTGGGCCAGAGAGTAGCATTAACGGCAGACGGTCTTCGGGCTTTAGTTGTAGCCCCTTGGCAGATTTTTGCTGCAGGTACTTGTCGCTAGTGATAGAGAACGAGAGCAGACCGATGACGTTGCCCACGCCCATGCCGATATATGCCAACCCTGAAATACCGGTTGACCACCCATAGCTCACCTCAAAAACAGCGGTGATGGTTGTCAGCATCAGATACAAATTGCCGTACACCACGGCTGTAGAAACAGACATAAGAACGGAGATGGGCGAGAGAATCGTGAGCTTGGCCGGACGCACGATTGCTCGCTTGAGCACTTCCGTGTTCGAAATCTGTCTGTCCAGCTTCGACCGAAGGTTCATGTTGCCCGTCTCCTTTTGCAGTCTCTTCACTTTGCGATTGAGTATCACAACTGCGCTCGTCTCGTGGCAAAAAATTATATGGCCAACGGTGATGACTCCGCTCTTTAAGAGAATACGTTAGTACCGGTGGGCGTCCGCGATTGCTGCTACTTACTGCAATGGCTAAGACCCAAAAGATCCATTTCCAACCCTCACTTTGTGATAGGAAGCCACCGGCAATTGGGCCGATGGCAGGCCCGGCTACTGGGCCCAGCGTATAAAGGGAAAGAGCACGTCCACGCTGTTGAGGTGGGAATAGATCTGCAATGGTGCCTCCACCAATAGTTACGGGCGCGGAGCCAAAACAACCAGCGAAGAAACGAAAGACGATCAACATCGAGATATTCGATGATACTGCACAAGCAACGGTAAAGACGACGTATAGGATATTGCAGGTTGCATAGACGATCCATCGGCCATAGACCTCGGACATGGGTGCCTGCACTAATGGTCCGATTGCGAGACCGATGACATATATTGAGACGACAAGAGCTTGGAGGAGTGGGTTGGTTTCATTAAAGTCGGAGGAGACTTGGGCAACACCAGGAGCAAACATAGACGATGCAAGAGGGCTATATAAAGTGATGCTCAGCAATCGTCCAAAGAGAGAAAGGTCAAATTGCTTACACGATGAAAGTGATGGCAGATATCAGCCCGACGTTTGTCCATTTCTTGAGTAACGTCCAGTTCATAGGATTAGCAGGATCATCTTCGCTATCCCACCCTACTATATTTGGGTCTTGCTCTTCCCTCTCCTTCACGTCGTTGCTGGTCGTCTTGGCTATTTGGAAGTTCTCAATGTCTTCCATGCCGGTGATATGCTTCGAGGCATCGTCCGAGATTGTGCTTTCGGCGACATTGGTCGTCTCGCTTTTTTCCGTTGGTGTTCTAGCGCGTCTATAGAAGTCAGTTACTTGATTATTCTCCACAACAAACCAGTGTTTTAGCGACGAGCAAAGACAAAACCTACTCGGTCATCTCGCCGGAGCGGACAGCTTCTGAGCTGTTCTTTTCAGAAAGTGTTGGCATTGATCAACGCGAAGACCACTTTTTTGTTTTTGACTGGACGACTTAGTTTGTGCCAGTCACCTCATTAGAGTGGATTCTATGATGCGTTTGTCTTCTACACAAATTCAGAAGAATAATCTCTTCAAGCGCCGGGCACGCTCGTCAATTTATTGGTTGACTGATTCAGAAGACACTAGTTCTTATAAACTACATCCTTATGGGGCCACCCGTCCAAGTCTCCTACTGCAGCCTGGAGTTAAGCCTAAGTCCACCCAGCATCTTTTTAATTCTGATCGCGCGCTTGGTACATAAGTAGCATATACGGGTGCTGCCAACCCGGCAGTGGATCCATGTCTAATTGAAGCTGATTCAACATGAATTGCTTAATTAACTAGTGCTTAGTTTAATGCTCCAGGGCAAGACACCGACCACACCACAACTCCGTCTACAATCTACAACATCAAGAATACATTCTGCGCAGTACGATTTGCATGGCAGCATAGAAATAGCGGTGGCAGATTGTGACTCTATATATCATATTTCCCCCTCATTCCTCTCCCCGAAAACCTGATTCTGATGCGGAGGAGCCGAGATACCTCTCTCCACATTCCCTCTACATAGTACAGACAGTTTACCTTAATAGTACATACCCACCTCGCTTACTCGCTCAGCCCGACGCTGACTCGTCACTAACTAACCCCCAAAGTGATTAGTGACTCTATGACTAAGTCAGACCCTGTTAATTTAGGGGAAGTGGTGGAATTCGGAAAATTGCTAAGCAAAGTTCGCATACGACCCAATCAGCGCGTGTGGTTGGGCGTGAGATTCGGCGGATTGGAGGCGCGAGTTGATGGTCCAAGACGGGTGTTCGGCACCGGAGTTTAGCATCAGATACGGGTTTGGGCTAAGAAGAACGGACGGTTTTCGTGCGAACACGTACTGTATTTCATTCTATTTCTAACTGATGATCAATGACTGATCTGTTCTGTTAAACATGGTTATCGAGAGTATCTACCAAGGTAGGTACAATATAGTAAGTAGCACTGCAAAACAAAGCGAGAACACCCTAAATATCACATAGCCGATGTGATTTTCCCCAAACGCCAGACTTGCATGTTGGATAGTCAAATTCAATCATGGTCTTAAAAAAAGGTCTATGCAATCGCACTGGTAGTCACACCAGGAGCCTTTACGGCTGCCGCGTCCGGTCCAGGTAACTGACCAGGCTTGAGCTCGGAAAACGTCTCTGGCCAAAGGAACATGCGTTCCTCTTTTGAAGGAGTCATAGCGACGAAGCGAGGAACCTATAAATCCATTTAGCAATGTGGCATTTGACAACGGCGGAAAGACGTACAGCTTGCTGGCTCGACACTCGTCGCCACATATTCGCTCTCGGGTTGAAGCGCAATGGATTTCCAACACCGCCCGTCTTTTCCTGATCCTCAGCGAGAATAGCCTCAATTTCACGCTTGATATCTGCAAAGGTATCAAAGCCGATGTATGGGATGTTATGTTCCTGACAATACTCCTCCAGTCGCAGACCCTTTCGCGCGAATAGGACGTCGGCTTCGCGTGCAGCGGGGAGATCGGATACACCATCACCAATAAACACGATCAGAGGCACTTCATCTTCACCGCAGTTATGGCGGGCCTGAACCCTTGCCTCATTAACACTCAACGCCTTATCGTGTCCGACTTCAGTATCATGGCGCCAAATCGGTTTCCATTCCGATCCCTCCTCATTAATCTCCGCCTCATTAGCCACAATCTCAATCCGCGCCGAATGCTCTTCCCCCAAGAAAGTATCCAACACTTTCTTTAGCACGGGCTTCAATCCGGCACTGATCACATTAAAAGGTATATCGTTAGCGGCGCAAAAGGTGTGGAAATCACGGAAATCAGGGTCGATTTCCAATGTGTCGGCGAGGACTTCGAAGCCATTCTCAAAGGGCACGTTGAGGGATGCCCACATCTCCTCTGAGACGTCGCGGAAGGAGCGTTCGCCTGTCTTGATTTGTTCGTCTAGGACGCGCCGTCGTTCTGCGCCGCAGCCGTAGTTGTCGAAGAGTACGTGGCCGGTGTCTTGCATGAAGATTGTGCCGTCGAAGTCTTTTTACTGTTAAGAATATTTTCTGAGATTTTATTAGTGGAAATGGACTGACCTGAGAAACAGACGACCTTCCTTCGTACATTCTCCTTGCCGGAAGACATGGTGTATATTGTTATTAGGGTTGGTGTCAGGGTTAGGGCTCAATAAAAGAAAACCTGGTCTTTACTATTAGAGCCAAGAGAGTAAATCTACCTAACCCAAATCTACCGGAAATCCAAACCCCTTTTTATAATTACCCTCCATCAAAACAACCTTTTCTTCTCGATCTATGTCCTCCTTTCCCATTCCACAATAATTCCTGTTTCTGGCAACATTCTTTTAGGCCGATGTCTGAAATTGATGTCAGATACAAACTCCAGTGGAACTTTCATGACGTAGGGGGCATCGTGTGTATTTCCGAGCGGGTCTTTTTTCTGGCTCTCAATATTTTCCTTTCTACAATTCCGAATTCTCCTCAGTTCAGACAGATAGTGTTACGGCACGTGCTGGCACTTGGCAACCGGAATCGTTGCAAATCTTTTGGGCTCTGGAGTTCTAGATCTATTATGAAATCTGCAGATTTACATCATTTTCGGCTATGTTGAAGGGTCTGAGGGTACACGAATAAGCTACGTTGTTCGGTCTCCCGAAATGCGGATGTCTACAAAGTAAACGTCAATTGTAGCTACGATCCCTACGGACTCTAAGTGATGTCACTTGACATACTCTCAATATTATATCTGTCGTCCTATAGACCCGGTGTATGTAGTATCGTGGAACCCAGCGCTTCAAATCCCGTCCGAAATGATATCATGGTTGACCCGAACTGCCCTCTTATCTTGATAAAAAACATTCCACGGATATAGAGGGAAGAAAGAGGGGTGGTTAGATGTCAGTGGCCCCCATAAAGACGATAAGAACCAATCGGAGTATCGGCATTGGAAGTCCCCATTCTTCCCCTCTAGATGGAGTGGACATTTCTCCACGAGAGAACCACAGGCCCAGGATCAAAGTACGTATCAGGGGCGGGCTGTGTCTGGTAGAGTTGGAAGATACTTGTGTGCGATGCCAATTAGAGTGGTATTCTCTATGGCATCAGATACGAGCTACGGCCTGCATAGCTACGCGTAAGGAATTACTAATCGAGGACGACTTTCGGCCACTGAATAACGATATAGATATTCTTAGTGAGTTTCATCCTTGAGAATATTAATGTTCAGGGCTGTGTCATTGATTGTATCTTGGGCAGTGAGTCTCTCGCTATTGGCCAATGTGAGCCGGTGCGGTAACCCTAACTGAAGGAGCATGCGAAACACAGGCCTGCAACAATTGGCTCTCAATTGCTCCAGAGCAGTATTGGTGAAATACAGGAATAAAATAAGCATTCGCAAAACTCTGGAAGTTCAATTCATAAAGGAAGCCCGGGCGGACCTTACTATTTGAAGTCAGCACCAGTTCTCCCGCAGTCTCGTATTCTCTAGAAAACCGAACAACATCAAGTCTCACAGCCAGCAGAGGATCATAGAAAGACGATAGTCAGGCTATAACACACAAGCACAAGTTGGAGACATGCACTTTCCGGAATTTTCCAGTCCAGGGCTGCCAAGTTGAGGCAGTTACTTTCCTAGGTAGGGCTCAGCTGCTGCATAATTTCGACGCCATTTACCACCAATTCCCTCGAGTTTAATGTTTCTCTGTCTTCTTTCAGCGCTTCAATGCTACCGAAAGAAAGGATGCAGAAGAATTGTTGGGGGCAATCTGGGAAAGACCGTACGATACATACTACAAGGTGTGGTAACGAAGATATTGCCGCCTTCGATGCCGCCTTGTACAAACATCCATCATCGCCTATTACCTTAGGTAGATAGCTTTTTTGAGTTGACCGCTTCACATTACCCCCGGAGAGGCTACCCCCCACAATGACTGGTACATAGATCCAAATCCTATTAGATCTTCATTTGGATCCTCCGGCCACTTACAATATTTACAACATCAAACCCCGGGCACCTTACTTAGCATTACTCGGGGATATTGGAAACATCAAAATGACGGGTTCTTTGTCTTTCTTCGCAGGCAAGCATCGAAATTCAAGATCATCTTTCTGGTTCTCAGAAACCATGAGCCCTATCATAACAGTTAGAGCGAGACCAAATCCCGTCTGAAGCGCTTCAAGGACGAGATGGATGACTTGTCTCGCAGTGATCAGTCGCTCGTCAGAAGGTTCAATTTTCTTGACCATACTCGCTATGATATTTTCTCGACGGCCACCATCCTTGGTTGTACATTGTTTTCGCATATTTCCAAGGAACAAGAGGAGCATATTGATTTTTATCTAAACAACTTTTACTATATTCAAGATTGGTCACTCGACGCACATCAGCAGACCCATGCTGCAGATGTTGCCTGGTTGAATAGGGAGATCGATACACTCGCACACTCGGAGCCGTATCGAACAGTTGTTGTTTTGACTCACCACTGTCCTACTATACATCTACAAGCTTCCAATCCTAAACACAAGGACGGCAATATCTCTCCCGCGTTTGTGGCCGATCTATCTGGCGAGTCGTGCTGGAAACGTGAGAACGTCAAACTCTGGGCATTCGGGCACATTTATGTCAACTGTGACTTTGACAAGGCTGGGAAGAGAGTCGTAATAGATCAGAGGGGTTTCTATTCTGCCCTAGCTGAAGGGTTTGAGGTCGGGAAGATTGTCGAAATCTAAGAAAGGGCTGATTCTTCTCGCTCTGCGATTTGAACGTACACAACGGCTATCACTCTGAAATAGAAAATCTGAAATATATTCTTCAACCTCGAAAGTTCGTTTGTAAAGAAATGCTCAAAATATTTTCTGCAAACTTCGATAGCTTAGGACTCAGGCGTAGTATCTATCAACTTCAGACCAGGATATAAGCCTTGTCGACCTCAAATTTCTTGTCTCCCTCCTCCCAATCATTCATCATTCCTTAATTTTCATCACTCTATCAAAACCATCACTCTCGCCAAAATCGTCAGGCCCACCAAAAATCTTCGTATAATAATTCGTCATCACGAAAATCCAGAGTCTGCTCGGTTGGACAAGCGCTAACATCTCACGACCGCCTTTGATCAGATCCAAATGGCATTCATCGGCTTTAGATAGTCATGAGCCGGAATGTAGCAGGCTTTACTCCCCGCCCAGTCGAGTTTTTAGAAACACTGCTGGGATCTGCCCGACAAAAAAAGAGCTGACTCCATTTATTCCGAGGACTGTGTGAAAAGTCGCAGTATGCAAGCACTTTCAGTTTAAGGAATCCGTCACGCCCAAACGCCCATTGTGCGAATTTCAGGAGATCTTCCATGGACATAAACTGCTTGCATTGCCGAGTCATGCCGAAAGGAGGATACATAACTGTAGTTCTGCTGCTGATGACACCATCCTCCGGTGAATATCCTGCAGATTTCAATTCCCTAAAGAGGTCTCGACCTGCATACTGAGAAGTGGTGATGCACAGATGGAGAAGTTTGAAATCTTGTAGCATTGAGCAATGTTCGAGCTTTTCTTTCTGGAGAATGGTTAGAAAACGATCTATTTATATGGAATGTCTCGATCTCGACAAAACTTACGATGTACAATGGTGGTAAGCAAATCCTAATTGTCAGCGATAGACACCAAAATGACCATTGATCGACATACTTAAAACTTCGTAGGCCATTCTGAAGAAGTCTGGAAAGCGACTCGTTGATATCATATTCTATATTTTCCATCACCATATCATGGGTCATTTGATTCTCGCTATCGGCTTCTTCCATAGGCATTGCGATATAGTCGGCGAAATGCTCTTGGTAACAACCGTCTTCGTAAGATGTACTTGACTTGCGAAACAAGTTCGAGGTCCTCATGTATGATAAGACATTGGATTTACCTGTAGTCCCGTCGTCTCCAGAAGATGGTTTCATCAAGGGAGGCATTTTGCAAGATACCCATAATATCTTCCATTGAATGAACAATGACTTTTCTAGAGAAAAGGTACCACTATCTGATGAAAACTCGTTGAGACCTGCGACAAACTCGTAATGTCTCGGGGAAGTTCCACCTCATTATGTCAGGATTTAAAAGCGAAAACGTAGGAAAACGCGTCTCCGCTGGATTGGTAAAGGAGTTGCAAGGAAACACAGAGAAGAGATAGACGCTACTCACTTCCCGAGTCACCATCTGCAGGATCTCGACTAGCAATTTAGCCAGCATTGTGCAAAGCTCCAAAAAATATGTCTTGAAAATATACCAAACATGGACAGAGCCAAGTACTTTTTGATGAAGAGAGGGAGTCGAGGTCGTCGCGTCCCTGAATGAAAGAAACTCTACACGTCCGAGACCCTGAACATATTTAGGAGGACGTACATAAAAATATTTTCTAGTAGCGCCTATGAAAGATTGATTTGCATTTGTACGATACGAGTGCCCAGGATTGGGGACACCCAGTGGTGCTCAGAGGCACCTGTTCGTCCTGGAAACCTATTTGGAGCCCTAATTAAGTTAAGCCACAACCCCAACTGACAAAGTCTACAAACGACCATAGATAGGAATTTCACGGCGAACTCAATCCATTCCATGACTTCGACAATTACATCACATCATAGACTACCTACGCAAGATTCTACTTTGTATCTGCCTTCAGACTAGAAACTTCCCCAGTAGTGCAAATCATAGTCAACTCCACCAGGTTTCCAGAGAGGAGCTGGTGTATACACAGGTATTGGAGACGCAGCTACAAGGGGGAAAAAAGTCAGTTTGAACAAATACCCAGAGAAGAGGAGAGCTTACTTCCATATCCCGTACTTGGAACAGCCCACTTTGGAGTAGTTGGAGCCTGCCAACTCGTTGGCGATGCGGTGATGGTGTAAGTACTGGTATAGGCGTAAGGTGTCTCCCCGGGGTTCAAGGATGGAATGCCATCGTTAGGTCCGTAGCTATCATCTCCGTGACCAAACACGTTACTGATTTGGTTCAATACCTGCGTTCCAGTCTCCGTCCAGACAGAGAAGTCTTCTACGGTTATGTTTGTCGCAAATGTCAGGTCATTGGCGATCAAGTAAAGAGGAGGACGAAGAGTGCCGTTGGCAACGGATCCTATTAAAGATGAGTTAAATCAGATTTCTTGTCGATACTGGCCTCATAATAACCTTACCAGAGAAGTTTCTGAAAAGAATGTTACTCAATGCAACAGAACCGGTATCTGGAGTGAGCTTATTCTGCCAGTATTGGTTAATACTTAGACCGTAGAGACTGGTAAGTGACCGGAAATTCTCGAAAGTGACATTAGTCACATAGCCAGATCCTCCGGGGTATGTTTTTATGAAGGCGATATTGTTTCCCTGGACGATGCTGATGTTTCGTGCTACCTATACATTCAAGTAAGCATGAAGGTAGGGATATGGCCTACAGTGCGATACGTACAATGTTAGAGATCTCGGCAGAAACGTTTAAACTCCCAATTGATACGCCGGATCCGGCCTGATTACACACCAGGTTCTCGACCAAAGCATGATGGGAAGGGCTTTTCACTGAAACACACTCGTCGCGGTTCGTAACCTGCCTCCGTACTCATTAACCTCAAACCACCCATTCCTTGGAACAATGTCATACCTCATTATCATGAATCCAGTAATTCGTACCAATAGCGTCAATCCCATCATAACTTCCCAAATTGCCACCTCGGACGGTGATATGGTATGCCTCTACATTCAGAGCAAAGTCTAACACGATGTGAAACTTCGGACTGTCGACAAGAATCAAATCATGTACGGATGCATTTGTTGGAGAGATCAAGCGGACCAAGCGAGGACGGTCAGTACTATAGACAGTGTTAATTATAGCTAGATATCTTGCACAGTCATGCTCACTTGTTCAAATTCCTGTAAATGTACCCCTGACCCTGGATAGCACCGCGGCCGTTCGAGGAGTAGAACTCGAAATCCACAGCTGTAATCGCCAATAAGCAATTCATATCAATTATATAAACGCTCTAGTTAAGTTTCGCGGACTTACCATTGACGATAACAAGCACATCTAACAAAAACTTGTTATCTCCCTCCCCATTAATCGTAGAATTGAGAACATCCACTCCCGCAAACCCCTGAAGTATCAACTCACGATCCACAGTCCAATTCCCACCATAAGCAGCTGTAATCACACCATCTAATTGCAGAGCCCAATCTGTGCCGTTGCTGAGCACAACGGACCTATTGAGTAGATATTCGCCTTCGGGGATTATCAGACGACTGCCGGGTTGCTTCAACACGCATTGGGTGAATGTCTCTTCAAGAGCTGTTGAGATGTCGGTGCTATTATCGGATTTCGCACCGTAATGGAGGATGTTGCATTCAATATTCTTTTCTTCGAGGGTTGTTGTTGGGCCTACCGGGCCGACGAGTTGGGCTGTAGTGACCTGCCATATGACGGCTACTGAAAGAGTTGAGATTGACAATCTCATTTTTGCTACTTGAATAGAGAGCACATAAGATCTTGCTGCTCGGGCATTCTCATGTTGCTTATCTACTTAGGCCAGGGGATTCTATATATAGTTGATGTTTCTAATGCAGCTATCCACGAATAGGCAAGTCCTCAGCTTGATCCACGCATCGAAAGATGTTGCATGATTGATGGAAATTTAGGCTATGATTAATCCACTCGACAGATGGCAACATACGCTATATTCAAATACTCCTTTCTATCCCGTCTTCGATATAACCGTTGGATATAGATTCGGGCCCTAAGATAGATGCGGACCAACCTGCAACGCATCATTCTGGAGCTGGATGGCGAGCTTACGGTATGTCCCGCCCACTGTCTAGGGTACAGACTAGGCAATTTTGAAGAAATAAAGTGTTCATATTAACCTTGAAAGTTAGCATGGCGAAGGTGTGAGTATAAAGTAAGTTGCTGAATGTCACGTGTAGAAACAAGCTCCGCGGTGGTTGACAATACAAATATCGCTCTCGAAGATTTATAATTAATTCCGCTGTAGCTCATTGTGTTTTACGTACTTCGAAATTCCATGGCGTGATTTATGGCGTTATCAAGCTGGTCGAAGTGAAGAGAAAAGAATAGAGCGTCGACGTGGGGCAAAAAGGACACTTTTTCTATCTCAAGACTATTCTTTCACGACACATAACTATATCGATCAATTCATCGTTGATTCCTCCAGAGCCTCAAACTTCCTTAGAGCACTTATAATAATTTCAAGTCAACTGCAAGCACAAAATGCCTATAATCACAGACTACAAGCTTCCCAGTTCAGTGGACGCCTTGGACCTGACCGCAGAGTCCAACTCGCCATTTTTCATCTCCTTCCACGCCTCTCGCGACCCCAACACTGGGGAACCTTGGTGTCCAGATGTTAGAGCCGCATTGCCGCCCCTCAAGGCTGCTTTCTCTGCGGACGCTGGTCCTCGCGTCGCTTTCATTGAAGTCGGACATCGGCCTGAGTAAGTTTCGGGAGATGTCTATGCTAGTCTAATAGTTACCGGATCTTGTAGAGGTGTGCTAATAAGATATATCTAGGTGGAGAGACACCACCAATGTTTACCGGACTAAGTGGAATGTGCGAAATCTTCCTACTCTGGCTCGTTATGAACGGGTTGATGGTAAGGTGAAGGAGGTTGGACGGTTGGTGGAAGGGGAGATTCTTGATTCGAAACGGCTCAAAGAATTTATCAACGGCTCTTCTGCATCGTTATGAGGGAATAAAGTTTGACTGATTTATATCCGTCTATGTTGTGTATAGGGCTATGTTTGAGGGACTGATATTCCGAATCTGTTGCCAGAATCAAATTCACCCACTTCCTACGCACACCTGGTATAGAAAATCGTGATGTTATTCCATACCACGAGTTAAAAGCTTCCGTGTGACACAGCATCTTTTAAGCGTTGGTCGGAATTGTAGAGGTACTTGAGCCAAAAGCGATATGCGTCAAGCCCTAACCCTGTCCTAACCCTATTATATCTCAATTTAACCCTGGTTGTACCCTACATTCCTAGGGTGTCTATGCAATTTTGAATATGTATATTCTTTTCGCCCGTGTAAGTCCTTACGGAAACCTTTTTTCTTCGGAGTCTATATATTTTGATCGTTTCAAGGATCAGAATTGTACCGGTGTGGCTATCCCGTCGGAGTAGCCATCACTCAACGCAAACTCCAAAGTACTCCGAACTCATCACCGTTCTTTCATAGTGGACCTGCTCTTATCAACTCATCCACTTGTATCGTGCATAGCCCATGTTCAACAGAATCGCAGCAAATGAGGTGATCGCTCTAGCCACCTTCAGAAGGCAAACTCCGCTTTTCTTTATGCAGCGGTCTCGACGATGTTGGAGAAGAAACAAAATTTTGAAGTTGCAACACCACACCAATGATCTATGCGGCTGTGCGAGTTGATTTTGGATTTTCTTTGAACAAGTATTTTTCGACTATCGGATGTGGTTCGTTGTACTATCCGATGTCGTTGATTGACTTGTCGGTCAGTCTACGAAATGAACCACTTTCCAGCAGATCAATCCATTCTGGAGATTCAGAAACAGCGGTGAGAAGAACACTAAGATCCTGTCGGAAATTTTGAAATTTACTCATACTTTGAATAGTGATGTCTGGCGATCTCGAACAGAAAATGTCGCTTTCTTCATTGCCCGGGGAGATTTACATCTCGGCATTCTTGTGATATCTGCCAGCGCCTTTCTGCTAAAATACTTACTCTATCTTGCACGACGGTTGTGGGCAAAATCTGAGGATGACGGCGAAAAGTCTCCGGCTTTCGTTCGATTTTATACACCTCCCGCATATAATATAGCCCAAATCGCCTTTGCGACTGCTTCATTCGCCCTCAGTGTAGCTGCTCTTCCTCACGATGCCAGTTGGAAGCGATCATTGCTCCTGGGATATGCAACCGCGCTGTACGCTGGGAGATTTGCCGGGAGGAGCTCAATCCAGAGCCACATATTTCGCCATGCGAACACAATTATAGTGGCTACCCTGCTTCTCGCTGTGACGCAATCATTCGTGCCGGTATTCATCGTGGGAGCAACTTATCGTCCAATTCCCCTCGAATCCGCTCTGTGTGGCTGCTTGTTCGCTACAGCCATAATACCAGCAATCTCTCCACGCCCGCAATGGACTCTCTACAACGAAGGTGAAAGCGATGAGGATCTCAGCTTCACGCACAAGGCATCTCTGGAGGAGACTTGTTCACTCTTTTCCTACTATTGGTCGTATGAATGGATTACGTACCTTATTATTCGGGGTCTTCGAAATGAACTGACCATAGACGACTTACCAATCCTACCGTCATACGATGCGCCAATAAAATGGTTCAGGAGGATGCAAAGACAGCGTCGTCCAGGTAGCAAGACGTTCTTTACGTTATGCCGATTGCTGAAGAAGGATATTGAAAACATGGTCTTTTGGGCGGGTCTGTTAGCGTTTGGTGAGTTTATTGCTCCGAGCGCTCTCATGAGATTGCTGGGTTATCTTCAGGATCCTACGAATGCTGTGATTCACCCACTCGTATGGATTACGGTGTTGTTTTTTGGTCCGACCCTTCGCACCTTGTGTAGTCAACGGTATATATTCGTTGCCACACGACTGTTGGTTCGAGTCAATATGACTCTCGTGCAAGAGATATATCATACAGCGATCCGATCTCATATTTATGATTCCTCAGTTGCTGAAAGAAAAGTGAACCACGCCGGCAATGCCGTGGATAAAGAATTATCCAAAGGAAGGCAGGCCGATATTACGACATTAATGTCATCGGACGTCCATGCAATCTACAACGGACGGGAGATTTTCTTCGCGCCGGTGGTCGTTCCTATCACTGTCATCATTGCTGTCGTATACTTGTATCGCTTGCTTGGATGGCCGTCCTTGTTCGGTGTCGCAACTTTATTCCTGCTATCTCCCTTACCGACTTTAGCATCTCGTCGTGTATCTCGCATCCAGAGAAGCGTCATGCAAGCTACAGATGCCAGAATATCCAAGATCACGGAATATCTCGGCTCAATTCGAACACTCAAGTACTTTGGCTGGGAACCCGCCATGGAAAAGGAAGTAGACGTTCTGCGACAGGTGGAACAAAGTCGGGTATGGAAACGAAACTTAACAGCTGCAGTCATCTCCTTAGCGGGAGACCTCTTGCCGATGATGAGTCTGCTTGTCTCGTTTTCTGCTGTCGTCGTTTTTACGAATAATAGTTTAGATGCACCCAAAGCATTTACAGCATTGTCAATCATGGAGATACTCCGGACGCAGTGTGTATGGGTGTCCAACATTGTGCGTAATGCTTCGACTAGTCTTGAATCGCTGCGTCGTCTGGATCGATTTTTCGATTCTGCTGTTGAGGTCAAGCGTCATCCGCAAGGACCTCCAGCGTTTCACAATGCTACCTTTCGCAGAACCCCCGTCGCTACTTTTAGGCTGCACGATATCTCCGTGTCATTCACAGAATCTGTCTTGAATGTTGTCACTGGCCCAACCGGTTCGGGCAAGACTTCTCTGCTCTTGTCACTGATTGGTGAGACTATGCTCGAGTCTGGTGTAGCAACCTGCCCAAGAGACGTAGCGTATGTTCCTCAGACAGCGTGGCTACAGAACGACACGGTCCGAGAGAACATTTTGTTTTACAGTGAGTTTGATAGACCCCGCTATGATAGTGTCGTCTCGGCTTGTGGGCTTCTCCAAGATCTTGAACAGCTTCCGGACGGTGATTTGACAGTCGTTGGTGAACGGGGAACCAGTCTTTCTGGAGGTCAAAAACAACGAGTTTCGTTAGCAAGAGCTATATATTCTCAGGCTACCACACTTTTGTTGGACGATGTCTTTTCGGCCCTTGACACACATACCACTGCTTGGGTATATGACCAATGTTTCCGCAAGGGACTTCTCGCTGGAAGAACGGTTATACTCGTCACACACTTACCGTCAGCGCTGGAAGATGCGCAAACTATCGTATATATAGAGAATGGTACCATTACATCCGTCCAAACGAACAAGGACAGTACATTGGCATCTTCCGGTACGAGCACGATTTCGAATGAAATAACTGTGGTAGAATCGTTGGGTGCTGTCACTCCTCAGAACAACGGAGAGGTGGACCCGAAACAGAAACCTGTCGCCGAAGATTCAGTCGAGAACGTACCAGAACAGAAGATATCATCCAGATTGGTTGCAGAACAATCTTCCAGTGGCCGGATTCCGCGAAACATAGGTACGCTCTTTCTACTCTTAACTATTGGTCTATATCATAAGACTAATCAGCATAACGTGAATAGCATTTGAATATATGTTCGGTTTCGGCGGTTTCGGCTTCGTCATCTTGGTCATACTGTCTACTTTGGCTGTGCAGGTATCATATTTTTCAGTTACATACTGGCTCTCCATCTGGGCAGATGCATACGACCGCAGCGAGACAATACCCAACGTCAGCTACTACCTCTCAATCTACGCAGGTACAATCTTGATCTATTTGACACTCCAATTCGGAAACGTGGTTATCTTCCAAGCAGGCGGTTGGAAAGCAGCCCAGATGATGCACCGAAAACTTCTTCACGCAATTTTGCAAGCCCCCGTGTCATGGTTTGACCACAACCCCGTTGGACGGGCAATGAATCGGTTCGGAAACGACATACGATCAATGGATACAGTACTACCGGAATATCTCAACAAGCTGATTGACAATTGTCTCCGGTTCCTATTCCGTATTGGAAGTATTGCAACTGTCATGCCAATCTTTATTATCCCGGCTTGCATTGTGTGTAGTATCGGAATCGTGATTGGTGAAATGTACACTCGGACGCAGATTCAACTCAAACGATTAGCTTCCATTAACCAATCCCCGATCTTTATTCATTTTATCGACTCTATTGCTGGTCTAAGCGTCATTCGTGCCCGCGATGGCATGGATGATAAGTTCTTTTCATTATTGTCGGAAAAAGTTGCAAGACACTCGCGCGCGCTAGAGTCACAGCTCAATTCGAATCGATGGGTTGCTGTCCGACTAGATCTCTGTGCAGCAACTGTCACCGCAACCGTCGGACTTCTTGCGTGGAAAGTCGGAGGCGATCCTGGTCTGGTTGGTTTCTCGTTGTCTCACGCAGTCGGTCTCGGACAGACGATCCTGACTTTGGTCCGGACAATGAACGACTTGGAAGTAGAACTAATCTCCTTCCAACGAGTGAAGGAGTACGCAGAGATTCAGCAAGAAGAGCAAGATCAAGCCATCGGTGCCACCACCAGGGAGCGTCAGCCACCGGCCCACTGGCCAAACGCAGGACAAGTCGAATTCTCCAACGTCACGGCAAAATACTACGACGGACCCAACATCCTCCAGAACATAAACTTCACCATCCACCCCGGCGAACGCGTCGGCATCGTAGGCCGAACGGGCAGTGGTAAGAGCACGTTAGGGCTAACCTTACTCCGATTCACGGAACTTGTCTCTGGTAGAGTGGCCATAGACGGGATCGACATTAGCAAGATCCCACTCAATCGTCTTCGAACAAGCATAGCACTTATTCCCCAAGATCCGGTCCTGTTTTCAGGAGATGTTCAATCGAATCTTGATCCGTTTGGAGAACTCGGTGAGACGGAGCTGCAGACTGCTTTGTCGACATGTTGTACTTCTATTGCAGTTGCGGCTTCCTCCTCTTCTATCACAAATGCTAGCAACGGAGATGGGAATAGAAACAACAATAATCAGCCTCAAAGTTTGAGATTAGATACCCCCGTCGCAGCAAACGGAGAGAATTTCAGCCAGGGCCAACGACAGGTTCTAGGACTTGCGCGGGCGGTTAGTCGTAGGGCCAAAGTGGTGCTACTAGATGAAGCCACGGCTTCAGTGGACAAGGAGACGGATGGACATATACAGCGATTGATCCGTACGGAGTTTCCAGAGTCGACTATAATTGCGATTGCGCATCGATTAAGAACAATCGTGGATTATGATAGGGTGATTGTCATGGGAGGGGGTCAGATTCTAGAGTAAGTCATTTGCCTGCTCCTACATAACCGTTCGTCTGTTGGGGAATTTCTCTAATGGCTATTGTGTAGGATGGGCTCACCGGCAGAATTGATCAATCTAAACGGCATATTCTGCGATATGCTGCGCAAGACGGGGGAGTATGATGAGCTCGTCCAGTTGATACCAAACAAATAGCGATTGTCTTGGAGAGACAATGCAAAACTCGTCCTCAGACCATTTTACTTTTTGGATACATGCCATGGATATGACTATAAAATAAACCTATACGTGCAGGGTAGGTAAATTGCCTAGATAGGAAACAAATTTAACACCGACAATAGATATTAAGCAATAATTAGGCCTGAGCTTTTATTCGCTTTGTAACTCATCCTAAAATATACTCAATTCATACCTAGGTACGCGTCAGAATTACCCTTTGAATGCTGAAGCAGTCAATGGGCAGCTCGTAGATTGTATACGAACTCTGACAAAGCAAACGAAATTCAACTTTTGAAATCCAAAGCATACAAACATCAAACATACCGCCGCTAAAGCTAAGTGTCTTGACAGCCTTTTGCATTCTGTTTGTGGGGTTCGCACTATGAAAGTACGAATCCTGAACTCGATAGATGTATCTGATTGAGCAGACAAGACTCCGTCACTTACTATGGGAGACATATTGATGATAACACGACTATCGAGAAGCTTAAAGTTCGTTTAGCAAGCTATGCTTCTTCAAGTAAAGTAAATAATCGTAATGACGTGAAATATCCATGTTGGCATTATCTGACCTGTCTATATCTACGCTGGTTTTACCTAGGTCCCTTTACATTAGGCGATTGAAGGATAGCTTTCATAGAATATAGGCTCAGCACACACTCCATGTCGCCCAATTCGTGAAGATGTCTCTTCTCCCTTGACCAGAAAAACATTCAAACAATTTAGAACAATAATTAATATGCCACATCACATCTGTATAAGACCCAGCCGTTATCACTCGCAGCGGGTCCATCGGACAACATTCCGACAAGAAGCAAAAAAAGCCCTAAGAGACTCCGAAATCTCCAATTCTATTGTTGTACCAAACACACACACAATCGAATGATGCCGTTATTCCAGCCTCAAATTTCAGAATTTACGGTCTCAGTGATACACGCAAGTAAATTTCTGACTACGTACTTATCAATTAACGTCAGAAGGGCAAAAACGGGTTTATCTCCATTGTCCAAGACGGTGTAGAGCCCGATGATCAGTTCAAAAGTCGCCTTTCGGAAAAGAATCCGAAGACTAAAACTACAACATCATTTTTTTTTTTTGCTAGTAGCATGTACTTTTAACAAATAGAACCAATCAATGGCATTGAAACAATCAAGGATCGCTCAAGTGGTTCACTCTCAGCCAATTGTTGTTGTGATGGTCGTATAGTGGGAAAAAGTGGATTATGCTGTCAGGTAGTTAAACAGGTGATATGATATTGGTATATACATAGCTAGACTCCCTAGGTTTCTTAGTATAAATTCAATTTTTGGTATTTCTTTGATTCTGTTTTCGTTTGATTGATCACTTTCATCTACTCATTAGACTTCGTCTTTTGTAGCGAGGACTTGAGGACTGTCACAAGGATCGTTTACCAACTCAAGGGTTATACGAGATTGGTGTTTGCTAGCTTTCACGGAATACTTCCAAGCAAATTGTCTACCTGGGTGTAAATCTAGTCCATGGACACGGTTGATTGTGGTTATTGTAGAAATGCGGTATAACAGTTGTCTACGTTGCGACCTCGATTCCGCGATTCCTGGCAGAAGATAAGCCCTGCAACAACTACGCATAGAGTGATAGACCCGGTTGCCGTTAGACGTCATGGCAACAGAAAAGAACCCCATCTCTGTGGATGGTGGCCACTCCAGTTCGTCCGCGTCGTTTAATCGTGCATCAACTTCCAATGACAGCTTGCAGTCAGCTCATGAAAACAAATACAGACACGACAGCGAGGATGACAGAGTCAGTCAATGCACTGAGCGAGGCCGTCACGATCATGGACAAAGGGATATCACACGGGAAGGAGAAAACTTGGACCTGGAGAAAAACTTCCCATCCCTGGACCAAACGCCTACAAACTACAGCAGAAATAACAACCTCAACGTGCTGGACACAGTCCGCAGCCACGTCTCACAGCAGGATATGCATGTCTCTGACAATGCGTACCGTGAGCGAAACGCAGAGCAGTACCTCCGATTCTCGCCTGCCCGAAAAATAGTCATTGTGGCTATTCTGTCTGCCTGTTCTTTCTTGTCACCGATTTCCTCAACAACAATCCTCCCCGCAATGCCAGAAGTAGCGGAGACATTCAATACCACCGGCAGCGTGATCAATGCGAGTAATGCGGTGTACATTGTCGCAATGGGTCTGTCAGCGACTTTTTGGGGGACATTCAGTCAGATTTATGGAAGGAGGCCTGTAAGCAGCCCCAGCCTTGGTTTAAAGCACCAGACTGACAAGCGGAAAGATGTCCTTTTGGAGCTCGTTCCTATTCTTCGTTTTCAGTTTCGCAACAGCACTGTCACCGAATTTGGCAGCATACTTTATTTTCCGTGCTTTAACCGCATTTCAAGGAACATCCTTCCTTGTTGTGGGTAGTGCCTCTATTAGTGACATCTATACTCCAACAGAAAGAGCTACTGCTCTCGCATGGTTCCTGTCCGGAACTCTGATCGGCCCAGCTATCGGACCCTTCTTAGGTGTATGTCACTTCTCCCTTTCTGTGATGCTGGTAAACCCAAAAGCTAATTTTTCCAGGGTGTGATTGTAACTTTCTGTTCATGGCGGGTGATATTCTGGCTTCAAACCGCCCTCGGAGGCACTGCATTCCTCTTAGTAGCGCTATTCATCCCAGAAACGATCCCACACAAAACAATTTCTGACCTTACCGGTCTCTCACCAATGGAAAAGACTAGCGCAATCTGGCACCGCATGAACCCGCTTCGAGTCATCATACTGCTATTCAAGTATCCCAATCTCTTCTTTGCCGCGCTGGCTTCTGGATCGCTTGTCTGGAACCAGTACTCTCTCCTTACGCCGATCAGATACGTTCTTAATCCACGCTTCAATCTTACCACACCCATCGAGTCTGGATTGTTTTACCTTGCGCCGGGTTGCGGGTATGTCGTTGGGACTTTCTTTGGCGGGCGTTATGCAGATTATATTGTCCGCAAATGGATCCGCAAACGTGACGGCGTCCGCGTGCCAGAAGACCGCCTCAAATCCTGTCTGTTTTTCCTGGGGGTGTCTATCCCAGGCTGGGTACTTATCTACGGCTGGACCGTAGACCAGAAAGTAGGCGGTATCCCCGTACCTGTCATTGCATTATTCCTTCAAGGCGTGTCGCAGACATTTGTGTTCCCCAGCCTGAATACCTACTGTCTCGATGTCATGCAGTCCAAGGGTCGAAGTGCCGAGGTCGTTGCCGGCAACTATATGTTTCGGTATGCTCTTGGTGCGCTGGGAACCGGTGTCGTATTGCCGGGCATTGGAGCTATGGGGGTGGGCTGGTTCAACACCATATCTGCTCTGTTTGTAGGAGCTTCTGGGTTCTTTATGTGGCTCACGACGATAAAGGGAGCTGCTTGGAGACAGAGGGTGGATGAGAAGCTGGCTCAGGCAGCTGCAGCTTGATCTTTAGGCCTCGTTTGAAGATATTTCGGTTTGTTCGATGACGGGCCTGAGAGAAATGTATTTTCTGGTTGATAGGCTTCTGGCGCATATATAGATTAGAATAACGATGCATGGTTCCTTTGGTTTTGCACGTTGACCGCAGAGTCCAAGCGTAGGCCGATCACTCAGTGACATGTAATCATGTTGGGTGGCTCGACATCGGAATGATCGATTGCGGTGTCGTGTGATGCTATTGGATGCTGCCTAGAGAGGAATGTGGCAGTGTCAGGCATGGCAAATCGATCGACGAATGATTAGAAGACAGGAAGAATCATGGCATTAGTGGTAGTAGCAACAATAAGAGATGTTGTGGTTGAGCTGCAGTACGGAAAAAGGAAGAAGAGATCGAGCGGTCAAGCAATGACGTCGGCTAAGCAACGCGGATGCCTGCATGACTGAGGCACTCCACTCTGAACTTCTTCCCCAGACGGAAAAAAATAAAATCTCGTCTTCTTTTTAACACCATCTGCTTATTGCTAATTGAGCGACATTTCATAATATCGACTGAGTTGACTGTATACATCATCATGGCTACCAAAGACGAAGCTAGTGCTGTCCCCGCGTCAAGCAAGAGTTCCTGGTCTAGCTTCTTGAAGGTGACTTATCTCGCTTCCTTACCAGATTCACGCCGCATTCGCTCACTAGAATAGTCCATTGCATCCTTCAACGGCGATCTGTCCTCTCTCACTGCGCCGCCATTTATTCTTTCGACCACCTCTCTAACCGAATACTCTGCGTACTGGTGCGAACATCCCGCGCTTTTCGTCGCCCCCGCGCGAGAAGCAAACCCTGCGAAGAGAGCCCTGTTGGTCTTAAAATGGTTCCTGAGCACATTGCATCAGCAGTATTGCTCGCGAAGTGAGAAGTTGGGCAGCGAGAAGAAGCCGCTCAACCCCTTTCTCGGCGAGCTATTTCTGGGCAAGTGGATCGAAGATGAGGAGGTGGGTGAGACACGTTTGATTAGTGAGCAAGTCAGGTGCGTATTTGGTGGCACACTTGACGACAATGTTTCTCCAGTGTAAACCCGACTGACTTGATGCCGGTTAAAGTCATCATCCTCCGGCGACGGCATACTCTATCGTGAATGAAAAGCATGGAATTGAGGTTCGTACTCAACACCACCAAACCTGGTCTCATTTCTGTCTGACATGGAAACAGCTTCAAGGATACAATGCCCAAAAAGCCTCCTTCTCCAGCACTATTTATGTCAAACAATTAGGCCATGCATACCTCTCATTGACTCCTCCCGGAAAAGATGTAAACAACGAAGCCGATCGAGAGTACTACCTCATAACCCTACCCAGTCTTCACATCGAATCTCTCATCTACGGAACGCCCTACGTCGAGCTTGAAAAAACCACCAAGATCGCCAGCTCGACCGGCTATATTTCCAAGATTGACTTTTCGGGTAAAGGCTGGCTGAGTGGTAAGAAGAACACCTTCTCGGCAGTGCTATATAAAGAAAGCGATGGAGAGAAGAACCCTCTATATACCGCCGACGGACAATGGTCGAGTAACTTCACAATTCGAGATGTCCGTGCCAAAAAGGACATTGAAACTTTTACTATCACCAGCATGAAGACCACCCCCTTGACCGTCGCCCCTCTCGAAGAACAAGATATATGGGAAACCCGCCGAGCATGGCGCGATGTCGCCCAAGCCATCGAACGCGGCGACATGGAAGCCACATCAGCCGCCAAGACCAAAATCGAAGTTGCCCAGCGCGAACTCCGCAAAAAGGAGAAAGAAGAAGGCGAAGAATGGGAACGACGGTTTTTCAAACGTGTTAATGAAAACGATGATCAAATTTTTATGCGACTGGCTACAATGCTTGATTTGACTCAGGGTAATGGTGCCGGTATTGAGAGTGATCGAACTGGTGGAGTTTGGAGATTTGATCCTTCTCGTGCTGTGGATGCGAGTCCGCCTTATCACAAGATTGGCGGCGAGGGGTTGGGGCTGTAATTGTATGATCAGTTTGAAGTTGAATATTCAGCAGGGGCATGTTTTGTTTTTTTATTCCTTGCTTACCTACATGTCTACAAGCGACTTTCTTTTGGATGTAATGTAACTTTAGGTAATAACTCAATGCGAGACTGTTTCCATGCAAGAAAACTAGAAAGTAGATTTGATAACAAGAACAACCACCAGCCATTGCCATTGCCTTTGCCTTTGCCGTTTCCATTTCCATTTCCTTTATTTCGTGACCTCCATCCATGATTGGTACTAACTGAGAGAAGAGAGATGTGGTATACCTGTAAAGCATAACTAGATCATTCGTGTTGTGATACATGTTGAAAGTGAAATAAAAAGACCCGGATGAGCTTTTCCATAAAAAGAAGAGAGGAGAAAAATTCAGGAAATAACAGAAATCCCATTTTGGCTCCTTTTTTCTTCGTCCTAATGCTTCATTCAATCGAGAGGAGAGAAAAAGAAAAGCATATTTGAAACAGCGTAGCAGCAAAGAGAGCACTTCCCATCGCTGATAATTTTCCCATTTGAAAAAAAAAAAAAAATCCCGAGTCCACCATCCAGAGATACAATTGTAAAGAAAGAAAAAAGTGATAAGATAAAATAAGATAAAAAGAAACACTCAAATCGAAGAATTGAACGCCATTAGAGTCAATCCCTTGTTTTTAAGCTAGCTCGATCAATGTCCATAATTGCCTCCCCAACCGCCGCCACGTCCCGAATTCCCATAGTAGTTACCAAAGCCTGCTGCGCCGCCGTAGTTACCGTATGCACTTCCTTGATGATGGTTCTGGCTAACATTGGCCTGGTGACTTCCCAAGCCGCCGAGACCGCCGCTATACTGAGGGTTCAAGTGAGGATAGCCGCCAAAACCCTGCTGGCCCTGTTGTCCTTGGAGAGGAGGTAGGCCAGTCTGTGACTGTGACTGTCCAGGAATGCTGCTAGTTGCCGAACCAGGTCGGTTAGCCTGAGCCAGAGAAGGGCTTGGCCCACCAGTCTTGGAGGTTTCGTACCCCTTGGTTGTCTCCTCGCTGGTTACTGGTTGTTGCTGGGAGATGGGCTGGTTCTGGCCAAATCCAGATTGGGATCGGCCAAACACATCCGGAACACCTGAGCCGAAAGTAGTGCTTGCGCCAGCAGTGGACTGTTGGTTCTCGGGTTGAGCAGATCCAGTACGACCGTAGACAGAGTCACGGCCCGGGAGACCCTGGTTGAAGCTGCCAGCATTTGCTGGAGAAGAAGCGTGTTCGTAAGAGAAAGGCTGGCCGTACATAGCACCCTTGCCGCCGTATGGTGCTGCATACTGGTTGCTGTACGCATACTGGTTGCTATGAGGCATGTAGTGATCTTCGTAACGACGGGCATCATCATACATAGGACGGTTGCGGCCGTACTGGTGCTGATTCATGTTCATATACGATTGAGCGTAGTGGGGGTTAGAGTAATAAGGATACCCATAGCCGTAATTAGCATGAGCACCTTGTCCGCCAGGGATGTGCTGCCCAGACGGTTGTTGCGTTTGAGATGCGATGGGCAAAGTTGGGTTGGGGGTGTTTTGACCACTTCCAGGCGCTTCAGTGTGGCCATAGCGACTGGGTGTCTGATTAGCCGGAACTTGGGCTTGTCCTTCAGCACCGGAAGTTGCGAAACCAGACGCAGCACGCTGGCCAGTTGTGTCCTGTGAAGGGTAGCCGTAATAGTTGTAGGGGAGACGCTGCTGATCGGCAGCATAGAAGCCAGAAAACTCGCTGCCAGTAGTTACTGCAGCTTGAGTAGGAGCTTGGTGAGAGAAGGGCTCTTGAGCCTGAGCCTGGGTTTGAGTCTGGCCGGGATGCTGAGTGAACGGGTCGTATGGCTTCTGGGCTTCACCATAGCGGCCAAAGTCGTTGAAAGGTGTGGCATCGGTCTGAGGTACAGGGGGTAATCCAGGAGCGGGACGGGCGACTGAGGGAGTCTCGGTCGAGGGTTGAGATTGGGGAGGAGGGAAAGAAGCACGAGGAGCAACTGGAGAGTGTTGAGGTGGTTGAGCCCGAGTTTCAGCCTCTTCCGGTTGCTCGTCAACATCAACAGACTCGTTACCGTTCAGCCCCATACTACCGAATTGAACAGCTGCCCGATCAACAGCGTGATTGGCAGGCATAACAACGGCTTCCTGCTGTTCCAAAACACGACGCTGGAAGCTAGCAGAGCGGCCTTGAGGTCCAGCCGCTTTGAATGCAGTCGCCGCATAGCCAGAAGCAGGTCGTTGGCTTTGAGGTGTAACAGGAGGTAGTGAGTTGGGGTCTTGGACGCTGGCAACAGTGCTAGCCGCTGTTGCGGTAGCAGGTGGCACTGAGACATCAGGGACTTGATCAAGGTTCGTTTTCGTGAGATCATCGGCGGGGGCTTCGAAAGACTGAGTAGAGGGTATTTCGTGTGCAGGTTCATTAAGTGGTACTGGTGGTTGTTCAGGTGCATGGTCTTTAGGAATTTCCGGAGTTGCCACAGCGGCAGGTACAGAAGGTATGATCGTTTCAGGTTTCGTTTCGACAGGAGCTTGGACGGGAGGAGCAACAGGAGGAGCGGCAGCTGGAGGTGGCTTCTTCTGAGGAGGGGGAGGTGTAGGTTTAGCAAACAGGCTTGCCCATCCCTTCTTCGCAGGTTCGGGTGCTTTAGGTGCTTCCTGCTGTTGTTCCTTCACAGCCTCAACCGACTCAACGGGTTTGGCTGCTTGGACTTCAGTTGTAGTAGGAGCTTCGCTAGGGACACTCGAGATGATCGGCTCAGTAGGTGCAGCAGGTTTCTCATCACGTGCGCCACCGGCTCGTCCACCACGACCTCCACGTCCGCGATCTCCTCGAGCACGACCACCGCGCCCCTCGAACCCACCACGGCCACGGCTACCACGAGACGTCGAAGGTACTGTTTCGGTGCCGGTGCTTTGGGGCTTAGGCACATCCTTCGCCTTGGAACGGGAACGATCGGTAGTCTTCTTCTTCACTTCACCCCATTGAGAAGCGTTGCCTTAGTCAATCGAGTAGTTAGTAAACATACTTAGTCTCCATCACGTAGGTGTCGTACCTTCACTGATGTGCTCAATTGCAGTCTCAAGAACACCATTTGCATCCTCTAAAGCAAACACTAGATCTTCGTCTGTCCAGTCGGAGAAGAGCTCTTTCAAAGTAGGTAATTCTGTCGCATACTTCAGCTTCAATTGACCGATCTCTCCTTCATCTTCGTATGATGTGGGTGCAGAGTTATCAGCAATCTCGACTTTGGATGATCGAGCACCGGCCCGGCCTCCTCTGGAGCTGTATCCACCTCGCCCGCCTCGAGCAGAGCCGCGCCCACGCGGTGCCGAGGGTCTGGATATAACTTCGGACATGACTGTGTCTGTTGTATTATATTGCTGACTCGCAAGAAGGATGTGATGAATTAAGAGGGAGGATCGTGGACGATGGGGTGTGATGGAAGAGTTTCTTTGACGGTGGATAAGACAGGGATTGCAAACGGGACAGGTGCCCAGAGGCAAGGAGAGCAAATGGACGTGTCAAAAAAAAAAATAATTCGAATGGATCAAACGATGCGCCCTCTCCTAAGAGGTTAGCACCAGCTCTGCAGCAAAAAGGGCCGCCAGATTTGAGATGCAGAAAATTGATAAGAGAAGGTTGATGGTTTAAAGGGTTGACTAGGAGGAACTTTTAAGAGAGCTGAAATTGGATCTTGCGCGCCTGCTCAGGTTTAGCGAGGCGGCTAAGCTAAGGCAGGCGGTAGATCGTACGCATGCGGCAGGCGGTGAGCGATACTGACGGTAACTAAATCATCAGTCAGCAACAACATCATTTGTGTCAGCCCACCTCTCGACGATTTGTTAATTATTCACGGTCGATCGACCGATTCAGTTTATCTATCGATTAGCGATACTTGCGACCATTATTCAGCTTGGCTGTGGCCGAGGAGTGGAACAAGTTCAGCATGAAGAACAATAGTGCCCTTCTGAGGCTGAAAGGATGGCCCAAGATCCATCATCCACTTCCCCAGACTCCGCGAGAGTCTCAACAGCTTTTGTCCGCTTTAACATCATCTTTCCGCCGTCAACTCGATGCTGCAGATACACATAAACCGGCACAGTCCGCGAGTGAACATTTGGATGCTATTCTGGAGAACCCGCTGTTCCGCGTTGTCCCATCCAAACCGACCTACCCTACTCATGAATCAAGTCAGAAAAGGCAACAAGCGACCGAAGATGCATTGAAATTGGCAAAGGACCCAATGAGATTGCTCGATGACAATGTGGCTGCCGGTACACTCACTGGCCGTATACTCAAAGAGGTCTTGCGATCACAATTGGCATTAATCAAGGCAGATTCCAAGGATGTGCAGCAAGAAATGAAGAGCACAGGTGCAGGAGCAAGAGTGGCCAAATGGTTCTGGGCTTCGGATTCGGCTTCACGAAAGTCGTTCTTCAAAAACGTTGGCGCTTCCAAAGCTTCTATCATGTTCATGGTAGCAGAAGGTCTTCATAAGGAGCTCAGAGCCTTATTGCGCGCACTATACAGAGCCGACTTGGGTGGTGGTAATGGCCAGATCCCCAGACGCATTGCGGACAAACTATTCGCTACATTCTTATTAGATTATATTGAGGCCGAGATTCAACACGGGCAAGGACTCCCGAGTTCTTTCAAAATATTTACAGAAGTGGCAGATTCCATTCCAAAAGATCCTGAGTCAACTACATATCGTGAATCGTTACTCAAGGCGACAGTTTTCCATTTTGCTCGCTTTATGGGGCAGGACGTGAGTGCTGGGATATTCAAAGAGGTCCCTTCTTCGTTATTCGACCGGTATTGTAACATACTGGACACATTGCCGGGCCTCAGACCTTATGGCCTTGCGATGCAGTTATATCATCCAACACAACCGGACTCTCGGCCTTTTCAGAAATATCTTCGAGATGTTCGCACATCACCATCTCCACCACGAACTGAGATGGGACAAGATCTTTTGCTTCAAACTAGCCTCAACGCATTACGTCTTCTTATAGACCAGGAGAAATACCGAGATGCCACGAAGTTCTCCCGTCATGTCAAGAATATGCTGTTCGAAGAGCGAGTGTTGCATCGTCAAAACGACAGCTTTTCTCCTCAGATGGATCAGTTAATGGACCGGCTGACCTCGGCTGAAAATGGGCTATCGTTTCGGTGGGATCCGTTGTGATGGCCTTCATAATCCAATTTATTCCATCTATCGGCCCTGCATGCATACTTACGGTTAGTCTATATGGGAGGTACAGAAGCTCCCTACGAGAATCCTCCATCGACCTGCACTTACCCAACCAATGTCCGATGACAAAGACCTCCCACGATCCAACATGGCAGAAATGATACGGCCATCTTCTGGTCGACAATATTCGGTTGCAATGGCGTCACCAGCCTGCGAAGTCGCTTCGTGCACACAGTATACACTACAAGACTATACTCATGATGCATCAAATCGAAGCGATCGTGTCATTCTCACCTGAGACCTAATTACTTCAAAGTCTACGATCTCAGAATATACTATCCCAACTCTGTATCATAAACAATACAATTTCATTCTATCAAATAATATCTCTCCATTGACTCATAAATCCAAACCTCAAATTTCAGGCACCACGCCACTCCGATCGCGCAACCCGGCAACCGGACAATCCATTCATCCGCTATGAGTAATATCTCCAATGCCATCTGCCCTCCTTGAAGAATAACATCTGACTCAACAATTTCTCTCTTTATTTTTCATCAATTGACTCAATTTTTTGATTTCCAAGCATGTCTGGAACAAAAATATGGCTCAGAGCAGAGACCAAGCCTCAAGAGGCGCGGTCAGCTCGTAAGTTTATCTGTTTTTAAATTTTCGACCCCGCTATTTGTATGTTAACTGATGGGATTTGTGGTGTAGTCACTCCTACCACGACAAAGGCCTTGTTAGATGCTGGGTATGATGTTACAGTTGAAAAATCAAGTCAGAGCATTTTTGACGGTATGGTTCGATTCTACAAAGTATTGGATAAAGTATTGACTTATTGTACTACAGATGAGGAATACGCCGCTGTACGAAACTCCATCAATCCAGAAATCTATGATTCAAGTTCTGATTATAGTATAGGTCGGCGCGCGCCTCGTCGAAGAAGGATCATGGGTCAAAGACGCACCCAAAGATACATACATCCTCGGTCTCAAGGAACTCCCCGAAGACGATTTCCCGTTGGAACATGTTCACATTTCATTTGCGCATTGTTACAAGAAACAAGCTGGGTGGGAGAAGGTGTTGAGTCGGTGGCCACGCGGTGGTGGGGCGTTGTTGGATTTGGAGTTTTTGACTGATGAGAAGGGGAGACGGGTTGCTGGTATGATTGTCCTACATTATGGAAAGGTGTTATTGTACTAATATTTGGTAGCGTTTGGGTATTCTGCTGGATATGCAGGTATGTCGATTTGATTGACTGGATTATGGCAACGGTACTAAGTGGAATAGGATCTGCTCTGGCAATCAAGACCTGGGCATGGCAATACACACATGGCAAAAAGGAGCCTCTTCCGGGCGAGAAGCCCTACGCCAGTGAGGGTTTGCTCATTGCTTCCGTCAAGGAGATTCTCGAAGCTGGAAAGAAGAAAGCTGGACGGTCACCCAAGGTGCTCGTCATTGGAGCTGTAAGTCGTGCTCCGCGGAGGTGTTATTATCGCTCAATGCTAAATTAATACCGCAGCTCGGACGATGTGGTGGCGGCGCCGTCCAGTTCGCCAAGGACGTTGGTATCCCTGACGCAGATATTATCAAGTGGGATCTCGAAGAGACCAAGAAGGGTATTCCCCTCTTCTGTTGCATACTGCAAAGGACAAGTTGAAGCTGATATAAACAAAACAGGCGGCCCGTTCAAGGAGATTGTCGAAGACGCCGACATCTTCATCAACTGCATCTATCTCTCTGCAAAGATTCCTCCATTCGTCAACGCCGAGACCCTTTCTTCCCCCAAGCGCACTCTTTCCGTCGTCTGCGACGTGAGCGCAGATACGTAAGTCAATCTTCATCCCTACACAACACAATATCCTAAACATTTCACAGAACAAACCCCCACAACCCAATCCCAATCTACAACATAACAACAACATTCGACAAACCCACCGTCCCCGTAACCAACATTGCCTCCGTCGGAAACCCGGATTTACCGCTCGACGTAATCAGCATCGATCACTTGCCATCTTTGTTACCTCGCGAGAGTTCGGAGATGTTTAGTACGGCATTGTTGCCTTCATTGTTGCAGCTCAAGGATAGAGAGAATGCGCGTGTGTGGAAGCAGGCGGAGGAATTGTTTGAGCAGCATGTTGCTACGTTACCGGAGGAGTTGAAGAAGAGGGAGTAACTATTCTTTCTCAGTGACTAGAGACGGATGGAAAAAGAATAGTATGATTTATATTGCGTTAATGAAAATAGAATGTATGCTTCGGTCAATTCAATATTCAATTCTGGTTTATTTTAGGTCTGCATCATCAACCCCACCCCCCCAAAAACCTGAAAACAAATTACAACTGACCAGCAGTGTTGAAGTCTGCAAGAGCCTCCTTCACACGCTGACTCATCGTCTTCTCACCCTCACGAACCCAAACACGAGGATCAAAGAACTTCTTGTTGGGCTTATCAGCACCATCTGGGTTACCGACAGCAGTCATCAGATAATCCTTCTTCTTGAGGACATAATCCCTCACACCAGACAAGTAAGCAAACTGCATGTCCGTATCGACATTAACCTTCACGACACCATAGCTAATAGCTTCCTTGTACTCCTCCTTCGAGGAACCGGAACCACCATGAAAGACGAAGAAGACAGGCTTATCGGAGGAAGAGCCGAGTTTCTCCTTGACGTACTTTTGGTGTTTGCTGAGGAGTTCCGGGTGCAGGCGCACGTTACCGGGTTTGTAGACTCCGTGCACGTTACCGAAACCCGCGGCGATGGAGAAGTAGGGGCTGATGGGGGAGAGGGCGTTGTGGATGGCGAGGATGTCCTCCGGTTGGGTGTAGAGGGAGTTGTTGTCGACGTCTTCGTTATTGACGCCGTCTTCCTCACCGCCGGTGATACCGATTTCCTTGACCTAGTTAGAATGCGACAATAGACAAAGAGAAAAAAAGAAGAAAGAGGGGAGAAGTACCATCTCGAGCCACTGCTTCATAGGAGCAGCACGTTTCAAGTACTTGGCAGTAGTCTCAATGTTCCAGTCAACCGGCTCCTCGGAAAGATCGATCATGTGAGAGGAGAAAAGAGGCTCGCCGTGCTGCTTGAAGTAGCGCTCGTCCTCATCGAGCATGCCGTCCAACCAGGGCAACAACTTCTTGGCGCAGTGGTCGGTGTGAAGAACGACGGGGATGCCGTAGGAGGGGGCAATGCTACGGATGTAGTGCGCACCGGCAATGGCACCAGCGATGGAAGCTTCCTGGTTGGAATTGGCGACGCCCTGCAATCCGTTAGTTCTGCTTTTTTGAGCGCCTTTAATGTTTTTAAAGACGGAAAATTACCTTTCCGGCAAAGTAGGCAGCACCACCCTGGGACATTTGCAGGATGATGGGGCAGTTCTGGTCGCGAGCAGCTTCGAGAGAAGCGACCACGGTGGAAGAGGAGGTCACATTCTATACCCGTCAGCCTGTTACCTCCTTAAAAGAGTCTCAAATTCCGAATATAAACATACAATGGCGGGAATAGCAAAGTTTTTCTCCTGAGCGTACTGGAAGAGGCGCAGGACGTCATCGCCGACGATGACACCGGTCTTGCGGGAGAGCTTCTCGAGGACACCCATGTTGTATGCGATTGATTGATGATCTGGTTGATTAATTGAGCTGCTTTGGATATTAGCTGGTCTTGCTGGTTTTAAGAGAAGATGAAATAGAATGAAGAGAAAAGAAGGGAAGACAGAATGAGGTCAAAGTGGCAGCAGAAGTGGGGATGGAGGGGGCAAGCTCTCTTAAACAGGAAGACTGTCAGGCAGAGGGGCGTGGTGTGATCAATCGTATGCTTTTTTTTCCTCTTTCTTTTCCCTCTCTCTCTCTATCGCGAGACAACACAGTCGAGGTAACGCTCAGGATCAGCCAGCAATCAGGTGTGTACAGGTACTCACCGAGTTCACCGGCAGCTTGAAACGGTGGAATTCTTTGGAGCTGATGAGATCAGCGTCGTGATTCTGGGATGCCTTGTTTGTCAGGCACTTACTTCAATAAATCTCGTTTAACGACAGAACCACTAGTTAACTAATCAGTAACATCAACCCAGCCAAAACAGTGCGATGAAGACAAACTTATATGTGTCGCTGGATCCGTATATGATTCAATCCGGTTTCTGCTCTTGGTGGGGGTTGGCGATGTATGACGTTCCCGATTTGCCCCGCGTACTCTCTTACATCAACTACACTGAAGCTTTTACTGCGGACAATTCGATGGCTTTCTACTGCATTGCAATTGCGTTGCAACGCAATTGCAATGCAATCGCTAATAGCAATGGCATCGAGGATTGCCTGAACGTTGAGCGTTGAGCATATCTGTATAGCAATGCTACATAGCCGGCATAGCTACCATACCCCGCGGCAATACAAAACACCCCTCCATGATATCAACAGCTTGACGATCTTCCAGCTTCCTACAGCGTGTCTGATATCATTTGTCGCTGGTGGACCTTCCTCCATACACACATACGCACACACATATATATATATATATAATATATATAAATATATGTGTATATATGTGTATATTTACTGGAACATCACAACCGGCTCTATATCACGGAAAACCCCGGGTCAACCCTAATTACCTAGGTACAACCATTTCGACGCCCAGCTAGATTGATGCATATAAATTTATAAACCGACGCGGGACGAGACATGAGACATCCGACATCCAGTACTAGCAGATCAAGTATTAATCAGGCATCCAGACCATCCTGACTAACATCCGCATTGCTGATGAATCCATGATTCAATCGTAGTGCGCTTTATATAAGCTATATGTAAACAATGTCCTACCATTGACCTCTCTGGATAGGTGATAGTTGGTCGTTGGAAAAGGGGGTGCTCCGGCTTTCCGAATATCGCCGGTTAGGTATCGATATGCGTGCCTAGGTAGTAGGACAGAGCTCCGATAACAGGTGCTTTTAGCTTTGTACAAATCATACCTAGGCACGTACTATAGTATCAAATCAGTCAGTCCATATTCACGGGATGTGTAACTACTCCTCCTCCCACAAGGACTACACCCGTACTACAGAGCACATCTTCCCCCTCTCTTAAAGTCTCATATGTACAAAATGTGAAGAACCAGACAAAGAATATATCAAACGCCTGCATGATGCATTTTTAAACGCAAATCAAACCTGCGAACTCATCGACGTCGGCGACTGAGTCTCCATCTCATAGAATAATAAATACACCTCCTTTTGCATTCCCAAAACATCGCTCGTTTTACATTCCTTGACTTTGTCGTCCGAGATACGCCACCAGCGATCCGCTGTTTTGCGTCTACTGCGTAAAAGTCGTTGTGCGCTCAGACCCCCCGAACTACTACTGCTAGTAGTAGTATTGAGTTTTGGGGTCCCCAGTCTGACGGAAGAGCTTCTGCGGGGAAGGTCTTGGTTTTGTCGTTCCGTGGACGAGACGTCGAGTGATTGTCGGTTCTGTAAGGAGCGAGGCGGATTGGCGGTTTCTTGGGATGAGGCTGATGAGGAGGAGGAGGAGGAGGAGGATGATGATGTTGTTGTTGTCGTTGTTGTTGCTGTCTGGGCGGTGGATGGAGTTGATGTTGAGGATGGTGTGTTGTTTGGATTCGTGCTCGACAGTGACAGCGATGAATCAACTGGTGAGATACTAAGAGGACTAGGCTCGACTCCCGAAGGTGAATAGCCCGATTTCTTCATCGCTGGTAGACGCGGACTACCCGCCACCGATGGATTCTCGCTACCTGTTCGACTCGCCGCATACGATCGAAAAGCATCTGGTGTTGAGAACGGTGGGTACAGATGACTCCGCCGGAAAGATTCATAGTGTCCGCTGTTATGGCTACCCTTGTGGCAGACTATACCCAGTAACTTGTACCATTTGCGGTTGAGAATTCCTCCCAATGGGAGACGTTCAGGGAACGACACCTTGGCCGCATTCTTGGTAGAACTGCTCTGATCAAAGATTGATCGCGATAAGTGAATCGCAACCACCTTGGGAAAGACAGTGATGCGCATATGTCGCGCAATTCGGCGCTTGGGCGCTAACTCTGCAGCAGGGAGATCTACTCCGTCCAGGGCTTGCTCCGGATCTGTTTCGAGAGCTTGTTGGATCTGTCTTATCTCTGCATCTAATTTCTCCACTTCATCGGCAGACCTGGCCTTGGTCTTTGCGACGATTTTCGCCTCCAGCGCATGCTGCAAGCCACATCTGTCACATCGAAAGTCGTCGATATACTCAGTCTTGAGCAAGCCGTCAAAACAAGAACTCAGCGTCGCAGAGCTCTTTTGCGGAACTTGCAGCGTCAAATTCACAAACGAAGTTCTGTTTGGTCGATACTGATAGTGACAGGTTTGACACTCGATTTGCGATTCTAGCTGACCTTCAAGAGGGAATCCATACCCGTTGTCGATTTCTTTCAGTTTATCATCAATTATCGCGGGCAGACCATGCTTGGAGCCGTCGTGAATGCGTACAGAAACCTCACCAGATTTCCCAGAGCTTTCAGCCTCCTCCGCAATAGACGGCGCTTCAGTCTCCGCGACAGCTGCACGTTGTGCTCGCTGTCTCGCTTTGACCGCTGCATGGTACTCATCGCACAACCGTTCTGCAACGATTTGAAGAAACTCCTGCGCATCCTGCTGATTGCGACTAATCCGCGTACGAAATGCAAACTCCAGCGCCTGAATAAACGACCGAGCAGAAATCGTTTTCTTATAAATCGGTCTCTCGTTCAACCGATCCAGCATTTCTTTCAACGCCAACGTCACAGTTCCCTGTTGTAACTCCCGCAATCGATCCGGCGGAAGACCACGCTTCCCCGCAACTTCATCCGGGCCCGGAAGCTGATTATAAACGTCTGGTCCGTCCAACTCCCGACGATGCAGTTCGCGAATGAGATATACGCGCAGCTGGCCCAGACCGGCCAGCGCTTGCAGAACAGAGTTTATGAAACAATCATTAGCCGGATTCGATAGACCGACAACTCCTTTCTTCCGATCGCTACTACTGGATTCGTCACTGTCTATGGTGAAATTCGGTCCAAAGACATAGAACAACGTGATGGCGGCCAAAGAGGCTCCGGCCGCATATGCGGCGACGGTCCCCGGTTTATCAGGCATCAACAGAGATTGTGTCGAGAAAATTGCAGCATTGGTATACGTAGTCGTATTATCGCGCCATTTCCTGCGGCCTCGCAAGTCAAAGTGCAGACTGGCTGCGATGCGCGTGTCGTTTCAGAGGATATTGAATGATCCGTAGAGCTAACCCGAGCAATACTCAGTAACCCAGCATACAGAACGACCGATTGACGCGAATTCAAGGACTTACTCACACCGAGGATGCGGACGGAAGACGTCGGCCGAACTGTCAGAATACCCGATGCCAAGCGGAATCGCCAACTTCTTCAGCAAACAATGATCGGAAACCTGCAACGAGGAACGAGTCTTGTGAAACAACGACAATCAAGTCTATGTAAGACTTAAGTACAAAGAGAAATCTGGGGAGGCGCTGATACTCGACAGTCAAAAGGAATTGCCGTGCCAAGCGTCTTCAGCGTGTGGGGGATCGATCACTGTGCCTCCCGCTGCCGTGATTTCCGCAGACTTCCTTCAGGCTTCAAGGCAACATTATTTTTTTCCCCCCAGCCCTCCGCAAGAGACTTCTTATTGGAGGTGCAATTAGCCAGATATAACCAGGAATTGATTGCTCTGGTGTGGTGGAGGCTATCAAGCGGTCAATCAGCAGACATACAGGACACAAACAGTGAGTAGACTTTTGACTCCCCCGGAATGCCTGATATCCGGGGACTCCGACATCGGTTACCCTAACCCTATCATAGGGTTATTGGCGAATCCGTCACGTGAGATAAGCACGTGACCTGTAATACGTCGTTGGCTTCGTTGACATGAAGCACTCTCCTAAGACTTCATCAGCCTTCTTGAACCGTAAGGACAATTAATGAACCACGGAATTTCGTATCGTCCTTATTTACTCCGTATATCGTGAAAATCTTACATACAGAGCCAAATTCATGCCGTGTCTCAGTTTGGTCAAAAAAAGGGCCGACGGTCATTGGCGGGTACCTGTTAGGGCCTGGACCCGTGGTTGCAATCCTGAGTAAGCATGTGTAGGTACCTGGCCAGGTGGTCATGTTGAGATGAGATGCCAGTTACTACGTATAGCCACGAGGCTTCAGTCACGCACTCACGCTGATAGGAATTTTGTCACCGTTCTACTTTGTATTCAATAATGATCCCGTTACTCAACTGTAGATAGAGTGGATAGAAAGGTAGAGTTTAGGGCAGATCTCGAACCGTTTGAAACGCTATTATTATACTCACCAGATCAGTAATCATTACCGTAATTTATATCATATGCATGCAATTACTCCGTATTTATGGCCAAGTCCAAGTGTGTAAGCTGTAACATACAGTACCGTATTATGGCGGGCACACCTGACTGGCCAGATCAGGTGAAACAAGAGGAGAAAAGAAAACATCCAAAATAATTCGTACATTTTATTTCATTCTCGAGTATTCTTTTCATCTGCACAATCTGACTTCAACCATACGTCGCATCACAATCGTTTGGATCTTTCCATTGATCTTGGAGTATATTCTTCAGTCGCTTAGTTATTGTATCTCTAATCAACCATCATCGACCGACGATCCCCCAGTCTATAAATCGTCATTATCGTCAAACCATCGTTCATGTCTAGATTTTCGCAACTTTCTCAATAAACAGCGCTGGTCGTTGTCGCTGACTTTCATTCTACACGGCAGCGAGCATCATGGCCGGCCCGATATATCATACCATGGCGTTGCGAGATGACGGCAGCCTATCTCCAGCCGATCAGTTCTTGCGCTTGATTCAGAATCCATTCAAAGAAGCCGTTAGTCTTTGTATCAAGCATCTTCGACGATAGCGCTAACTTCTTATGCCAGATCCAACTTAATGCCTTTTGGGTTTCCCTCGCTACCTCCCTCGGTATATCCGCTTTACTCGCTCTTCTATTTTCCTTATTTCGACCGTACCACAACGCCATTTATGCCCCCAAAGTCAAACATGCCGACCAGAAACACGCCCCTCCGCCAGTTGGCAAAGGAGTCTTTGCCTGGGTCCCGCCGGTGTTGAGTGTCAAAGAACAAGATCTGGCAGACCGAATTGGCTTGGATGCCGTCATATTTCTACGTTGCGCCAAAGTGATGCGAAATATATTTTTAGTGTTGAGTGTCATTGGCTGCGGTATTCTCATTGCTGTGAATATTACGCAGAGCAATGGATCTGCTGTTCCGGGAACGTCGGCATTCACACTCATGACGCCGCTGTATATTCTCACCGATGCCGTTTGGGCCCAGGTTGTCTGCGCATATATTTTTGATATTGTCATCATGTTCTTTTTGTGGAAGAATTATAGACATATTGTGGCGTTGCGGAGGCGCTATTTTGAAAGCTCGGATTATCAGATGAGTCTTCATGCTAGGACTTTGATGGTGCGCCTTCCTGTATTTCTCAATTGCTCCGATACTTACAATCCTATAGATTACGAGTGTTCCACCAAACTTGCGTTCGGAAGAAGGGCTGATGCGACTGACGGATAATGTCAATCCGACTTCATCATTACCGCGAACCACCATCGGACGAAATGTGAAGGATCTCCCCTCGCTGATCAAGAAACACGACGAAGCAGTTAGAGAGCTGGAATCGGTACTGGCAAAATACCTGAAAAATCCAGACCGTCTCCCTATCAACAGGCCCACCATGCGCGGAAAACTTAACGGCGAGAAAACAACAGGTAAAGTAGACGCGATCGACTATCTGACAGATCGAATTCAAGAATTGGAGGCAAGGATAAAAGATGTTCGCCAATCAGTTGATAAGCGCAATCCCATGCCTTATGGTTTCGCCAGCTGGGAAGCCATCGAACACGCTCATGCTGTTGCGTACACTGCGCGAAAGAAGAAACCTCAAGGCACAATAATCAGACTTGCCCCACGGCCGCACGACATTATTTGGGAGAATCTTCATTTGTCGCCGCAAACTAGAAGATGGCGCCGTATGGTCAATGTATTCTGGATCACATTACTGACAGTGTTGTGGGTTGCGCCTAACGCTATGATTGCCATTTTCCTTTCCGACTTGAACAACCTGGGTCTGGTTTGGCCTGCCTTTCAGACCTCTCTCGAGCAGCACCCGACTACATGGGCAGCCGTGCAAGGTATTGCAGCGCCTGCATTGACATCTTTAATATACCTGATTTTGCCGATTTTCTTCCGTCGTCTTATGCGCCGTGCAGGTGATCTCACCAAAACTTCTCGAGAACAGCACGTCATTCACCACTTGTACTTTTTCTTCGTTTTCAACAACTTGATAGTCTTTTCGCTCTTTTCCGCAGCTTGGACTTATGTTGCAGCCGTCATCAACGCAAAAAATAACAATGAGAGTGCATGGCAGGCTATTAAGGACGGTCACTTCTGGTCCAAGGCTCTATCTGCGTTGTGCCAAGTGTCACCGTTCTGGGTGACTTGGCTGTTGCAACGCAATCTAGGTGCTGCTTTGGACTTGGTGCAGTTATTTACGATTGTATGGCAATGGTTTATGAAGACGTTCATGGCGCCGACTCCGCGTCAAAGTATTGAATGGACCGCTCCTCCTCCTTTTGACTATGCCAGTTACTACAATTATTATCTTTTCTACGCAACTGTCGCCTTTTGCTTTGCAACGCTGCAACCCATCATTCTTCCAGTTGCCGCGCTTTACTTTGCCATAGATTGCTATTTCAAGAGGTATTTACTTTTATACGTCTTTGTCACCAAAAACGAGTCTGGCGGTCTCTTCTGGCGTGTTATTGTCAACCGATTACTCTTTGGGTCATTCCTGTCCAATATTGTGATTGCATTGGTCGCCAAGGCAAAAGGTACATGGACAATGGTTTACTGCTTAGCCCCTTTGCCGTTCATTCTGCTCGGGTTCAAGTGGTATTGCTCAAAGAGCTTCGACGAGAATATGATCTACTACAACAAGGCAGTCTTAAACGATGCCGAAGCTCTAGGTGTCTCGATGGGCAAAGGTCCCAAGCGAGCTGGTGATCGCCTGTACTCTCGATTCGGCCATCCAGCTCTTTTCAAACCGCTGATCACGCCAATGGTCCATGCGCGGGCCGCAGAGACATTGAAACAAGTCTATCGGGGTAGACTGGGCAATTTTGATCCTTCTGCAGAGTACTCTGATATCGCCATGCAGTCCATGTCTAATTCGACTCCTGGGAAGCCTACAGAGTCTGCCCCCTTCGAAGTCGTGGCTGAAAGCCAACTTGATTTCTCATACTTCAAGAACCGCGCTGATTTCAGGAATGAGTTTGGCGGTGGTATTTACGGACGACCGGAGGATCTCATTTCTGAGCGATCCCAAACCCCGCGCACGTTCATGGGTGACTCACCGGGATCATCACGAGCATCCTCCCCCGTATCAGCCCTGAACCGCAAACAACCCGAAGGTTACGATTTAGGTCTTCAACGACCCCTGGAGAGACCGCTGGATAGCGATCACCCTGCCTTCCGAACACCAATGTCTCGCATCGCCAGCAACGGCAGTGATCCCAACGGACCAACATCATTGTATCGACACTCAAACGAGAGTGAGTCCCGACTACTCCATAATGCGCAACTCCCGGCTGTTGGGGGAGAGGATACGATCCACACTATGGATCGATGGCGGACGAGGGGTTATGGCCCTGTAGCTCAAGATGAGAATAATCCAACATCGTATGATTATTTTCGCGGGAAACGATGAGATGATATTTTTTTTTACTTTCTTCATGTATGCCATTATTCAGCGTGTAGAGGAGGCGTTTTTGATTTACGCATTCAGCTCATACATACAAACTATTGCAATGTACAGTACTAACCATGTACGGTCGGACATTGGAATATCAACAATCAAGCTATAACGTATACCCACTTAACTCCCCTAACTTAGATCCAAACAGATCGAAACCTAAGGTATGGATCACTTCCCATTAACCTTCCTCTTCTTACTAGCATGCTTCGGATGAAAACTCTCAGCATACACGTTGAAAAACTCGGGCGGTTCTTGTGGATGAATACCGGTAACATCGTGGAACGCGGTGGTGGAAATGTAGTTCGTTTTCCCTTCGCGAACAAGAGAGTAGTATTCCAGGAGGTATTCGAGTTCGGCTTCGTCGCTGGTTGATTCGGCTTTGAGGATTTTTTTGGCTTGGAAGCTGTACCGAGTCAGTCTCACGATCTCGGGAGAGATGTGTATTGTTAGAGGGGGTCGGGATGGGATGGGGGAAACGCACAGTGAGATGTCCTCGAATTTGAGGTTTGTGTCTAGTGCTTTACTAGCTGCTGTTGCGAGTTCGTCGCCGGTAGCGAGCATTGGCCCTTTTTACGTTAGACGAGGCATATTTCGATATAGAAGAGGGGGTTAACACACCAGTTACGACCATGAGTTGTCCACGATGCTTATCGGCAAAGCCATGCTTTCCTTTGCCAGTCATGACATGGGGAGCGACTTAAGCGACGTCCTTGTACCTTGTCAGTCTGTATATCAGCGACAAAGGATGTATCAACATACTCCAAGAGCAACCGGGCCAAATTTGTGATCCTTTCCAATGAGAAGGGGTAATATGCCTTCTTCTTGGGCCTGTTTGGAATACAACAGGAGATTTTCCGCAGAGAATCCGGCACTTCATACATTAGCCAGTCAACTTACAGAATGTTAAGAGAGCGAAGAAGGGATTACCGAATGATAACAGGCGAATGTCCCGTCGACGTCGACGCATCCCCTTTAGTGGCCATCATCTGCGCCTCAATATCCACAAACTCCCTCAAACGAGGCTGTCTATCCCTCTCCGCAAGATCACATCCAGCAGACGACAACAAACAAACATTCGGTACACCTGCCTGTTTCGCAACCTCGATCAATTCCAGAGTAATCTCCAACTTATCCCTATGAGCTGGAGGAATGAGACAGATGGCATCAATCTGGGCATCCTTGAGTGTCTGAACGGCTTGTTTGAATCCACGGCCGGGTTCATGAGGGATGATCTTTGCGCCTAGTTTGGAGAGGTCCTGGCAGTGTTCTGTGTTGGGTTGCAGGGCTAGACCGGTCACGGAGGAGACTTTGCGTTTGAAGGTGTCGTCTGTCAGCTCTAGCATTCAGAAATCACAAGAGACAGCAAAATAATCGGAAAATTAAACGAGATTCATTTGTGATTCACACGAAATGGTTATCAGTCGTCAGTCCGTCCAACCTAGTCCTGCAGTCTAGTGCGCCGGTAGACAAGCTCAAAAGTTCATTAAAGAATTTGGGTCTCGATTATGTGCATGTCTATCTTGTCCATGGACCTATTCATCCCAGTTCCATCGCTACTGCCGCCAAGAGAATGGCAAAGACAGTTGGAGTTACGAATTACGATAAAGATGAAATGATCAAACTCGTCGAGGAGTTGGAGAAACTTGGTGTTCCCCTGGCGACGAATCAGGTTGAATATAATATTCTCAAGACGACATCCCGAGATTCATGTCTTGATTGAAGAGTGTCATAAGCGAAGGATTGTTTTCAAGGGTTATTCGGCTGTGGCTACGGGTCGACTTGCAGGGAAATATTTCAAGGACGTATAGGTTTAGCCAATATCGGATGGCGAAGATTGAGGAGACGTTGAATGTGATTAGGGAGATTGCCGACGACAAAAAAGAATGAGTGTTGTGGCGGTGCAGTTGAATTTTTGTATTTGCAAGGGTGCTGTGCCGGTTGTCGGTGTAGGTGTGAGTGATGATGAGCAGGTGAGACAGAATTTGCAGGCGGAGATGATGGTGATTGATGATGTGAGTGTGGAGGGTACTACGACGGCTTTGTGGCAACGTGGTTGATCTTGTATATGCACTCTACCTGAACTCCATCAGCACAGAATTAAATGCATTCAGACCAAGTATATAGAGAGATCAATCAGAAACCCTAAACCTAAACTGATCACTTCGATCAAGATACACAACCCTATCCCCCAATCCAGCTCTTTCAAGCTCAGCCTTGAAATCCCCCAAGGGACTCGCAAAGACATCATAATCATCATAATGGATCGGAATCGTAAGGTCAGGGTTGATCAATTGGATCAATTGTAACCCTTGCTTAGCGTCCATAGTCACCATGACTGCCATGGGCAGTAACGACGGAGAAGGGACCGTCGTCCCGCCGAGATGGATGAGCATTAGGTCGATGTTTTGACCTGCGTATCGTTTAGGGATTTCTTTTAATTCGTCGACTAGAAGGGTGTCGCCGGAGATGTAGATTCGATAGCCAACTTTGAAGTCTGATTCGGCCTCATGGCCGAGTTCGACCATCCACCCATTTGTCGGGGGAATCTATTAATCAAGACTGAGTACATACTCCCAAGCTAGTTGTGCAAGACATACCGCTTGAACGATATCATTCACTTTCTGGAGCGTTTTTGTGGGAACATGTTTCCCCGGCATTCCTCTGATACGAATCTGCGGTCTTTTGCTAATACTGCTCTGAATATCCACGATCATCTCCTCAAAAAAGTCCAATGCATGGACATTTGAGAATGAGTCTTGTGGATTTTTTGATGTAAGGTGTGTCTTTGCATGAGGAGTAGTTATGATGGGCAAGTCTCGGCGTAGAGACGCTTCGACTGTTTGATCAAAGTGGTCTCTACACGTCTTATTAGCAACTGGACTATAAGTTTTGTGGAGTGACGTGCCCGTGATAATGAGATAGCAGGACCAGATCAATCCGAGGTAAATCATGCAAATCTACCGCCGGATTGGTTTGGCGTACACTAGACACACCTGGTCCAAGATGGACATGATCACCGGCATGAAGGAAATTTGGCTGTACCTCTGTTAAAGGATATTCATGTCCAAGAGAGACCGTGACTTGCATCAGTCATGATCCGAATTCCTGCCCATTCTCTGTCCAAGGTCAAAGTCAGCAACAATACGCATATAGCAAATCTCTAGAAAAATGAGTACTGACAATATTGTCGTCGCTGTCCCGACAAAATATAGCGACGCATTTTCTTCGCCGTCAGTGCCTCGCGGATGCACCTTTATCTCCTTTGCGTCTGGGAGGTTGTGAGGTAGGGATTTGCCGGATGGCAGGTCCCGGGTTGGAGGCTGTACATGTTCGGGGTCGAGGGTGAGATGTTGTACATCCATGGTGTGACTACGGTATAATTCGGTGAGCAGTTAGAAGTAGTTAGAAGTAGTTAGAAGTACTTGAAGCATCTCCAGAGTCTGAGGTTGATGAATGCTCGGTCAGTCGTATAGATGACGTCACAACCCTAGATGACCATCCCATTGTTTTTTGAGATCTCGTGACTTACTCTACCTACAGTATCCGGAAACAAACATCGCAGTCTTGAAACTACGGACAATCATGTCGGCATATAGCGAGTGATGCTGAGTGAAAGATTGTTCTCCAATGGGAGACATTCGGATGTTACTCTGCATGATGTTCTGACAAATTGACAGATCCTGGTGCTACAGAACTCAATGCCGCGTATCTAGATACTCGTGAGTGACTTCTCTAGACCATCGTCACTAGTTATACACTCCGTTTACCTTCAGATAGGCACTTGTTTTCAGGGAAAAGTGAGTGAATAAATCACCTTACTAAACCGGCCTAGCTTCTCCAACAAAGATAAGCCGGATCAGCCTCCTCCCCACCAGCATATGACCTCAATTTATCGACCCGTAGTCCCTTGGACATCCTCTTTCACAGAATCGGACCCCGGAGTACTCCGTTGGAGGACAGCCTGCAGGTTGCCACTTATAACAGGGAGCACGAATACGATGACAGCACTGCTCCTTCGAGTACGTAGTATGCTGGTTGCATGGATCCTTCGAGGGCCCGACGAAGGGACATGACGGAGCAAAAACGCCTCAATGCTTGTTAGTCTATGATCACCGTCCAGTCCTTGCGGGCCTCGTCTTATCGCGGCAGGGATCATCTCCTAGCTGAACCCCATAATCTCTCCAAGACCGGTAATTTTGGGGCCTCATTCCAGCCGATTTTTGTTTTTCGCTCCTATGCGACTGAGGAATCTGCGCCGCTGCGGCATGCATGATGTAGCATCTTGTTTATAAATTGCGACTTTTATTATATCTGCAGCCAATCATGACCATTCGTTTCATTGATACCTAGAGCTAGGAGCTCCAGGCATAAATATGAGCTCAATTTCCTTTCTCGCGCTCGTGCGCTTTTTCCTTTTTCCTTCTTCCTCATCAGCCTTGTCCGGTCAATTGAGTCCATACCAGGTCACACAATGTTGATTCAGTCTTTGATCTCAGCGACTTTGGTCGCTACGGGTCTTCTCGCAGAAGGCGTATTGGCTGGAGGATACCATGTCCCCATCCCAGCAAAAGCGCAAAAGCGATATGAGAATCATTACGGAGCAATGCTCGGAAAGCGGGCGAGCGTCGCTCATACGAACTCGACCAAGGACTTTCGTTATCTGACCAAGAAGACGAAGCGTGAGTCCATTTGTATTTTCAACCTTCAATAGAGGCATACTCACAACGTCTAGCATACCGAGTCGAGAGTCTACCCGACGTCAACTTCGACATTGGTGAAATGTACTCCGGTTTAGTCCCCATCAACTCCAACGACACCTCTCGTCAACTCTTCTTCATTTTCCAGCCCACAATCGGCGAACCCGTGGACGAAGTGACTATCTGGTTGAATGGCGGTCCGGGCTGCAGTTCCATGGAAGCCTTTATCCAAGAAAATGGTCGCTTCCTCTGGCAACCGGGTACCTATCTCCCTACGGAGAACCCTTACAGCTGGGTCAACTTGACCAACATGCTCTGGGTTGACCAGCCTATCGGAACCGGGTTCTCGGTCGGCACTCCCACGGCTACCTCTGAGGAGGAAATTGCGCAGGACTTTATCAAGTTCTTCAAGAACTTCCAGAAGCTGTTCGGAATCAAGAAGTACAAGATCTACGTCACGGGTGAAAGTTATGCCGGTCGTTATGTGTCCTATATCTCGGACGCTATGATCAACGCAAACGACACCGACTACTACGACTTGAAGGGCGCTCTCATTTATGATGGTGTCATTGGCGCTTTCGACAGTGTCCAGATGCAAGTGCCAGCCTACCCTCTGCTCGCCGAAAACAACAACATGCTCAACTTCAACTCGGAGCAATTGGCCGAACTTGAAAAGATCCACACCTCTTGCGGATTCGACAAGTACATTGACAAATACCTTACCTTCCCTGCATCCGGTCTCCAGCCCCCTATGAAATACACCGAGGAATGTGATGTCTTCGACACCGCGCTCGAATACGCATTGGCCATTAACCCGTGCTGGAACATCTACGAGATTAACCAGGTCTGCCCTCTTCAATGGGATATCCTCGGTTTCCCAACGGTGTTGGATTACATGCCCGCAGGAGCCCCAGTCTACTTCCAGCGCAAGGACGTGGTCAAGGCATTGCACGCTCCGCGAAACCTCACCTGGACAGAATGTTCCGTCAACCCCGTGTTTGTCGGTAGCGGCGGACCACAAGGGGAGGGCGATCTTTCCGCTGATCCTATCCAGTCCGTTCTCCCCAAGGTCATTGAGCACACCAACCGCGTGTTAGTCAGTAATGGTGACTACGACTTTATCATCATGACCAACGGTACGCTCTTGTCGATTCAGAATATGACCTGGAACGGCCACCTCGGATTCACTAAGCGACCCAGCACACCCATCAACATTACCTTGGTTGACCTTGAATATGCCGATGTGTTTGCTGAGAATGGCATGGCTGGCGTCGATGGTGGTCAGGGGATCATGGGTATTCAGCATTATGAGCGTGGCTTGATGTATGCGGAGACTTATCAGTCTGGTCATATGCAACCAGAGTATCAGCCCAGGTCGTCTTATCGTCATTTGGAGTGGGTGTTGGGACGAACTGAAGAGCTTTAGCTTCGGCGAGTTGATATTCGCTGTACATATAAACTGACATACTTGTCTGTACAAATTAATTATAGTTTTGTTGGATGTGAGGGTGCAGTCGAGACCCGGATAGCTGATGTCACGTGATGACATCACGTGACGAAGGCTGCACAAGAATCCCTTACCGTGTCGGTGTCAGATATCAGACAGAGAAGACAAGACAACTTAGAATACTCAATTGAACCCATATTCCGTGTTAGGAAGCTTATCGTGCTAGTACTAGTGCAGATGCACCCACAAGTTTCTCAATACATATATTGTCTATATAATGTGGAACTCCGACTTCAGTTGACTCAGGATTACTCTAACCATGTAGCTAGCTAGGGGAGCAAGCGTTTGCTTCGTGACAATCCCGTAACCGTACATAGTCACTGTGCATGGAAATAAGCTGTGATCGGATGAACCGAGTCTAATGGCAACGCCACACACACACTAAAGTGATCTTCTTCACAAGTCAATAAATCTGAGAGTCCCGAGGTCACACTAACAAATTTCAATCTGGCCTCGTATTCCTTCTTATACATATGAGTTGCACCAGCATGGGTCTAGGGCAAGGCTTAGTATTGTCCCCGAGGAGCCCACTCTTAATATTGTTCTTTTCTGCGGCAAACACACAACAATGGCTGTAGGTAAGGGATTTCTGCTGAAAATATATATCTGATTGACGAGTCGAACTGATAATATTATCTTGATGATATGATTCATCATTTTGGTAATATTGCGCAGAGTATTGTTCTTCGTGTCTAGACATGGGTATATTCTCTTCCCTGTTGGCGTTTGACGTCCGTTTATATTGCTACCTCCCTTCCCACTTGTAGTTAGAAACAAAAGTGATGCAATGGATTGTTCTACCCCTAATATTGTTGTGATACTCATTCCAGCCCCATCACATTCTTCATGGTGCATATAAAAGCAGTACAACGTCGCTGATCCGTGTAACCGCAATCTCAGCTCTCTTTACTTCTAGAAAGCGGCGGTTCTTACTTCTTGACGTCTCAATCTTTGCTTGTCATCTCTTCTTCGCAGACTCATATCATCTCCACGCATTCCGGCTGTACTTGTCCACAGCTCAACTCATTTGCATATCAAAATGTCATTCGACCCCTTCAATCAGAACATCACAATGACCAGCAGCGACGGTAGTACCATGAGTATCCCCCTCCACTACTTCGACGAGTTCGTCCAGGACGGCGTGGTCAGCTGCATCAACTACGGCAGCCAACTCGGCGCTACCATTGTCATCTTCGTACTCTTGTGTCTCTTGACCCGGTCCAAGAAACGGTCCTCAATCGTCTTCTGCCTAAACGTCTCTGCACTGCTGTTGAACATGGCTCGTCTCATCTGCCAGGTCTTGCAGTACACTGGCGCCTGGTTTGAGACCTATGCTTATTTCTCGGGGGACATTTCTCATGTGTCTCGAGGCGATTTTGCGAATAGCATCTTGGTCCAGGTCATGAACGCGTTGCTGGAGATTGTTGTAGAAGCCTCGCTCGTCACGCAGACCAAAGTCGTAACCACGAACATGTCTCGTTGGCAAAAGACTGCTATCCTCGCTGTCTCGGCGGCGCTTGCTGTCGTCACCATTGGTTTCCGCATGGTGCAGATGGTGTTGTATAGTATGCTCATTGTTGAAAACAGGCCGTTTGATATCTACCTCTGGCTGCAGAAAGTTAATACTATCTTTCTCACGGTTACCATCTGTTATTTCAGCGCTGTCCTCATTTGCAAGCTTGGATACACCGTTTATAGACGCAGGCAGCTCGGTGTGCATCAATTCGGTCCCATACAGGTCATCTTCATCATGAGCTGTCAGACTATGGTTATACCAGGTAGGTTTCTAGCCCGTCTGCATCCCACTATATGCCCCACGCGCTAACACTTTACACAGCATTATTCTCGATCTTGCAATTCTCATCTGTCAGCATCCACCAGATCAACACCGACATCTTCACCTTCGTAGTGGTTTCGCTTCCCGTGACAACCCTGTGGGCCAGCGCAGCACTTCCTGGCCATGCAGCAGCACACGATGTCGAATCTGGAGTGCCTCTTTGGACCAAACTATCAACAACACGGCTCGGCAGTATGGATTCTCGACAATCCCGGAAAAAGTCAGCATCGCCCAGCGAGACTCCTTCTGGGTTGAATTTTCAGGGGTCTGAGCTGGCCAAGTCTGTCACCATTGGTTCTCGATTGGAGGAGTCGGTTAGCGCGCAATCAAAAGAGATTTGATATATCCATCAGTCGTTTAGCATTTTCCTGGTGTCCTTTTCTCGAATTTTGTTCTTAGAGTCTAGATTGTCTGTAGGTCGGGATTTCGTGGTTCAGAATCTGGTAATATGAGCTCAAACAATAGCATAGTTAATTAACATTTCTCGAGGGCAACAACGATAAACAATCTATCCCTACGGAGTAGACTGAAGTAAAGATGAAGTTGATGTCCTGACTCAGGCAAAGACGCCAAGCTCACTAACTATGGCCTTGTAATTCAGGCATCCAGCGGGGATAGCTACTGGAAGTCAACAACCGCAACTTCTCCAATTCATTCTCATACAACCAACGCTCTTTTGCAATATGGCGGCTGTGCCGCAATCGACATTGACATGGCTTTGGAATGTGCTTACCAAGGTATATATAGTATTCACCTGGCTACTTGAACAATATTCTGACATCTGCAGAACCATTACGACCCCAGACAGACATACCGCGACCCCAATCGCACATATCATGATGTCGCTCGAATGCTGGCGCAGTATCCATCTTTTGGACCGCGAACAGATGTATACAGTGAGTACGAAAATAGATTTCTAAATGATCTGCCTGCTAAACTATTTGTTTAGCATACGAAAATGGCACGCCGTCGCTTCTCCTTCACCTCGTCGGCACATTACCGGTCTCCTTCCGCGGCAACTCGTATAATATTCCGATAGACACTTGGATCCCAAGTGCGTATCCTCTTGAAGCTCCGATTGTATATGTTACTCCGACACCGGATATGGTCGTGCGATCTGGTCAGCATGTTACGCTGGAGGGGCGGGTATATCATCACTATCTGGCGCATTGGCATGAGACATGGGATGTAAGTTGGCTACAACATTTTATCCTAGCATAGGAAATGGTGCATTGTTAGGGAATGAAGGCTGATTGGTACCTATCTAGCGATCCTCGATCGTCGAGCTATTCGCAGTCCTACGAGATATCTTCTCCAAAGAACCCCCCGTCAAAGGCAGACCTCAATCACGACCAATACAACCCGAAACCCCACGATCAGCTCCTCCGCCCGTCCCTCCTCTTCCCCCAGAGCTCTCTACGTCTCCCAGGCCAGTCGAAACACCACAACACCAACCAGCGCAACCAGCGCTTCCAAGACCGCCCCAACTACCGCCAAAACCTGGCCAGACAGCTCCTGTACATTCTCCGCTGTCGGCAGTACATACACATGGGCCCGCAGTCCCCCCATTACCTCCAAAGGCACAAAAGGGACAGATTCAAGAATGGCAAGCTCCTATAAACGCGGCTGCAGCCCAATTAAATCGGTCCGGCAGTTTGCGAGTGTCGCAACAGGTGCCTGTTAGTCCAAACTATCAGCGAGAGGCATACACTGCTTCACCTGTGCCTTTACAAACTCCGGCCCAACAGATGCCGATTCCTCGACAGTATTCGGGACCACAATCTCCGCAGGGCTATCAGCAGAAATATCCGCCTCAGACGGCTGTACCATATCAGGGTAATCGCTATCAGCAGCCGCCCCCTCAGTCACCTACACAATCGATGACTGCTCCGAAACCTCCAAAACCAGAAACTCCCGATCTACTCACATCACCGTTCGATGTTGAATTACCATCTATAACACCAACGGGTCCTCCACCCCCCGTACCACCAAACCCCGAGAAGGATGCTCTTTTGCACACATTGTCCCGAACACTGACCGAGAATCTGCAGGGAAATGTATCGCAGTCCAAATCTGCCGTGGCTTCTCTGCAGTCTCAGTCTCAGGCTCTAAGCTCTGCCATGATGACTTTACAAGGCGAACTAGCCACGCTAAACAACTTCAAAGCAACAATAGAATCCAACATCAGCATCCTCCAGCAATCGCTCCATCGCGCAGATGCAGTAATCGCAGACGCCAAAGCTCGCACGTCTCAAACCTCTGATCAACCCACTACAACAGCAAATGGACTCCCGCCCATAGACGAGGTCCTCGTCGCTCCCACAGTTGTTGGCAAACAGCTTTATGATCTAGTTGCCGACGAGCGCGGAATCCAATCGGCCATTTATGCGTTACAAGCAGCACTTGTCAAAGGAGTGATTGGAGCTGATACATGGTCACGTCATACGCGAAGCCTGGCTCGAGAAGCGTTCATTAAACGAGCATTAATTCGGAAGATTGCTTTGGGCATGGGATTAGATGTGGGAGAGGATACTTTTCGGGCTGACTCATAATGGCTTATAAATTAGTCGCAACATGGCAGTTGCAATTTGCCAATACGTACTTAGCAGCCAGCACGCAAGGAATAAGAAATGTTTTGTCAAATGGTTGTCGCTGTGCCATTGTAGTATCATTCTGAATCATTCGACTCGTGCACAGGCTTCCTGCTTGTACAGCCGCAAAGGGATGAGCGATTCTAGCAGCTTCAGATTCTGCTGAGGCTCAACTGATCAGCACTATCTGAATCAATCTACGTACTCCGTATGTAGTTCACTAAAGCATCAGTCTCCAGCGGTCTCTTCCTCCAAATCTTTTTTCCGTTCTTTTCGCCGCAACTCTGATTTTCCAAAAAGAATTTTCTCTTCATTCCATTAATCTCCCTTCTCCTTGCGCGCTCTTTTTTCTCCTTTTCCCATACTTTTTCTTCGGCAGGGGTAAGACTATTATCGGTAAATTCAAATACATAATACTGTTATGGATGGGACTGCTGTCAGGGATGATGTTCTGCACCGCCGGCCTGTTGAGGTCTTGTCAGAAACATTCCCCTGCTGTAGTAAGGGTGAACGTAGGTTTTCAGACCGATAACACGCTTTTTGTCCGTAGTGAACAGGCAGCAATCAGTTAGAAATAAGTTAAATGCTTGGGCTTAGTCACGGAGTCTAAACAAAATTGCTGAGCATGGGGCCCAGTCACAAGTCGTGTCGCTCAGTTCTTCAAGCGCCTTGGAGATGTGGTGTTGGTCAAGCAAACTGTACGAAGCTGCACGAAGCAGATTAATAAATACTTGACAAGAACCATGCTTTGCTGAAAGCAAGGCTGCAGCATATCCCTGATCATTACTTTAATTTGTTCTTCATCGTGGCATGTAAAGATTGGTCTATGCGAGTAGCCAGCCTTGTTTCTCTGGTGCGTGTGAATTGAGATGAAGCGAGGTATAATTTTCTTTATGTGCGAGGGGTAGTAGCTCAAAGATGAGGCTGAAATCGTTCAATTCTCTTCCGCTTTCTTAATCTATGATAAACTTCACCAGTTTATTGGCACGGCACAGCTTGGTTGATATATAGGCTTTAGGATAAATCTCATGGAATCTTACTAGATTATCCCCGTCTCAATTCCATTTCCTAAGAATTGCCTAAGAATTGCCCAGCGACCTCTACGCCTTCCTTCTCCCTACAAACCTCCACACGAGGACTGTTTGGTAAAAAATGGCAGATCCTCTTTCAATACTGGGGGTTGTCTATCCAATCGCACATGACCTCTTCACTCTTGCCAGTTACATGAATAAGGCATACAAGGGAATTCGTTATGCGAAGCAAGATCTCCAAAAAGTGATCAAAAGAACGGAAGCAGTGGCCGAAACTTATGAATTTTTCAGTGATACAATGAAAGATGCGAAGGGAATTGAAGGGTTAGCCCCAATGTTTAAACGGCATCGAAAGCTAATAGGCAGAGTTGAAACGGAATCAAACGAATAATAGGAAGACTTAGGCGCATCACAAATATTTTCCGGTTTCTGATAGATGGGGAGCCTGTCAATCTGATTGAGAGATGTATCACGCAGTTCGAATGGTTTAGAGAGAGTAAGAAAGTTATCCCGCCTCTTTCCAGGACATGAAGATTTTGGAAAAATCTATGAGAACAATTGGAATCCTGGTGAATATTCAGATGCTCCACCAAACCTACCAAAGGGATAGATCTAGCCCAATCCTGGCACAACTGTAAGATTCTCTTAAAGTTCAGACTAATAGCTGACACCGCGCCCTCTACTGACTATGCGTTTGACAGAAAATCTTTCGAAAAGATGCTGAAGATCGAATCCAACAAGCTCCAGCACGCTCAACGCGTATAGGAGGAGCTCCTTAAGCACAGGATCTCACCAAATCAAGTCATCGAACTGAATTATTTTGCACAGGAAGTATTACGGGTTTTAAAAAAAGAGATCCTTAGAGTACATAGCAACAAGCCCCTCGATAGCCCATCCACTTTCGATTCCGGGTCACCATCAACCTCGCCAGTGTCAAACCAACCTTCACCTATTATAACCCCTTCACCGCCTCTTCGCCACAGTGGAGGAGATCAGGCATTCGTCGTAGAGCCACAAGCCGGGGAGACATCATTTTCCAGGCGGAATGTTCCGCGAAGAAGAAGAACTCGATCAGAACCTCCCGTGAGTATAACAGTTCTGACCATCCCGCGGATATCTAATAATCGTTCTCAGCAACATGTTTCGTCCCTATCACCATCCTCTTCGCTCTGTTCAAGTGTAGCAGAAGTTGAAACTCCAAATGAAGGAAGCCCTGAGGAAGGAATACATGAGCGAGACCGAGAAAAAGAAGGCACATACATGCAAATACCACTTTTTGGACCACCAGAACTTCGTCTTCACCCGCGTGTCAGACAACGTTCTCCGGATGATTCCAACCCGTCCGGCGGTAGACATGACGAGCAAAAAGATAGTCCCCGGCATCATGGAGAGTCCTATTCATTTTGGAGAAGACAAAAAGGCACCGCCATATCAGTATATGGCAACGATGGTGAGGTGGCTCCTACTCATAAAACGGGATTCATTGGCTGCCAGTAGAAAAGGGAAGAACAGAGCGGACCAGTGAGTCAGTGAATGTTTATTAGAAGCTTGAGAAAAGAAAACAATCCTATCTACAGGGAACTTCATTCTTATGCGTGCGTGGATTCCAAGACCGGAGTCCCAACATGGTGGCAGGTATGACAGGTCAGATAGAGCGGGTATGAGATAGATCAGGTCGGTGGACTGCTATCAGGAATACCACCACACCTTTTGCGATCATCTGGTCAGAAAAGACCTTCAATCAAAGAGTGAACGAATTCCGATGTACGTGACAGCTATTTGTATTTCATTTGCGACTTTCGGTCAGCATTCGCTCAGGCATAATCTAGATCATTGCGTCACGGATCATGTTCACCGGCCTGGAGCTTTGTGGATTCTATTCCGTTCTCGATGGCAATAAAGACAGTCGATACGGAAGGCCATTCACAGAAGTAGCTCGTTATTATACAGGGCTCAGTCTACAATGAAGATTGAAGACACCAGACACCTCTGCCATATTGATAATTCCTCTTGTCCAACTCTTGGATTAAGTCCCTATTACAAAAACTCTCTTATTCGTTGGTATATCTAAGTACTACATCCTTTTCAGTTTAGTAATATATGAAAATACTCCAAAGACGTCGATGTTAAACGCTAAAATCTAGCGTATTGCCGTGACTTCTAGTGCCCACCGTCTACTATGTACACTTTTGGCCCTAGAACGACCGAAGGGAGAGGAAGGGAGTGGGACCGTGGGCGCGAGAGCACTGCGGAAAAAAACTGCAAGAAGCCAACCCCCTCCGGTGGTTAGTGCTCACGGGTCAAAAACAACATCTTTTGCTTTAAACACCAAAAATGACATTTTTACACTGAACTAGGCATCGGATCCAAATAAAAGTAAGGATTCTCATCAGGCTGCTCCCCCTCATGAAGTAGAGCATCAACAGCAGCAACCATATTAGTGGGATTAGCGAGTTCTTCTGCGATTTGCTTCGCCTGTTGAATTGTTTCCTCCACTTCTTTTGTATTTCCTTAGCCTCAATTCGTGTATTAGCATCTCGAACAGAAAGAACACCTCCTACATTCAATATTTGATGTTGCGTTTTGGATTTACTCTTGCGCCGGTTGAGATCTAAGAGCTGATTAATGTGGGCTATATGGAGAGATTACGCTTGTAAATGCTAAATGCGCGTTAGTAAGAATTCCTTTCATAACACGTCGAACACGTCGGACACGGCGCTCAAGATTGGGGCTAATATTTTTTATATGGTCCTTGATCTCGTCCAAATCTGTCTCAATCTTTTTGATGTGACTGCCAATGTTATAAGCATCAAGTGGTGACGAGGTTGACCCAAGGAATATCCTGCTCATCACCAGTGTATATTCGTAACATAGGAATAGCATCAATTATTTCCGAAGCCTGAAGCTTTTTCATTAAAATCTCTGGACTGTTAAGGAGCTATTCCTCGATCACGGAATCCGACCCGTATAATCTTAGATATTGTCACGTTCTAGGACCGGGGTACGGACTAGCTGCAAATAGCTAGAGTCTAGCATACAAGAAGAATTCGATAAGGAAAGGAAGAAAGAGTGTAACTATCCCCGACGCCCAAATAGGGTTTTTAATATATGAGGTGCGCGACGATGGGCTTTGATTGGTTGAGATTCTGCCCCCCGCGGCGGTGAGGTTGACAGCCAGTCAGCGTGTCGAGGATGAGCTTAGGCGGGTGAGGAATTCAACAGTCAGGTTTCTGTCCGAAAAAGATGGCAAGGCGGGATGGCCGAGTGGTTATGGCGCAGCGCTTGAATATCGTGATTTTTCTCTTCGAGACATTTTTACCTACTGTTTATACGCTGTATCTTCGGATTCCTGGGTTCGATCCCCAGTCCCGTCGTTTCGTCTTTCTTTTTTCCCCTGCTATCTGAACAAGGTGCTTTCACTCCAATCCTTGTTTCGCTATCCACTGTTTTTAATAGTTCGAGGTCTGTCGTCAGTCTGGAAGTTTAATAGAGTTTAGCGCAGCTATGGAGCCTGAGGCTGTTGTCTTGGCCTCAGGCCACTAGGGTTTAGCCTAGTGCAGTATATATAACAGAGTTAAGCCTCTTTAGGTTAGTGTGACATCTTAGCTTAGCGCAGCATGTCCCTTATTGGTTGGGAATTCTAGTATGGAGATCTCCGCCAATAAGTGTGATATCAATCGGCATTGTTCTTTGCTTTTGATACGCATTGATTCCATATTGGGATACCGGCCAGTCAATAGAGAGTTGTATGAGGATGGAGGCCGATAAATACGGACTGTTTCCCCTGGGTAGGCAGTTTCCCTTCTCATGCTCAGTTTTCTCCGTCAACACCGCTACCCTCTCAATAGGATATGTTAGGCTTGCGCACTCGTTACAGTTAGACTATTTGCCGACAGTGGGCATTCAGTACTAATGTATTGGCAGTTAGCCCGTGACGCTTGCCCAATCCTAACAATCTATTGATCTGGCCTAGGGTAGCCTATCGACGAGAATATTGTGTATGGGGAGAGAAAGAAAACTAGCAGTCAAGCCGTGGGCTCATACAAAGGGACAGCTCTGTCCCTTAGGGCTTCGTGACGGGAATGCCCTACCGCTAGTCAGGGCCGTCAGCCACCGCTTAGCCGCACCGGTGAGCCACAACCATCTCAAAGCCTTCCCCTTTTATATTCAATTACCATAAGTCAACCAGGCCGATTTTGATATCCCACTAACCGCCTCAACGTATAATAGAATTAAGTTAGTTATGTTAGTTAACTAGTTTGAAGCAGGCGGATGACTCCGCTATCTGATTCTGGGAAGTTCAAGTTTCAGCGCAACTCTCTAGATTCACCACAAGAATGACTAAGCAACGTGTTGACGATAACTAACGTAATTCACCACCGAAGCGGCACCACTACCGAGCCGGCATTTTTTCCCGAGCGCGTACACGATATTGATTTTATATTATTCAACACGTCAATATGCCACCAATTCGCAATAAAAACCGGAAAAATTTAGATGAGCAAGAGGGACGAATCTTATTAGCAATTTCCGATTTACAGAATGGCCGAATTCAACGTGTAGCTCAAGCTGCAAGGATTTACGAGATCCCCCGGACAACTTTACAAGATAGACTCAATGGTATTCAACAAAGATCTCTCGTACGCGCCAACAGCCATAAATTGACTCAATATGAAGAGGAATCGCTTGTCAAATGGGTGCTTGATTTAGATCGACGTGGATTACCCCCCCGGCATTCTCTTGTACGAGAAATGGCTAATTATATACTTTCACAACATGGCAAACCACAAGTTGGAAAAAATTGGATAACTAAACTGATTAAACGCCGTCCAGAGATCGATTCCAAATTCGCAAGGAAATACAACTACGAACGTGCTAAATGCGAAGATCCAAAGATAATACAAGAACATTTTGATCGCGTACAAGCTGCTATATCTGAGTACGGCATCTTACCGGAAGATATATTCAACTTTGATGAGACTGGCTTTGCTATGGGACTCTGTGCAACTGCAAAGGTTATTACTGGAAGCGATCGATATGCTCAGCCGAAGCTTTTACAGCCTGGAAATCGAGAATGGGTGACTGCAATTGAGGCAACAAATTCAACTGGATGGGCTGTGCCTTCGTACGTGATTTTCAAAGCAAAGAAAAACGTACGAGAAGGCTGGTTTGATGATCTTCCAGATGATTGGCGAATCAATATTAGCGATAATGGCTGGACTACAGATCAGATAGGATTAGAATGGCTTAAAACCCATTTTATTCCCTATATTAATGGTCGTACGGTTGGAAAATATCGAATGTTGATTCTTGATGGCCATGGAAGCCATTTGACACCAGAATTTGACCATATATGTACTGAGAATAATATTATTCCAGTCTGTATGCCACCTCATTCTTCGCATCTCTTACAGCCTCTTGATGTTGGCTGTTTTGCTGTTTTAAAGCGACATTATGGGCAGCTTGTTGAGCAACGAATGAGGCTTGGTTTCAATCATATTGATAAAATGGACTTCTTAACAGCATTTCCACAGGCTCGTACAGTGGCATATAAAGCTCAAACTATTCGGAATAGCTTCGCAGCCACCGGATTAGTGCCTTTCAATCCAGATCGAGTTATACAACAGCTTAATATTCGATTGAAGACACCAACCCCCCCTCCAAGTCGATCAAGCAATACGGCATCATCCTGCTTACAAACACCTCAAAATATACGCCAATTTATACGCCAGTCGACTACAATCAATAAACGTATAAATGAGCGTACAGAAAGCAACCAAAATCAAGAAATCAATCAGGCAGTTGTACGGTTGTCAAAAGCCTACGAAATGATAGCGAATGATGTTTTACTCGTACGGAAAGAGAACTACGATTTACGAGCTGCACATGAGAAAGAGAAGCAAAAGCGCCAAAAATCTAAAAAGCAAATATCTATTGAGCAAGGGGTTACTAAAGAAGAAGTGCAAGCGCTCGTACAAGGTCAGGTTGAGGCATCCCATGCTGTTACTACTACTCCGGCTGAGCCGGAGCTCCCAGCTTCTCAAGCAGTCGTACGCCGCCAATATCGCTGCAGTGGTTGTAACGTTATGGGGCATAGAATTAACCAATGCCCTAGTCGTATTAGTAGTTAGATTTTTGTATATAATTTGTATGTGGCTTTGAAAATTGGGATTTGAAATCAATATCGCGTACGCGCTCGGGAAAAAATGCCGGCTCGGTAGTGGTGCCGCTTCGGTGGTGAATTACGTTAACGTTACATTCCATTGCCTCCATTACCATGAATCCACCCAGTGCTAGACTTAAGCGGCTCATAAAACTTAGCCTCCAGGGCTGTAACGAAGCTCTTAGTTAAAGTTGATTGCATTTGATTACCAACGTACGGTAGCTTACCGTACATTAAAACCACGGTCGACATATTCTGGCATCTTGACTAATGTTTCTAGATTATGAATAGCCACACCTGCCGGCGAGAGAGAAAGGTGGCAGAAAAGGGTTCAGGAATCGACCATTACCTGTAGAGTAATCATTTAACAGTTACCTCGGCTAAATCGTTTATGCCTTGCTGTGATTGGGTAGATGGTAACATTACGGCCGTACTTAGCCCTAATTTGTCTGTCGACCTTCGTTATTCGCGATTTACCTGTCCGATTATTGTATACAAAGGCGCTGGACTAGTACGTAGTATAGCTAATTTGAGCTTAGAGGCCATATATTAATAGAGAGGTTTGAAGATTAGTGATCGGGCCGAGTTTGTTTTGCCAATTCTACTAGTGACAAGTTGCGCCAAAATCCAACGGTAAAGAATGGATAATATATATAGTATTGGTGTACCCCTACGTGGGTTTGTGGTACCATACATTCTAAGGTTTACAGGTATACAAGGTTATTCAGATAGCAGAAGTACAATGGATAAAGAATCAGATACGATCCAAGGTCCTCCCAAACCGGCCATTGAATATGTCGATTTCGAAGGCCCCGATGACCCGTTACACCCTTTCAACTGGCCCATAGGCAAGAGGTACGTCTGGTATCTATCCTAGGTAGTTAGAAGAAGCTAAAGTAGTGAAATGGAAAAAAAAAATAGACGCTTGATATCAGCCATCCTATCCCTCTCAACAATGTTCGTCGCCGGGACAAGCAGCATTTTCTCCTCCGCCATCCCCTCCATAATGGCCATCCACGGCATAAGTCGCGAAGTCGGCACCTTGGGGGTTTCATTGTATGTCCTCGGCTTCGCCCTTGGCCCTATGATATGGGCATCCTTCAGCGAACTGAAAGGCCGATATATGCCGTTTACAATTTCAATGTTTGGCTTTTCGGTGTTTTGTTTTGCGACTGCTCGGTCCACGCACGACCCTGCGTCGATTTTTATTTGTCGATTCTTTGCCGGATTGTTTGGCGCTGGACCCCTGACGTTGGCTGGAGCGGTGTTTTCGGATATGTACCCCCCAAGAGAGAGGAATATTATGATGGTTATGTTTTCGTTGACGGTGTTTATTGGTCCGATGGTCTCGCAACCTATTGGCGGTTTTATTGTGATGAATCACTCTTTGGGTTGGGTATGGACTGAATACCTCCCCGGTATCCTGGGTAGTGCCGCTCTTGTGGCAGTGGTCATATTCCAGGAAGAGACTTATTGGCCTGTTCTACTGGCTCGAAAAGCGGATCGTTTACGTCGCGAGACGGGGGATTGGTCCATTATTGCGAAACACGATACGATCATCCTTGAGCCCAAGGTTATTGTTAGAGAGTATCTGCTTCTGCCGTTGAGGATGCTCACGTCTGATCCTATTGTGTTGTTCATGTGCATATTTGGAGCGTTCGTGTACGGTCTTCTTTACCTGTTTTTAACAGCCTATCCAGCCGTGTTCCAAGGCGTACATGGCATGACACCCGGTGTCGCAGGCCTGCCCTTTTTGGCAATTATAGTCGGCCAATTCATCTTCCTCATCATCATGGGCCTTGTTCAGAAACGATGGCTCGTTCCGCGCATAATCGCAAACCAAGGGCAGCTGGAACCTGAATGGATGTTACCAATCGCCATACCCGGTGCAGCATCTTTCTCAGCTGCATTGTTCTGGTTTGGTTGGTCTGGATATAAGCGCAGTGTCCACTGGATGGTGCCGACGGCTTCGGGTCTTTTCTCTGGGTTTGGTCTGTTGGCGATGTTTGTGCCGTCGATTTCGTATCTTATTCTTGCTAGGCCACAGAGGTGAGTTATGCATTCCATCCCTTTTTGGGTACTGAAGGCTAATAAGAGATAGAGCTGCTTCTGCTGTGGCGGCACATACGTTCATACGATCCCTGTTTGGTGCTACGTTCCCTCTTTTTGCGACTTATATGGTACGTCCCGCCCTTTATCAACTCGAGCAACAATCTAACAGGTCTATGTATAGTATGAAAACCTAGGCATCGAATGGGCAAGCACTCTACTTGGTTGTTTGGCCGCATTGATGATTCCCATCCCTGTTCTGTTGTACATCTACGGTGCAAAGATTAGACAGAAAGTGCAGATCGAGTATTGATTTGATTATAGACTTGGGTACCGGCGTTTATTTCCAAGGTTGGGTTGAAACATGCATCATAGATAGCGGTGAAATTGTCCAGGGATTTTCCATATAATGATTAATAAATAGATTGGCAAATGCCACAGCGAACATCTTCGCATTGACTACCACCTGAAACCAGTTTAATATTCAATATTATCACAGTAGCAATCTATTAGACTCATTGACTGGACTGTCGAGCACGTATAAGCATAAAGTTGTGATAACTAATCAAAATCTTAGAACTGAAGCGAAGAAGAGTAAATATAATATGTATAGAATGCCGCTTGAATATGTACTTCAAATTAAACTGGGGGTAACAACAGGGTCTGCTGAAATGCAGCTCCTGTCTCCGAAATAGAGAATCATTCAAAACGTGCGGTGACAATAAATATCTTTGAGACAAATGTAGTCTTTTTAGTTGAGTTTGACGTAGTTCCCTGTCGACAGTCAGTACTGGCATTGAGGTTAAAAGACCAAATGGAGTGAAACTAACCTGGAAACTGTCCCTCTCTCCCGTGTAACCGTCCTGTCCACCATTCATTCTCATTATTCGTACGCTGGACAATCTCAATCACATCACCGGCCGAAAAGCTGAGATCACCATGTGCCTGAGCCTCATAGTCATACAGCGCAGTCACAGTCTCGACATTCGGCTTTGCCAAATAACCCGGCTTCGGTTTTGGGGGTGGTGGAGCCGGCTTAGATTTCGCAGCAGCAGCTAGAACACTACCACCCGTGCTATTCGCACGGCCGATTAGAGTCGTACCTGCGGCACCGGTAGGTGAATACGGTGGAGGAGGCTTCTCGGTGGTAGAGTTTCTGCGAGCTGAGGATGAACTGAGTCTGTTCTCGGAAAGTTTATCCTTGGCAGAAGAGAATTTGGAAGCAGTTGAACGACGACCACCAGTAGTTTTGAAATGAACGATTGAGAGCTCTTCGGCTCTCTCCTTTGCGTCTCCCTTCTTGGCTTCGTAGGCCTCTTCGATATCGCGAGTTAAGTCAAAGTAACCGATGTTGACGCCCTGCATTTTCTCGTGTAGCGTATAGAACACGTTCAGTTGCATGTAGTAGAAGGACTGGAACAAAGGTCCAATGAACTCGGCTTCCAACTGGAAGAGTTTCGGTAATTCTTCTTTCAACAGGTCGTTGTAGTGATTATATTCTTGCGTGGCTTGCTCCACGTCATTTTCTGCCTTGTACAGCGCTTTTTCATCCTTTAACGACTTGTCCTTTTTCTCTTCAAGTTTCTTCAAAGTTGCCCGGTGCCTGTCGTAGTCGAGTTTCTTGTGTTCACGTTTCACGGTTACTTTGCGGACGATCTTGATAATGTCCAAGAGTTCGTTGGCTGGACTAATGACTCTGGTTTCAATCATCTCGAGTTCAGGTGCCAGTGTTTCTTGTAGATCTCGCACAATGGCCTCGTATTCCTCACACGCCTGAATTCCTTCGGGGTTGCCTTCGATGGTATACGTGCTCGGATCGGAGGCACGGCCCGATATGGGCTTGTACAATTCGGTCATTGCTTTGGAGAATTCGATCTGATGGTTCAACATGCCTGCCTCGTTTTAGAACACACTCTCTGACACAGAACCTAGGCCAGTGCCTACCGTTGATAGCCTCAAAGTATTTCTTGGAGTCATCATGAAGTTTCTTAGTCTCCTTCTCCAATTCTTGAAATCTTCGCTCAGCGTCGATATAGACAGGATCCTTTGTATTTTCTCCAATATTGAACCGCGCCTTGAACGTTTGCGGTGCGCGCGCAAAACTCTTGCCCAGGCCTTTCAAACTCATTGTGCACTTCACCCCGCAGACGCCGGGGTTGGGGGTTCAAGCTGACTCGGATGGCACGGGTTCGCTGGATGTGTAGAGGTGAGGTATAATTCAGTACTGTGTGAATGCGGTCTATAAAGAGGAGAGAGTCAACCAAAGATATAAGCGGCGTAAAGCGTGGCAGCCTGGTACCGTCTGATGAGAGAGGGTGGCTTTTCCCTACTCGTAACTCTCCCAAGAACCTCAGCCTAACTTCTTACGGTGAGTGGCTGAGCCAAGGCCTTATGACATAATAGACGACTTTTAGTTGGGCAGCTGAACCGACCGGTGTAACTTGCAAGCTACGGCGCAGTGCAGAGATCCGATTAAATATGCAGCTTGTACTTGACAATATTCATGATTGTTCTATTTAAAGGAAGAAATACATTGAAGATGACGCACGAGACAAAGCTGCCTTCCCAATGCGGCCTAATGCTGCCTGAGGCGCCAAACGATGTCGAGCCGAGATCCGAAGCACGTGACTTGGCCCTCGCTCGCTTTTCTTCTCACTTTTCAAATGCGATATCGACGCCACCACTTTCCTCAAGTAGAATTCGGAATGTTTTCTTGGATAGTCAATGTGAATCTTCTATTTCAGTCCTATTTAGTTAATATCAATTTATTCATCTCAATATCACTCCTAAGGACTGTGAGATATGTAAGCAGTCAGAGAAGATAAATCCGATCGGAAGGTCGGAGATAACAGCCTGTTCGGTGGTAGGACCCGAGATCGGATGCCAAGCCCCAACCCCCGAGCTCGAAGTTAAGCAGAGAAAAAAAACACTCGCTCACTAATCAATCACTTCTTCGTTCTTCTCCTCTTCATCTCCTTCCATCCTTCTTTACATGATATCCATGGTGAATCGGTGTATATAATTATCATAATGTCTCATATGGCATGCAATGCCCTCAGACAGGCGTCGCGAGCTAACTGCCCCCGCCGCCTGTCTGCTAACTTCCTGAGAGTCACCTCGCCACTTGCTGGTCGGATGGTAACAGGTCGACGATACGTCTCAGAGTCCAAAGTCGGTAACGCGCAGGTCAGCGTTGACACGGCTATCAGAACTGAACAGAGGAAATTCACAGAAAACACAGGCATTCAGGCTCAGAATGCGGAACTGTCCGCCTCATCGGTGAGTGGTGATGCGGCTATGAGCCCGACCGCGGGCATCTTCAAACAAGCCACCATTATGGATGAAGGCAATCGTCCCATTTACCTCGATATGCAAGCAACCACTCCCACCGATCCTCGCGTTCTCGATGCCATGCTCCCTTTTCTCACAGGCCTGTACGGCAATCCTCACTCGAGAACCCATGCCTATGGCTGGGAGACAGAAAAGGCCGTCGAGGACGCTCGCGCTCATGTAGCAAGCCTGATCGGGGCTGATCCCAAAGAAATTATATTCACAAGTGGAGCGACCGAGAGTAATAATATGAGTATCAAGGGTGTGGCTCGATTTTTCGGTCGGTCGGGAAAGAAGAAGCATATCATCACAACACAAACCGAGCACAAGTGTGTATTGGATAGCTGCCGTCATTTGCAAGATGAAGGATTCGATGTGACCTACTTGCCGGTGCAGAACAATGGTCTTATTAAGATTGAGGACCTCAAAGCAGCCATCCGTCCTGACACTGCTATCGTGTCAGTCATGACCGTTAATAATGAAATTGGTGTCATCCAACCGGTGGAGGAAATCGGAAAAATATGTCGTGCAAACAAGGTCTTTTTCCACACCGATGCTGCCCAAGCAGTGGGAAAGATTCCAATCGATGTCAATAAGTGGAATGTCGATCTCATGTCCATTTCGGGTCACAAGATTTACGGCCCTAAAGGTATCGGAGCATGTTATGTGCGACGTCGACCCCGTGTGCGTCTCGATCCTCTCATCACTGGTGGTGGTCAAGAGCGAGGTCTCCGCAGTGGTACTTTGGCACCTCACCTGGTGGTTGGTTTGGGTGAAGCATGCCGTATTGCCAAGGCTGACATGGATGTAAGTCTTTTTCTCCTCTTTCTTCGTCGCGGGTTTGTTATTCCACATGATTATACGCTTAAATATGCATGGCTTTCTGAGATCTCCTGGCGGTAGCTCCATGTCGAAAGATGTGGTGCCAGGTACTGTGATCTACGTAGCAGGGGTTATGATTGGATTTTATCACTCTTATACTCACTCATGCGCATTGTGAATCGCGCTAATATGAATCTAGTATGACACTGCACACGTCAAGAAATTGTCTAAACGGTTACTAGACGGGTTGCTTGCTATGGAGCATACCAACCAAAACGGAGACCCCAAGCGACACTACCCAGGTTGCGTCAACGTCTCCTTTGCATACATTGAGGGTGAATCTCTGTTGATGGCACTCAAAGATATTGCTCTCTCCTCTGGCAGTGCTTGTACATCAGCCTCACTCGAACCCAGCTACGTGTTGCGTGCGTTGGGTAATAGTGATGAGAACGCCCATAGCAGTATTCGATTCGGTATTGGTCGCTTCACCACCGAAGCCGAGATTGATTACGTCTTGAAAGCCGTCACAGACCGTGTATCCTTCCTACGGGAATTAAGTCCTCTGTGGGAACTGGTGCAAGAGGGTATTGCTCTAGACACGATTGAATGGAGTCAACATTAGTTGTCTTTGCTCTTGTTCCATAATCAAGTCTGTTGACAACACAGACTTCTCTACGATGCATTGTCTGGACGCTTTGGATGTCATGGGTTTAATTTTCAGGGTTACGACGGCGTTTTATGCGATGTACACTTCATATGGAGCATACTTAATTAGTGCCTAGTTTTTGCTCTAGGATTGTACAGAATGGACCTGCTCCTATCCTATCCAATACTTTCACGTGACATCCCCACCAGGGCGCAACCCTAAATGACCTGCATAGACATTTTAAAAGGGACCGACGACTTTCAGCCTCTAACTCGGTAGCAGAGCCGATACAATCGGAGAATACCCGATCTACCTCAATTCATTATTGAACTCGTATCGATGGCAAGAGTTAACATTTAGTAAGCTTAACAATCGAGACGTGCTCTTACAGTAAGAGATGGTGTGGGATTACACGGACTGGCACGGGTCTGTCCGGGCCAATTTCTCTCCGTCTTTGCTTTTAGTTCTTACAATGAGCACGCTTAGAAAACGGCTTATAGGCATAAATGCATTAGCCGCGTTTAGCCATGTAGTGGGGGACAACGTCGATATTGATACTACGACGTACATACCTAGCATCATGCCCTAACTGTACTGCAGTCTACCGATTCTGTGCTCCTAAAGCCATACTTGGTTTCCTACCCCGACTTCGATCAACTCTCGTTCCTAAATTAACCGGCCGTTAACTCACGTTCTCCACGTCCCACGAACCTAGAAGCAAAACCCCGAGAGTTGATAGGTGGAGAACAATCTCCAGATTATGTACTACTACGTTACCCTATTAGTCTCAGGAACTTCTAGACCATGAACCAGCAAAAAAGGACGAAAAGGCCAAGGGCCCTCTCTCTTTCACCGGAATGGTCATTTCTGGAGGGGTGTTGCGTGACTCGTTTCTATGTTATTCTTCTAAGGTCCTCCTCCCGGTCAGACGGATTCGCGAGTATGTAAGTCGATTAATAATTCAGAATAATCTTCCTATTTCCTTGACTCCGGGCTATCCAGCCCTTGTCCTTCCGATTCAGTAGAAAATAAGAAATATGTCTCGAGAACTTCGTTCCCCTCGGTTCCGAGGTCTCAGATCAATTGAATAAAAGTTTGAGATCCCCTCCCCAGATTTTTTCTCTTCTTCCCTTTCTTCAATATTTCCCTCTTCTTCTACTTTCTCCCCATATAACTCACTACTGCCCCGCCCCTGATAAGATTGATTATCTGTGTGCTAAAAAAAAAAAACCATGAATACATCCTCATAAGAGTCCCAAACTCCAGAGTCTCATCATCTGATCGAATCCAAAACTGCAAATTTCGCCTCCGAGTCCGGAGGGGCAACTGCTGGCACGTGACCCGTTGCGCCCTTCTCTGTTGCCTCAATTGACCTCATAGGAATTTGTTGTATTTCACTAGAGGCATATTTTCCTTTACAAGTCATTCTTTCACCGTTCATTTGGCAATATTTCATACTGCAATGCTTGCCCCAATCCCAGTCCTGTCAGATTATGACATTGATCCTCAACGCGGCTTCCTCCCCCCAGAGTTACCCTTGACCTCATTACCAGATCCGTATTATGCAAAATGGGAGACCGTCATCGATAAAGTGCAAGCTTTGATATTGAGTGGAAGGATTCGATCGACTGTGCAGCGACTGCCGGTGTTGTCGACTGCGTATTTGCATACGGAGGCAGAATGGCAGCGGGCTTATGTTGTGTTGACTTTTATGTTGCATGCGTATGTTTGGGGTGGTGATGTTCCTGAAGAGGTATCTATCTCCCTTTAACCTTTTTTTTTTTTTTTCGACAAACGCATTTACTGATCTTAGAGGTAGATAATTCCGCCTCCTATTAGTGTACCTCTCCTCGAGGTCTGTGAGCATTTGGATCTCCCCCCAGTCGCCACATACGCAGCTGTATGTTTATGGAATTACAAGCCCATTTTCCCCGATGAACCAGCAGACGATCTCGAAAATTTATCTGTTATCAATACTTTAACCGGCTCAACAGACGAACAATGGTTCTATCTCGTCTCAGTGGCCATCGAAGCCCGCGGGGCCCCCATGCTCCCCTTGATGCTAGAAGCTATTGCTGCAGCACGCCGTGAGGATAGCGCGGTAGTCACATCCTGTCTCCAAGAATTGGCGCAGTGCATTACGGAAATCTCAGTTATTATGCAACGACTATTTGAGCACTGCGATCCGCACGTATTCTATCACAAGGTCCGCCCCTTTTTAGCAGGGAGCAAGAATATGGGTGACGCTGGACTTCCGAGAGGCGTCATGTTTGACACTGACACTGGGACGACCGAATACAGACAATACGGTGGTGGAAGTAACGCACAGAGTTCTCTGGTCCAATTCTTCGATATAGTTCTTGGTATTGAGCATCGACCAACCGGCATTGGCCGTGATGGTGGTGGTGCACAGAGTGATTCAGAGGGTCTCTCGCCCAAGCCACGACACAACTTCATTCAGGAAATGAGGCAATACATGCCTCCCGCCCATCGCAAGTTTCTGGAACATATTGGCAGTGTGGCTAATATCCGGGAATATGTCGATGCACACCGATCAGATAAGGCTCTCTGTCTGGCGTACGATGCGTCTCTGGCAATGCTACGAGACTTGCGCGACAAACACATTCAAGTCGTTTCACGATACATAATCGTCAAATCTCGCGAACAAAGACGTAACTCTCTCTCAAACCCTCGCCCACCCACACAACTAGCACCACCGCCACCACCAACAACAACACGCATAAACCTCGCAAACGTCAAGTCAGGCAATAACAAAAAACTCCGCGGCACCGGCGGCACGGCCTTGATCCCATTCCTCAAACAGGCGCGCGACGAAACCGGGGAACCTGCAATTGACGCCTGGGCTCGTCGGCTACTCAGTAACGGACCCGCGGATAGAAGTTTTGCCACGTTAGGGAAAGTGGGCGAGCATGCGGACGGGCAGATTGAGATTGTAGGTATGGCTGGGACGTGGGCTATGGATGAGAGTGAGGGGGGGATTTGTCATTGGTAGTTTTGTCTCTTCACCTTAAAAGATGGAGGTTGGGCGTTCCGTGGGATTGCATGTATTATGAATATGACATTTTCATTGGGTTGGTTTACTGATTTGGCAAGCATAGCTACATTCTTTTGTTTAAGGACATTCCTCTCTTTATTTTACCATGAACTTTTGATCTCGAATCAATTGACTGTCATTCTCGAGTCGGGGATATCATCTGAAACGCTACTATACCACTAATAAAATACAAGAAGTAGAAAAGAAGTCATCATAGACCTAGACCGGCAAGCACACGACAAATCTACCGCTGCTCAGCCTTCTGCAAATCAGCCTCAACCCCCCTCTGACGCGTCTTTCCCTCATCATGAACATCCTTCCACTTCTCCTGACCCTCCTGATCCCCCAACACTGCCGAACCAACAGCGCCCATCGCACCACGCGCACGATCAGTCACCCCCTGCCCCAAATCCGAAAGTTGCCCCCTCGCTTCCTGCGCTTTCCCATCTGCGTTTTGTTGAATACCCGTTTGACGGAGGTTTTCGTTTCCGATTAGATTGCCCAAAGATTCTTTGGCAGCGCCAACGGTTTGGTTCCATGAGCCTGAGGTTCGGTCCTGGGAGTCGCTCACGGCGGCACCGGTGTTGGGGTCGGCAGTAAAAGGGCCTAGGCGCGCGGTTGTATGGGATTTTTCGTATTCTTGGTCGGCTTGAGCTTTTTGCGCGGTTGCTTCTTGCTGTTTCAACAGCAGGTTTTGTTAGTATATTTGTTTGGCATGGTTCTGAGGGAAGGGCCAAGGTGTACCTTGTCGGCTGGTTTGCCAGTCACGGAAGAGAGGACGTTCTGAGCAGTGCCGACTGCAGAGTCGACGTAGGACTTGATGGTGGATGAACCAGAGTCGTTGGAAGCCATGCTGGTTGATTGATTGATTGATTGATTGAGATCTGTAAAGTTGTTACTTGCTGATGAGTGTTGATGTTATTCTTGAGTACGATTGATGGTTAGGGGTAGAACTCTTGGAACGATGAGGCTTTATTTATACTTGATGATGTCCTTCCTATTCGAGACACAATGGCTATGACATCATCAGGGTTCACCTTAATGACATCATTTCTTTCACGTGAAACCTCCCTCGATCGAGCGGAATTAGAGGACACTGTCATTGCTCTTATCGATAGTGAAAAAGCGTCACTGTTCCTGTCGTTCTCTTTGAATTACGACGGCCATAGACTAAGGGGCCTATGAAAGATGACTCCATTTGGTATTCATGTATTATGTATCGTGTAAAGCTATGTCAACATACAATTCATCTCCTTGATGCTGCGCTGACCTCTGGGCACCGCATCGCGTGCCACAGCTCACTTATGAGACAGACCCAAGAGATAATCCCCTAACGTCGCCAGTTACAGTGTCGCGTCAACGGCCATCTCCTTTTATCAGTACTGTATCACAAAGCCATCACCGCGCTAGGCGACCCCCAAACACAGCAAGAAGCAGTCTTCTCAACATTGCTAGAGAATCAATGGGCATCGATGGATAGGATGATTGTGTCAATGCTCCTACTTTTATTAACCCCGTTTCGTCACTAGTATCGGCTATACTTGATAGAGTGCAAGTTGTCTGCCGTGCTGGAAATATGAGTATCTACGAGCTGTTATTACAGGAGCTTTGGGAAACAGAAGCCCGAGGTTGCAGCCACGGACTTTGGGTGCTGGGGTCTGCGCAACGGTCCTGAGTGTCTGAACAGGGTTCACAGTATGATAGCCATGTATATTGGACGGGAATCGGGGGCTCTTTCGTGTTAGATTCTGTCTCGTCACCAAATTTCTTCGCTGACAAAGATTGCACCTCCTGACCAAAGAGCTTCATATATCCTTTGGTGTTAAGCGAACCAGGTCTGTTTGAAACTCTGCTCGTAATTCTCGGAGTCTGGAACATCTCAGAAACCACATTTCTATCCTGACTCGGTGGTAGCTGTCTAGAAATCTTCTGAGTTTGTGGCAACGTGTCCGAGTCAGTGGGATGACTCCTAGGGGAACCACTGAAATTTGTATACATGTCATCGGAGTTCATTCTTGGGCTGGAACTAAGAAGATTCTCGTGGTTGAGTCTCATAGTGTGACGGCCTGATCGATGACTTCCGGAAGATCTCACTGTCATCGGGGAATTTCTCATACGTTCCTCTAGAACTTGATCATCCAGTGTGAATCGATGGAGGACCTGAGTATCTGACGACATTGACCTAATTGGTGATCCAGAGTACTCCTGGTCCCTTCTCATTCTCTTTGGACTACTAATATGAATCTTTCGAATTCCAGTCTGCCCCATCGTCTGCGCTCTCACCTAGGCAAGGGTTGCGCACATGCGAAGGTACACGAGGAAAGCTAGTAGCATATGCAGTGTTTCTCGCGTCATCTTCTTTTAACCGTTTGCGCCTCTTCTCTATCCGCTCCTTTTCTTCAGTTGGAGTGAATTTCATTTTCAATGATCGTGTCGGTGAAAGAGCTACCCAGTCCTTCTTTTCGAGGAGATATCTTTTCAGAAAATCGACATAGGCCAGGCCAGAGTTTGTCTGGTTAAAAGTCAGCTTCACCTCGCATGTGTGTGTATACGAATCAATGTACCTTTAAGTTATTTTTCCCAACTTCATGATACCCACCAACGTCTGTCAAGCCTGCTTGGTTTTGCCTCGCTTTGAAGTTTTCAGTCTGGTCGATACCACCAACAGACAGAGTTGACTGGCTATTCACAACAAAACGAGATGGGTCGTATGAATGTCTCCCACTAAAGACAAATGAAGGCTTTTCAAGCGAAGCGACCCGTGCCTCTTGCCGTGATTCCTGTTGCTTTATCCGAGCGCGAGCAAAGTGTTGTTTCTGAACTTTGGTTATAGAATCAGGTCGGATTAGCCTCCATCCCGTGATTATCCCAATTGTCTGCCTTGGCAGGTACAACCGTGACCCCGTGATTTCATGGATTACTGCCTTAAACGACAGGCTCGAACAAAAGGTATATCGCCTCATCCTGGAGCATCTCGGAGTATCTCGAATAAATAACACGACACCATACTCAATGCCGCGGAGAAACAGATCGCGCCTCAAATCGGCTCACGACGCTTCAACGTGCACATACGTCGTAAGGCAAATGCACTTTCCAATTTTGTCCGTCAAATGAATCTAGAATATACATTCCGTCTCTTCGCCTGGGCAGTTGGGATAAGGTAACTGTTTCCAGCAGTATGGTTGTTGGTGAGTCCCGGCTTTGCAATAGAGGTTTTCCCAAGGGTTTAGGCTATATTCATGAACTCCGGATCTTTTCCCAAAATGACAGTTTATCTGATTATCTCCGACCAGTCATTTTGATCTCAAAGCACGGCAATACCGACAACTTTGAAGGCGTGGCTATTTCGAATATACTCGCTGTTTAAGCTTGCTATGACATGGCATGTGACCCACCCGCCGTTTTATCCGACTATTCGAGCATTTTTTTTTAATATGTTCTATCTCATCTTCAAAGACCTATTACGTAGTTCAGTAACTTTGGTTTGATTTTGTCATAGATTTTGCGCATGAACATTCGTCTAATAACAGGATATACCTTCCTTGGCACGCGAGCGCCTCGTGGTAAACCATGGATTGAGTAACAGATCTAGGTTGGTAAAACACCAGAACCCTTTCCCCATTTCCCTATATAGGCAGCTGGCTTTGTATATTACCTTCCCGTGCAATTCCGATCAAAGTGACTCCAAGCAGGCACTGATGCCGATCCCGAGATGAAGTAGATATACGTGAGTCATTCTAAGTGCTTCGCGAAGGAAGAAGGATATAAAATGGGCTGCTGGGTATCGCATTTCATGGGACATTCAAACAGAAATCAGACAATCCAAGTACAAGGCTACTGAGCACTTACCTTATCACACAACAACAACAACAACAACCGAGATGTCTACAATAAAGTCTCTACCATCCACCATTAGAGCCCTATTGCAGGCCGATCCTACGTCCACAGAGATCACGCTCGTTGAGCGTCCACTGCCAACGCCAAACCTTGAAAAGGGTGAACACCTGATCCGCGTCTACGCTGCATCTCCCTGCGCAGGAGAACTGAGATGGCCGAGTATGGTTGACATCCCAGGAAAAGAGATCATTACCTGTGACGACGTTGCTGGCGTAGTCGTAACCGCCCCGACGGATTCCCCCTTCCAGGGCGGAGAAGAAGTTTACGCTCGCACAAGCTACTGGCGCCCAGGATGCGCACGCGACTATGCAATTGCCACCACTAACGAGTTGGCCCGTCGACCTCAGAATCTAAGCTGGGCAGAGACCGCGGCAGTAGCTCTATCCGCGGAAACAGCGTGGCAGGCTCTGTTTAAACATGCTGGGGTAGGAAATTTTGGTAGTCTCAATTGGAAAGGGAAACGAATCTTGGTGACGGGAGCTTCAGGGTGTGCTGGTATGTGGGTTGTTCAGATTGCAGCTCTTACCGGGGCAGAGGTTGTGGGAACATGTGGTCCAAACAATATCGAATTCGTCCGATCACTGGGTGCTAAAGAGGCGCTTAATTATCGGACATGCAATTTTCAGGAATGGGCGGAAGAGAAGGCAGAGCGCAAAGTTGATGTGGTCATTGATTGTGTCGGTGGAAAGTCATTGGAAGGTGCTTGGTGGTGTATCCGTGACAATGGTATAATTATGAGCATCTCGGAGCCGCCAGAGACGAAACGACCAGCATCGCTAGCTGCATCTGGTGTCAAGGATCTTTTCTTCATCATGGAGCCGTCTGGAGCCGATCTGGCAGAAGTCACAAAGCTGATTGAGGAGGGTAAGTGTCGACCTATTGTCGACAGTGTCTGGCCTTTGGAACATTTCCAACAGGGATATCAGCGCATGGAAAATGGTCAGACCCGAGGGAAAGTCATCTTCGACCTGATGATGAACACGCCAAAGGTATAGATCTTTGCTGTGCTGATTTATTAGTTAGTCACAGACATAACTATCTGGGCAGTCGTGTTATGATTTGCAGTGCACCATGGATTGCATCGCCCGCGATAAGTGGCTGTATATAAGTCTCTCATGCTCAATAAAAGTCATCGCTATTATCGTCACTTCAGTCTCATGAAATTGGCTACCAAGCGTAGCTAGTTCAAGGATTGCATACTGATTTAATTGAATACATTGACATCTTGTCGTAGGTGTGGTCCTTGTTGATGCTTGGCAATATCTTAGGCATGACACGTGACTTGGAACAAACAAGACAAACAGCCCAATGGGACAAAGTTTTCTCCCACACAAGAGATTTCTCATCCATCTTCATTCGCACTCATCGGCACCTTGTAATCAACATGTGAATCAACCCAACATCGAATCTTGATTGGAGGCGGTTTCTGTTTTGCTTCATTATCTCGATTTATTATTACCATCAGGTGAGTGTGTACTTCGTCTACGCGATTATACTCGAAGCACTTTTTTGTGATGAGCAACAAATTTAAAGCATAGTTCACCTGAAAGTCTCGGACTTCATGAACGACAAACCTTTACCATCTTTCACCTTTGTCTGATAACATGTTTTTGCCTTATTTGACACGACGTCTTGCTATTCCAAACTTGCCCATACGAGTGCTAACTTGTTCGAAGATAGGGGATCCCTCTTTCCAGCGCTTCCGGATGGATGATGTACGCACTTGGTGCTATTGCGAGAACTAGTTAGTTTCTGGCCCAAGCGTTTAGTCGTCTGCATTGCTGCCCAACTTAGGAATGGCCAATACAAATTTATTTTCTCTTGCCAGGTCACGGACAGAGCATGTAGTCGAAGATAAAAGCATCACTTCGCATCACTTTTTTGCTGAGCGATTAATTTCCGTTTCCTGTTTACCAGCCCCCTTTTATTCCCAGAAATCCTTGTCCATGTCTTCAAGTTTCGTACAATGCGGATGTTTCTCTCGTTGATCCTATTGAGCGAGCTAGCATCGGTATGCGTACGTAGTTTGCAATGCCGGATCCGAGTCTCGCCTTGTCGTGGACGAGTTGCGTGTCCCACACATCTCATCATCCAACTGTCAAAGTGAAGCAACACCTGCAAGCGAAGTTGCATAACTCACGTCGTGTGCGTTATCGATTGGTATCTGTTGCATTCTTTTTTTCAAGCCCCGTAGCTGTAATGCCAACTGTGTCCATGGACTCGTCGTATCGGAAGCAAGCAAGCGGAAGACGGTGGGGAGAAAACGTCATTGAGTGGACGAGATGAAACGGCGGGCTCACCGCTTCGTAGGAGTCTCATGTTTCTTGAGTCAAGACGAAAGGATGACTGGACGGGATGCGTGGACGCTATGCAGTGCCATCACGCCTAGTAGCCATACAGAGCCGGCCATGGCAGCAACTCTGGGACGCTGGCCCACCGCGTGCCGGCCCGCATCTTCCCACGATTTCTGACCCAAGCCAGCGCTTTCCCAAAAAAATCACATTAAAGCCCAACCTTCCCCCCCGATTCTTGTCTCCCAACTCTCTTCTTCTTTTATTCCTCATCACACATACTTTGATACCCAACTTACTCATCAAGTCTCGCTTCGACTAGTTCATTCTTCTTTTATCTTAAACTACCATCTCGCGCCACATCTTCAATCCACAACAGACACTTCTACGACAACCCGAGGATACCTTTTTACCATAAACCAAACCATATTGCCTCAGGACATACTACGACCCAGATATCCCAGGACAGGACCGTTGTTTTGCTGTTTCTTCTTAGTTTCTTGCCAAGGATCTAGATAGACAACTCTTGATACCGACCAACAGAACGCATCAGGTAGACCCAGTCCCTTTTCTTTGCTGTCTTTTCTTTTGCTTTTTGACCGTCGCTTCCGGACCTGTACTGCTCAATCATGTACTTCTGGCCTTCTGCATATTCTTCGCCCATGGATTTCCAGGACTTTGCCTCGCTTTTTGGCTTGGACTTCACCGACTCGGTGCTGTGAGAAATGAGAGCCAGCACCAGTCAACTTGATTTTATGCCCGAGGATTTTTACCCAATACCCTTGGATATTCTTCCTGGTTGGAGCCCTTGACAACCGTCGAGTGGAATAGAGACCATGTCTCGAAAGCTTTAATGTTGAGCTATCCAAGACTTTTGATACACACTACAGATTTAACTGGCCTTGTCGAATCCCAGAGTAAGGATGGACTGTACTTGCAATTCCTGGATTCTGATTCCCAATGGACCTTTTTAATATTTCTTGGCATGGCCGCATTTCTTGATACCCCGGACTTTTAAGGAGCCTTGTTTTCCTGGACTTTGACTAACCTTATGGCGACAACCCTGGAATCAGCCGGCCACCGGGAACGTTATTTTTCAGAGTTTCTTTCACCTGGATATACTCTGGATCCTCGACACTGCTTAATGTTGCAGTATTCTATTGCTACCGCAAGGATGAACCCCAAGGATCTTTACAAGCCATCACAAGGGAAATTCGGCCACTCAGATCTTTCGCTCTATTGACTACTTGTAACTCGGCCAATTTCCGGATCTAGTGAAGTGGATATCGACAATGGCTTGATTTGATTTTCACTTCATCTCCAACTGCACAAGAGGACTACACAACCACGGTCAACGGAACTCAACAGAACAGTCGGCTATCCATCAAACTCGTGCCTGGCCCACGGATTCTAGGATAACTTTACTGGAGTGCAAGGTCATGTATGCATCATCCAATCCCAGGGCTAGAAGTCAAAGCTAATATTCACTAGTTTCCATTCGACACTTGGATCTCTTGAGCGACGAATTTGTTTTTGCTTGTTATGCTTTATCGTCTACCGCCGTTCCACTACTGACTCGTCGCAATGTTTAGTGCACGCATTTGGAAGCTTAACAGTTTTCTGTTTTATCCTTCTCAAACCACATCAAACCTTTCGGAATTAAAATGGAATCCGAAAATATGGCCACATTGCAACCCATGAACAAATGTCGTTCAAGGCACACCTCACTCCAGGATTTGACTGCCATTTCAAGGACAAACCAGGATGATGAAATTTCCCAGGATCACTTTTCTTTATCTTCGACCATTCCTCACAGCCAAGACATGGACCAGTGGACATTAAGCACATCAGACTCAATGGAATCCAGCCCAATTGTTACTCAACCAGAGACTCCGGAGGTTACCATGCTCTCATATTCTTTTTCACAGCAACTACTTCCTAATGCTACTGGAATCAATGACTCTGCCATGTTCCATTCTCTGTCTGACATCCAAGCTGCCGGCGGTCTTGGTGAACAAACCGAAGTGGACTATTCACAACCACATTTTGCTCAGGCCTTTGCATCTTCCTTGTTTGAATATAACTACGAGAATGATGAGGCTGCTCAGAGGTGTATGCATGATGATTCTACATCTTTGGGTCAGAGCTCGCCACATGAAGATGGCCAATTGTTTTCCACACAGGACACCTGGAATCTATCCTTGGATACGACGAACATCATTGGAGCCCAGTATGACCAAATTTCACGCATCTACTCCCCACCGGTCTCTCCTCCCCTTACAGAGGCTAGCCAGGTTTCTGTGACTTCTGCATGCTCTCAGCCAGCTTATTTCCAAATGCACGAGGAAAAGATCAACATCCAGGACTCTTTCCATCCATTGTCGCCTCCACTTAATGACCAGGATCCAAACAGGTTTGTCTGAGCCCTAACTTGGCAAGCTGACGATCATACTAACTAAACGTTCTATAGAACTATCAGGCCTACCAAGCAAAGCCAACGACCCCTTTTGTCGGCGACTACCTCCCGACCTGCTAGGAAATCCGACCCGGAAGCCTATGCCTTACCAATGGGAGAATCTGTTCGAGGAACCAGCGACAAGACCGAAGTCAGGACTCCCCGGGATCACCCTTACTATTCGTTGTCTACCCAAGCCGATGGAAAATACTACTGCCCATTTGCGACTGGAGAGAACCCTTGCAGCCACGCACCTACCACCCAAAAATGTGCCTACCAGTAAGTTGCCGTAATTCGAGACTTAAGAAGTCCTGTTACTGACTTCTCGTACAGCAAATACTTGGATTCCCACTTGAAGCCATATAGATGTAAGGTTGCTACTTGTGCTGCTCAGAATCTGCACTTCTCTTCCAACGCTTGTCTCTTCCGTCATGAGCGTGAAGCACACGGATTCCACGGTCATGGAGACAACCCACATCTGTGTTTCTATCCAGGATGTGAAAGAGCCGTTCCCGGATATGGATTTCCCCGTCGCTGGAACCTTTTTGACCACATGAAACGGGTTCACGACTATACTGGATCTGAACAACCCAGCTCTCCCGAGTCCAACGCCATTGGCCAAGTGCTCAAAAAGAAAGACCCTGCCGGCGTGCGCAAGAGGAAGGTCACCAAACCTGTTACTGCAACCACCATGAAGAGGACCAAATCTGCTTCCTCCCAAGGGAACACTGTTAAAGTCAACCCTGCCCAGCAGGAACAGCGCCTACGAAATGCGGAACAGAACTACTACAATTGCCGCGCACGACTGCTGGAGAAAATTGCTACCATTACCCCTCAGGACACGGTGATGCACGAAAAGGCCAATGCCAGCCTCCAGGAACTCATCACTCTTGGCTTAAACTTCCGCCAGCTCGAGGCCAGCTCGGCTGCCACCAACTATTCCGGTGTTTGAACGAATTGCATGAACCGTCTACTCTTTTTTAAAGCTTGGAAGTTTTTTTCCTACTTGAACACCTGAGGCCGGAGCGTCTGGGACCAATGTGACTGATTCTAAAGCTTATTTGGTATCAATCTGCTTCCGCATATGGATAGGTCGATCCTGGTCTGACGATTCTATTGTCGTCTTGAAATGGCCACGACATCGTGTGCTGTCGCTCGAGCGAAGGTGGTATTCAGAGTTGTTACTCGAAACCACACTGCAGTCCTTTCTGCTTCGCGATTTGGCTTCACCAGCTTGGGGGGATCTCAAGGGCTTCTTGTTCATGTCTTCATTTGTCAAAAGAGGCATTTTTCTTGGATTTACATGTACATTTTTGCAATCATGTATAGTTTTGAGTATTTCGGGTCTGCCCGAAATTTTGTATACTCCCTTCATGCGAGGGAGCGATTTTGTATTAGCGCATTGTTTTGATTTGATTTCGGATATTTTGTGATTTGGGGGTTTTGTGAGACAGATGTATAGACATCTTGCTAGGGAAAAAAAAAAGGAGCGATCCTGGAGGAATTTTGCTTTGAATATATCGTTTTGTCTTATATACGTTTTTGGTGTTTTTGTAAGTACTCTGTATTGGAAACTATTCAGTCGTATCCCCGGCAAACTCAAAATTCAAAAACCTCACAAACGCATCTCCAACCTGATCACTCCCCAACGCACCCTTGACCTGATTATGCGTCATACCGATATAAGTCCTATTCTGACTAATCCATTGTCTTCTCAACCTCTGCAATCGCGGCAAGGTCAACAATCCCCCGGCACCAGCCAGATCATCTGTGGGCGCACTCCGAACGATATGAGCAGGTATAAACACTGCAATCGACGAGTCTGGTACCGTGATCGAGATACCTTCTTCATCCGCTCTTTTCACGCCGCCTATCTGGGCGGATCGGGCGAGCGCGGCTTCAACAGAAGGGTTGGAAGAGGTATAATTTCGTATAGCGGTTATGATGGCGGAGGTTTTCTTTTCGTAGGTGTATAGAGCGCTGGAATCGGTTTGGGTGGGGAGGACGGTTGCTTGGTGCGGTTTGATTCGGGGACGGCCTAGACGGTTGGAACCGTTGGCGTTTGTGGTGGCTGTTGTGCGGATTGTGTATGCTATACTTGCTGTATCTTGTTGAGCTGTAGACGGTGGTGAAGGGGTGTTGGGATCGGTATGGAGTAGGGAAGCTAGAGGGTTTATTGGTGTGCTGTCGGGGGGAATGTTCTTTTCGATTTCGATGCCCGTGGTCGCTGTCCAGATTTCTTCAATCGGTGGTCTGGCATCTGTCCAGGGGACGGTGAATAATGGTTTGTCCCAGCGACTGTGGGTGCTGGGTTCTTCGTATCGGAATATCAAGTTTTGGTGTAGGTCTGAAGGGTAGGGGTCTTCGGTATCTGGTTCGGCGAGGTCGTCTGTATTTGAGCTTGCATCGGGCAGGTTTACTTGTCGCTGTTGTCGGTTTAAGCGAGAATTATTGATTGCGACGCATTTGTCGATTGGTGTTCCAACGTGGACCTGCGTTGCATGTCAACTACGTTCCTGATCATCTAGGTAGAGGGGATACTCACCACGCAACACGTCGTCCCCACGGCCTTTGCCTCACACCATAACTGATACCGATACCCCTTAATATAATTCATCCCATCCAAAATCACAAACGCATCCTTGGCCAACGCGCGCTTGACTCGCGCGTACGCTACCGCGCGAGCTTCCTTTTCTGTGCGCGCATTATCGTATACAGTTCGCGGATGTCCTGGGTCATGGGAAGGGACAATATGGAACGTGAAACGTTTCTGTTTCGGTTTTGCTTGTCCGTCGGTGGTCTCGTTGTCGAGCGCGTCAAAGAGTTGGGTTTGGGTTTGTTCGAGGAGGTGGGCGAGTTGTTTGGCGCGGTAGGAGAGGCCCGAGCTGGGGTATCCGGTTAGGATGATTAACTGGGGAGCGTTAGTTTGCGGTAAATATGACCGATATTATTATTCGAACTGACCGGCATGGTGTGTCAACGTTTTGAGAGCTGGCGCATTGGATTGATGTTGTTCAAGGTAGAGATTAGGCGGAGATAACTTTTTTTTTTCTCCCCGCATTGTCTGCCCCGCTAGTCTCTTAAGACATATACGCATACAGTCAAATATTGAACTCCATATAATTCAGGTCAGTGAACTGTCCAGGACCGAGCTTGCGTGCCCTATTGCTGCGCCAGAGAATCTATCACTAGTTTACCAAAGGCTAACACACGTTCAACTCGGCTTCTGCCTGCTGCATCCATGGATGCCTTAGTACCTACGTATGGTATACCATATTACTTCCGGTTCATAGTTCCGCCAAAAGTAGTCCGCTAGAAAGGCGACTTGTGACAATAGTACGACGGCCCTATCATGTCGCTCGATACCTATGAATGAGTCGACTCTGGAGTCTCGAACTAACCCATGTAATATTGCCGCTATAGGGCGCGGTAATTTTGCATAGATGATTTAGGCTATTTTATAAGATATATCTAGTTTCTAGTATATGTAGATATCATTTATATATAAAAGTGTTGAGATATAAAGGTATTTGATTATTTGATTTGTACGTAAAACCATACAAATTGAACGTGTGCTACTTACCCGTGATGGACGTTAGACGACAATAAACTTGAACAATAGCAATAACAATACTAATACTAACACTAACTAATATAGCGAGGTGGATTTGAGCATACGACACGAATAGTTAGCCATCTGAGCCCTCTCATAATCCACTTGGCAAACTCCACCAGATCTCCCGAATATCCCGATGAAGCCACAGTCGACTTACGTACTCAGGAGTCTTTTTTCGTCACTGCCGCGTCCGTTGACGAATGCTTCTGAGCCATCCGGATACCCCGGCTGAGCTGCGTTGCCTCGTCTGTCACTGTCTGTGACACGTACAACTTACTTTGAAATCAGATCACCAGATGCAGATGGTAGGCTGTTTCAATGCCAACTAGCTCCGGTTGCACAGAAAATTTGCACTTCTTGGCGTTCTGACGAGGTCTGATGGCTTGTTTCGAATCCCAAAGACCGGTCCTGGAACTATCCATATTCGTATTTTGACTCCATCAAAATACGATCTCCATAGGCTAAGCCGCACTCGAATAGTTGGCTCTATTTTTGGCACGTTTCTTCTTTTTTCTTCTCTTCATCTCTACTCTGTATGACTCGCTATGCCAATGTGTATTGTGGTAGTACAAGTACCTAAGGTATGACATGTAAACAAAGTATTCTCAATTGGACCACAAGGAGAAAGATTCAGCCTCCTGGCGAGAGAGTTCCTGGCAAAAGCAATGATCTTCCAGTCAATTAGCATTCTCCACAGCTCCTTGAATTGTTCTAGAAATAGATGTAGACTAACTACGAAACTATGGTAAGATTAAACAACTTCTTACAATAATATGTGTTTCTTAGATGTTTCAACTCCTTATATACATACTCTCCTTTATACTTCAGTCAATCTTTCTGAAGCCTACTCTCACTCCAACAGTTTCAGACTCATCCTCTATGGAGCATTGGAGCATCTCTCACTCATCCCAACTGACCTGTAGAACACGCAACTAACTATGATTGCATCATCCAGTGGATAACTGGCTCCTGGCTCCTCTTTTTTTTTTTTTCCTGCATGACAAAAAGGAAAGACATTTTGAAATCTACCAATATTTTGACCCACTGTCTGTCGTATTAGGTATGACTGACGAGTCCGAGACCATGTCCGCCACACTCCGATTCCCATTCCAAGCCTCGCTAGATGGATCTTCTTTGGTGGAGACGGATGGCTGTCTTTATTATGGACTTGATATCTCTCATGGAATAGTTGCCGCTGAGTTGCCGGCTCAGGGACTTTTGACTCCGGATTCTTCATCATCAGAGTCGGATCCAGAACCAGGGTTAGGGTTGGGATTGAATCTTGACGGTGATGGTTGCGAGAAACGAGGACAGAATCAGCAACTAGATACGAACGGCATGTCTCATCCGCCGCGTTGGGATAGTTTGAGGGATACTCAGGCGGAGGAGAGCTTCACTCCACGACCAGCGCCGATTCCGATGCATCCACATCGAATTTATACGTCGGATCAGCAGCGGTTTGCTAGGGAGCATGAAATGACAGCAACAGAGGTGGAAGAAGAGGAGAATAATATGATTTGCGAATCGCCGTCGACGAGCACATTGACCAATCCATTGGAGGAAACACTCACATTGACTGAAACTGAGAGGACGATACGATTGCCTGTCCCTTTGACTAATCAACTGCCTCGGTACTATGCTACTCCTCTGATCAAAGACGACCCCTTGTCGACGCCCGTTGCCATATACGGTCTTGAGAAACCGTCGGATCATATCCCCAAAAAAAAGGCTCCTGCTGTGCTGAGACAACGGAATAGCAATCCGTCGGCCGCACAGGCTCGGCCGTCGTCGAGGCATCTTCATCCACCGTCGCCGTTGTCGTCGACAGTCAGTTTGAATGATCGAGTTGAGGAACAGCGCAGGCCTTCCACGTCGTCTACAAGGAGGCTGTCAATGTTTTTGGGAAGGACATCGAACCCGAATGGGCTGCCTTCAACAGGTGTGTCCAGACCTGCAATAGGCTCGATATCGTCGTCTGGATCGTCAGCAACTACTTCCACCATGAGGTCAGCAGTTACTACTGCCAGCGAGGCCTCGACGGCATCCTCTATACCCACACCAACATTTACTCAATCCCCTACCACACTTGACGGCAATCAGAAACCAGCATCGCCTTCACCGCTAGACCACAACACCCTCCGCCGCAAAACGACCCCTATAAATCCCAATGAACCCACACCCATATCAAGACAAACATCCCGACGAAACACAATCTTCAACTTTTCAAAACCCAAGATCTTGCCAATGATGTACCATCGATCCGGTATACAAAGTAGCGATAATCTGAGCACTATTCGAGCAGTCACAAATGATCAAGTGAATACTCCTACTGCATATACATTGAATAGACCATCTTCGCCATCTTCGCCATCGTCGTCGAGACAGATACCTTTTTCGCCGGATAGTTTTGTCTCGCCACATACGCAGGCACCTTCTACTCCGACGACGAATTCTTCAAGCAACAGCGACTACAATTCCTCCTCGCAAGTCAATAGACCTTATACAAGCCACTACGACCAAAGGGTCTCAACCAGCAACCCCCCAACCTCAGAATATCGCCCGTACAGACCAACAGATCAGCCACAGGCACGAAAATTGCGAAAAGCGGAGAGTCATAATCCTCAAAACAGAGCCACAAAACTGTTTACGAAGATATTCATCACTGATTTGCATCAGAACCAGACCTGACCAACCCTGTTGGATTTTTCAGCTGCATAGAGACAAGATCGTACTTGGGGTAGGGTCATTGTTGGCAGTTGCAAGACTGTAATATTCTTGTTTTAATATTGGTCTATTTTCTTCTTGTCTGTTGTTACATCGTTTCTTTTCTGTCCGCTCTACAGCGTTGTAGATCTACCATTTGTCGGAGTCTGGATATTGTGTTATAAAAATTGGGTGGAGGTTTGATTTTTAGGGTTATGAACAAAAGTCCAACAGATTAATCAAGAGACTTTAATATTATCGTGTCCTGCCAAAGAAAATAAGGAAATATGTATACACAAAACTGAGTATAAGACAGGAGAAGAAATCGACATGTAAAGATTTATAACCGGATAGAGAAGAAAATAGCCAAAACGCCATCATAATTCATGCACCTTCATCTCCAACAAAGTAAACAACTCGGCAATATGCTTTCATGCATCACTTCCCAGTGATAGTAACAACGCCATTGCTGATCCAAGCCTGATCGAATAACAAGCATGAAGAAAGACACGCTTCAAAGAGTAATACTCTCCATCTCCGTCATGACAGCATCCATTTGTACCCTCTTAACAGCCTCTGCGACGAGTGTGAAATCCTGCAGAAACGGCGCTGTCGCCGCTGGACCTCCTAGGTTTATCTGTCCCTGTCCTTGACCTTGCTGATAATGCGTCGGTATCATGTCGGCCGTAGGAAGTTGGGGTTGTGTTGTTTCGGTCATGAAGGGTTGTTTTTGTTGTTCGATATATTGACTCGGTTGTTGTTGTTGGGCTTGAAATGAGGGTTGTGTTGATAGTAGCGACGAGGACGAGAGTCCTGTTGTTGTGGTCGTTGTTGTGGTGTTAGTCCCTATTCCTGCGCCTGTCGCGATACCTCCAGTCGTCGAAGACGGATAAAATGAAGGCGCAACGGGCTGTTGCGCCGAAGAGCGTAGATTATACCGGCTATTGTTCATGGTAATGTTGAATTTGACGACCAACTCAGTATGTAGATATCGGTCTTCAGTATGATATCAGAGTCTTGATTGCTGGTTCCAATACTTCCAATGTGGCGCGTATGACGATTGGTTTGGTAGAAGGACTGATTGATCGGTGAATTCAGCAGGGTAATAGGGTAATAGACCTGAATCGATAGTTAACGGCGAATGCGACGTATGTGTTGGTACTCGCAATGAACAAGTATATCGTTCTCGTCCGGACAGAAGGCCCGATGCTCTTCTCAGTACATAGACGTGGGTGGATGATATGCACCCCGCAATGATCGTCGTCGGATCTTTCAAAGTCCTTCGGTATTTCTCTAATACCTAATATGCTTGATATATGTTGCTATCCAAGAGCAAGAAAGTAAAAGAAGAAGAAGAAGAGAAACACGAACTGGTGATGCTGGATTGCAAGATCATGTCGATGATAAGCACAAAACCTGACCCCCCTCTTTGTCTGTATTGTTACTTGTATTGGGATTGTAATATCCCCGCAGCACGTGAATTATCATAGCAAGTGAGGATGTATTGGCAGCGTAAAAATACGAGCCGGACTTCTGACGGCCTTCGGTCGGCACGAAAGGAGAGTTCCTATTGGCTGATACAGATTTAGCATACGATGCTTAGCACGTGATCGTATCAAGTGGGCTCACTCTGATCCAATCAATCAGAATATTTTCTAGCGACTTTTCAAATATTCAATTCTCCAACTGCTCTGATAGATATCAATATGTACAACCACGATGACGACGAAATCGGTGCAGACACCCTCTTCCAAGACCCAGAGGGCTTCTATCCCGAAGACAAACAGCCCACCTTCTCAGAGCACCAGATGCTCTCCGGGCAAATTATCCGAGTGCGCCTAGTCGGCAGCCATCCTCTCTACGTATGCGACTACCTCCTTCTTTCTCCTCTAAACATCGACTGATATGTATCTTGCGTGGAGGGTAACATGCTCTGGAACGCTGGACGAGTAAGCGCCGAATACCTCGAAGAAAACGCCCCCCGGCTCGTCGCAAATAAAGATGTACTTGAAATCGGTGCTGCGGCAGGTGTACCCAGCATCATTGCTGCAATTAAAGGTGCGCGCACAGTGGTAATGACAGACTATTCCGATCCTGATCTCGTGGATAATATGCGACGAAACGCCGAGGCTGCGTCGTCCATGATACCCCCGGGGAGTAAATTGCATGTTGCGGGATATAAATGGGGTGCGGATACGGAGGAGATTATGTCTTTCTTACCGGTTGATACAGCGAAGAAAGCGTTTGATACGTTGATTATGGCGGATGTGGTGTATAGTCATCGGGAGCATCCGAATCTTATCAAGACTATGCAGGAGACTTTGAAAAGGTCGAGGGATGCTGTGGCGTTGGTTATATTTACGCCGTATCAGCCATGGTTACTTCCCAAGACGGAGAAGTTTTTCCCCTTGGCTGAGCAGAATGGGTTTGTGGTAACCCCAGTCTTTGAGAAAATTATGGATAAGGCTTTGTTTGAGGATGATCCTGGGGTATGTTTCTATATTCCCTTGCTATGAATGATATTCTTCTATCCATGGAGACATGTTCTGACTTCTATAGGACGAAACACTTCGTCGCACTGTATATGGATACGAAATCCGATGGGCTGATGGAAGTTTATAACCATAACGCTCCCGACATGATGATTTATGATGACATCCCAAAAGTTTAGACTTGACCTTACTACTTCTTGCGAGCAGGTCGGCTCACATAACAAACAGCAAATGTACATCTGTCATGCATCAGTATATACATACGAATATGGCAAGGCAGGGAACATACCCAAAGGATGACTACAACTCAACTGCGGCTTTTGAGAATAATCACGCTCCAACTTTGCTCTGATATTGTTGAGTAATTGCAAATAACTCTGTTTCGGGTACTGTCTCAATGTTTCTATGAATGCCCAACTTAGGGCTCCTCGGGCCTGTCCGCCTTGGAATGTGTCGGCGCTAGGTCGGAACATCAGCCATCTTTACTTTCAGAAGTATTCGTAATGACTTACGAAGTCTGCGTATCTTTCGATCCTGAAAACATGACTACATCCGCAGGCGAGGTCTTGGTCATCATCCTTCTTTCACGTGCCGAGTCGCCGATTGTTGCTTTCTTGAAGAATCCAATAGCCGTTTGGGCGACGCCTCCTAAATCGCCTTTTCCGTAAGCAGTGAATGCGCTGAAGAGGTCTAGGGCTGCTTCTTTGGCTAGATTTGGTTCTTTTAACACTCCCTTCACCAACGCATTAGAATTGGTACTTGCGAGGGAAGATGACGTGTCGAACGTACCTGTGTGGAGTAGATGAATGGGAGATCGAGTGCAGTTCCGGAATGGCACGAGTCGAATATGGCTGTGAGTCGAACGCCGGGTCGGAGTGGTTTGACCCTGGTATCCATTCATTAGTTAGATTCCTCGAGTCTAGTTCTTTGTATACCCACATAATATCATGCATCTCATCATCCACGATGTGACCTGCGGATTTGTAATCGACCGGATAAATCACATCGTCGAATCCTGTACAATACTTAGCCAAACTCCCGTATTGGGAAAGAAATGCATACCATCATCTTCATCGCCATCGAGATCAGGCGTCCGACCACCATGTCCTACAAACATTAGCCAATTGAACAAAGAATCAAGCTCGAAGAAAATACCCGAAAAATGAATAAACAACGAATCATTCGGCATAGCATCCTTGACCAACCAATACATCGCCCGAATAATATTCGCTTTCGTCGGTTGACTCAACGGATTACTCTGATCATCCGTCAAAATCACCATATCCTCTCGTCGATAGCCATAAACCTTGTTGAGGAAAATCGACATTTGAGTGACATCGTTGATGCATCCTTTTAACTGGTTGGCTTGGCCGAAGTAGTTGATGCCAATTAGTAGTGCTTTGCGTTTCCCGGAACAGTTTGAGTATTGGAATTGGTAGCTTGAGGGAGCACCGTGGCCAAATGATTGTGGTGTTTGAGGAGGTGTGGGTGGTAATGACGTGTATGGCGGAGGGTAATTTTCTATCATTCGATTAGAATTCTGATGGGTTTGCGAAGATACGTGTACTTACGGTATGGTAGTATCGGATTGGATATTGAACTAGGCCGCTGACTGGGTCGTGGACTAGGCCGCGGTGGTAATACCGGAGCAGAAGTAGGAGGCAAAGTATGCACTCGAGTATGTTGGGGAGGAAGACTGTGCGGTCTACCCGGTGGAGGACTATTTGCATTGCTTAATTTTTGCAAGAGCATCTAATCTATTACGTGGACACTTACGGATATGTTGCTGGTCTACCGGGATATCCCCCTAGCATTGGAGGTGGTCCAGGAGGCGGTGCATATTGGCCATGCGGAGGCGGATATCCTCCTCCCCAAGTAGGAGGAGGATATGGAGGAGGCGTATGGTAGCCATTGGGATACATTGGGCGTAACTTCAACCGATAGGAAGACGGATAAAAGAAGTCATGAGTCTGGAGTTCGGACAGCCCGGTAAGAAGCTTGCCACACAGTCAACAGCTGAAAGGAGCCAAGTCAGTGATCTAAACCAGCTGACCAAGAAAACAGTCAGCAGTATCAGAGACTGACTGCCTTTGGCAGATTACTCGTCGCGAATCACTCGTGTAGTGGACGATATCTCAAACTATTTGAGGCTCTTACTGAATGTCTAGGATATGTCAGTAATCTGAATGACGAGTCACGCTGATCCACTTACTGACCAACAAATTGGAATATAAAAACTTCTAAGATACAGCTCAATGGTCGGTCTAACTCCGTCTCGATCGGGCCGGATACTGCTGGATAGATCGTGCGCAGTTTCTTAGTTAATTGACTCGGAACAAAGTGCTATGTAAATTCGCCGCGTGGAAGATGACTCGTTAAGCACTTTAATCCAGTCGATTGGTATGTAGAGTGGCAAGGATAGATGGATAGAATACGTAGTGTGTGTTTCTTTCAGCCGCAAGCCAAGATCGCCAATGGATGCCAACCTGTCAGGTGACGCGGCCCGACGGTCTTCTCAGCTTGCCGCTTCACTTCTTGCATTCACTTCTTTGCACTTGGCATGACTCCTTACCGAGTCAGGAGAGTATGTGTTTATTCTATAGGTCGTGAAATGAGACATACATGCACTCCAAGTCTCTAATGTTTCGCGTGTGCTTTAACCTTAAAGGAAAGGAACCAGAGCTTAAGGCTTACGGTTCCTGTAACCAGCAACCATGGTTAGCGGTGGACCCCTGTTACTTAGGCTGGTCGACGCCTAAGTTAGTTATACAGGCGTGATTACCTAAAGAAGACTCAGTACGCAAAAAAAAAATCCAATCTATGTCTTAAAACTTGATATAATCTGTCTATATCTATTGACCAAACACCTTGACACGATCCTCAAGAGGCTTGCTCGTCTTCTCCATCGGGCCTCCAGTCGGCGTACCAAAGACCAACTGTGCCTTGAGTTTCCAGTCCTTGGGAAGGTTCCACTCCTCACGGACTTTGTCGCTGAAGACAGGCAAGAAGTTGTAATGCTGCAGACTGGCGCCGAGGCCTTCTGCTGTGAGAGCTGTCCAGACTGTTTGAAATAATTAGGAGGGATTTCCTAACCAGAGAGGGTCAAAGAGAAATGCTTACCAGCGAGCTGATGCATGCCAGATGAAGTGTCGGACCACTCATTGATAAAAGGAGCCACGTTTGCGTGTTGGGCCGCAATGGCAGTCAAATCGGCTTCGTCTTCGAAGAAGAGGACCTAATTAGTGCAATGTTAGCTTATCGCCACTTCTCTATCGGTAGACAACTGGGGGTTGGTTCTTACCGAGCCATATCCACCTTTGTGCAGAGCAATTCTAGGTGCAAGCATCTGATAAACAGCGTCCGGCAGGTTGGCCTTGACGAATTGCTCGGCATAATCCCATAGTTTCCTGTGCTCGTCCTTGAGCAAGACGACTGCGCGCGCAGATTGGACGTTGTATGTGCTGGGGGTGTTTTTGATGGTCTTTTCAACGATCTCGGTGATGCGCGAGTCGGGGATTGGAGAGGTAGCAGAGATGGCGTAGATGCTGCGGCGCGCACTGAGTGCGTCGAAGAAGGTGTCGGATCCGGTCATGATGATTATTGATTGATTGATTGATTGATTGTTTGATTGTTTGTTAGTTGCTAAGAAGGTTCTTCGGTTGTTGTTTTACTGTTCCTTGGATGGGATTTCGAGGCATATTTATATTATAGTATCAATTGAAGTCTATTAATAGCTGTACCTGACAATCACGGCGAGTCGGTCTTTACTTTCTATCGTCAGCCATGTAACCATATCTCATTTTTTATTCTTTTTAAACCTTAGCTGATACTATCTCTGTGACAGAGAGAAACCCAAAGAAAGATGGCGGGGGTATACCCAATCAGCACCGGAGGAAATCTCGTCAACGCCGTCCGTTGTGTGGTTAGGCCAACTGGGTTTTATTGGAAGTAATCAGTAATTAATAAGCTACGTTTATCTGATTTCCAATGATTGGAAATACGAGACTCTGTTACATTAATAAGGTCGGAATTCCTAAATCTTCACTTCCGGTGCATCGGGAGAAAGGGCCAATTCCAGCCGATAACCCTTAGGGTTAGGGTTCAATATGAAGTCGGCGTGCCGGCGATACTGCACCGTTTCTCCGGCTCTCCGGCTCGACTGGTAGATTGACTGGGATGGCTTGAATACACAATTGATATAGAATTGTTCTGGAATCCTTACAGTCATGCTGTCATACAATAACACTACGTAAGTTATCAGGTGTTGGGCAATGGCATTCGTGGCGAGGCGGAGGCAAATGCCTCCGATTTCAGGCAGCAGCCATCCTCGCAATAATCTATAGAGCTCTTTACATGCATCTAATTACCGCCTCGCCTGTTAATTCCATATTCCATAAATGCTGCAGCTTCTGATGGTCAGGAGGTAATCCGATTGGGACGCACGGAATACTGTATCAAAAATGGGCAAAAGCATGGACATGGACTGTGCCTTGTGTTCAGTTACCGGTTTCGCATCACTCGGAATACTTGCTGCGTCATGGTCAAGTTGCACGCAGTTCTAACTCTGGCCGCACGAAATTCCAAAGCTTGCTTCTTTTGAAGAATTGAGAAGGATGCTGAGGATAGTAGTAGGGTCTGCTTTGCATTACCCACAGGAGCGGATGTCTGTGTTGCAGCCGCGGACATAAGAGTAAAATGAAGGCGTGAGACGAATCCAATGTCTCGGAGCTGTTTCTAATACAACCGGGATAGTCAATGTACCAGAAGTCATAGATTCCATTTCATATTGTTCAGTGTTCAAATCACCGGTTTCAGTGCATGAATGCGGGGAACATACAGTCGGATTTATACGCTGATGTGTGCAGAATAAACGCCAATACCTAGTTAATGACTACCATTGTATATAGCTTGCAGCTTGGTCAGAACACATGGCAGTTGATTTATGCATCAATGACCTAAAGAAGCAAGCCCAGAGACGCAGACTAAGCCTTGTCCGGAATACGAGATTCGGACATCTCAATCTAGACAGGAATACAAATGTCGTTAAAAAAAAAAAATAATTGGAAGGAGAAAATATAAAATATGACTCCAGAAAGAGGAGTAAAAAAGTATGGGAGAAAAAATTAAGAGCCGCATCTGTACCACGTAATACGCTAGTACATAGGGTCATTCGTAACCAAATGAGGCTGAGTCAGTATATTACACCCCATCTTGGTAGGAATTGAGCCTCATTCTTCTTTATCTCTCTCTCTCAACCAACGAACCAGTCTCCTTCAAGATCTCGCGAGTCCCTGAAACAGGAACGCACTACGGCCCACTGCTTCGCAAGCCACTATGTGATCCTCTCTGTATTGTACTGTTTTCATTCAGCCCTGCAGATGGCGTGCCCACTGTTGAAGGTTTGGGAATCCCACGATACTGCACCCACAATCGCTTAACTAACGAAACTTACTCTAAGTAACTATAGCGGACCCTCGGACTCGGCGGAGAGCAAGATCAAGTTCGAAGATCCACATCGAATACATACCTGTTTCACTTGAGCCTCTCACTTGAGCCGCACCATCAGCTACTTAATTAGGGTTCCCTTAGCCACCGTAATTGACGAAAATAGCCTCAAACTTGAGAAGATCTTCCGTATTAGTGATCTTTATCACTATTAATTTTTATCCTGGCCTTTCTGTTGCACAGCGTCTGGATTCCAACTCCGCGACACCGTCACATAAAGGGTCTGTGCAGCTTGTGGTTACTCAGACTTGCCTCCCTGCCTGGTTCATTTTGGACCATTTATATAAACGGAGACGCTCTCACTTGTCATTTCTATTCAACGGAGCAAAGTTCAATGAGTGTCAGGTAGTACGGCTCCAAAGTGCGGTGTGTTTCGGTGCGTATGCCAAATATCAGACCGCTCCTCTCGGCAGCAGGGGAAGAAAAAAGGAAAAGTTACATCGCAATTCATATGCGGATGCTCATAAAAATCTCCCGCGGTCATGAGAGTATGCACCAGAGAACCAAAACTGCATTCTCTGCCTTACGATATTTTCTACCAGGTTGTTGAAGATCTTGACTTGTCAGACTTTAACAATCTCAGTCGCGTCAATAGAAGTCTGTACAATCTTCTGCAGAATGATCAGCTTGCCAAGCGCACCATCAAGGTACGTTTTATTCCCAAAAAATAAGAGCTCCTCATGTGCAGAAAATTGAACATGACTTCTAGAAATATGCTCGCTATTCCAAGGAGGCCCAGTGGGCTATTGCCGGAAATATATCTTTCCGTCAGGCCATCGGACGCATACACGATATGCAGCAGGCGGTAGCGATGGCTGAACCGTATTCGGTTGCAGTGCTGGCATACGCGGCTACATTCATCTATCGGGACGGCGTGTTGTCGTATGTCATTGACAATGAAATTCGCGTCTTGAATGTTCATCGAGCAGATAGTACAGAACAAGTCGTGGATGTCCATAATATGCTACGTCGGATTATACCGGCGTATCGTCAACACCAAGTTGCAAACCGTTCAGTACAAATCTCATTCTTACACTACTCATCAGGAGTGCTGGCATTTCTGGTGGAATTCGAGGCCGATAGACATGCATGGTTAATTCTGCTAGATGTTACCCCTGGGTGTTCGAGAAGACTTAAATTCATGACGCAGCTGGAATGTACGCGACGACTTTTTGTCCGCCATAATGGCACACATCTCTATTATGGTGTGCATTCATTTGTCAATGCTTCTGGCGAGCTACTCTGGGTCATTCAGTGGGTTGATCTCACCAGGAACACTTCGACCCGGGATGTGCCGCCTACCATTCTAGATAAACTGGCGGGCACCGAAATAGGGCATAACGTCTGTTTTGAGATCTTCGACAATCATCTTTATGCCGTGTCTAATATAATTGACTCGGAGGAGGAGGCATTGAATTGGAGATCGTTTTATGAATGGGTCTGCATCCCGCCAGCACGCAATCTGCGCAGGGCGCGAATGAACAGAATCTGGCGACGAGATCATCTCGAAGGTCCCATCAACGATACATGGACTGAGATGTCTTTACGCATGGATGAAAAAACTGGTCGGCCTATGATTCTCGAATGTCGTCGCGAATGGCGAGAAGGTCGCTCAGATCACGTACGAACGTATTATGCCGAACCTTTACCCCCGTTTCCTGAATTGGCTGCCACCGGGGAAATTCAGGGAGAAGCTGAACACACTACACCGCGTATAACACCACAGCCCCCGTCTTCAATGACTGATTCACCCTTCGAAAGTGGCATTGCACCCAGTAATATCACACTACCGACTCCTTTGCCTTTGAACGGGCCCTCGGCAGAGGATCTAGCTCGACATAAAAGAATAGGGAAACATGTACATTCAGAGTACACATGCAATTGCTCTACAAGAAAAGAATTTATTTTGGCAAAAACGAAATATCGCACATACAATCTCTCAGCCTGTGCATTTGTCGATTTGGTCAATGATCCGGAACCAAATAATCGAGTTGGAGCTGCTACAGATCGGTTACGTCTACGGATCAATTCTCGCAAACGGAAATACACATCGTCTGGTGAAGACCACGACCATCAGCATGTATACAAACGCAGCAAACTCGATGACTCTACAGCCCAAATTTCATCTACAACTAATGAAAAAGAAGACGTCATCGCAGACCACGTCCGCCTATGGCCCCCCGACAACGCAGACGAAGAACTCATCAGACTCCTCTGCCCAACCCGAAAAGCAACCAACATCCACGCAATTGCCGATGAACGCTCACTAATCTATTCTGTCGATACAGACGAGCCCCAAAAGCAAGCCATTATCCTGATCAACTTTGATCCCCAATTTCGTCTTCCCTGCATGCACAATAGATCTCAGGAGTTTATCGGTAAGCAGTCGTCATCAGAATCTGCCCCTGTTGGGATCGGTTTAATTGGACCTGAGGACACGAAGAAGAGTAGTAGGCGACAGAGATGTTCTATTTTGAGTCCTTGTTCTTCTTCATATTCAGCCAATAGTAATAACGGCAAGTCAAGTGTACGAACCGAGGCGGCGATGCATTTGTCTATTGATAAGGGGTATTGGTTTGATATAAAGAGATGGTGAACTTGATTATATGTGCTGATACTCGCCTTAAAAGAAGTAATTCAACATTCAGATACATCCAAGGGTGAAATTCAACGTTGGCTTCCTCCTCATTTAGATCGATAATGATTGAGAATAACTAGGATACTTGGCACATTCTAAACGTGCAGACATCAGTTGACATAGGAATTGATGGATAGATTATGCCAAACCTAGGTATTAAGTATGCTAATGTCAACACCGATTCTCTGCTTCAAGTCAAAAGTTCCAGATAGACCGTTCCCCGGAGTCCACTCAGGGATTCTCTACCCATGGATGACGATACATCATTCATAAGCAATTCAGTAATGAGACAGGACTCGGTTGCTATGAACGAGCAATCAATTTGCGTCTTGAGGACGAATAATCAATTATGGGGAAGCCTTGATGAGCTCGGAGCAGGAAGTTGACCGGATTAAAGCTAGAGCTTTTTTGGGCGGGACGAATTGGATGCTCCCCAATAATACATTCATGTAGGCCTACCAGGGGTAGTATTTGAACATATTCAGACATATGGATTGCCTCCCTTACTTTCTATACGGTTTTTGCAGTGAAAAATCTCCGCAAAAATATGCCATGAATCACACCCGTGACCAAGGTAAGAATCCATAGAGGGCATGAGGGTTAACATGTCTACGTGATGTATGTACAAGCCATGAACGACACAAACCCCGTTTGGCATGCACTAAGCCAATAAGAAGAGGGCAATATACCCAATCCTTGAAGTGGTCAAGGTTTGGATTCTTTTCCTGGCCGAGGTACATCAGCTATTAGGGTGCATGCTGGGAGCCACTGACGATTTGAACGCTAAAGAGGGCGCTTGAACAAATCATTCCGGGCCCTGTAGGCATACGCTAGTAGCTTGGTTTAAGCCTTTACTAAGACAATTAATTAATTCGTGGTGAGTCTGGATATCGTACTAGGATTTCAGTCTTTACGTCTTGTAATCTATTTTCTACTCTAAAGCCTTCATTTTCAATCTTATTTATTACACCTCTAAAGAGGCTACACGGATGTGTGCTATAATCACATACAAAATAAGGAAATAAGCTGGACTTTCCCAGCTATTTCTATTCCCTCTAACATTCAGCAACATGCGTCCAACAGTCTTTTCATTTTATTTCCTCTTATCCGCAGTTTTCGCATCTGCTGCAATCGAGAAACGTGATAGTGCTTCGCCTACAATCACATCCGATTCCAGTTATGCAACAATCTCAGCAATTCTGTAAGCTCACTCCTCCCCGCCCTACCTGTCTAAAGAATTGCTAAAAAATATCAAAACAGAGGCTCTCTCGCCTCCGCCGTAAGCAGTGCAACACCCGCCGCAGGAGTAACACCCGTACCAGCCCAAACCGCAAATCTCAGCAACATCGCCGAACCACCCGCCGGCTTCATCCCAGCCATAATGACAGCCATTCCCTTATCCGTACTCGGGGATCTGATCGACTCAAGTTCACGAAGTTCACTAGCATCCGAATTTCGAAACGGGAGTACTCCGGCCTGGTATCAGAGTCTACCGGCTTCGATTAAGAGTTATATCTCTGTGGTCAATTCGCAGATAAATGCTGGCGCTTTGTCGGCGAATACATCTGCGCCCGTGGTGGCTACGTCGACTAGTACGGCGATGGCAATGCATAGAGTTGTTGTGCCGACTGAAGTTGCGATGGGGGCTAATTTGTTGGGTGTTTTGGGTGTTGCTGGGTTGGCGATGGCTCTATGATAGGATTATGTCTATTACGGATTGTTCTATGCGTATTACGATGCTATGGAGTATACGATCAGGATTATAATGTCAATACTTACACGCTTCTATTTACAAAGACATGATAGCTTCAATAATCGAAAAAATATCTTTGTGATCTTTATTCTGGCATTTCTCCGTCGTAAAATTGATACATTCAAATACGGCAAGTGTTTCCTATTCGGGTAAGGGTACGCACAAAGCCCTAATTTCTTCAAGATCATGGACAATTTGCAATCACATGCTGTGGTTTCAAGGAATCTACTAAGAGAATGTTGGTATTCAAGTCTACAAGGATAGTAACATAACATCTACTAACAATTCCCCGAGGCTCAAAAATTGAGGTCAAGTCCGCCGATCGCGAGGGGTAACCCGGTGGCGCCCTAATTATCCAGCTAAAATCTAGTTTCTACCGAAGTAGCAATCCAGCAATGTTCTTTGACCTGGTTTAGTTGCAGGTTTAGCCATGTCTGTCTTCGGGCTGACTAGGTGTTGGTTTTTTCTTGGCCTTGTCAACTTTGCTCTCGGTCATGGAATCGTAATGATTGACTGTCAAAGGTTTGCTAGGACAATTGAGGCCATGAGTACAGCGATTATGCGGGTTTGCACACTGAGATCTGTTGACGATCAGAAGATAGCCAGTCTTTATTAGTCGTTCGCTTAGTGTGAATCATCGGGGAAGTGCCATTTTGACAGCGTTGATCAAATGTACGTTTACAACATTGAGATCGACGCAAGATCAAGATGAGATTGTCAAGTTAGGGCAAATGTCAAATTCAATCTACGATCAAATGTCTCAAAACTTACTCTCCACTAATGATAAATCCTTCAAAGTTTGCTTAGAAGAATGGTCATGATGATCGGAGAAACCACCAACATCATGTTCAAGGTCTCTGGGCGATGTAACCGCGGCTCACATGCCATCGTCAAGGTCTAAGTTTCTACTGTATACCCAGACTGGCCACTTTCTGCAATCGATCCCCACACTCGAAGAAAAATTCAATGGCGTTGTTAGTGCGGGGAAATTGTTTACTTTCACTTCTTTAGCTTCAAAATAGGAAATACTACGAATCTCGAACGTCAACTTGAGTATGGCCTCAGCCCCGCCCCGCCGGTCTGTCCGTGTAAACAAAACAGGTGTCTTTCCATGTCTCTTTGGGCACTATCCAAGTAAGTGGTAAGTGTACGATGACGGATATGGCTTCGGACTAGGCTGGAATGCTCCTCGGATGTACAGATCATGTCTACTTTTGCATGCGGATGGGCTAGCTGTAGGCCTAGTCTTTCGGCTCGGACTAAACTTGAGCATGCTTATTCGATGTGGATATTGACGAGGGTATCTAATAGGAAGAGGGTCTCGTCAATAATATCTTTTTAGTTGTTATTATTTGGCTAGTCACTCCATATACTTCCAAAATTTCTTAAACAAATTTTGAGTCTGTGTAAATCTGTCTTTCTATTCACCTCACCCACCACTATATCACATAATAAGAGCAAGATAACAAACAAGCAAAATGTTTCTGCTCCGGATGCTCAGGTTCTTCATCTTCCTCCCCCTCCTCACCTCAACAGTCACCCTAGCCCAGTCAACAGGCACTTCAACAGGCCTGACAATCTCCCCCTCCGCCCTCAGCGACATCGAGAATCTAATCACTGGCGCAAAAACGCTCTTGAGCCCCGACAGCATCGGGAACATCGAAACCACTTTGACAGGAGCTGCTACATTGCTTAGCGGCACAACTGCTAACGACACCAAGACCTTGTTGACCGAAGTCAGCGCTCTGCTTTCGCCGGACTTGGTTCTTGCCGTGAGTAAGCTTGTTACTGCTGATACGGTAAATAAGTTGGGGGATATTGTGGATAATGCGCATACGTTGTTGTCTGCGGAGTTTGTTAATCAGACGACTACCTTGATTAATGATGTGACACCGGTGAGTTGGATTCTTTGAAAAGCACGGCATTTGGGAAGTACTAATATGATGCCTTTTAGCTCGTGGATGACTTGTCAAAGGTTCTTGGAGGTCTCCTCTCAGCACTATTGGGTTAGCGAGGACAATTGGCAGAGAAGAGGGATGGAGATCTTACTAACGAATACGATTTGGTTGCAATTGCATGATTATGAGTTAATGGATGTTTCTGCTTGAGATATTTTATGTATGGGCCACGAAATGCTCATACGAGCATGGATGTGTCTATATGCCCTGTTACCTAGACCCACAGCTATGCCATATTTATCTAGGTAGGCAAAATACGTTAATAAATGAAATAGATGAATGGTTGGGAATCCATATTGCCTGACTACCTAGGTAGGTAGCCGGAACTTGAATGTTGAATTTTGATACATTGTGAACAAAACACATATCTATGCAAGTATCCCCAAATATGTTAGACTCCTATCCAGGACACTGAATCAAAACGCCATCAATGCTTCATTCGTTTGATGAAAAAGCAAAAAAAGGCCGTGTAGATCCCACGTATGTTCATGGTTGTGCGACGCTCTGCGGCTCCCGAAGCATATCCTTCACCTCTTTCATCACTCGTCTCTTTGGTATAGAGCGAATAACCCGTGGCAGAACCGCATAGATAGCCCTGCTTATACCCATAGAGGCCCTGTACATGAAACGACTCATGGGTGATGACTGAAAACCGTACTGCTCTCGAACATGGGGCGGTAGCATCTCCGGCGTGATGTTCTTCATAAATGGCATACTCAGTCTGACCCAGCTAGGTACATTGTGAATTCTTTCCAGGTCACGTACAACAGGCCGTGCACGTGTATCAACATCCAACTTCTCAACATATTCATCCCAGTAAGCCCAAAATGCGGCACGATTGGTTGGCCATAATCCCTTCGGAAGGTTGAGAATCAAGTTGAACAGAACTGAAAACTCATTAAATGCGAGTTCAGCCTCTTTAAAGCTGAGTTCATGAACGATACGTTGATAAACTTCTGTGCCTGTCGCATATAGCGTCGCAGCAATCCATAGCCGCAGTCTAGGATCCTGTGGATAGGGACTCAGATGACTGATTCCATTTCGTGCAGCATGGCTGATTCGTCGCTGCTGCTGTTGTTGCTGCGCTTGAAAAGCATAGATTCGGTTTAGAATCTGTTTTCGTTGCTGGTGCGTTCCAAAAGTTAATCCGTAGAGATAGACGGCCGTCAGATGTATGCTTTGATACAGTTGTTCGGCCAATGTCTTGACCTGTCCATCAGTGCCCGTTTTGGAAGCAGTCCTAGCCATGCCATGCGCCGCGGCTTGTAAGAGAATCGCCACAGCCCCTCCGGTCAACAATATTCCCTCCTGAAGAATTTTGGGGGCCTGCTGGAGTTTGTCTAGAGACTGGAGTATCTCCGTTTCGGAGTGGGAATCTAGCGATCCAGTCAAACGGACAAAATCACTGCTGTAAAACTCATAGCTTTCCGTAAACCTGGAGCTAGTGCGCCGCACAGGGAGCGTCGTGCTGCTAGAAAAAGACATCTTTGATGCAATTATACTTGGACTGCGCCGAGTAGTCGGGCAGAGTCATATTCCGAACGGCATGCTGGATAACAATCATGGCCTCTTGATACCAGAGAACATTCGAAGGCTTCAGAGTAGTGAGAGAAAAAGATGAGAGATAAGCAAATCCCGTGATCCGTCAATTGAGCAGGTGGTGTATGGGGAAGCTGGAGAAGGAGCGGGGAGGCTGATCTTCTTCCTGTCATCCTCTCGACAACTTCTCTCATCTAAACAGCCAACAGGTCTCACGACACCATCTGGCTATCACAAGATCTCGTGTCTATTGACGTCAGGTACTACACTTCGTCCCCTGCTCCCGAGGTTCATTTTGACCCCAGTCGAAGACTAGGCGGCGCTAGCCCAACGCTAACTCGAGGAGGTCGAACGAGTCAGCAACCATGAACTGCCTTATCACGCAAATAAGCATACTTTTTGCTCGATAGAAATGCTTATTCTGCTCATACTGCACCACATCAGATGGACCATGGCGAATACACATACGGTGTCTGCGCCTGAATCACATTCGACAGTGGCATCCAGCGCCAGCATTAACAAAGTCTTAGGCTTTACTAGGGACAGTGAGTGGATACTGTTCCCCCACATTAGCCTGTTGCCCCTAATGACTTAGCCTGAGCGCAGAAATTTTCTTAGAGTCAAGGGATGCGTACCCCAGTTCCCCCCCCGGCTCAAGCTCCTTTCGTTGCCGATCCATACTGTGCATGTACAAAAATTTGGTTGATCTTTGCGTCTTTCAGTTCGCTCCGGCGCTAGATATCCTACCCCAGTCAAACCGCGAGTGGCTTGACCTAAGAGAGAACCCAACTTTAGGAGATGACCGAGATGCTCAAATTCTCTTGGTATCGGGAGACCCAACACAATGCACATGGGTCCTGCTCAATCCCTTTCCCTGTTAACATGCCTAAGAAAAGTCGGGATCATCCTCGCATGTTGTAGCAGTGTCCGAAGCGCAATACACGAAGGAAAAGACCTCTTGCTTCAGTGCGGCGATCGGACTGCCGTCTGATCTTGTTTCTTTATTCCGAAGTTTATCTTAACTTGCGGCGTTGCTGGGCTTGTGTACTGCCCATTATCGCGCATGTGAAAAATTCAAATTCAGTACTTTCATTGCCCCAGCCAGAGAGTTCCATACAGAAAATGCCAACTACACCGAGGCCTAACTCTCTACAATCACCCCTACCCCGTACAACAATCGCTAGGGGCCCACTTTTTGCACACAACCTCGCTCCTATTCACAGTTTTGATCACGATCATCGTACCTCATACTGCGATTGAGGCCATATCTAGTAGTTGTAATTACCTTTCCGCAGCCGACAGTTGGTCGAATCACGGAGCAATTCGTCTGGAGCTTGTGAGATTAGCATCGACCGACTTCCTTCGTGGGGTAGCATAGCAATTCCTTGGACAAATTGAGCTAGATATGAAGCTATTGATCTACCAGCCCATGGGATTGTGACTAGCCCCGTACTGTTTTAGTTGCTTTAATTGCTCCCTTATTTCTCTTCTGCACGGTTACGTCGCCCGTCATTTGTTTTATCTTTGCTTCATCTCGTCGCGCGTCCATTGTCCTTTTTTACTACTTTGGGGTCTACACTTGCTCTATGACGAGCTTCATAGTGTGAGCAGGCCAACAAGTACACTAAGCCACGCCCAGACGGGCCGTTGGATCGTCTCGTCTCGTTTCATGATTTGAGTGTCGTGAAACCATCGCAAAACAGTAAACCCGCCATGTCAGATATCGAAAAGCCAGGTGAAGAGCCTCCTGTTGCTACAGGTGCAGGGGCTGCTAATGGAACTGCTGCGGCTCAAATGAAAAGCTCGCCAACCTTCCTTGACAAGCTTTCTCAATTTACTATTGGCAGAAACAGGGGGCTGTTGCCCTCTGAAAAGGGTATGTGATAACAACTTGTTGTCTGGTTTTTCGGGCGCGCTTGATTGTCTCTGCGGGAAAGATGGAAGGACGTCCAACCAAAGCAGAAGTGTCGTTGTGCAAGAAAGGAATAAGCAATTAAAATGCAGCCGCTGACTGGAAGAACAGATGCAGCTACAGAGTCAGACGAAAATGCCACACCTCCGCCTCCTCTCACTTTCTGGCAGAAGGTGAAGTTGCATTTCAGACGTTACTGGGTCTGCCATCTAATCGCACTCATTATTCTTCTGGCGATCTTGCTTCCCTGCCTGTAAGTCCATAAGTAGATTACTATCAACTTGTCTCTAACGAGCATGATCTAGTTTCTTATTGATCATTCCTGCAATTGCGCAAGATCTACTCAGCAGCGGTAAAATTGTGATCGATTCCGCCTCGATTCTACAGCCGACCAACAATTCCGTGATACTATCTATCGACTCACATATTTATGTTCCGGGACCATTCACCGTGCACACAGATGCCGAGCATCTGCAACTATATGTTCCTCAAGTGGGATCCGATTATCCCATGGCACTCCTGAATCTACCCGCAACAAAAATCCATAAAAACACCAGTATTGGAGAACACGGCCAGTATACTGTCTTTGAGAATTATACATCATGGCAGCAATTCGTGCACAATACCATTTTCCTTGATAAAGGTGGCTTAGGTCTGAAAGGCAAAGTCGGTACGCGGCTCGGAAAGATCAAGAAATTTACTCTGGATTTGGATAAGACAATACCTTCCAATGGTTCGTTATTCTTGATTTGTACTTTTTGTGTTTTCTATGAGAAGTGCTAATATAGTGTATTCCGGCGCTTTTAGCACTAAATCAGTTCAAAGGATTCAGCATCGACTCTGCTAGCTTGGTTCTACCAGCCGAAAGCGATGGCACAAATCTCATTGCAAACGCAACCTTACCGAACCAGTCTGTGCTGACTCTGGAAATTGTATGTTGAAAGATCCTGTCATAATGAATGGCAAGCAGCCAAATCATCAGACACTAACAATAATTGCACATAAAGGGCAATACAACTGTCGATATCAAGGCCGGTAGTCTCACAATTGGCAAAGGAATGATCGAAAACCTCTACTTGAAACCGGGAAATAATTCAGTACAGATCCGGGGCACCGCAGATTTGAAAACGATTCTCGCCAACCTTGGCTCCCTCATCGCCCAGCAAGGACAATATATCAAAAACGGCTATCTATCGCTGACCACCCAGGTTACCAATATTTCATACAACGGGAGCACCATCAGATACTACACCGAAGAAATGGGCAAACTTCCCCTAACCGCACAGACACCGGTGCTGGGATTGTTAATCAACTCCCTCTCGGGCTTCTTGCATGGCGGAACGGCGAACACGACCAATCTTACATCGATCATCGCCAACTATACGAATAATCGCTTGTCACACGAAAGTAGCAGTGATATCCTTAATAATGCTACACATTTAGAGATGGTCACTAGGCATCATTTGGAGAGGCTGGTCAAGTTATGATATTGTTGAATGCTGCGATAGCGTCGCGAGTCATTTGGTCTTGGTGTCTGTTTGTTTCACAAGATACCATGCTGCGCATAGTATGCAGCTCATGTTATTCATGATTATTTTATGAGTTATGAAGTTCTGTATCCAGGCATACTTCTAAATTGGGTTTGTACATAGCTGGTTAATCATACACAAACAGTGTGAAAATTCAACATCAACCCTAAGTGCACCGTACTACCTAGGTAATCTCGTCTCATCAATTGATAGGGGTAATCTACGGCTGCTATGATGTGTCTATGAATTGTCATTTTAAAGATTGGTGATGTCTTTATGGATGATTGCAGCTTCTAATTATCAAGACCTTAATGGTAACGTCCGCACACACCAAGTTGTTGGTTCTATATAAGGAATTGATCCCACTGGAAGTAGCTAGGAGATGAACTCCTGAAATCGAGGAGTTGATTATTTCCGTCGACGGCCTCCTATAGTGACACATGTGGTTATCTCAAGTGTAGTTAGTTCTAAGGTAGAAATTATCTCCGCGGGCTTAGGGTTAGAGACTGACTTATCCCCGAGGTCTTAAGTTCCCACCAAGCTCTTTCCATCTCCGAGACACTTCTACCAGTAATCATCACTACACTCTGCAAACAGTGTTGCAAATAACCTTGCATCATGCCCATACAGGATAAAAGCCCTAACTCCGTTCCCCGGAAGAAAGCGTACAAGTCTAGCCGACGTAATCGCGTCCCACTATCATGTGAGCCGTGTCGTGCTAGGAAGTATAAGCCCCCTTGAGACTGATTTGATAGATGCGTTGCTGACAAAGCTGATTAGATTGAGATGTAATCGCGAAAGGCCTTGTCATAACTGTACAGTTCGTGACGAACGGGCGTCTTGCAAGTATGAAAGTCCAAAGAATATATCGGCAACGGAACTTCAACATCATCCTAGTAAGCGAGGGAACTCAATGCAGCAACGGATCAACCATTTGGAAGATCTGGTAAAAAATTTGATATCACAGCATCAGCAGGCCCCAGTATCTACGGGTGGTGCTGGCACCGGATCATCAATGGAAACTTCCGTTTTTAAAGCTTCAGATTCAACACATAGTCCCAGCAAAAAGGTGATTGATGGTGCTTATTCCGTTTATAAAGGTGGAGATGACTGGTATGATGTACTGCAGGAGGTAGGTTACTGCTTCTACATCCACTTCTCTAATTTCCATGTTTAATCGTTGTCTAGATCAACAACCTCAAGCAAGTCTGGAACGAAAGCCAAGGCGATCAACCTGGATATAACGCGGCTCCTACATTACCAAATATGGCTGATGGGTCAAGCTTGCTCTTTGGCCAAGTTCAACGAATAGATAAGATAGAGTTATTGACCACATTACCGCCTAAACACCAGGTTGACAAGCTCATACATCATTTCTTTGACCGGGAAAACTTCCCTATACCGATCGTTCGTAAGTATCTCGATTCAGCGTGTCAGGTCTCGGGCCAGCATTAATCTTATAAGAATATAGCTATATTACATGAACCGACTTTTATGCGTGAGGTACAAATCCGTGAAATGAAGCATCTTGAGAACCGTTACTAAATACGAAGATAGTATGCTGAACACTGGAAAGATCCCACCAAGACGAGCGTCATATGGCTAGGACTACTCTTTTCTATTCTGAGCATCAATATGCTTGCCTACCAACAATTCGGCGAACCACTTGATTATGAAGGAAGGTCCGAATCTTTATTTCAGCTTTACCGACTACGCACAGCACAATGCTTAATAGTCGGTGACATCGCCAAGTGTCTACCGTACACCATCGAAACATTGCGTCTGAATGCAACGGCTGAACTGAATCGAAAAGACGATAATAGTCGAGGTCTCTGGATAATGACTGCAGTTCTTGTCCGAGCTGCAATTAACATGGGCTATCACCGCGACCCTTCTCAATTACCATCGATCCCGCCCTTACAAGCAGAATATCGACGCAGAGTTTGGATAGCCGTTAGTGAAATGGATGATATGGCTTCGTTCGTTGCGGGTTTTCCGCGTATGATCTCATCAGTATACGCTGATACCGTGGAGCCGCGAAACGTTCATGACTGGGAGCTCTCAGATGATCTTACCGTGCTTCCACCTTCAAGACCCATGACAGAGGCAACAGCTGTATCCTATCTGATTTTCAAGACACGACTTTTCCAAGCCCTAGGTCGCATTACCGACTTCAACAATACCCCTACTGGAGGTTCTTATGAACAAGTCCTCGATATTGACAGTAACCTATCCAGATTATATAACGATCTCCCCGAAGAATTGAGACTACATAGCGAGAGATGGGGGTGTACTGCAAGTGGTAAAAAGGCCACCGGCTCAAACATGCAGCTGGAGCTTCTGTATCATCAAGGCATGTGCCAACTTCATCGAAGATTCATCACAAAGGGTAGAACGAACCCTCAATACAACCACTCGCGCGATCGATGTATATCGTCGGCACTTGCAATACTGGAATTCCAGCAATTTATGGAACCATTCTGGTATGATTTCTCGCGGGCCAGAAAAGTGCTTACGCTCTCTGCAATGATACTTTTTCTAGAGTTGGAATGCAGGCGCAGAACCCCAGATCTGAACAGCGTAAGCAGCTCCAATAGCAGTGATGATATACTACAAGCATTGAACACATGTTGTGTTCTTTGGGAGAAAGCTCAAAGTGTTTGCGACGATCCTCAAAAGATTTTCAAAATTCTATCGGGTATGCTTTCGAGCTTCCAGGCTTCGGCCACGTCCAGCTCTTTGTCGCAGCCAGAGACAACGAGCCCTCTTTTTGAATTCCCGGGGATGATGAATTTGTCGCTACAGCATGGTCACGACACTTTCTCTGAGGATAAGGATTGGCTTTCTGTGTCGAATGAAATGATTGAAATGAACATTGATTGGGTCGGTTTCTCCTGTCTCTTTCTGGTTGTTGTATACTGACTTTGTCTTGTGTTAGGCTTCATGGGATGCTTTTATCGAAGGTGCAATCTTCGAGAATAGAGATTAAGCTGTTATCAAGATGGATATAATAAACCGAAAGAAAGTCGAGTTAAACAGCTCCTTATCAGCCCCTGCTGGAATCAAGCTAAATAGAGATGTTGGAAAAATCTTTGTATTTTCATGCTCTAGATGCCCTTTTACACAGTATATACACTAAAACTTAGCAAGATAAGCAGTTAAATATTAGTAGGCGCACTAGCCGTCCTGCGGTTCCTTGAATCTGACGAAGATACAGCACGAGGATCGCCGCCATTATCTTTATCCTCGTCTTTACCACGAAACGACAGACTGTGCGGCTTATCTTCCCCCTCATGCTGAGACTCTATACTAGCCATGTACCGCAGTAAACTTTCCGTCAGACGATTCAGAACCCATTCAGGTTCCGTCTGTTCAGCCATCATGGGACTATTTTCACCCATCCAGTCCCACTCTATAAGACCCCATTCGTTCTCATCCAGAGCGATATCCGGAGATTTTCCTGTATTCGGATTTGTGAATCGGATCAGTTGCGTAAACTCTACCCATTCTTCGTAGGAGTATCGTTTGATTTCGCCCGCAACGACATGCTGTGTGACTCGGCGGATGGCGAATATAAGGTCGCGTGCCAATCGAGGTGGCGATCTGCGGTCTTTCTCGAGTTGTTGAAACGTTCGGGGAGGAGGCTCGGCACGTTCGTAATCGTTGACTCCCCTTTTCTTGGTGGCCGCTTCATCGACGTTCTCCGGGTCCTGCACTCCGATGGGAAACCCTCGCTCTATGCGTTCTGCTTCTGCTCGTCGCTCGAGGTATTCTCGAACTATGCGAAATTGTGAGATGAACCGGGTATAGCGGCCCTGCTCGGGCAGTAATGTGAACTCCGCGACAAAATTAGTCGCAGTGTTGACAACAGCCAGGATAGTGTCACTCATTTTCGAGATGAGAATTGTCATTGTTGGTATAGCAATGAGAGACCAGACAATGAAAAAAGGGCGTCCGCCATTACTTTGTGGCGTAATATCTCCATAACCGATGGTGAGTAGAGAACAGAATCCAAAATACAGCCCGTTGAAATAGGTGATACCCTCCAATGCGGAGAAGACGGCCGCTCCTCCGCACCAAACAACGGCGAAACTGATGAGACTCATAAATAAAGACATCCAGCGGCGAAATCGCAATGTTTCGTCTTGTATAGCTCTCATGGCATCAAATCGTTCTTTTTCCTCGCGCATGACCAATGTCCTTGACCTATTAGATCTGAGATTAGAAACCATATCTCGTAAAGGTGTACGCTGTCGTCCCTTGTCTTTCTGTGCTTCATTTTGTTCGCTTGGCTCTTGAGCAAATCTTTCGTATTCCTCATTGATGGCATTAGAGCGTTGCAAAACTTGTGCTCTTCGGCGATGGAGATGAGCCTTCACGACATTGGCGTTGGTTACCTCCCTCGCGAATCGACTGATACTAGCGACAATGAGAGCCAGGATGATAATCCCAATCACCGCATATGGTAAAATCAAACCTCTCGCCACATCGTTGCCTGTAGTAATGTCGCCATATCCCAAGGTGAGCACTGTTACATCTGAGAAGTACAAAGCATCGGCAAAGGTGATGTCAACAAGCTTCTGGTATACAGCTGCGCCAACGGCCAGCCAGACCATAAAAGAAGTGGTTTGTAGGATTAGTGTGCGCTGGTCATCCGTAAGAGCGAAGTGTCCAGGATAATGATCTAACATATAACCCAGGAGATTGATCATTAGCATTACAGCTAGAATGAAGTAGAGGGTTGCTGCTATCACGGCGCTCCAATAGCCTTGAGAAAAAACTTGATCCGGTGGAATGGGTGGTGCGTAGATTTCTAGAGATATTGAAATTCCGACCAGCTATTTGCATCGCCCCGGGTATCAGTTTACTGTCGCGAAATATTAGAAAGATCCGTTCCCAAAACTTACAAGACCCGTAGCCAGAAACCATAAGCACATTGAAGCCGGTAGTGCAACGATATACCGCATCTTTCTTGTAAAATTGAAAAGGAGAAACAGATTTCCCAATACCCCGAAAACTAAAGACGAAGCATTAAGGGCTATGCTCCTGTTTTGAAAGGTCAGCAGAGCTTCGAGTCCATTCCTTGCGAAACGTACCAAGTCGGATCCGGTACTGCGGTCTGGCGTGGCCGGCCTTGACTGTCTAATTCGTGGGGATGGACCTTATTTCGCCACGAAGTCACCAGCGCAACAACAGACATGAGATTGGCCAAAGGAGCCGTCGTTGCAGCCGCAAGTGGGATAGCCGTTGAGGCCAACCACCAGTCTCTACAAGCGCGTCAGTCACTCTTGCTAACACAGAGAAACGTATCAAGGAGGGAAGACGATGGCGTACTGAGTCTGATTCTCATCCACGTTCCGCCAATCATTAAAAGCTTCCCGGAACTGGGTCAAACTCCATAACCATTTCGCTCGGTAGGCTTCGGCCTCATTCTCAGATCTGAAGACGATATCTGGTCCCTCCGCGGGATCGGTTGAATCCATGCTAGGCCAAGTCCGGGTCTCTCCGGGGAAGTGGATATCCCTGACGTCTAGGGAACAGGATTCCCAGAATGATACATGGTAGATAAAGATTCACAACGACACATAGTATGTGATGATGATTCGTATACTCTGTGACGCGACTGAAGAGTAGAAAATATGACTACAATGTGGCGCACTGTATAGGTAGGGATAAGAATACCATGGGATCAAGATGATGATCAATTGCTCCAGATGATGACTAGCAATCTTCGTGGGGAGCTAAGAAAAATGTCAACACCTGAGGCGAGACCGCAGCAGATGATGAAAGCAAGGGAGAGGTGAGGGGCATGACTTAAATGCTGACAATGGGAGCGAAGGGTGGAGGCAAGCTTTACGTACAGCTAGGTGATCCGGGGATTCCTTCTCGGCGTCTGTAATTACGGCGACAATTCAATGTTACCCGCCGCAACGAGATTCTTTTTTATTTCAGAGAGAAACAATGTAGATTCAAGTACATATAGTAGGTGTATACATATGTTCTAGTATCCCTTAATTACTTACAAGTTATACAGACAGTCCAGAAGAAATCAACTTCACTATAAACCATACTTGATCTCTAGGAGGGGATGTACCTATTGTATTGAATGTGTAACGATCGGTATGGATCAGAATTACATCCCGTTCTCCACATTACCATGACTAAAATAGTCTAGTGCATGCGTCCACGTACACTCGCCAAGATCATTTATGATGCTTGAAACAACAACATCAACACTTGCAAGGACAACTGTTGAAAGAATAGTACCAACATCATGATGTTTAAGCTTCAGAAGTTGACCACGCTGCTAGCGGCGCTTCCTCTGCTGACAACTGCGTTCCCTGCAACACAAGCTACTGAGAAGACACCCTTACCGCTAATCATCTGGCACGGATTAGGCGACAGCTATCGAGCCGACGGGCTCAAGGAAGTGGCACAGCTTGCTGAAGAAATCAATCCTGGTACATATGTACATATAATCCATCTCGATGAATCAGATAATGGAGACCGGGAGGCCACCTTTATTGGCAACCTCACCGAACAAATCGCCCAGGTCTGCGAACAATTGGCCTCCGAACCCATCTTGAGCACAGCGCCAGCTGTTAATGCACTAGGCTTCTCTCAAGGAGGACAATTCCTGCGAGCTTTCGTTCAAAGGTGTAACTTTCCCAAAGTCCGCAATCTAGTGACATTGGGAAGTCAGCATAACGGCATTTACAAATTCCAATCCTGCCAGAGCTCCGGTGACTGGGTTTGTCGCAGCGCCGAGGCTCTCTTACGCTTCGGGAGATGGTCTGACTTTGTACAATCACGACTTGTCCCTGCTCAATATTTCCGCGATGTTAATGAGTACGACTCATATCTTGAACACAGCAACTTCCTTGCCGATATTAATAACGAGCGGGAGTTGAAAAAAACTCTTTACAAATCTAATCTCATGTCGCTGAATCGTTTTGGCATGTTTATGTTCTCGGACGATACGACAGCCATTCCTAAAGAGAGCGCATGGTTTGCCGAAGTTAATCAGACCAACGGCGAGATCACGACTTTACGCGAACGCCCAATATATAAGGAAGATTGGCTAGGATTACGTTCATTGGACGAGCAAGGAAAACTAGACTTTGAGATTATTCCCGGTCCACATATGGCGCTTAGCGAGAAGGTCTTGACTGAGATTTTTACGGAGTATTTCGGTCCTGTGGAGGTCTCCGATGAAACGTCAACTCTGCCTCAGTTGATGGTTGCACAGGGCACTTAAATACTGTAAGTTGCAGAATTGTGTTATTTGTTTGTAATCTATCATATTGAAGGAGTTGGAATCTGGAATAGGTTTGCTACGTTCAAAGGACAATAGCATATATGCGAATCTGATGATGTGATTTTTTTCACTTATTCCTATAGCATGCAGTGACAAACCTACAACGAGCTTCTTATGCAAAATCAATCAGTGAAGACCTCGGCTCTAACCTACGTATTTAGGCATGCGCATCCAATCTATGAACAGAGCTGATCGTATAATATCTAGTAAAAATTATTGATCTGAAGACCGAGCCACGATAGATATCTTTATCAAGTCTATTTTCAACCAGAAACAAATTCCAGCGTATGGATTCGTCGAAAACCACCAATCAGAGCCTGTTTTCTTAGTTGATGTCTGTCGTCGGGCCCTAACCGCCAGCTCGGACCCGAAATTTTTAACGACCGAAGGCAACAAAGAGCCGTGTCTAAGGACCGAAGTAGTCAATAAAATCGTATATAACTCATCTAGGTTTCTCAAAGTCAATTTTATCTCCTACATTGAACGCGAATCTTGTAATAGGCTCTGAAATCATCAACATGGCTGGAAAACAAGACCATCAAGAGTTAGCACTGCTCGGAACCAATACCCCTATCCACGAGAAACCTACCGAAGAATCCACCGACACCTCAAAAGATGTCCTCGATGATCATGAGTATCCGGAGCTCTTATCTCTTATGGCAATTATGACCGCATTGTACCTTGCCATTTTTTTAGTTGCTTTAGTAAGCCCTCCGATGTGCATACATACATACATACATGTACCTAGGTATAATCAGAGCGAACAAAAACATACTAACGGACCTCACACATTTAGGACCGGACCATTATTGCTACTGCCATCCCACGAATTACCGACGATTTCCATGCATTGGACGATATTGCCTGGTATGGAAGCGCCTACCTCCTCACCAGCTGTTCCTTCCAATTGCTCTATGGTCGCATCTACACCTTCTACAGCCCCAAATGGGTGTTCCTCTGCGCCATCATCTTATTCGAGATTGGCTCTGCTGTTTGTGGTGGTGCGCCGACATCTACAGCGTTTATCGTCGGTAGAGCTATAGCTGGTTTGGGCTCCTGCGGTATCTTCTCCGGATGCATTGTCATCATCACCGATGCTGTACCGTTGCAAAAACGACCAATGTTGACTGGCTTGATGGGGAGTTTGTTTGGTATCGCCTCAGTTGTGGCTCCTCTTATAGGTGGTGCTTTCACGGAAAAGGTGACGTGGAGATGGTGCTTCTATATCAACTTGCCTATTGGCGCATTAACTATCCTGGTTATACTGTTTATCTTGAAAGCCTCTCCGCCACCAAATCCAAGCCCGGCACACACTTTAAAGGAACGACTCCATCAACTCGACCCATTTGGTACAGGGACGTTTCTTCCGGGTATGATTTGCTTGCTTTTAGCATTGACTTGGGGAGGCGTGACTTATCCCTGGAACAATGGACGTATCATTGCCCTCTTTGTTCTCTCTGGCGTACTTCTGATTGCATTCGTGCTGATACAAGTGTGGGAAGGAGAAACGGCTTCCGTACCACCTCGACTCGTAAAGAAGAGAACGATGTCTGCAGGTTTCTTCTTCACTTTTTGCGTCGGTGGAACCATGTTACTGGTTGTTTATTATCTCCCCGTCTGGTTCCAAGCCATTAAGGGAGCTAACGCAGTGAAATCGGGTATCATGAATATCCCGTTGGTCTTATCTCTTGTTGTCGGCACAATCCTCGCCGGAGCTGCAGTCACAAATATTGGCTATTTCACCCCTTTCATGATCGCTGGCAGTGTTGTGATGGCTATCGGCGCCGGTCTTCTTACTACATTTACCACGAATACCGGACACAGCAAATGGATTGGCTATCAGGTCATATTTGGTCTCGGTATTGGCATAGGTATGCAACAAGGCAGCGTTGCCGCGCAGACAATCTTGGAAAGAAAGGATGTACCAACAGGTGCATCCATAATGATGTTAGCACAATCTTTGGGAGGCTCAATATTCCTCGCTGTGGGGCAAACGGTCTTCAGTAACGGTCTTTCCAGTCATTTACAATCATACGTACAGGGTCCAGAAGCTGCAAATATCATTAGTATGGTAACCCAAGCTGGCGCAACTGGGTTCCGCAGATTGTCAGGACTTAGTCCTGAAGATTTATCCGCGATACTGAGTGCTTACAACAAGGCTATCGTGGATACGTTCTATGTCTGCGTGGGACTTGCAAGTGTTTCCATCATCGGTTCACTTGCAACAGAATGGGTTAGTGTCAAAAAGCAAGGAGACAACAAAGAGCCTGCCGAAAAGAAAGGGCAAGAAGTGTCGTAAGTTGATTTATTTCATTAGGAGGTATCGGTCTGATATATTGATGAGATGGTTGAGCGGATGCAGTACCTACCTAGGTAAATATCCAAAGGATAGATAGACGAAGGGAAGGAAATAAAAATGATACCCGGAATTGGTTTGAAATTGATATTTTCAAATGCTGCACTCACTCTACTCATATATTTCTTTATTGTTCCTTATTTTATCCCGTTTTATATATCATGTAAAGCGAGGACCTGTGAATTGCCGGACCCGTTAGACCTAGTGCTATGAGTCTCCCCGTACGCCGTATCGTCATCGCATCTTAATGAAGCATCATCCTTGAAAGAGGCGGATAGGATTTATCTCCTTCGGAACTCTATAATCAGTTATACGAAGCCGGATCAGAAGGTGTCGGAACGTGAATATCAAACCCTACGCGTTTCGGCACCGATTAGTTAGTCTGACGTGGCACGTGGGTGCCGCGTATATCTCTAGCTAGCTATCCCCCGTCCTAGTCACAATATTAGGAATCAAGATAGCTTCATATTGTCAGGCTCGTTAGGCCGCTTCGTGTTCGCGCCTTACTACCTCTATGCTTCGTGATACGGACCATAGTAAAACCAACAGAAGGAGAGATATTGTAAGAAGGGAGAACCGACCGTTAGCGATGGCCGACGCGATGGAAGAGCCGGTGACAAGGACGCGCTCGGGATGCGTTATACCTAATGCTGGAACCAAAATCACGTGACTAGCAGAATATGTCGGGACTTAAACGTAATACCGTATCACCAAAAAGGACGCCTTCAAGGGATTCTGGTATTTTTGTGGTATTTGCGAATCGTTCCGTAGTTCGACTTCTGTA